TGTCAATGTCAGCCTTGGAAGGGCAAGAAGAGTGATACTGCGCTGTACGTAGCGAGATTCAAGGACCCCAGGAAATGGCGCGTGGGTTTTGAAAGAGGATCAGATAGGCTGGTTAAAGATGAGTTGTACATGTACATGTGGTATGTACTGTAGTTTGGGGGGCACGATCGGGATTTGTGACAGTGATTATTGTCATGATGTACTGGTATTGGTGGTGATTGAGTTTGTTATTCTGGCTGATAGCAGGGGTTCAGAATATGGCAGCTGACTTGGACTCTGACTCTACAGTATTATGAGGATCATAAGGATTCTGAGGTGGCTGAGCTTTCAGGAGTGATGATTGAGTGAGTGCAGTGCAGTACAGTCACAGCTCGGTTAAGGCTGAATCGAGATTCTGGTGTTTTTACTGTTGCATCTCGAAACTTGACTTGTTCACCTGCATGAACTTGGATCTTTCATGTTACACAAAACCAGCAAATGGGGGACTTTACGTAGAACAAGTCTCGAGGTCAGTCTCTCCTCCTTCGGGCTTGGCCGTATCGAATCGATCTTGTGCCTCCTGTACTGTAATTGAGCCTGATCTCACAGAGACATTTTGAAATTGTGGCTTGAGTCTTACTTGGACCATTCTTTCTCGCGCTGTCTGCGCCTTTTAGGCATGTGGCACACTCGAAACTTGTGGTGGAGACAGATACTCGTGTCAAACTGTGAGAGGCTGAAGACATGATAAGAGTGGCTTTGATCTAGACGAAGCTGAGCGCTTTGTCGGACGGTGCCGTTGCTGTTGTATCAAGCATGGAGCAGGAAGCCTGTAGCCTGTCCATGTACCCCAGAGTTCCATGGGCTTTCCAGGCATCTGTTGTATGTTGTGGACGGAAGCCGAATCTAGGACCCGGCATATTTCGAGTTACAGGCCTCGGAAGGGCGAACGGACGCTGAATACCCCTCAATCCTCGAGAACTTATGAATGCATATGACGAGAGGAAGCATACACCATGTTAATGGGGTTCAGATGATACCATACAGTCCATGTCCCTCCCTTGTCTGGTCCGAGGCCGAGGCAAGCGAGGCTCATCATCGCCAAGATACAGGGTAGGTAGAGTATCAATGCTTGGCTCTCAGGACAAATCTGGGGCAGGATTGACAATGCAGAGACGAGACTTTGCTGTGCATACGTATTCAAGACCCTAGCAAATCATGCGACTCCGTAAGTTTGTGTGTCTATTCGCGTGTTTCTGTCCTGTGCCAAACTCGGCTACAGAATAAACAAGTCTTGTAGAACAGCCGAGGTGGCATTATCGCGAAGTCCCAGCAACCAGGAATGGAACAATCAGACTCTGACATTGTACAACCATGAACCTTGTGACGACGATATGTGCAGTATTATGTAGGCTGTACCGACGTTGACGATGACCGGCATCATGGCCTGCCTGCATATGTATTCGTCTCCCTTGAACTCGGCATCACTAACAATAAGATACCTTAGGCAGAGTATAACGGTCTTTAGTTCCGTAGCTCCGTCCAGTCACTGTAAAGCATATCAACATCAAATCAAGTCAACGAGGTCGAGCATCCATTAGCCAGGATCTTTTTTTATCGCAACTCCAACGTCTCACATGTGCCCGGACAGTCCTTTCCGGTCCCCGGCCACCGAGATAGGCAAAGACATTGTCACCAGAATGTGCGGTCAGAAGAGGAGTCACGGGATTTTTTCTTTGTTTTGTTTTGATAGCGACGCGAATACCGAGAGGATACCTTTGATTCTGGTACGCAAGAGTCGGTGAGATATCGTAGTGTCAGTGTACCTGTACTAGTGCCGTACGGTGCCTGGAACTTGAAGCAAACAAAGAGTCCGGGCCTGAGCTGTCGACGATGGAGCGGTTTGGTTTCCGGGACTTTGATGTTGTTTCCGGCTGGTCTGACTGCTTGTCAAACGGGGGCCTTGAGTGCTAGTGAAATGCCCTGGTCAGAATGGTCTGTCAGGGGAGCGGGAGGACCGGCTATTGGGGGCCTGTCCTGCTTCTGCTCCTACTGTATGTACTCCTACCATCGGCCACAAGGTCCATGACGTGCAGCTTGTAAATTGTGACTGTCAGATTCGTAATTCAGAGGGGGATTGAACGTCGAAAGAGGATAGAGATGCAGGTTATTGACGCCCACATGATGAGTGACGAATACTGTATTGACTGCTGAGCCGTAAAGCATCAATCACCATCACCAACCACAACGGATGAGCCACTAGGAGCCGTTATCAACGTGGCTGTTACTTGTGTGTATGTACCTTTCACAGTGGGCTCTACCCATAGGTCTAACTTCAGTGAATCAGACAAGCCCTCACTAGGGTGGTACAAGAACTGCACTGTATCAGCAGTTTGGTGGAGGAACAGGGCTATACCTAGGACGATTGAGGTTCTAGGTTTGAAAATTTCCATCTGACCGTCTTTGCAAGGCCCATCAGGGCTCTTGTAAGTCTCCAGAGGCTGAGGGCACTGTCACTCGATTCCATTAAGCAGCGGGGACTGGTTCATGAGTTTGTTTCCTTCCCCACCCACTGTCGATATCCTCTGCCTCTGTGCGGGCTGTGTTGCCATGATGATAGCGACCTTGTCTTAAAAGATTCGAGACTGGAGACTTGGCATTGTCGCGAGATAGAGATGAAGGCCAGAAACACCGATGAACAGAGATTGAAAAGAGGGGCATTAAAAAGAAAATGGCTTCTTTCTTCATTTATTTTTCGCTCTCTCTTTGCAACAAACCTGATGAGTTCTGGTGATAATTGGGGGGAGTGTAGCTGTATCGAGTTAGCTATTCGTCTAGCTCAACAAAGAAGCGAAATGGAAGTCGAACCCAGGTGCTTGCTTCGTCCGAGTCTCTGAGAGTCCAGCCCAGAAGACGAGCGTTAGGTTTTGCTTCAATCTGGTGTGGGAGCAATCAGGTACCGGCTACAGGGGTGTCTTCCGCCAGACGCCAAACCAGGGCTCTCCGCTCCGTTTACGATTGGATCCAAGATGTTGTGCCCGGTGCCAGGAACCGGTTGCAGGGGGAGTTGCGAGTACGAATTTGACAGAGGGATGATGCAGAGATGGAAGCAATCACTAAGTAATTAACTTAATGTTGAGTTTCAAGATAGGTTGACTGTACGGATAGTAGAGGACATTGACAAAAGGGCCCATTCAACGGTAGCTCAACACAGAGCATAGACCTGGTCCTTTAATTATGACTTGCCGTCATTCATTTTCTTTCGATCGATAGCAAGGTATCTCTTAGCATCATCTCACTCGATGCCCAGACCTGGCTTGGGCTTGTTCGGCTTACCAGGTCAACTATCCGAAACTTACAGATGGTACAGTATCAATCTCGCTCGCCTTACTTGCATACTTGTAGTCACATGGACAGTTTGTCTCGGCGTTGCTGTATGTGTCTTTCAGTGCTGTCCTCGTCAGTACATTGAGGGTAGTGGGAGAGCTCAACAATGCAGATCTTGACGAGTAAACAAGACATGCCAATAACCTCAAGCTACATTACAGCTCTATTCCCATCTCCTAAGCATAATGTTTAGCTAGTAGATCTACGCACGTTTGTTTGAAGAGAGTTATGGAAGTCGGCGTACTGCGTCACTCACTTACAGTTGACCGGCAACCCAGCCCACACCCACTTTGACAGCCATCAGTGAGGAGAAGTGGGAGAGTAGAGGCGGAATATCGTACAGGAACAGCATGTCAAGGATCTGTTTGTAAATCATTACGACATCATTGTAGATAGTGTCAACTCTACCTAGCATGCCCTATGTTTACTTTTTCTCAGCTTCCATTCCTTTGCTTGTCAATAGCCATAAGCCTTTAACACTCGACCAGTGAGTATCAGTCAATATTGATACCCACGCTATCCTCAACTCATCCTATTCAACTCAACAAGAGAGAAAGTCTCAGTTCACACGACAGGGCTTTTCCTAGCAGCCTTCCTAGGTACCAAGTCAAAGTCGACCCGACAGATTGTGTCATGCTTGGACGCTAAGTTAAACTGACCAATCCGCTTCAGCTACCCCAGCCCAAAACTTCCCTACGTGATTCCTTTTCCAGGTTCCTTTTCCAGGCCCGGTCCCATCACAACCCATGTCATTTCTGATTTTTTGGGGGTGTATCTTTTCTCTTCCGGACGTTACTGTCAGTCGATAACTGAGTGAGTGATTGAGTGAAAAAAAAAAAGGGAAGAAAAAAAGGTACTTGCATGTAAGTACCGGCTAATCCCCTTCATCTACTCTCTCATTCCCAGTCACTCACAATCGGCCTTTTTACATACAGGACCATCATCACCCACGGGAGCCCTGCGGATATAGGTACGGCCGGGTACAACATCAGCGTCACCTTGGCTGCCTTTTCCCACTAACTTTCCTCCGCCAACTGCACTCACACCAAAAGTTACAGTACATGTACGACTGCGACGACGCTACATCCACCTCCATCTACTAGGTGGGCTCGCCTACCTCTACTGTACACCCACCGTCACTCCCGCCAACCACTACCATCATTACTACTACCACTGTAACTCACTTACTCTCACTATCCTGCCTCACTCACTCTTGACCTCAACACCACTTTTTACGACAACAACCGATTTTGCTGCATCTCGTCATCGCACCGTCTTTCCCTTTCCCAGCCTAAACCCGCCCACCGTGCCATTCGATTGTTTCGCTTCCCATTACTCGATAATCGTCCTCCGTTGACCCAACACCCTTTGTCTATCCAGCTACATCCCGCTCTTTTGCCATATCCTCGACAGATAGGTCCCAGTAGTCGTCCGGAATAGGTTGGGTTAGCTTCGCAGCTTTCCCTACTGTCTCGAGGCCTTCGATCTCGGCCACACGCCCATTCTGTTTCAATGACGAGCCAACCACAATGATTCATTTTGAAATCTGCTTTGCAATTCATTGTCCCTGCTAAGGCCTGTCCCGGTGGTATGCTCGCTCGGCATTCACTCCACTACCATAGGCCATCGTCATCATGGACAAGTCATCTGCCGTCTTAGACGGCCCTTCCGTCGCCGGTCGTGCTGCCCATAACATGACTGACAGGCGGCGTTCCAACACACCCGACCCTTCTGCAACATCCTCAAGCGCAACTACGGGCAGCCAAAACTCGAAACAGTCTTCAGCCAACAATTCCATAGGTCCCTCGCCCTTGGCCTCGAGAGATTCCTCCCCCACGCGGCGTCCTCGAAGAGCCGCTTCAGCAAACCGGTTATCTGGTACTCGATCTCGAAAAAACAGCCAAACCGACAACAGCCCTTCGCGCCAGCAGCAGAAACGACCCAACTTATCAGCTGCCACACCTTTACGCTCTCTGTCTTCGACCACCACACCCACGCTTCTGCCTTCTCAAGATCAGGAACAACAAATCCAAGCTCCGACACCCCAGAAACCAAACTTCAACGTAGACCTCAAAGATAGCCCGCGATGGCCAGTATCGCCCCGTTTGCGATCGCCACCTCCCCAGCTTAGTACTAGACCACCAGTTCCTGCTCGTCGAAGCGACCAGGAGCTCCCTTCTATCAATTTACAGCGGCCTACGCCCTCGCCACAGCCGCAACCCATGCCTTCACCACAACCCATGGAGCAGCAGACAGCATCAGAGAGTGAGATGGAGGAAGCACAGTTTCCCTCGGGTATGCGCACACCAGGAAGAGGACCATTGGAGACTGTCCAAGAAGTCAGCTTGCCAAGCTCACCCAATCCTCCCAGCAATACGGCTTTAATGGAGAAGGTGAAAGAAAAACTCACAAATTCGGAGAATTATTCTGATCCTGCACTTGTTGATGGACGAACATTGCGAGCCAGAACCAGCTTGGTTGGGCAAGAAAGCGGGAGCGATACAAGCAACAACAAGGCCGAAGTACGAAGACCGACGTCTGTCCCTCCGCCCATGATTACTCGACAATCTAGTGCCTTGTCGAATAAGCAAATGAAGTCGAAGCAGGATGGTACCATACAGACCATGACAGTAGAAACTGAAACCGTACCAAGCGTGCCACAGGTTGCGCTCACCACCGCACAGAAGAACGAAGCATCTAACGGAACCCTCAAGACCAAGCAGAGTACTGAGACTATCAAGCCCAAAAAGGATAAGAAAAAGGTTACGCGCAAACAGCCTGCTGTTAATTCAGGAAATGGTAAGCTAAAAAAAATTGCAACCTAGCTGGATATGCCTGCTAACTCTACTGCAGCATCCTCTAAAGCTGATGTATTCGAGGCAACTATCGCCAGCGCTGTCGATGAAGCAAACACTTCAGATTCCGAAGAAACCTTTGTTTATGATTCCAATCCTCCCGACAACAACGACCGAGCCGGACGACGGTTTCATTCGCGAACTCCTAGCGCTACATCTATGGCTAGCCAGGCTGATCGACAACAACTGCGTTCCATCTATGGTATTATGGAAGGTGCTGGTCCTGCACATGGACCCAAAAAGACGATGAAGTTCGTCAACACCTTCACCAGCAACGGAAACGAGAGCTTGGCAGTCGAGCCTGAAGATGGGAAGGGTTCCAACCGGAGTGGTGGCAGTGGCTCAACACGGGGCACTTCGAGACACCACCATCATATTGGTCGCTGGGGTCGACAGCCTGGCAACGGCCACGCCTCACTCTTCGACAACGAGTCACCTTTCCCGAACGCTGCCAGGTCGAAGTTGGCTAGCAACAACTCCCGCAATTCTTCAGGACCACCAAGCCCCCGTCAGGCCCACTCCAGCCGTAACTTCGGCCATAAACGTTCTGCGATGCAAATGTCGTCTAGTTACGATATGGATGACACAACAGGCGCCGACGATGAGCGCACACCTCTCCTCGGCTCGGTCCGCTCGGGTCGTTCAGGCCGAAATCGTCGTGGACCACACAGCCTACGACAGACCGAATCACAAACATTTGCAAGACGGTCGTCATACTTGAACCGGTTCGCAGCGTGCTTAGTTCTTACCATGATGTTCATGCTTGTGATTACCGGCGCGATTGGTTTCATGTTTGCCACTTCTCAACCGATGACCGGCATCGAAATCACTGCTATCCACAACGTTGTGACCAGTGACCAAGTTTTGATGTTCGATTTAACTGTCAAAGCACATAATCCTAATATTGTTGTCGTTACGATAGACCACGCAAACCTGGAGGTGTTTGCGAAGTCGGAGTATACTGGAACCGATTCGGATTGGTGGGCTCGGCCATTCCCTCATGGGCCAGACGACCTTCGCATAACCGATGACCCAGAGAATGACCCTCCGTTGGAAGATCCCGACCCAGATGACGATCTTCGACCCAATGTTCTTCTTGGTCGCATTACGGAATTCGATAGTCCTCTCACATTTGAGGGCTCCCTATTTCATCAGGGGACCTCTTCCTCGACTGGCGAGATGCAACTACAATATCCCTTGAACAACACAGTAGGGGGTTCCAGACGATGGGAGCGAATTTACCAGAACGAGTTTGATCTGATCGTTAAGGGCGTGGTCAAGTATACTCTTCCGATGAGCGCCCGTATTCGCAGCGCCACCGTCTCTGGAAGGAAGGCAGTCAGCCCGAACTCTACAAACGATCCATCGAACAGCACTTTGGTCGATCCTCCGACCTAGACGAGGAACTGCCTCGAGACAGGCAGAAGTCCTTCTAGCCTTTCTTTTGTCAACTCGCCGATTGTCTTGTGTATTTTGAGCGTGCATAGCATGACACATTAGGGAGCAGCGGGCGTTGGATGTAAATCTCCATCCACATTATGGTTGAACATCATAAGGAAATGGAGCTGCAAGATTTTGTTTCATTGATTGGTTTATTGGTTTATAGACAGGTTTAACACCCATGCTTCCTGTCAGGTGTTTCTTGGGTTGTTTTCACTCCAACACCAATTCTCAAGCGCACGCCTTGTGCCATGTGGTACAGGTCTGTCTGCTGAGAGGGTTTGGAGCAAGGTTAGGGATGGAGTTATTGATTTGATTTTGTTTCACAAAACCCATAGAAGGAAAAGCGGCAACTATACGTTGTAATTGTAACGGCTTATGACAACCCTCAAGAAGAAAAAGAGCGAGTTAGATGAAATCAACTCGGAAGAGGAAGATGTAGTTGGGAGCATATCAGATACTCCAGTAGTTAAGGCGGCTAGACAAAGGTACATTTCTGTTGAGTAATAGCTTCAACAAAAGACCAGTTATCTCCATAAAGTGATTTAACCCGTGAGATATATTAATTATGTGATTATTGAGAACATACTTTTGAGTATGTCCCTTTGCGATGCCACATTGTTCTTTGTCAGCGGTTTAGACTTCCCAAGCGGAAAGTGGCGGGTGTGGAGCCTCTAGCTCTGACCCGCATTTATGTTTTGTTCGCTAGCTCTAAAGTTCCATGATTGCCTGGAGTCTTCTCATTATAGCTTCATGCACCATTAATCTTTCTCTTACACGTATACTTGGGGCTTCATACGAACAACTCGCCCATTCTTTTCGATAGGAAGAAGAGAGCGCATACGGGCTCGTCGTCAACATGTCCGGGCGACGCGACTTCCTCAACCAGGCAGCGCCCGAGAACTACGTCGCTGGTCTCGGTCGCGGCGCGACAGGTTTTACGACAAGATCCGATCTTGGTCCCGCTAGAGACGGTCCCAGTGAGGATCAGATTAAGGAAGCGCTCGCAAAGCGCGCTGCTCAGCTTGGTCTTGCGCCAGACAAGAAGGGCAAGGAAAAGGAGGAAGAGGAAGGAGGAGGTGACGAAGAACGATACCAAGATCCCGATAATGAAGTTGGACTATTTGCCGGCGGCGTTTACGACAAAGATGACGAGGAAGCCGATAAAATTTGGGAATGGGTAGACGAGCGAATGGATCGAAGGAAAAGGCAGCGAGAAGCGCGAGAGCAGGCCGAGAAGGACGAATACGAACGAAACAACCCCAAGATTCAGCAGCAGTTTTCCGACCTGAAGCGAGCGCTAGCTACTGTTACGGATGACGAGTGGGCGAATCTGCCAGAAGTTGGAGATTTGACAGGAAAGAACCGACGCAGTAAGCAGGCCCTGCGAGATAAATTTTACGCTGTCCCCGACAGTGTTCTTGCCGCAGCCCGCGACTCGAGCCAGATGGGAACAACTGTCGTGGATGAAGAAATGGGATCATCAAGTGCTGGCGGCGAAGCAGCGGACGGAACCATGACCAACTTTGCCAAGATCGGAGCGGCCCGCGACAAGGTGCTCAAATCCAGGCTGGAGCAGGCCGGTAGTGATTCGACTGCTCCAGGCACATCAACCAGTATCGACCCCCAAGGCTATCTCACGAGCCTCGGCAAGAAGGATACAGCCTCTATGGATGGCAACGTCGGAGACGTCAAGCGTGTGCGCGAACTCTTGCAGTCAGTCGTCAAAACAAATCCTTCAAACGCTCTGGGTTGGATTGCAGCGGCACGACTGGAGGAGTTGGCAGGCAAGACTGTTACAGCACGAAAAACCATCGACAAGGGTTGCGCGCAATGTCCAAAGAGCGAAGATGCATGGCTGGAAAACATTCGTCTCAATCATGGCTCTCCGAATGCCAAGATTATTGCGCGAAGAGCCATTGAGGCCAACAACAATTCGGTCAGACTATGGGTGGAGGCTATGAACTTGGAGACGCTTCCTAGTAACAAGAAGCGAGTTATTCGACAAGCGCTCGACCACATTCCAGAGTCAGAAGCTCTGTGGAAGGAGGCCGTGAACCTGGAGGAAAGCTCCGATGATGCGAAGCTTCTCTTGGCCAAGGCGACAGAGCTCATTCCTCTTTCTATCGATCTTTGGTTGGCACTGGCACGCCTGGAGACGCCCGAGAACGCCCAAAAGGTTCTCAACAGGGCACGAAAGGCCTGTCCCACTTCTCACGAGATCTGGATTGCAGCCGCACGTCTACAGGAGCAGCTTGGACAAGGAACCAAGGTCAATGTCATCAAGCGTGGTGTCCAGGTTTTGGCCAAAGAATCTGCCATGCCTAAACGCGAGGAATGGATTACCGAGGCGGAACGATGCGAGGAGGAAGGCGCCGTCATCACCTGCCAGAACATCATCCGAGAGACACTGGGTTGGGGCTTGGATGAGGACGACGATCGCAAGGACATCTGGATGGAGGACGCGAGGGCCAGTATCAACCGAGGCAAATACGAGACAGCCAGGGCAATTTATGCCTACGCACTGCGTATATTCGTCAACAGCAGGACGATGTGGCAGGCAGCAGCAGATCTGGAAAGGAACCACGGTAACCGAGAATCCCTCTGGCAGGTGTTGGAGAAGGCCGTTGAGTCATGCCCCAAGAGCGAGGAGCTGTGGATGATGCTGGCCAAGGAGAAATGGAGGGCCGGAGAATTGGACGGCGCTCGTCTCGTTCTCAAGCGAGCTTTCAACCAAAATCCCAACAACGAAGACATCTGGCTCTCTGCTGTCAAGCTTGAGTCGGAGAATGGCAACGAAGATCAGGCGCGTAAGCTCCTGGAGATTGCCCGTGAAAAGGCTCCTACAGATCGTGTTTGGATGAAGAGTATCGTATTTGAACGTGTACTGGGCAACGTTGAGGCAGCACTCGACCTTGTTCTCCAAGCGCTTCAACTGTTCCCAGCGTCGCCAAAGCTCTGGATGCTTAAGGGTCAGATCTATGAAGATCTAGGCAAGATTGGTCCTGCAAGAGAAGCATACGGTACTGGTGTCAAGGCTGTACCAAAGTCTGTGCCCTTGTGGCTTCTGTATGCCAGGCTGGAGGAGCAGGCAGGTCTTACCGTCAAGGCTCGATCGGTACTTGATCGTGCTCGACTAGCAGTACCAAAGAATGCAGAGTTGTGGTGCGAGTCAGTGCGACTAGAACGCCGAGCAGGCAACATGACCCAGGCTAAGTCGATGATGGCGAGAGCGCACCAAGAAGTTCCCAAGAGCGGTCTTCTCTGGGCAGAACAGATCTGGTATCTGGAAGCACGAACTCAGCGCAAGGCCCGCGTTCTTGAAGCCATGAAGACTGTGGACAGCAACCCTGTCCTATTCGTCGTCGCGGCGCGTATCTTCTGGAGTGATCGCAAGCTACCGCAGGCGCAAAAGTGGTTCGAGAAAGCTATTCTGCGAGACAGCGACTATGGAGACGCATGGGCTTGGTACTACCGCTTCCTGTGTCAGCATGGCACAGATGAGAAGCGAGCTGATGTTATAACCAAGTGTGTTCTTAACGAACCTCGACATGGCGAGATGTGGCAAGCAATCGCCAAGAAGCCTGCTAATGCTCGAAAGAGTTGTGAAGAGATTTTGAAGCTGGTAGCTGAAGAGTTGGAGCAGTAGGCTTGCCAAGATCGGCAACCAGCAAATGGTGGTCTAGAATGTGACTTGTTAAATGGTTCGGAGTTTAGGGGCTTGGTTATATGAAACTAATGAGCTTTAGACAATAGTATTATAAAATGGCGGTTGAGGATAAGCTAGAAATCACCATTATTCTGCACTATCCAAAATATCACACAAGGAGAGTGAGTTTGTTGTTGACCGTGATTCATTGTTATACTATTGAATTACATTGTATGCAGAGAGACCCAGAGCTACCGCACGGCCAGTCTCATGCTGCTGGGCCATGCATTACCATTCGCCCGCTCAAACCCAAAACGGTAACTTCGGCTCCGACCTTGATTAAATAAATAATACAGTTGCTTTAGTTTGTTGTGTGTGTCGACAAATCGTTTATTTGCCGCCGAACCAGCCTGAGAGGCCACCCTTGGCCTTGGCGGCTTCGGCCTCGACACGGTTGTCGAACTTGTCGACGACTCTCATGGCCTCAGCCTTTGCGTCCTTGGCAACCGCCTCGACGTTGCTCTTGATGACACCAGCTGTGCGATCGGCCTCAGCAGTCTGCGATATGGGTTAGCGACTAAGATATGATATTGATAGACAGGAAGACATACGACTTGGTCAATCTTCTGACCAGCAGCGGCACCTGCTCCCTTCAGCTCGCCCTCGGCGTTGGCAGTGCGGCCAGGGAGGTGGCCCTTGATATCGGCAGCAGCGCTGTGGGCGTCGCCTATAAAGCTGTTAATGAAGTGATCATTGATATTGGAAGTGTTTGCGCATACTCTCAAACTTCTTCTCGGCAGCTCGGGGGTTGCCTCCAGCGGCGTAGAGGTAGTATCCGATACCAGTGGCGGCGGCACCACCGATGATGAGAGGAGTGCGAGACTTGGCCATTTTGATTGTTGGTTATTAGAAGGTTGTTTTTGTGGTTGTGAGGTTTTAAAGTGTAGAGAAAGTAGAGTATGGAGTGACAAGATGCAGTGACAGTTGGAGAGATGATGGTTGGGGGGTATTTATTATAACAAGCTCTTTCTACCTCGGAGCTACCTCATAGGAGCTTTCCTTCCCCAAGCCCAGGATTGGCCTTGTTTTTTTTCTGGTTGTCATCCCGTCACGGCTCACGCCCCTCTTCTTTGAACAAAATTCCATGTGCTCATGCGAACAGGAAAGGTTGGTTGCAAATACATGACGTAACGAGGCGGGGAGACCAGCTACTTGGATCATGATGGCACTGAAAGCGGATGGATACGTTCTGGAACTTACAGTAGGCACTGCAACATAGAATGGTGAGAGGGAGGGAAGATGAACTCCAATTGGTGAATGGTTGTTATGTTACAGGAGTATCATGACCTGATCGTACTGTAGCTATCACCATCATCTAGTTACTATTATCACACTGGTGCTCAATTCACTAAACATACAGAGAGTACCTACCTACTTTATACGAACTCAATCCTTGAATCCTCAATGGCGTAATATGATTCAACTGTCATAAAAAAGAACTGGATCTAGACTCATCGTTGATCGGGTGTCTTAGCTCTAATGTATGTACCCAGGTGGGTGTTCCAGGCTTAGGCTACAGAAATAAAGTGGTCTAGATGCTGGTACGAGGTGACCGAATTATTTCGTCTCTTGTGCTCTCGTCAGCCAATGCTTCTGACACCCTGACGTGTACCTGACCTTGAGAAATGAGCCGCGCTGCAGCTGCAGCTCACGATTTGCTCCAGGGAACGGCCCCACTACAGAGACGCAAGTACCCGCCGAAAAGCGGCATTACATCATCGAACTCGGACTCCCTTGTCACGTTTACGGATACTTTACTTTATCTCATGAAGATCATGAAACTTCTTCGATTGAGTGCGAGCTAGAAGAGCTATTCACTAGTGACCGTTTATTTGTACTTGGTCTGCTTACTTATAGCTACTATCTACAGCACAATTGAATTGTTATGGTACTGCCAAGTGTCAATAGTATAGACATCTGTAATTATGAGCGTCAAGATTAACACGGCACAAGCCTGCTTCAGCTGAACGCCCCGCCACAATAGGTATCGTCCAAAATCAGGCTGGAGCCCCTAAGAGTAGCGCCTACCCCAAGTTCACGACGCCATCCATAATGTCTCTCCTAACCTGCCCTGACGTGCTTTTTTGACCCTTCGCATTTTTTCTCTTTCATCTGTCATTGTATCAGCGTTCCATGATATAGGTGACATTGATCACGTAGTGTCGTTCGTTGTCTATAGCGAGCATCCTGCTCACCCTCCCTTGTTTCAAACATCATACGTATCGTGTTTTCGCGCCATCATTGACTACCTACATAAATCGAACGCCTCTCCGTTACGGGGCGATCAGCCCTTGGTCGTCAAAGACCACACGCAGCTACAATGCTGAGGGTCAAAAGCTTGCGTCGTCCCGCGGGACTCAAGCCCACCGATTACGACCATGAAATTGACCTGGTTGATCACGATGCCGCTGCGACTCCAACAGGGTCAGTTACACCCGAGCCGAATGATATGACGAGATACTCAACAACTTCAAGATTGCTGGGTGTCCAAGAAGAAGAGGAAGAGGGCCAAGATCAAAATCATAATGGACAAAACGGAGATCAGCAAGACCAGTCAAACAATAAGCCCAATGATACTCCAGCCAACGGACACGACTCGCATACTGAGGGCGGCAACGACACCCGCCCATCATCGAATCGCGTTGAAAATGGACAGGATTTACCACCACAAGCGAGGTCATCTATTGAAGTACAAGGTCAGTGGGAACCGAACAACATATCACGAACTCCGCTGATATCTAATAGAGCCTACACCTGATGCTTTCCACGGAGATCATCCTCAGGTGATGCCGAAGAAACCTCGCGTCAAGCGGGAGACAGCTATTGATATTCTCTATGAGAATGAACGAGGGGGTTTCCTTTGTGGTGTTCCTCTGTTCTCTTCACAAGCATTGGGTGGTCTTGATCCGCCTGCGTGGAGTAAGTTGTCTAAGTCACGACTCGTCGTGTGAGCACTGGCTGACCTTGTTAATAGCCAATGGCTACCACAAAGCATCACCAAGCAACATACACAACGCACAAGTACCAGACCCCACTTGGGAATGGGCTTGGCCTGAATGGCGCATCAACAAGCAGGAGGGTGTTGACGAACATGGCTGGGAATATTCATTTTATTTTTCCAAAAAGTTCTCTTGGCACAGTGGTAAGTGGTGGAACTCGTTCGTTCGGAGACGTGCCTGGACCCGTAAGAGAGTAAGGAAGAGAGACGAGGATATATCGGCCGATCCGCACATGCTCAACACCGACTACTTTACGATTCAACCTGCATCACACAAATCGCGACTATCGCACGCGAGCATGGCTAGCAGCCGACTAAGTAGGTCGAGCATGAGCCAGATATCCGCAGCCGATGCAGATGAGAAACCCCCCGAGATCGACAACGTGGAGGACCTGTTACAGGCTCTTCGCCAAGCACGCATAGACCGTGAGAAGCTCGATGCTGTCGATAGCTACATGGAACACGCAGAGGACCTCCAGAATTTGCAGCACGAGATGCATGAGATTATGTCTCTCTTCGTCTTTCAACAATCACGCCGAATATTACTTAGCAGACTAATGGAAATCCACGACGAAACTACGGCGCAAGTAAAGAAAACCAACACCACTGAGCTTCGAGAACGAAACCAAGCCTTGAAAGACGCAATACATCATGCCGACGAAGAGGTTAGGAAGTTGGCTTACTGGAGCGATGTCAAGCAAATGGCTGAGAGCGGCGAGGCAGAACAGGCTGTTAAAGGTGACAAGGGATGGGATGCAAGCTGGGAGGGCGTGGATCAGAGTGGCGGCGCCCACCCGTTACGAGAAAAGGCTATTGTCAACGGTAAAAAGCCTTCGACAGACTCATGAGGGCAGAGCTTTGGTGAATCTGGCCAGGTGTTATAGGGGGCGATATAAAATCATGGGCGCAGTAACATAGGCGTCTGGTGAGAACAAGAGTTGGGGCGTTCTTTCATGGGCTGCTACGACAATTCTATGGGTGGCCACAAGCGTTTTCTTTCTTCTTTTTAATACTGCACGTTGCTAATAAACATATATGTGTGTATCAGATTCTTGGGAAGATCAGGTAGTAGGAATCCTCAGGGTATCAGAAGAATTGGTCTCCAAAGCGTAAGAGACGAAACAATCCCGTCACTTTATGCCATTTTAGACAGGCATTTAGGTTACTTTATTATGATCACCCAAGCCTTAGAAGACAATTCTTCTGTATATATGGATACTGTTGGAGTCTTTGAGGGTCCACGTGACCCTAGTCCGACATCGCGGATTCTTTATCGCGATAACACCCGCCCGCGCCAATCTTTTTTCCGCCATGCCACCTTGGGGAGCAAAACGCCCAACGTCCAGGACCCAGCACCAAGCGACATATTGCGGGTCTTTTAATATCACAGCGATTTCGATGATGCGTGACTTATGATCAATGTCCCTGGGGATCAAATCAGTATGGAGGGCTCGGTCGCGATGCTCGGCCTTCACAGGCCCTTTCCCGATTTCCAGGGCCTCATTGCCCTCCAGGACTCCGAATTCCTATACAGCCTTTCGGTTTGAATCGACGACAGCGCAAGCAAAAGACACGAATTCGACCGAGTCCTCAGACACAGCCCTCGTCTCATTTTCCAATAGGTCTCGCATGGAAGTGAGCGTAAGAGAGCCCGAGCAGGTTATCGCCAATCTCGACAATCTCCCCGCTTCTCGAAATCGAGCCTTTAAAGATGCATTCAGAGTCGATGCGCCAAAGGTGGCAGAAGATAAAGAGGCCATGAAAGTCTTCAAGGCCCTCATCGCAAAGCCGCTCCAGTATCCGAACGAATTGGCGACGAAAGCGAGTATGGAGGAGCATCTACGTGACAAACGACGTCAGGCAGGTCTTAGCATTGTTTGGAACCAATTCAACAAGAAGATTCGAGACTGGACAGAGTGTTTTAGTCTGATGAAGCGCATAACCCCCCAATGGAGCGAAAGGGCCAACATGTCGGCCGTACGAATAGTCCTACCAAAATCGTGGGATATCGAGGTCAATAACCAGAATCTTGCATATGTCGATTCTGCGACAGGTGTTCTTCGAAAGTTACGAGCGGCGGTTGATAGGAATCCTTCTGCGATTGTGCTGCGTGGACAGAGCAAGATCCTGGTCAAGGTCGCTGATGAGATTGTTCGACATTGTAAAGAAGCTGAAATCTACGAGTTGGGAGAAGTCGCATCATCGGATTACAGGACGAGACAGCTGTGGCCAACGATCGAGAATGCGCCCAATGGAGGTGCCTCCTTGCCAGAAGATCACTCAAACGAAATCTGGGTGCATAAAGAGTATCAACCACATTTTATCACGGTGCCATACGAGAAGATCCCACGGCCTGCAGTATGGACCCAGGACAGTTTTGAACAATATATTGCTACACTATGCTACGGTAAAATACCGGCGCATTTGGCAATTCCCTTTTATGGCGAGCGGCGTGTAAACGGAAGATTCATCGATACAGATGGTATCAGGGTCAGGCTCGTTGTCGATGCTTTCCAAGACCGTACAGCCAGGCCATTTATCACAGCCCCTGTCTTGAAGATGGCCATCTCGATGATGGCTTTCCGAGGTGGTCATCGCGCCTCAGCCAGTCACCTCGTGCAGCTGGGTGAGGAATGGGGTACGCCAATGGATACTGATATGTACAATATCATGCTTGAGGGCTACGTCCACAAGCATGACAATGGCTTCTTCTACGGCTTCCTTCGAAGAATGCAGGCACGATACCACCACCCTAACATCCGGACATGGTTACTATTCCTTCAACTTATTAAGGGAGAAGACGAACGGAGACAGGTCATCGTGGCCATGTTCCAGTTGGGAATGTTCAATCATGCTGCTACGCGTCGTGGTATTGCCGATGTTATGGCTCCTATGGATGCATACGCTGCCCTCAAGGCCGGAACTCCTTTAAAAACATTCTTGGCTGAACAAAATGAACGTTATAGCAAGGGCTGGCTGGCTGCCGATGGACTCAACGGCATCATCACCGAGTTTCTCCGCTTTCACCGCCCAGAAGATCCTCGAATTGAAGATTGCAAAACGTTGGTGGATATGCATATGAACTCGGGTCATCGACTTGAGATGAAGACTATCAACATCTTCATCAGACATGCTGCTCTGGCTCGAGATTGGGACACTGCTTTCTGGGCACTGGGTCTTTGCAAGAACACAAACTGTGAGCCAGATCAAGACACATATGCCAGCCTCATGTCGCTCGCGATTCAAACTCGCTCGCCACATGCCCTCGGAACCATCTACTTCTACGGAGTCCTCAATCGCAAGCTCAAGAAGAGTTCGCGACAGATGCTCAGTAGGATACTTCTTCGTACACATCGCGACCACTTCTGGAGAAAGGTTCAGCACCAGCCAGGTATATTTCCAAGGCAGGCCATCCCTGAGCTTCATTATAGAAAGATTCGAAATTTCAGAAACGTTATGTCTCGTGTTGAGCGTGTCGTTTTGGATAAATGGGCGGGCTACGTACCAACCAAATCCCTCGAGCGCTCCCTCGATCTCGCCTATCGCTCCAACGATGAGCCTATGCACCGCCAGATCCGTACTGGTCAACCTATTAAAGTGCAGGACCTCATTATCAAACTCCGCAGGGCAGACGGTCAACCAGGTAACATCAATGTGCGTCTCAAAGGTCGTTTTGATCCAGCACGCATGATCGAGAACTGGAAGGGGATTGAGGCCGAGTCAGACGAACAGGAAAGTCACGATACAGAGGAGCCTGACAGTTGGCCTGATCTTGACACACTCGAAGGCTTGCCAACAGAACACGAAACCACCCCCGAGGGCGTAAATGATGTCCGAGATACCTTCCCAGGGGTCGAAGACCCAGATCCTTCCTCCAAGACGCAATCGGAAGATCTCGCTTCGAAACTTACAGAAGACCACGGAATCGACAAGGCATAAAACCTTGGCAAACACATCCATTATAGAGTTCAAGACATCAAGCTCTTGCATATTATACACCACCCACATCAACCGAAACTGTATACCACTTCTACTTCAGGATATACATCTCACTCCTGAGCTTGTAACACACCACATTGGCATTATAGCAGAGCATCATGTACAATAGCAACAAAAAAAAAGGCATTATAGAACGGGGGGTAGCGACGCATGAGCACTTCATGAAATAAAAGTAAAACTTTCTAAGAATTTGGAAGAAATCTAGATTACAGTGAAGATATCAACATTACTCTACTTTGTGCATGCGGCATGTTCACTCAACTCACTTGCTACATGTGAGAACCTTGATAGAGGATAAGAAAGGTCTTAAGAAAACACAATAGGGGTATCATATCAGAATACCTGCCCAGCTCACATTGAAAGAGAAAACCAGATCAGCCAGGTAAAGAACAAACGAGCCGTCAGTAAGTCTCCTGTATATGCTATACTACCTCTTAAACACCTTCTAAGACGATCCAACCGTAGTTGATATAGTTTTCCAGCCTCGCAGGCAAAGAAAAGCTGGCATTTGCATGAGAGCATCGAAATGGGAGAGATGATCTCATAAAGTAGACGAGCAATGTGAAGAAAAATGGGAATCCCATGCGTAAAACATCAAAAAAGGTTTCTGTCGCTCTTCTTTCTTTCTTATACCCACGTTCGCTCTGACATGACGTCCTCCCCAACTTTCACTATTCTTGTTATGCGCCTGGTCAAATCGACGACGAACGCACGTTTCCAGATCCGGATTTGACACCAATACACCGACAAGTTAAGATGCAAGACCTAACATGAGAATATCAACACCCCTGCCTTGCGCACTTGATACCTTCCTTTCGTTCTTGAATCGCCCAAGGCAAGGATCAAAAAACATGATCGGGGGGCCAGGGGTGAGATAGACGCCCGGGTTGGATTTGGATCCGTAGCCCCTTATACCCAAAAGACCGTCTATTCCTTCTTCGCCTCCTTCTTCACCTCCTCCTCTGCGTCCTTGTCGGTAGGCTTCGTGACAGTTGCGTCGGCGGGTTTCGTATCGGCGGAAGCGTTCTCGGCGGCGGCGGCGCCGGGGGCGGTTACAGGAGCGGTATCCTTTTCGGCGGACGTCGGGTTCTTGGAGACCTGGCTGGCGAGGTCCTTGTCTTCGTCGGCGTTGTCAAACATTTCTGTATCATCTGAATCCGTAAGAACCTCAGTGCCATCGCCGAGGAAAATGATCCGGCCTCGGTACCCACCAACTCCAAAGCTTCGTCCTTTGTTTTCAGGATCCATCTCATAACCACTGTCGCTATCCTCGAAATTGTGGTGGACACCAGGTCCTCGGAACTCGGCTATCAAGCGTTCGTGTCAGTTTTTGCCTGGATATTCATTTGGAGCTTGTGGATAGGACTATTCGTACCGTACTCAGGGGGAGCACAAGGACCGTCGCCGTTAGCGACTCGGCGGGCGATCTCCTCGTACCACTCATCCTTGGACTTTCCGTTGAGGAAGCCAATAATGCACATGGTCATGTTGTCGCAGCCAACGCCACCGGTCTCAGAGTTGGAGGCCAGGCAGTTGTCCATCATGTTCTCGCAAATCTTGTCGAGTTCCTGCTTGGCAGCAATGCCTCGTCGAACGAACTCAACCACGGCTTGGGAGGATTGGCAATCCCAGATACCTATGCTAGTGAGTTATGTTATTTTTTACCATTCGAGCTGATCATTCTTACCGTCGCAGGCAAGGACAAGGAACTCGTCCTCGTCTGTGAGATCATGTTGCTCTACATCGGGGTAGGCAGTGACAATCTGGTTTTCAGGAGATAACTCAGCGCTCTTCTTGAATTCAAAATCACCAATAGCTCGTGAAAGAGCAAGGTTGCCGTTCACTCGGCCAAAGTCGACGAAACCACCGGCGGCTGTGATTCGGTTCTTCTCGTCTGGTGGAAGATGTCAGCATTGTCGTTCGGCTTGCGCCGGAGCACCGGCTTTCGTGGGCGATGTTACTGACTTTCGAGTTGAGGCTTGTGGTCCTGAGATAGAGGCTTGGCGCGGCCCTTGATTCCAAGTACACCTCTTGAGTCACCAGCGTTGGCCTACAATAACATGTCAGCGTTGCGTCGAAATATCGCATGCCCTTCCCTCGGTGAGATTGGAGCAGCGGGACCAACGTGGGGAAAACGAGGTGGCGGGCAAACTGACGACATAGAGCTTGTTGCCAGCAATCAAGCTGACACAGGCTGTACAACCAGAGACTTCTTCCTCGTACTTGGGGTCTGACGTCAGTGAAGCATAACTCGTTAGCGTTTGTCCCCAGCGATACAGCATCAAATTGTTTATAATCGAGCATCGAGTAGGGAAGCCTGGCGCATACCGTTGAGAATGGCGCGATCTGTCGCAAGGAAACCATCCTTCAGACCCTGGGCGTAGTCGCCTGACTTGAAAGTGTCCTGCTTGAAGATGATGTTGTGAATGTTTTGTCCAGTAAACAAAGCCACCTTGTCACCACCGTGGCCGTCGAAGACACCGAAGAATGACAGCTTGCTGTCGTGACTCTTGGCTGAGTCGAGGTCGAGGACTGCAGTGTGGGCATCCTCCATGCTGATACGCCAGCCCTGCATGGCCGAAACGCCGTAGATGAGGCGCTCATCCTCACCCTTCTCCGAAGTCTGTAGGACAAAAAAACAAAGGTTAGCGGACCAGATCTGACGACATTGCAGTAGGCGGGAATATCGGAGGCCAGGGTGAACGAAGTGGCGCAGCAAAACGGTGATCAGAGGACAAAAATAAAATCTGGGGCATCTGGTAATTCTTCCATGCACCCGACGAAACTGGCGATAGAGGCGCGCGCGGCTGGTAAGTTTGGTCTGATATTGCGTGGGATCCCGAGCCGGGACCAGCGCTGTGTGAGGGGCTCATGACTGAGCAAACAATGCCCCTCTCGCGCCAGTGTCCGAGTGCCAATACCAATGCTCATAGCCAAATGCAGAGTGAAAAGCCAAAGGGACAGGGCACAGGAAAAATTGAGGCACAAAACGCACCTTCTCGACAACGGGCTCTGACAGTGTCTGACCCATGGCTGTAAATTGTTGTGGCCGGTTCGATCGAGAGAAAGCCTAGTGTTGCTGGGACGAGACAAGACGAGAGCGAACGAGCGGAAGAGAGAGAGAAAGTAGAGAGGAGAAGAGAGATCGACCGACGAGGGGTTGGTGGGGGGGGAGACTGAGAGAGGGTCGATAGCTGGTGCGGAGGGGAGAGATGACGAGATAAGATCTCGACAAGAGGATATTTATTTTAACAAATTTAGGTATTGAGTTGAAGAGTAGATAGTAATAAACAGAGTAAAGTAAAGTTTAAGGTAAAGAGAATATGAGTCGGGGTATGATCTCGGCACCAGGGGGCAGCGTGGTCGAATGTGGATTCACGTTGTCTGGTCTGTCTCTCTGTTGATGGAGAGCGAAAGAGGGAGATTTCGACGTGCGAGATATGGATTCTAGACGTGTGAGTGTGATGAATGACGATGAGCTGCTACTGGAGGTTTGATAGGCACTCTGTAGCTGCTTACGGCGGGGTGCTAGTACTGTAGCTAGTTGTATGCCTGCTAGGCTCCAGCGGTGTTTATCTCCAAACTCACAAACTCTCCAGGCCCTTAACGACTTAACACTGGAAGCCCCGAGCACTGAAGCTGTAAGAAGCGGGGCACATCCGACCCAATCATGAATTACAGGCACCGACCTCGATTTTCTGACAGGACTCAATAACTAATCACCAACCTTTCGCAGTGCAAATTGATAGTTTCTTATTAGCATGTGCCAATCACTGGGTTTTGGAAATTATCTCTGGGTTATCTACGAGCTCGGCTACTTTAGTCCTAGCAGTGTTCTAATTCAAGGCAGGGGCAAACATAGGCACCGTTCCTCGTACGTACATCATCAATCTGATCTGAGCTGCCTGCTGCTTTCTGACCCCTGTAACCGTATAGTACCTAGGAATGGGACCGCCACTGACAACTACGTATTGTTTCAGTACTGGACAGAGTCCGATCGAGTAGCTCCTTTGGATTGAGTTGATACGGGTCGAGCATATAGCAAATGACCTCACGTCAGTGGCTATGACGGCAGAGTCCATCACCCCAGTGACACTCCAAAAAGGTGAAGTAAATCGGTAAATTGAACTGTGCCATATTCAGTGTTGCTCACAGGCACAACACATCATAAAAAAGTCTGCATCGGAAGTCTAAGTAAATCCCTCTGGCTCCTGTTTTTTTCGTCGTCACGCGTGAAAAATTTACTTGCTGTTCTCGCCACCTCTAGCCGCGCGCCGTTGGGTTGGTTCTGTGATCTGTCTCATTACCGTGCCACACATACTGCCTGTATGTAGGAACCTAACCTAGGGTATTTACCATGAGTGGCTGTGTTGCATTGTGTCTGTTCAGAACCTGATTTGCCCAATACTACGCAAAAGCCTCAGATCAGGTCGCGTGCCCTTGTGATTACGGTCCGGTCCGGCTCCAAAATAATCCAATCCCCATCCGTGCGTGCTAGAGTCTCTACGGTAGTTGAACAGTAGGGCTGGTTGCGGCTGTGGCTATTTCCCACTATTGACCTAGACAGCAATGATGCTGCAGTACTCTTCTGGTCCTCCTGAGTATGTATGTGATATCTTAGTAGACAAGCCACTAACGTTTTAGGACACATTCAGAGTATATCAGACATTATGGCGAAATACCGAAACTGATGTTCGACTGTAGACATCGATGCCTGCTGAACTATAATTACCCTACAGTAGCTAGCAACAACCCAGCATTTTAACACAGTTTGCGTTGAGGCAAACAGGTTGATCGCCTCTATACTTGTAAGAACTCGTAAATAGAAGCTCACAGAAACATTGAAAAAACTTTGTTCCAAGGACGTCCAAGGCAGCAAAAACGTATATATTTCCGGCGTTCTGTATGCGGACTATCATGGAACTTTATCAATCCTCCTCTATGACAAACAATGTTTAACAAAAAAACCGTGGAACCTCCTATCTACTGAAATGAAGTAACGTGATGATCTCTGGGTATCTGATGCTTTAATTTTCTCCCTGCCAACGACTCAATCCATCTGTTCAAAGAAAGGCATAACTTCCACCTTCGGACTTCCTCCCAGAATCTTCTCGCTTCCAATTCGTTGATGAGCTTCCAGCTCGCCTAACGTTCCGACTGCCCGGTACACTGAGTGGATCGACACTTAGGCGTGACATCTTGCTCATGGAATGGCCCAAGCCTTGCCGTAACGATGCTAATGAACCCCTGATGCTATTTTGGGCATCACCCCATTGGCTTGGGGATACCAGATCTGAGCTCGCCCGTTCTCCAGGCCGTGCTCCGTTACGAGTTGAGCTCATTGCTGTGCTTGGCCGCAGTGGATGAAACGGAGATTCATCCACAAGCTGATGATATGACATGTTTGTCGCGTCGCCTTGTGCATCATACACTCGCCAGTTTTCTCTGGAGCCAAAAGAAGGCTCTGTGAAAAGGCCTTGAGGGGCATTCAAGTCATACCATGCTTTACTGCCGGGTCGGCCGTCTTCACCAAGAAGCTGTTGGCTCGACATGCGCACTACTTCTGGTCTTCTTAACATCGGCATACTTTGGGTGCCTGCTATTGATGGGCCTTCACCATCGGTGGCTGCAGTGTTGGACTCTGCACCCGGTATATGTGCTGGAAACGCACCAGTGAGAAGCCTCGGGCTCGATTGATGAGACGATGCGAAGGCTAGAGAACTGTCGTTGCCACTTGTGTAGTAGTCTGAGCCCTGTTGAAAAACTGCTCTTTGCGAATGGATGCTTGGCAAGCCATTAAGAGACGGAACCGTTGGGTCGACACCGCCCCTGAACGATCTTCTTCTTGCGTCGGATAAGAGCACTGGTGGCGGTATCAGTTGATGAGTCGACTCTGATAGAGTTGTATCTGACCGCTGACACCTGAGTGATCCGCGGCTTTGTCGTCTTATTGCTGCTGCAGTCTCTTCAACCGTAACCCATGATCGTCTGCCATCATCACTATTCGATATGCTGTTGGACCGGGAAAAACTGGTGTTGGAGTCTTCTGCCACGAACATTGGAGGAATTTGAGGGATTACCATGAAACCCAGTGTTGGAGATGTCATAACCAGAGTCTCTGAGTCTACCTCGGAATGCGGTGTTCTTAACAGTCGGCGTGATTGCTGTCCTGCAACTCCTATGCTTGAAACCTTATCGGCCTCCTGCATCGCAGGTGTACCCCCATTCACACGAAGACTCTCAAGAACGGGCCCTGAGATCTTATTGCGGAATTTGGAGGAAATATACGTTTGTCGTTTTCGACGACGGCGCAGCAGGCAGCAGACGAGCAACATCAAAAGAAACACCACAACCAAAAGAGGCAGAAGGATTGCAAGGAGGAGAGTGCCAGTCGTCAAACCCTCATCATTGTCTGCCAGCTCTATATCGGGACCAGAAGAAGTCTCAGTCGGAGCAGCGGAAGTAGATGTACTCGCGGACGTTGATGAAGTGCGGGATTCGGTTGTTGGTGATGATGTAGGCTCAAATCGCAGTATGTTCACTCTTAAGACTTCTGTCTCTTTTTCGTCCGAGTTTGTCGACGAAGCTGTTACAGAAATGTTGAAATCTTGTGACGCAGACACTGGAGCTTTACCAGTGATGTTGAACTCATCCAGTTTAAGCCAGTTTTGCTTTGGTGCAACTGAGATATCAATATCAATATCGTTGGGATCCCAGAAATAAGGCTCCAGATCAATATTGACATCTTGCCCAGCCTCAATGTCGATACTGTCAAAAGTCGAGCGAAAGAGGGCAGTGGAGACATTGACGGTGGCATATATGTTAAGTGTGTCCTGGTAAGAATCGCGTAATGTAATGGTAAAATTGGTTGAATGATCGCCCTTGCCTGGTGTGCCCTCAATCTCCCATGTCTTCTCATCCAAAGATAACCACTCAGGCAAATCGTCTGTTGAGATGTTGATCTTCTCTATGTCGACCGGCTTGTTGTCTAGATTTATGCTGTCCGCCAGTCCACGATACACAAGCTTCTTTCCCCGCGTGGTGTTCATGGCGATGGCCGAGCTGTCTGAGCTGAGTTTGTGCCTACCCACAACGACAGAGAATGCAATTGATACCGACGAGAATCCCACAATATCTGAAGCAACAAGTTCGAAGTCAAAAGTCTGAGGAGGTTGTATGAGTGACTCGAAAGGAGGAGTTCTACCGCTAAACGTCAAGGAACCAGCATCAAACCTCATCCAAGCTGGAAGGGGACTGCCATCTCCTGAAGTTGCGTAGTAGTTGATCATGTTAGGCTCGTGTTCGAATGTATTGGAATCGAAGGTGAAGCTGATTTCGGTGGAAGGGTAGGATGTTAGTGAGGATGGAGGCGAGTAATCACCAAAATCCTCAATCTGTTCCAGCAGGGGTATTTTGATAGATGGACTCTTGTTTCTCGAGATAACTAGAGTCGAACCAAGTGTCGTCGAGCCAGAATCGTCCTGGGCAATAATTTCAATTGTCTGGCCCACCACATCGCCGCCTAGGATGCTGTCGTTGGTTGGTATGCCGTAGAGTCGGCGACTCTCGCTGTCGATAGAGAGCCATTCTGGTGCATCACCCAGGGAGTATGATATATTGGAGTCTGATCGAAAGGTGTATTGAGAAAAGACGTAAGAGAAAGGCTCGTCCACTCGAGCTACTGGCGGTAGCTGAGAATTTATCGGGTAGTTGATCGTTGGCTGAGCAGTTGTGAAACGAACAATGCTAATAAGAAGAATAGCAATCGCGAAGGATATCATCGTGACATGACAATACACTATTCAGTGCCTAGATGGTGAATACGGAAGACATAAAACGCCATTCAAGTGAACAGGAACCTGTCGGATATGGGAAAAATGATGAGGTAGAGAGGAGAAGGAAACAGGAAGGTCGGGAGACTGGTGATTCGCAAGAAGGCATATTGGCAGTGACATTTTGATGGCTGGTAGAATAAGAGCCTGTATTCAAGGAATAATGCACCCTTCATTCCTGTATAGCCTTTTTCACTGGACCAGTTTGGGTCACGGGAGGAAGCGATAGTGTTACGGATAGTCAAACAAGGGAACTATTCTTGGGACCGTTTATCCATTGCAAGAAGAGGCAGAATGTCTCAGCTCGAAGCAACCTATTAAGTAGAAACATCTGTGGCGAACGTCATAAAGATAGCAACAATGTTCCTGTCTCGGGCTGGTAAAGACTGAAGTCGCATTCCTTTGCAAGGTCCGCGAATAGATAGTTGTGGGTGAGACATCGAAGCCACTCGGCTCCATCACAAGATACTCGATCGGGTAATCTCGAGGGATGCTATGTTGATTGACCCATCAAGATCTGAGAGCTCAGTAGGGAGAGTCAATAATTGGCAATGCTAGTGTTGTTGTGGTAAGCACATATATTGTCTATAAAGCCGTCGAGATTCCCTTGATTAGGAACCCAAAAAGGGCGACGATATCTGAACAGCTCGCAAAGTGATTTGTCTGTGGGACTGCGATAATCAAGAACTACTTGACTCTCTTGTGCCCAACCTGGATACACTCACTTGAGCGAGAGCCCAGAGGCATACATTGAGCCCGTGGCAAATTCTCTTTGAGAGCGAGTGATGCGACTATTGTGGAGGAGCCCTTATCGAGATATGGTACAACTGCTCAGAATTGCCAGCAATATGCCTGTGTTGCCATCCTAAGTCCCGCAGGCTTTGACGAGCCAATCGCTCGAATGTTTCAGTGACTCTTCTAAGCGGCGCACTTTGATCGACGGCAGGAAAAAAAATTAAAAAGGGTCGGGTCCATTGGAGTCTGGATCGCACACGCATGCAAGTAAGAAAGCACACGAGTAATCGGCCGAAGTTGAAGAGGAGTAAAAGAGGAGTGGTTAAACAGAAAGCGATACAATAGGTGGAAGAGAGTGAAGAAAAAGAGGACGATAGGAAAATCAATGGAAGCCTATGTCAATCTAGGTTAGCGGACAGAGAGGCAAGGCAGGTGCTACTGTACCTTCCAAACGGTAGAGGGCAGGAGCGAAGCCATCCATAGAACGCCGTTCTTTCCATTTTCATTTTCACTTAGGTTCACTCTACCTCACTGAACGAACCTTCCGTTACTTTGCGACTTGCCTTCCACCTTCCATCCCGTCACTTTCAGGAAAGCGCTTTTCACGCTCCACCGCATCCATCCCTCAAAAACCATCCCTTAGCTCATCCAGACGTGCTAGTCGTGATAGCACCAAATATTGTCCAACCATCGATTTTCTCACTGCCCTTTACCAAAGCACACAAACAGAAGGCGAAGACGACTTTCCACCATGAGCAGCCCACCTTCTTCTCCCTTGATGGACCCGGTGACCATCAGCGAGGATATTGCCCCGTTGCCATCCTTCAAGGCTAGCGGAGTTGCGGATGTCGATTTTGATGGCGTTCTTTCCAAACCTATCAAGGTACATGAAGATGTTCGATCCGGTTGTGGTGGTCAGACGTGGCCAGCTGGAATGCTTCTCGGCAAGCATATGCTGCGCTACCACAAAGAACGACTTGTTGATGCCAGGATGTAAGTTTTGTCTACTTGATGTGTTGCATGCACGTGACTTGGATCAGACAGAGCATATGTCTTGCTCTAAATGCATAGTGCAGATATAGCTGAGGACGGAGCAAACTTACTAACCAATGGACGATAGATTAGAACTTGGAGCTGGAGGCGGTCTTATCGGACTTGCTGTCGCCCTTGAATGCTCGCTTCGAAATCCGTTACTGGTGACAGACCAGCTGGAGATGTATGAGTTGATGCAGCATAACATCGAGCTAAACAACTTACAAGACAAGGCAAAAGCTATGGTGCTCAACTGGTGCGTGTTATTCAACATGTTTTCATGCATGGCTTTATTCGATGTAACCGGATGATGGCGAATCGACTCGCTGACGATGGAATGACTGTGTAGGGGAGAAGATCTGCCAGCAACTGTGTTGGAGCAAAAACCAGACGTAATTCTGGCTGGTGAATGCGTTTACTTTGAACCAGCATTTCCGCTCCTGATGTCGACACTCAAAGCTTTATTGGAGCTTAACCCCAATGCTGTCGTATACTTCTGCTTCAAGAAGAGAAGACGAGCTGATATGAACTTTGTCAAGATGGCTAAGAAGGCATTCAAGGTGGAAGAGATCTTCGATGAAGACCGGCCTGTTTTCCAGCGCCAGGGCTTATTCCTTTTCTCCTTCACCAGCCGCCCAAAACAAACCAAAGCCACCAAAGGCCAGAGTGAACCTCAGTCTGCCAAATGATGAGAGCATGTCAAAGAGGATGTTGTTCTGACAGCACGATGCTTTGTTGGCATGCACTTGAAAGTTGCCTACATAATGTTGAGTTCCAGTGTGCAACCCCGATTGGATTCTTTGACACGGCACGACAAGACAATGTTACTGAAGGGTACAGTACCAACAACACACGATGCAACAGTGCTGAGGCTTCTTCAACGACTTGCGCCAATTCGCCATTTAGAGGCGCATTTTACACCCGGTCATTAGAGTAATTGAGTCGGAGAGTGACATGTGGACGAGCTGCATGGGCTCCCCACAACTGCTGACTACATAGGTACATATTCGACCGAAGTCGAGATACTGGAGTGGTGAAAGGGTTGGAAAGATGCAGATTGCCCACTGGGTCTTTTGCCGCCTGTTTGTTCTTTGCGGGACCTGCGTCTTGACCTAGCCTATCGTCTTTGTTGGAAAAAAACACACTGTAATCGGCTTTGACCGATGGGTTCTTTTGTTAAAACCCTTGACAAGCAACGATGAAAGCGAACAGAGCGCGCTGGTGGGGGAAGGAAGTTATGAACGCTCTGAATTCAAGCACACCGCAACACTTTGAACCGCCTCGTATTATCAGTAAAAGCGTGTGTTAGCACACACAGACAATAAAGCAAAGAAAGAATGAAAGAAAGAAATTGGTGCCCGAGTCGCGAAATGTTCACGTCACGCATGCATTGGCGCCAACATTATGCTATGCCGAAGGACCCAACGGGAGAAGGCAGGAAAGAAGACTTTTTCCCTCACACCATTGTTCTTTGGTGTTTCTTTTCACTGCTCCAGTGCTCTTCCTCTGCAAGTCATGAGCCGTTGGGTTGTTTATTAGTGGATGAAGTGGCACTCAAGCTTACCGTTGTTCTGAACCTGGGAACAAATGGGTCCTGTTTCAACTTGGCGTATGGCTTCCTCCACACCTCCATGATGCATGTTGACTCGTTGAGTTTTCCCAAGCCACTCAAGCCTCCGCGTTTCGGCCAGGCACAGGGCGCCAACAGACGGGACAACTCAGATATCGATTTCTCCCACCCTTCCCGTTTATCACCATCACTGTAAGATGCTGGCACCTCTTGTTCTCACGCTCCGCAAAACTCCCGCCTTGATCAGGCACTCTGGCGTTGTCATTGGCTGCCTCATATTACCTGACAGATCTTAATACTCGGAAGCTGACGAACATGCCGGCCCCTTGCAGGTTGACCAATCGCGACAGCCTTAAGAGGAAGCATGCCTTGAGTCGGACCACTGCGTGCGCAGAGGCTGTGAGGAATCTAAAAATCAAGTTACTTCGGCCTATTGGCAGCATGACTCTAGAAGTCTACCGACGCCATGTTTACTGCATTATTATACGGAGCTGACGCGGCGCGGTTTTAGATGTCCGTTATGAGTCGCTGTACCCCAATACACTTTCAGATGCTGTGACCGATTCCATGAAAATGGGCTTTGACCGAAAGGGCTGGTAGGTTGAATGAGCTCTGCACCATATACGATATATGCCCCTTGATGGTACCACAGCACCCCTGGTGAGCGACAAAGCTCAATTTTTACTCCCCCTGCCCTCTCCGCAGGCCTCCCTCTGTTTGACCGTGTAGCGCATGGCTTTTTCTTACGTAGCTGTTAGGGCAGTCCGCTTACATGGTCCAGGGAGGTGTTTTATGGCTGGCTCCCGGCAGATCCTAATGGAAGAGTCGAGTGATGGCAGCTTGCCACGTCCGTGCTGGTGGCCCGTTTCGTATCCGCCCACCTCTTCGGAACAAGGACAGTAGGCCAGGCACGAAAAATCGAAAAGCAGGGGCGCCGTGAGGATGACTGGCCTGTCATTGGGAAGGTGGGATACTTGGAAAAAGAAGAGAATGAGTGTGTGTGGGGTTTTTTTTTGGGAGGGAAAAAAACCACGCGTGGCTAGGCTCCCCAAAAGCGGAACTTCCTCAGCTGCTACTACTGTACCTTACCGGGGATGAATCCGGTACGACGCCGCCTGCAGTGGTGTTGCTGACACTTCAGGTACCCTTGACTCACTCTTCGTTGGTTGCTTGCGGATGCATGCATCGCTGGCTGGCACACCTAAGTCTGGGTACCTGGCTAAAGTGCAAGGTACAGGCCGCTAGTCTAAAGCCAAGTCTTCTAAGAACTAGCATGAGAATCCGGTGTTGTCTTTTTACGGCGAGGCGTAGTAGGTATTAAAAGAAGGCTCGTTTCCTCCCCTTGTTTTGTTTCTTCACAGACGATCTCTTCGAGTTCAAACACCACTCATTCCCTCCTGAGCACTGAGCCGGACTCTCTCTCACTCTCACGCACACACTCCTTCATTCAGTTCTTCTTTTTGAAGCAGATTCATTCCCGTGGGAAGAATCTCACATCCTTCCTTAACCAACCGCGTTGAGATACCCCTTCGTCTATACTACAGACGTACCACAGTACAGCCACTCCTTGGTTGACAAAACAGAACTCGAAACAACAACAAAATGAAGTCTTTCACTCTTGCTTCTGCCTTCCTCGCCGCTGCGGCTGTTGCCCAGCCCCACGGTAACCCTCACGGAATCCACCACCGCCGTCACCACCAGAACGACAAGCGTGATGTCGTCACCGAGGTTGAGTGGGTGACTGAGGTCGAGTACGTTACCAAGATGGTCGATGCCACCACCACCGTCTGGGTCCGTCCCGAGGCCGCCACTGCTGCCCCCGAGGTCGAGGAGACCCCCGAGGCTGAGCCCGTTCCCGTTGCTCCCAAGAAGGAGAAGAAGCCTGCTCCTCCTCCCGCTCCTACCACTACTATGGTTACCAGCGTTTACACTCCCCCTCCCCCTCCTCCTGAGCCCACTACTGAGGCTGAGGTCGTTGCTCCCGAGCCTACCTCTGAGGCCGCTGCTCCCGTTGTCACTACTCAGGCTCCCGAGCCCAAGCCCGAGCCTAAGCCTGCTCCTAAGCCCGTTGTCAAGGCCCCCAAGAAGGAGCCCGAGCCCGAGCCTGAGACCGAGACCGAGGAGCCTGAGACCGAGGAGCCTGCCGCTCCCGTCCAGCAAGAGAAGGCTGCTAAGCCCGCCTCTGGTGGCAGCTCCGGTGGCTCTGCCAAGCACGGAGAGTTCACTTACTACGACATCGGCCAGGGTGCTTGCGGTGAGGACGACTCCGGCAAGGACGACTCCATCAACATTGTCGCTCTCTCTCACCTCCTGATGGGCCCCTCTTCCAACAACAACCCCATGTGCGGTAAGACCATCACCATCAAGGCCAACGGAAAGACCGCCCAGGCTACCGTCAAGGACAAGTGCATGGGCTGTGCCGTCAACGACATTGATGTCAGCCGCAAGGTCTACAACGAGATCTGGGGCAGCCTCGACTCTGGCCGCTCTGAGGTCGAGTGGTGGTTCAACTAAGCGCCATGACAAGCATGCCATGATTTCTTGGATCATGAAAATACTACGAAGGATACCCTTTTCTTACGACTTGTTCTTTTCATGAAGCGGGAATCTCTGGACCCCCTAGAAGGCGCTGGGGCGTAAACAAAAAGGCACTTGGGTATCTGAGGAACCCGGACCTGGAGATTCTGGATTGGAGTGTTTTTGGTTTCTTGGCGGATCAGCCACGGTTGACATTCGTTGACTTCTATGTACATAAATTTGATATGCCGTTCGGATAGACAAACAATTAACAAACACAAGGCCCTGGAACAGGGACTTGCCATTTTGGGTACATTTTCACGGTTTAAATTGCCTCTCCATCTTTCGTCAAATCGCATTGTCCGAGCTTACTCTCTAATCTTAGAGCAGATGAACCAAGCGAGTGTTTAATTTTGGGAATCCTGGCGTTGGTTGCAATGACATCGTCAGACCCTGACCTTGGGGTCCATGCGCTGACTACTTTAAGTCTTTAATGAGCCTTGGTGGAAAAAGGTGAAACTTGGTCAATTAATTGACTGACCAACGAAGACGGGGAATTCAATCTTTCTAATGAATATCCCTCGGGCAATAAAATGACGGGTTGGCGCACTAGAACAAGACCCTTCTTGTGATGTCTTTGACACGGGACGATTAATTAAAGCCCAGAACTAAGAGACATGGATAGGTTTCCAGGGCGTCAAAGAGGCTGGGTTCTGAAGCAGTAGGACAAAGCCACTCCCTTTCAGCTAGGACTATTACAAACAAGCGCTAGTAAGCAAAGGAACAGGACAATCAATAAGTAGTGTAGGACAAGTGATTCTGATTTGCCCTTGTCTAAAAAGGATCTTAAAAAGTACATACGGTTAGTCAATAACTCGACGCCTCACAGCGGCATCTTGAATACGAACTATGGATACGGAGATAAATATAGGCCTTGCTTGGCAGACTCAGTAACTCCTGGTATGAGCTGCGCTTGTGGTATTGCACGTACATCTATGGTACTGCATTGGATATTCACGTATTTCCTCATCTCCCTTTTATAGGGTCGAGCCAAGCACAAGCAGCGTAAACCCCCTCGGCAACTCCTAGTCGTAAGTCATGAAATTAGTAGCATGTAGTGTGTTCACAAGCCACTATAGTAGGTTCAACAGCTCCTCCACATAGCGGCGTGTATCAACACCGATGCCTTGAGCGAGCTTGCCTGCGCCATCGGCGTTCTCAGTACGGAAGCCGACATGGTCACTTGCACGACGGATGAGGAAGATTTCCTTGGCAACATCCGGGTGGCGGGAGTCAGGACCAGAATACTTCCTCTCCTCTTCTTCGAGAGCAGCGTCGTGTTCCGTGTCCGCATCAGCTCCACCTTCTTGGATGGTTGAGAGGTTGTTACTTGTAGCATCCTCCTGACGGTCAAGCAAACGTGTCCAGACGATCCACCACCCACGGCTTGACTTTTCAGTGCGCTCAAGGGCAGTCGAGCGGGATCGAGTACTGATATAGAGATTTACAAGGTGGAGATGAGTATTGAGGGCATCAGCTCGAGTCCAAGGATCCGAATCATCATAAGCGTCTGGGATGTTAGGTAAAGATGAGTGAACTGTCAAAGAGACAGGATCCCAGACAAGGTCATAAATAGTGTTACTCGAGTTGCTGCTGCTGCTCGAACCATTGTCGAGACCAGGTCGCTCGGGACGATACCTCGTTGAGAGGAGAAGAGGTTTGCGAAGAGGAGCCAGTTGGTGATGCAGGGAGCGGTATAAGGATTCCATGGCGAGGGAGTCGGTTCGTAGATTGAACAAAAAGGTGAACACAAATGGTCTGTTGACATAGACAACAACGCGCAACTTCTTGGCCTTGTTGAGGTCGTGTGAATCGTATCCAGGTATCATGTTTCCAACCACTTGTGATTGCGTAAGAGCACTGGCCGGATGCTCAAAGTCACGCACCGTTATGGCCTCTGGCCTATCCAGGGCCTCGCTCTCAAGCTCGACGTTGACGGTTCGCAAGACCGTACGGGAGTTGTGTTCCCCATCAGCAGCATCGTCAGAGCTTGCGCTGTCGGATCCGCTATAATCCTGATCTATTTCACCCTTGAGGCCGATAAGGTAATGACCAGCAGCTTCGTATGAAGGTGTACGACCCGCCAAGTTTGGCCGAGTTACTTTTGGAGTGTCTTGGACAGGCTTAGAATCCTGCTTAATGTCTTGTGGTTGATTCGGAGAAGAATCACCACTAGCAGTAACACTTCCTGGCAAAGACCAGTAAGTACCATATCCCAATTTAAGATAGCTGACCATCTTATCCAGCCTGCCATCTTCAGGCGCTTGTTCTTGTGACTGGTCTTTGCCAGAATCGCCAGCGGCCGCCTGCGCTTCCGGTTCTTTGGCGGGTTCGTCAGCTGATGCTTGCGTTTGATCTTGAGCAGCTTGTTGAGCAGCACGATCAGCTGCTCTCTTTCTCTTTGCACGTCGAACGGATGTTGGGCTCTCGATGATTCCGTAAGCGTGATCTCCCCAGGTATACAAATCCTCCATCCAATGCGTCATATCTCTCAGTGATTTTCTGGACAAAGCACCTGTTCCCAAGAAGATGGCACCGTCATCAGGACCTGGTTCTCTCCCTGTGCCAAGCCATTGTTCAGGATCACCGTTGGAATCATTCGGAGGTGGTGACTCAAGATTGTAATCTCCGAATTTAGACACAACCAGGTCAACAAGTCCTTCTATTCTCCCAACTAGTCCCTCTAGTACGGCTCGTTCGCCACTACCACGGTCTTCCTCTCCTACACCAACCCCCAGCTCGCCGCAGGAAGCAATAGGAATGCCACCAAAGATATCGCGAGCTGGGTTCCCATGCATCATGACGTTCCATGTTGAAAGATACAGGTCCCAGTAGCGGCTCAGTATTGTGATGAACTTGGTTCGCCTATTGCGGACAAAGAGGGCGCTCAACGAAGAGTCATGATGCATGAGGAAGATGCTATGGGCCCGTAGGAGATCGCGCAGCAAGAGACTCGCAGGTTTCATCTCGCGACTAGAGTATTCATATCGTTCTTCGGCGACCTCAGTCTTCTTCGTAGCGAGCCGGGGAGGGAGTGGTAGCTTGGTCAAGTCGATGCTCTAGTAGTACTGGTAAGTAAAATGCCGGTTGTAAGAAGTTTGCGTATCTTACTGCAAGAATCCACCATCCTGGTTCAAGCTCATGAAGTATAACCCGGGACTTTTCAGTGTCGATAGTGTCTACTGTCGAACCGCTCGCAAAACCGCGACTGAAGCTGGCCATGCCCTGGGCAAGACCAATCTGTCGCAAACGCTCATTGCGTTCCTCAGGAGAAATGTTTTGGGTGGGTTGACCACGAGTGCGCCGGCGCTTATTCTGCGCGGCTTGAGTGGTAACGGAGGCATAGTAAACAATCTGGTCCTCGATGGTCTCGTCGGTATTGCCAAGCGTGGGGTTGAAGATAGTAAGAAAACCGAGTTGAGCGGGCACAATGGAACCTGATGCTGAAGGCGCAGACATTTTGGGCATGGAACGTCTCGTGTACTGTCGTTCCGTTGCTTTGGGTTGCGTTGTCCTCGAGGTGTCGAGTTGTTCTATATGTTGGAATTTTGAGTTGCGCTGGGCGCTGATGTGACTAGTTCGTCACTCCCACCCAATTAATCCTGACGTCGATCGGCGATCGCAACGGTCTGCCTCCAACGAAGCTCTTAAGAACGTCACAGCGCCTCAAAATAACGGGCGCGGGTAAGGATGCATGGAAGGTCAAATTTAAACCGAAGAAATAAGATTCAAGGAATGAAGGGAAGAGGAGGACAGGAGGGGAGAGAGACTAAGGCTGGCACTTTGTTACGTGCGTCTCGGTCCAGTCCAGTACAGCACAGCAGAGACCCAGGTCCAGGTCCAGGTCTAGACTACTAGAGCAATACTGTAAGAAAACACAGACCGGACATAGGTGTATTCTAGGTACACTATCGTAAGGTGGACAGAGCCTGAAAGGGCCTCGATCATGCGGGCTGCTGCTTGTTGTTTGCGGGTTGGGTTATCGGAGGTTATACCCCGACCCCGACAACGATTGGGCAACCTCAACGTGTGGAAGTGGAAGTGGAACTGAAACTGAGGGAAGGTGAGATGCGATCGAGATTCGACATTGCCATTCGGCTGATCCGAGAATCTGGGAAAGAGCGAGACAAACAGTTCAAATCGATCAGATTAGTACAGTACTTACCCCAGGTAACCTGGCAATTCACAATTCGAGGCGAACATCAATTGCCCATTACAAGGATGGCCGATACGTGCAGTCGATCTCGATCTAATTGCACTTGACTCTACTGAGAAACATTGCCCCGCCATTTCTCGCACCTCGGATCAACATGCAGAATTCCCTGTTTCCCTTCTATGTCTTGTTCCAGACTTGTCCTATTCTCTCGACAATGCCATGATTCTAGAACAATACCCATGAATTAAACTGTCTCTTAGCACCATGCTATCCCCGGATATCTTTGCGAAAAACCAACCGACCGGCCAATCACATAACTCCGAAACACTGTTACAATAGCTGTACATCCTCATCTGCCAACCTAGGCAATACTCCCATCGTTCATCGATTCCTCTTTTCCGCCTCGCCAGATAAGAGATTGTCTTTTCTTGGCCCTGGCATACACCTCGCTCATGCGCTCCCGCTGGTCCTTGAACTTCTGCAACGGTGACCTTGTTCGCTCTTCGGCTTTCATACTCTCAGTCCTAGGAAAGCCCCACCTCTTTCGTTCTCGCCTTTGACTTCGGTCAAAGCTGGAAAACTCAGCCCACATGAAGTAGAGAATAAACGTGATAACTGTCAGTGGAATCGTGACGGCCCAGTATAATCGGAACTGCGGTGTGGTAAGAATCCCGATGCCTTGGCCCTCGGTATTGTCCCAGTCGAATAGGTCAGTTGAGAAAAGTGCAGAGACGAAACTGCCTGGTAGGAAAACCATTGTAACAAATGCCAATGTCTTCATAGAAGCAGCATCGCGAAGAGTGGATATCGAAATGATGTAATTGGATAGGCTGTAGTCTTCCGATATTAAGTTGTTGAGCTGATGATGTGCTGTTAGCAATGTCCTCCCAGCTGGCGTGTCCAACGTACCACATCAATCTGTATTTGAATCCTCTTCAACATATACTCTCTATCCATAGCCTGCATGGTGAGCCGGCTCTGAAGAACCCCAATGTGGTTTCTCATGAGTTCGTCTGCCTTATAGGCCGTACTATCACCCAGACTCACATGTGCCCGGGCAAATTCGAGCAGCTTCTGCAACGTCTTATCTTTCCTCTCCGTGCTCGCCACGCGGACTGCGAACCCACTCATTTGTGCACTCAGTGAGCCGAGCTCACCAGCTGCGATATGTTTTCGCTGCGTCTTGAAATCAGAATATCCTGTTCGAGCCTCTATTTGCTGAATTCCCGGCTTCATGTTGTTTTGCGTTACCTCGATTTCTCCTTGGAACATAAATGCAAAGAGAAGCGAAGGGAACATGGCATTACTTGCCGTATTGAGCTGCCATTTGCTTTTGCTCTTGAGAAGCGCCTTCAAGCCTTCTTGCTCGTCATCGCTGGCGAGGATTATGCCACAAGTCACACCAGGCCGTGAAGCCGCGAACCTGGGGCGAGTATGTGACCATATAGATGCAAGCTTGGGCGCGTAACAGAAAGCATACGCTTGTTGGCTGGTATCGTTGTTGACCACTTCAGGAAAGGCAGCCACACCAGCAACACAACTCGAGAAGTAGTCGTATGCAAGGTGAAGGCCGAACTTTTCTAGTATTTGGTTCTTGGCATCTTCTGGTAGCCCGACCCGGTTGTCGTCAAGAATAAATTTGGGCCAGATGAAGCGAAGAACTAGCGATTCTTGACCTCTTGCTCCATCTCTCGTTTCTGTAGCCAGCCATGATGCGACGTCGGGTATACTAACATATCCCTCATTGTAGTCGACAATTTCGGCGTCATCGTTGCACCAAAGGTCACTAAATTTGAAGGAGATAACATCAGGAGAGTGTTTGGGACGCCGCGGGTTGAACTCGGCGATCTTCTGGTATATTTCGTCCATGAGTTGGCGTCGTAAGTAGCAGACTTGAAGCCCGGTGTGTAAAATAAACGCTACGAGTCTAGAAGAATGGCGATATTGGGATATGATGAGGCCTCGTTAAAGCTGATAACGTCAAAACATGTAGACTTGATTAAGAACGTAGAATCAGGCTGAGATTGAAGTCTGCTTTGGAAGTGCGATGGCAAACCATGTTGACGCACCTTCAGCTGCACTTTTCTCTTTCCTAAGCGCCCAAGTGCAGTTGCCGTGTGTGACATGGGCGGTTGGGGGACCCTTGCACAGAGTGAAATAGGAAGGAACATCACATCATCTAGCGACTCGAGCAACCGATTCAATTGAACGAGAACCATCTTCTTGAGTTATCTTGGATAAGTATCTATCGTTTTCTCAATGGTAGGTAGACAAAATAAATACATGAATACTCGTGTAAGTTGCAAGCTTACTACACTACCTAACTATCAGGTACCTAGGTGGATAGCGCCGTGAGCTGAAAGCTGAAGCGCTTACTTGTACACAATGGAACCATAGGTTAGGTAGTGGATGTCAGCTTCTTGGTCTGCACTGCCCCGGTGCTAGGTTAGGGGTTATAACGAGCATTCCATGACGCTGTTATAAATACCGATTATGTACTGTGCAGATATAGCTGGAGAGATGCCTTGCTTTGGGACATAGCGAATATTGAAGTGCTTCAAATACCTCTTATGCCTGATGTACTCATCGAATAGTGGCACAGACCTCGAAGCTTAGCTCTCCAGCTTTAGATACCTAGAACTCATCCGCCGCTAGAATCGCCTGAGCTATGCGTTAGAACTTACCCCGCAGGTCCCCTCTTTAACGCTCCTTTCAACGTGCCAGCTCATGCTCAGCCTCCACTACAAGATGCAAACAGAGCTTAGAATCACATGCATTAATTGATAAAGTACACCAGACGAACTGCCGTGAGGGGGCTTCTATAAATTAACTGTCAAGATTATGCCAAGCTGAGCCGTGCAGACACTTTCATCTTGTCTTCTGTGATCTTCTAAATCTATAATTAACGAAAGAGGACCCTTGTAAATAGTCGTAAACCTGCCTACGTCATCCCTGGGCGTCATTGTCGTTCACAACCTAGCATCATCTCACTTCGTACTGTCAGCTTCTTCCCCGCCGCTGACCGGGTTCGCTTGTTTCATTCTTTCCTCCTACATCACCATAATCATTCCGACCTATCGTATCGCGAAACCCTTTGACTTCAACATCACTTTGTCTGTATCCTACTCAGGCCCGTTGGCCCAAAACCACCATCATGGAATCATTCTCTCTTCTGAAGCGTCGTACCACCGACCTTCTACACAATGTTCAGCAGAACCTCCCTGCGATGCCTTCCGTTCCTTCCGTCCCCTCTACGACTTCTCCGAAAAAGGACTCTATCAAAGGAACATGGGAGCGCATTGATGCTCCCGACGTCCCTCGCTCTTCTCACTCTCTTAACATCGTCCACGGCACCGCTTACATCTTTGGCGGCGAGGTCAAACCCCGAAACCCCGTCGACAACGACATGCACGTCGTGACCCTCCCCTGGTCCAGCGCAGGTGCCGATTATTTCAAGATCAAGCCAGTTCCAGCCAAACCAGATGAACAGCCGAAGAAGGTGGAGACGCAGCTGCCCTCTCAGACAAAGGGTAAAGAACCAGCTGAGCCAGTCGCAAAGCCCGAAGAGGACGTTGAGGACGTTGAAAAGAAGCTGGATGAGGTCTCTCTTGAAGAGGACTCCGATTCTTCCGGTGAAGATGAAGACGAAGAAGATGAGGAGACGGAGAGCAAATCGAAGGGCAAGGAACCCGCTGGTCCCGAGCGACCGGAATTGGGCAACGTCCCAGCTCCACGAGTCGGCCACGCTACAGCCGTCATTGGTTCCCGTATCTTCTTATTTGGTGGTCGAGGAGGTCCTGATATGAAACCACTTGACGAGGCTGGCCGTGTTTGGATCTTTGATACCCGCTCCAATACGTGGACATTCCTTGACCCTGCACCTGCTATTCCAGGTGGAAACATTGTACCTCAACCTGGCCCACGAAGCTATCACACAGCGACCTCTATCGACCGGCCCCGGGATTTCGCCCCAACACGACCTAAGGAAGCTGCGACTTGGGGTCAATGGGCCCTAGGCGATACCTCAAAGACGGGTATTCCTCAGGCTCCCATTGTTGGCAACGTAGCTGAAGATGCCAGAGACGAAGAGTCAGACGGTTACGGCACCTTCTTCATCCATGCAGGATGCCTTGCCAACGGTGAGCGGACCAACGATATTTGGGCTTTCAACGTTCGCGAGCGTACTTGGTTTGAGCTTCCTGCTGCTCCGGGACCTACTCGGGGTGGCAGTGCCATTTGTGTAAGCAAGACTCGTCTGTTCCGCTTTGGCGGTTTCGATGGCCAGAATGAACTTGGAGGACAGCTCGACTTCCTCCACCTCGAAGTTGAGACTTTTGACGATCAGGGCACCAAGGGTGAGGTCGCGGTTCGTGCCCGTGGTGGTTGGCAGACCATCCACGAGAGCGACCCTAATACCGATTCCACCGAGATTCACGCTGAGCCAGCTCAGGTCTGGCCTGAGCCACGAAGCGTAGCATCTCTGGAAACTGTTACCTCGGGTGCCGGGTACGAATATCTCGTTCTGACCATGGGCGAGCGTGACCCAAGCTCAGAGGGTCATGAAGGTGCAGGCAAGTTCCTGGGTGATGTTTGGGTGTACCAGGTGCCTCCACTGGGTATGACCGCTGCCAGCGTTACTGCTGCTATGTGGCAAGCTGTCGGTCGTAAGACAGGCGAGGGCAAGTGGACCAAGCTTGATCTTACGCCCTACGACGACGATAACAGTGATGAGATGCCTGAGCCAAGAGGCTGGCTTGCCAGTGCACCTATGGGCGAGCTTGAGGAGAGCGGCGTTCTGATCTGGGGTGGTCTTGGTGAGGACAACCAGAGACTCGGAGATGGTTGGATTTTGCGAGTAGGCGACGCCTAAGTAAAAAATTGGGATAAGTCCTTGGCTTGGATATAGTATTTCTTTTTGGCGTAACATGTTTTTGGCGATCATCACAAATGAACGGACGAATGGAACAAGAAAACCCCTATGCAGAACCAATACCTCGCGTGGTATAAGGATATTGCTGTTAACGAGAACTACACATTCTATACCAGATATAGCATTTCATGTGGTGTATGTACAATTGTGACCGCGTCCCACCCAGCACTTTTTGCCTCGTTGATTCCAAAGCATTTCTTGCCTTTAAACTAAAAAAGAGAGATAATAACGTTATAATTACAGATCCGACCTTGTGGTCTCGGTTCCCCAGGGCTCGGAAGTAAGGCTTGTGAGACCAGCACTGTTCTCGCAGTCTTTTCGGCCGCTAAGAGGGCCAGGCTTGGGAACATTGACGGCAGAGGGATCGGTAGCAGTAGCCTTGGATCGGAGGGACTTGAGAAGGTCCTTGACGGAGGCGGGGGTAAGATCCTCGTAGTAGTCGTCGTTAATCTGGATCATGGGGGCGTTGACACAAGCACCGAGGCATTCGACCTCAAGGATGGTGAAGAGACCGTCGGCGGTGGTCTGACCCTGCTCAATGCCGAGCTCCTCCTTAATGGCCTTAACGATAACATCAGAGCCACAGCCTCCAAGTTGGCAAGGGGTCTAGTGATTTCATTATTAGCTCAAACTGTAATTTTGATTCTAACAATCTTCAATGACGTCTTTTATGATTGCCACAGTTCAATGTCGAGCAATTGCCGCCAAAAAAGATATGCCCGAGGTCGGAAGACAACATACCGTAGTGCAGATCTGGACAAAGTACTTGCCCACAGGAGTTCGGTTGTACATGGTGTAGAAAGAAGCGACCTCGTACACTCGCATGGGAGGCATCTCAAGAAGACGAGCGACCTCGTTCATGACGCTAATGCTGGTGAATCCGTGCTGGCGCTGGCCGAGGTCGAGCAGAGGCATGACGGCAGCCTTCTTGTACTGGGGAGGGTATCGCTTGAGGATCTCGGCAATGACGGTCTGGTTCTTCTCGTTGAACTTAAAGGGGATGTCGGGGTTGTTGTCCTCGGTGTTTCGATGCTGTCACACGCCATAAGGTCAGACCGGTCCCCATCATCTGGAATGAAGCAATTGCGCGCCGTCTGAGCCGTATCTTCTGCAGGCGCAATTGACAGCATCAATTGAGCTACTTACCACCATGAGAGTGTCGCTTCGTCGGCTGGCTGTGAGGGAGAAGGCGGCGCGAGACTGAGGGCGGGCAGCCCGGCACGCCGGCCGGATGGCGGATCGGATGAGAGGAGTTAACTTGCTCGCCATTTTGTAATTGATTTATGTAGTTTTGAGAGCGAGCGAGGTGGGCGTCGTCGCGGGGGTGGGAGGGCTTGTGAGGCGATCGTGAGGTCGTCGGTTCCGGATCTTGTCAAAATGTCGCCGTCGTAGCGAGTATTACAATTCGACTTGGAGCTGCTTGCAAAATGAAGATCGATGATTGGTTGATTTAGCCCTCGGTTTAACCGATCTGTGGTGGGCCGTTGAGAGGTACGTATCGATCTGAACGTGGAGAGGGAGCTTCCCATCTTCGTCTCTTACAAGGCATATCCTCACATTAAACGGCCTCTTTAATCTGTGCTGTTCAGTAAATGTTTACATTTACAATGGAAAATTTCTCATCGAAATAATATGCCACGGTCACATAACCTCCAAGCTCCTTCAAGGAGCCTTCTTAGGGAACCGGGGAAACCAACAAAGAGTGTCAGGTTGAGTCGGCCATCTAAACCTGGTTAACAGAATGAGCTGTGTTTGTCCCTCTTGGACGTATGTCAGGAATGTTTACTTCAACGCGACCTCGTACTCGTCAAGCTCTATCAATACCGACGGACTTGAGTAACAGAAGCTCTGCAGTCATCCCCATTGAACGATCATATCTTTTGCCAACACATAGCATGCCGTCGTTTACGGTAGCAAAAAAGCGCGCTACAGAACGAAGCTCGCGAAATCAGTGTCACTGCATATTCCACTGTCCTTGTGCGCGATCTCTTACGCTTTTTGGTACACTTGGTTCGCAGCCCTGTTGTGGCTCACCGTGGTTTCGATAGCCTAGCCTAGCTGGCCTGAGTCTAACCTGCTGCAAAACGATGGCGGTTGGGGGATCGATATGCAGGTCAGAGATATAGGCAAACATCGTAGCATGAAACCAATTGGACGCACTCGTTCCAATAGCACAAACGGGATCCGACGCGCCGATCTCCTTGATACCTGCTCGTCAAGCAACCTACACAAGAGTTAGCTATTACTGAAATCGTCTTTGCACATGATCTTCCAGGTAGGACAACCGAGACAATGCATCGTGCTTGATAATACGGATACCGCGCAAGTGTTGCTTGACACTCGCTTCCTCACGTGCCAGAGCTAAACGACAGCGTACATGGCCAGTATAAGCTTAAAGGGTCCTGGTTTTGACGGCCCATCATCAAGATACAAGCCCGAGTCAAGGTAACGCTGTGGCCACGCATGGAAACAGAACTTCCCGCTTCATATCTGGGGAAGCACAATTGCATAGTGCGGCTAGAGGCTTGTCTCTCGTTCTGAGACATGGACAATGGATTGGGTGCCCGAGTTTCACAGCCATCCATGTTATGGTTGTTCATGCTCATAACACGGGACTGACTATCGATGAGTTAGGGTCCTGCGCCTGATAATTCACGGAAGCGGATACCTGTAACCAGCGAGTAATCTGACGACCGAGCAACTTGCAATGTTGCTGTTGCTGTTGGTTACTTGGCGAAGGCGAAGCTAGAGAGAAGTAGGAAGCCGGTTTTGTGTTTGCTGAGGTCCAGTAAGTCGGGACCTAAATTTATCTAGTCAAGCGCGATGGTTTCAAGAGGCTGAGAATTGGAGTACAGGCCGTTCTTTGGTTCATGTATATAATATCGAGCCCGTCGTATTGATAATTCAGCCATGGGTGCAATTGTCGAACCCTCGTCACTAAATTGAATTGGTGTGATCCTTCGTCTCTCGTAAGTCGACAGTCCTGGTTTGTCTCAAACATCGAATATCGAAAGACCCTTGTGGTTGACATGGAGCTAATCGAAGTTAGCATCTCAGCCCATTCACTTTAGTTCCATCGGTTGGTGTTAGCTAGCCCCTTGGGGGAAGAGCCCATATCTTAAATGAACTGCGGAAGGAGGCTTTCTTTCAGCTTGGCTTGGCTCAATAGGCAATCACGACTCCTCCTTTGAGCTGGTCTCGACTTCCATTTTCCTGACAACAAAGGAAAGTGCTTGGTTCCTTCCCTCTCGAGTCCCTCATCTCATCTCATCAATATCTTTTTCACTTCTCGGTTTGGCCTCTTACAAATTCATCAGTCGATTACATCATGCCGATTGAATCGCGCTTCTCAGTCTCAGTCCCCAACTGCTCTATACAACAATGGATCTTTGGTTCATCTTCTGGCCCTCTGCCAGACAAGAAAGCCTTTATCGATGCTGACCATCCTAAAGATTGCTACTTCACCTACGATCAAGCTCGATTACTTGCAAAGCGCATCGCTGTTGGTCTAATCGATAATGGCCTGAAACCAGGGGATCGTGTTCTTCTCTTTACCCCTAACAGCATCTTCTTCCCAACTATTGTGATGGGCATATGGATGGCTGGAGGTATCTTCACTGGCGCAAATCCTGGCTATATCGCCCGTGAACTGGCTCATCAACTCAGGGATAGTGAAGCATCTTTCATGATCTCTGCACACGGTGTCTTGAAGGTAGCACTGGATGCATCTTCGCAAGTTGGTATGAAGCCTTCTCAAGTCTTTGTGCTTGATTCGACATGGCCAGATTCTGCTATCGAGATGCAGCCCTCTGAAGGGACCAGACATTGGACGGAGCTTATTGTGGCCAAGTCAAGGGGTGAGAGCTTTGAGTGGATGGAGCCAGAAGATTCCAAGAGTTCAATCTGCAGTATAAACTACAGTTCGGGTACTGTATGTTATGTCTTAGCATCATACTTCTAGCAGGACAGCCACTAACAGGTCACAGACTGGGATACCCAAGGGTGTGGAAATATCACACTACAATCATGTCGCCAATAGTCGTGGAGTTACACTTTTCCATCAACTTCATCCGGACTTCGAGGCTCGACGAAACCATGCCGCTGCTCTATGTTTCCTTCCCATGTATCATGCCTTTAGTCAAGGCTACTTTATCACAAGTTTTCCATATGAGCGAGTTCCAGTCTACATCATGCCTTCTTTCGAGTTTCCCAAAATCCTCACTCACATCGAGACCTTTCGAATCACAAAACTTCTAGCCGTTCCTCCTATTCTAGTCCTCATTTCAAAACACCCACTTGCACGCAATGCGGACCTCAGCAGCATCGACATGATTGCGTCTGGTGCTGCTCCATTGGCGAGGGATACACAACGCGAGATAGCGGGCATGATACCCTTGGGCGAAGCTGTTGTCCGGCAAGGTTGGGGTATGACCGAGGCAACTTGTACCGCGCTGTCGTGGGACCCTAATAAGGCCCCGAGTTCTGCGGCTGGCGAATTGACGCCGGACTCTCAAGCTAGACTGGTCGACATCGAAACTGGAGACGAAATTGAAACTGCAAACACTCCTGGGGAGCTATGGATCACGGGTCCTACGGTGACGCGTGGCTACTGGCGCAATACTACCGCGACCCAAGATGCCTTTGTCATTGACACAGACGGTACTCAGTGGCTTCGCACAGGAGACGTCGCTTATGTGGAAGAGTATGCAAAGGGGGCTCTTTTTCATATTGTGGATCGTGTCAAAGAATTGATCAAGGTCAAAGGACTGCAGGTTGCTCCGGCTGAGCTCGAATCTCTTCTTCTTGAAAGAGAAGATGTTGCCGATGCCGCCGTTGTAGGGGTCATCATCAACGGGGAGGAGCTTCCACGCGCATATGTCGTTAAAACGCCAAACGGAAAGAACACATCGGAAGAAGACGTTGCAGACTGGCTAGCGAGTCGTGTTGCCAAATACAAGCAACTTAAGGGCGGCGTGGTATTTGTTGACGCTATCCCTAAAGTTCCGGTAAGTTGTTTGTCCCCTTCTCGTACTGGATATTTCAAGACCGAAACTAACATGGTGCCTTTGATAGTCAGGCAAGATCTTGAGAAAGGTGCTTCGTGAGCGAGCAAAGCGCGAAGTTAGCAACGGCCTTGAGATGCGTGCCAAGCTGTAGAACAGCGGTGGCGACGGGCGCGCATGCTAATCTTTATCGATCAAAACTGCAAGTTCATTCTGTCCAAGAAGTTTATGATCTAAGACAAGTCGATGAAGAGTAAGAGGTCACTTTTGTCATTTTGCTCAGTATCATTCGCTCCGAAGAAGTTGGACTGGAGTTCTCATACATCAATAGACTGGGCAAGGTATGGCGTATCAGAATATTTGAGTCTCATTCTCTAAGGTACAAAGACAGACAACATCATAAAACAGTACAAACGACACAGAATTCATCACTTTCGTGCTTTTAATCTCGGTGGTCAAGCTTCCTAGTGACCTAAGGGCCGAGTCTCCATCGCCATTGGGGTCAAATCAAACCAGGAAGGATAAATTCCATATATACACTTCTGGTACTGCTTCATACAGCTCATTATTGCATTTGTAACTACTCATCTGTAATAAGATGCTTATCCTAAATCCCTTCGCCGATCATCATCATAACCTCATCTAATAGCGTTGAAGGAATAGTCATGTTGGTGACCCTGTCAGCTCTGCTTTCATCAATGCAATACTGAGCTGGCAGAGTTACACCATTACTGATCCCCAATATCTCCTGGGCAACCGCGATTCCACATCTCGCCGCTACAGGCATTCCATGACCCGTATATCCAACGCTTATGTAGACGCCGCTATCTTCACCGCCTAAAGCGCTGGGTAGTTTGCCAACCCACGGGTACCCATCTCTCGAGTACCCCATGATACCGGTCCACTCGTATGTGGCTCCAAGAGAAGCATCCTCTTCTTCTCCAGATTCCTTCAGCTTTAGAGATCCATGAAGCGACTCACGCAAGCGTTTAGCAATGACTGGGTCGATCGCATCATCGCGGGAGAGGCCGACTTGGCCATCGCTTGAGCCTAGCCTCTCACCGCCAGTGATAAGTTCACCCGACGGTCTCTGGATGAGATAGTCGTCTCCTCCAACTGGCGTCCACCAAACGTGGCTATGTTCAAGTGGTGAGCTTCCGTTTGATGGGGTGAGAGCAGCAACTTGTCCACGAACAGGGACGACAAGGCCTGACAACTTGGGAAGAAGGTGTGAAGTGTAAGCATTGGTCGCTAGGACAACCTTCTTTGCTGCTATCTGACCACGAGGTGTGTGCAAAGCCCAAGAGTCTCCTATACGTTGAAGGCGGTCCACAGGCGTCTTGGTCTGAAGATTGAAAACACTAGGATCACTCTCCTCGAGAAGACGTTCAAGGACCCAGGTGACAAGCTTGTACGGCCACAGCTTAGCGGCGTTCGGTTGATAAATAGCTGCATATGCCCCAGGGACACGTAGCTTCTCTAGCTCTTCCTTGTCTGTCACGATCCTGATTTTGTCAACTAGATTAGGATGGGAGTTCCTCATCCGCTCCAGGTGCCGAGTCACAACATCCAGGATTTCCTCCGATATGCGGTGCACGCCCCCGACGGTTTCCCAGTCACAGGGGATGTTATTCTCAGAGATGAAGTTTCTGACGAAGTTGAAAGTATCCAACTCAAACTGAGCCACTGGTGCTTTGGCAGCATAGATAAGAGGTTGGCAATGGCCACCATTCTGAGAGCTTAAATCAGAGATATTGCAGTTATCCATGGTTATCGATCTGACTTACCCTTCCCGTGGCTCCCCAGCATGCCTCTCTTGCTTCAAGAAGCACGACGTTCTTACAGCCTCCTTTTACAAGCTCTCTCGCAGTAAACGTACCAGTAATGCCGCTTCCTACAACCACAACTTCAGCCGTTGGAGGGAGCTCTGCGGTACTGCGATAGCCTAAGAGCTTCTCTGAGGGTTCCTTGTGCCAGTATGAGTTTGTGCTCTCGACACTAGGCAATTGAGCTTGTCCTTCGAGCAGTGCAGGAATCATCATCTTTGCTATTAGGCAGGTAGATATTAGGGGAAAGGTTGATGTAAAAATGAAGCTGTGTCGAGATCCGTCGCTTCAGGTTGATGATATGACAAGAACTGATATAAGTCAATTCGTAAAGGTAAGTACGTAACCCCGCCTTAAACTAACGTAATGCTCGGAGGTTAGTAGTCAGATTACGTAGATCTCCAATTTTACCTATCAGATAACTAAGGTAGTAGTATATGCAAGAGAAGTAGGAATAGATAGACTGATATGACATCGTAAAGTTATAGGCTTGCTAGGCGCGAATGCATAATGACCAACATCACATATAACAGGAGCATTCGGTAGTTTGTTGTGAATTGATCATATCATATTAATGCATTTCGTCGTTAGAATCATCAACAACTATCAGATCAGCCTCCTCCATCCAGAAGCGCTTTGAATCCATGCAGCCATGCCTCGGCAGTGGGCTTTTGAAGTATCCTTCCTCCATGCTTGCTCTCAGAGCCATTACTATAATTTACAATATTCCATCCCTTATGGAGCAAATCTTGTTCTTCCAATAACTCGGTACAATGCATTCCTTGAGACAAATGTCTCGACTGGCTCTTCCACATGCTTTGCTCTGTGCTGTTTCCCCTTTCTCTGCTGAAACCTGCAGAGATATGCTGAAACTTTTGATTATTACTCCCGCCCAATATGCGCTGTAATCATAGCATGTCTAATTCCTTCCGGGGTATTTTGTACACGCAGTCCCGCTGTAGAGACGCAAAATATTCATGCCACTATGGTGAGAGGGGCACACGCTGTGCTCTCGCTCTCAGTGGCGGACAAATGAAAAGTTGGTAGATAAAAAGAGTGTGGGTTCGGGGTGGTGTCGTGTTATGCCTAGAAGCGCCGGGCTCCCGATTCGAGTGTTGTATAGCCGACTGAACAAAACGCCAGTAAACAACTCCCGCTAACGACATCCATTCCTCGTGGTATTCGTATCGTGTCGTAGTAGCAATGATGCAGGTAACATCAAAGCCCATTATGTTTTAACAAAAAGTTCCTTATTTGCAGAACTCCAGTGGTATCCAGAGTCAAATGCAGTTGGTATATCCTCGTTAAACATCAGTCATCTCAGTGTCACTGTCGCCGCCGCCCTCTGCAATGGAGATGTTGGAGACGGGGAACATCTCAGCTGGTCCCCAGTTTCCTTCATAAACAGTTGCTGGTGCGGCGCGCTGGTGGCCGATCCACTGCATGCCGTCCAGTGCAAGGACTTGGTGCACAGAAGGTCGTTCGCTGGGCTCCTGTGCTGTCATCCAACGCACAATCGAGTCGAGAGAGCTGCTGTGCATGGCATTGACCATAAAGTCGGGAGGCTGCTGCAGTTCCGATCGCTTGCAGGAGCCAAACAAGTTGCTTGGATCATGGGTCTTGCCGCTAGTGAACTCGTCACTGTGCATCCCTTCGGTGGGATTGCCAGTTGCATCTCGCTGAACCTCAATTGAGGGGTTCCAGGTGAGACTGGGCACCTCGGAGAGATCGCCGGAGCGCAGAGCGATCCAGGTGGGTCCGTTATCAGGTAGGACAACATTGGCCGCAGTCTCTAGGATAATGAGACCCAGAGAGAAGACATCGGCAGGTTGGCACGATTTGCCCTTGAGCATCTCGGGGGCCATGTACTCGCGGTCACCCTCGACATCAACACCCTCAGCAGATGAGCATGATTGAGCAAGACCAAAGTCAGCGATCTTGAGAACGCCTTCAAAGGTGACGAGAATGTTGGCCGGCTTCAGGTCCAGATGCATGAAGCCAGCATCGTGGATGTCCTTAAGACCCTAGATTTGAGTTAGTTGTGTTCAGATAGATACATGAAGAAGAAGTAGCTTACCAAGCAAAGGTCCTGAAGGATCTTGAAGATGCGGAAGTCGTCCAATCGGCCTCCCCGTCCAACGTTGCCCAAGAACTTGTCAAGGGTACCTTCCTCACAGTACTCAGTCTGGATGTACAAATGATAGTTGTGCTCCCAGTTGTCGAAGTACTGCACCACATGTTCAGAGTGGCTCAGCGCCTTGAGGATCTCAGCCTCTCGAAGCTTAGTGTCGCGATCCCTGGGCCCTTGGAAAGGCTGCTTGCTCTTCTTCACAGCATAAACCTTTCCCTTGGCAGGGCTCTTTGATCGGTCGCTGGGAGTTGCAATGAAATCGTCGAACGTCATTTGTTGTTGGTTAGTCTGAGTAACTCGGTAGACAACCGAGAACTCGCCCTTTCCAACCTGTTCAACCTTGTCAAATCGGGAGGACAGGCTTACGTCGAGGTCAACGTTGCTGGTGCGGGCATTCACAGGGGTCACCAGAAGGCTAGTTGAGGACCTCAGATCCCCTCGTCCTGCTGTTGGGGTAACAGGTGGTGGCATGTTGTCAGAATAGGAGTCACCAGCCTGCGAAATTGATAGTCGGCTGGTATCGAGCGGGAGCAAGCTCTCGCGAGGTGTCTGCGGTGTTCGTCGTCCATCAAGAGGGCTCGCTGATTGAGAAAGTTTCGATTTAGTATATGTTTGAGAAGGGGAGCTGATAGAATGACGGAAAGAAACTGTGCTTGGTGGAGAAGGAGAGTGAAGCCCCCATCGAGCCCTGGAACGGCTTAACGAAGACAGAGGAAGGTGTGAAGATGGTGAATACAAACACCCAGCTCGGAGCGGTCGACTTGACTTGTCGATTGATCCAGCTGAAGCGTTCGGTGCTGCAGAGTCCGACTTACAAGTTGCTTCTCGAGGGATAGGGTTGCCGAAAAGGGGCGTAGGGGCGTGCAAAATTCGGTTCGCGGTTGGGCTGTGGTTGTCGTGAGGACTTTCGAATGAGTGCTCGCTGACCTTACTAAGGCTGGGAGTGAGAGTGTTTTTGGTTGGAGTGGGAGGAGCATCTCCTTCCATTGGGGCCGAAAAGTCGAGGGTGTTATCATCGAAGAGCTTGTTCTCGTCGCCATCGAGACTCAGTACGCTACCGCGGCGTGCACTCCTAGAAGCACTGCCACGCTGGAAGATAGACATGCCCTTACCAGGCCTGCTGCCAAAGGGGTTAGAACTTTGACCGCCGCCATTGCTGAACGGTGTCGAGGGGATGCCGCCAAAAGAATTTCGGTTGTTACCCCTCTTCTTCATGGCACTTCCGGCTGGTGGAGGGAAAGTAGCGAAAGGGTTAGAGTGCTTCTTGCACGGTGTGTCAGGAGGTGCCATCTTCTTGTCTGCCTCCTCTTCAGGGTTTCTGTTAACCTTGGAAATGAGACCGGTAGAGTTGAAAGCGCCCACCCAGAGTTGGTTCTGGCTAGGCGTAGCCATAGCTCTAGCCATATCATTTGGGCGGGTTGGCCTTGTCGCGTTCAGAGGCAAAGAGCGTGAAAAGATATGAGGTCTAGGTCGGTCTGGCATCCTGGCCACAGGAGCATAAATGGGTGTCTCCTCATGGAGGCTGTTTCCTGAGGACGATGTGGTCAGGGTCTTGGATAGAGGATGAGGCTGATGCGTCTTGTCGCCTCCGAAAATAGGTGGCTTTGAGGTTGGCGTAGTCGATACTGGGGTGGGCTGGTAGCCCAGTTCACCACCAGTGAAAGTAGGTGGCTGTGAGGTGGGTGTAGTAGATAGTGGGTTAGGTTCATAGTCAATGTCGGTGATGAAAGTAGGTGGTTTTGAGGCGGGTGTCGTTGAAGCAAAGGGACTCTCTTGAGGAACAGAAGGAGGGACAAACTGGTCCTGAGAAAGACGTGGTCGGCTTCGGACAGGAGAATAATCAGCGCTCATCTGGGCAAGCTGTCGCTCGCCAGACCGTCTGCCCCAAGAACCCCGCTCCCCATATCTTTGTTGCAAAGTCGACTTTCGCAAAGACGATGACCTCTTAGGTACATTGCTATTTGTAGGAGTTGGTGAGGGGAGTGGGTCCCGGAATGGTGATCCAGAAGTCCCCGCAATCTCATACTCAGTGGATGAATCCTCGTGAATAAAGAAGCTCTGTGACGATGTCGTGTTGGCACCAAAAATGTTTTGGTCCTCATTCTGGCCCAGCGCCGAAATACCATGCAAGCTGCGTCTCTTAGCCACTGGGCTTCCCTGGCTCGGTTGGTCCAAATTCATCGTCGCATCACTGCGCTTCAACGATCCGTTGTTTGGACCCATCGCAAAGTCGTTGTGTCCGTCAAGGGACTTGATAAATGAGGTTGGCGAAGATCCAGGGGCGTCGAGGTGAACACTACTTCGCTTCTCGGGGCTCACGGTCAGAGGACTTGTGGCTCCCAGCGCGTTGTTTTCCTGTCCTGAAGCGTCGATAACAGAAGGCGCAGGCATCGCGGGTAGAGAGTTACCACTGTCGGGCGCGTTGTTGAGTGCCCTCTTCAAAGGGCTTCTTGGAGAAGTACGGGTTCTTGTCAACCCTCTAGAAGGCGAAGTCTTTGAAGCTTTGGCGGATCTTAAGGAAAGTCGGACGCTGGGGCGGAAAGGCGTGAATGCGGGGTGGAGAACACCGTTGTGAGGAGGTGCTGAGCGCGTATGAGACGGCAAAGGATGTTGATTTTGAGGCGTCGCGCCGAATCGACGGCAAGGCGATTGACAGGGCGACTGAGGTGAGGTTTGGTGGGGGCTCTCGGGGCTCAGCGATTGCGGGCTTGAGCGCGTCAAGAATTTGGATGGTGATCGCGAAATAGATCGACGCAACGTACGAACTGCCGAGGTAACGTCGATGTGGTGAGCGTGTGTTGGCGAAGGTAGGGCGAGTGTGCCACCACTGCTGTTCGAGAAGGACATTGTGAGGTTTCCGAGATGATGCGCGCTCGTGCTTGTCGCGAGCTTGTAAGTGGAGTAAGGCCGATGCGATGTAAACAGCAGTTTAAATCAGGCCTTGAATAATATTTCGGTGCCGCTAAAAGATAAAATAACCGGTGGGAGATGCGATAGTGAGAAAGAAAAGTCGAGACCGTTTGGTGGTTGAAAGTGGGATGCGACGAAACAATGCTGCGTTAAACGGCGAAATCGAAGATGTGAGAAGCAGCTCGACGCGATACCCTACAAATCGCAAAACGCTAAGCCAGTCTCACTCGGACGTCAGAGGTCATATCATGACTCGACAAATATATGTATAAAAATCAGAGACTGAAGAAAATAGGCAGACGTGTTGTGTCAAGCGCAGGCTGCAGTCGAGATCGGTCCAGGTCCAGATGATGATGAGTCGATAAGGCAGCAAGATAATCACGGGCCGGGATGTGAATTTTGCGTCGCGAACTAAGTAAACAAAACTTTGATAGCCGGCGAGAAAAAGTGAGGTTGTATAGAGAAGAGAGAGGTTGGTAGAAAGTTGGAACCGCTAGGTAGTTGTAGGAGTATAGTAGTCTACCTTTAGATGTGGTGCAGCGGTGTCGTGTTTCGTGCAAGTTGGATAGATTTGGGTTGGGGTGGGCGGGTTCAAGAGACGTAGAGAGACAAGAGGGTTGGGTTTAGTGGGTGGCAGTTGGGACCATGGCGCTCGCGGGCTTGTACATGGGTGTAGGCATGGGCGTGGGCAGGGGGGCTAATGGGTGGACTATGGATCCTGACACAGACTATCCGTAAAGAAGATGTAAAAGACTGCACTAAAAAGCAAATCGTCTCTCGCTTGTCTTGTCTTTCCTGCCTTTTTGTCTTTGTTTTGTGGGTTGTTTAAACAATCTCAGGCGTGTATAGTGAGGGGAAGGGACTGCGTAGGATAGGTACACTGACACCAAAAACCCTTCCTACAACACAAGTCAAGTTGGGTAGTTTTGCAATGAACGGGGTCCTGTGACTCAGATAACCAAGTCAAGAGGACAATGAGTGGTCGTGGACAAGTCAGGCTGGTATGCACTTGTCTGAGTGGTTTGGACTTGTCTAAAAGTTGGTACAGAATCGAGGGTGTGGGCAGTGGATAGTCTAGTGGGACAGCGATAGAGCCAGCGGATAGAGAGGAGGGGGAGGGACCTGTAAAGGGCGATTGATGGCTGGAAGAGGGAGAGGGTCCCTTCACTGGGGTATGACTGTGACCTGGGATTGGGATGGCGCGTGTTAAAGAAAAGGTTGGCGCAGGCTGGCAGTTTGCGGATCTTGGGTGCACGCCCCGTAAGAATGCAGTAGCGCAGTGCTGTTAGTGGAAAAGTGGTGGGGAGTTTCTGGCTGTCTAATCGCCGAATAAACTTCCTCCAGGGCGGCTTCTTCCTTCTCAATTAACAGCCCTTTGATTCTGCCAATAAATTGATTAAAAGGGAACAAAGTAAACAAACTATCATTGTCTACACCATAAAGGGTCAACAAGCGTACGTAAGTGGCAAATTCTTCACCCTCGTAACGATATCCTCCAGACAATCTCAATCTCCAAAATAAATAGAATAGAAAAAACCCTTCCTTCGTCATCTCCAAATGCGGGAAAACAACAAACTGGGGCTGAAACGCGGTTTCAGTGACGCATTTGTTTACACGACTTCCCAAATAGGAAATGTCGCGTCACAGAAAGACGCGTTTTATCCCAACAAGGGGTATGAGAATAACACAAGACAGACACTAACACTAACACGCCCCCTGTCAAGTGAAGGCTTCTTTACAAGGATAGTGCCGGGAGCTGGTCCCGTCCGTGTTCATCTCAAGCCTCTGCTACTACTCTACAGTACTGTACTGTCTGTAAGAGCTCATGGAGCTGATCCCTCTGTCTCATCGATGATGGCACGTTCATCGAGACAATCACATTCCGTTCGTCATAATCTAGATATCTCATACCCTCACCTCACCTCAACTCAACTGCCTCCTCATCGTCATAGTTCTACAGTAGTTGGGACAACGAGCTTGCCTCCGATACATAACGACGATCCGCGATCGTCAGGGAACAGCAAGTTGTTTGCCCATGGATGACGGGATATTCCCGTACATGAGCTTGGGTTTACGCTAGGACTCTCTTTGTAAGTGAGTTCCATGATGTCCATCCTTGGAAGGTAGAACCAGCAGTGTCCTGAATCCCATCTCAAACTAAGAAGCATTTCATCTCAGTCTGTAACAGAGGATTGACTATCAATCATGGACAATGCTGCCGGGAGAGGCTGACTACTTCTTACAAGTCTGGTTCTTTCAGGCGTAACAGGACCACCGCAACGCCAGTGAAGATGAAAGAGAAAATCTTCTCTAAAGACTGACATGTAAGTCGGGACGCCCTAAAGCCCTGGTTCTTCGCTTCTATCAGATACTCCACTGGGCGCATCGCAGCGCCAGTGCTCGCTCAGGGGTATTTCCGTCCATGAGGCGGCAGGTGGCCTTCAGACCTATCGTCAAGCCATTGCAAGCCACTCTTTGCGACCTTTTGACAGACCCAGGGGACTTCTTCTTCTCAGGGGGTTCCTTCGCCGGGCTGGCGGTTGGGTTTCCACATTGCTTGGGGGGGTGGCGCCCGTTGAAGACCGCGTACCTGTATCCGTACAGTATGGCATGGAATTTGGACGAGATGGGACAAGATCGTGATGAGACGGCATGAGCCATGAGGTCTTTTTTACAGCTTCTGCTGGTCTGTCATGCGGTCACAGATAGAAAGATGTATCTAACTATACAAGGTATCGACTTAGACGCTGGAGCCGCCCCGAGTCCAGTCCAGATGGGATGGCAGCTTGCAGGAAGCAAAAAGCAAGCAAGATAGGTACGGTACGATGTGATGGGGTTAGCTACCTTAGTTAGGTAGGCTTGGGGTTTGGCGTTGGGACTGGCCCGTGTCTGATGTCCACCCGTTCGCTGGTTCCCGTCTTCTTCAGACCACTCAGCGTCATGATCGTCACCCGTCAGTTGTTGATGAGCATGCTTCATCCCGGGTCCAGTTGCTCGCCTCGTACTGCCTTGCCCCGAGTATTGTATTGTAGATGTGTTGTACAGCACAGCGTGTACAACATAGACAACGTCAGCCTGGCCAAGTAAGGCATCTACTGAGATGTAGGAAGCCTTGTTCTGGGCCGGCAGATTCTCCATACCAGTTGAGAGCAGTTTGATTGTCTGGTACACTTTCAGACAGCCGCTGAATGGCCTCGGAACAGGCTAGTCATCAGGCACACATACTGTACGGTACACACCCTGAACCCCCAGGAGCATCAGGTCCTGTCCCATCCCATCTCATAAATCCCCAGGCCCCAGGTCAAGTGTATCAGCCTCCCGATGCGCCGGGCCTCCCATGACGCGCAGCAAATCTCCTCGATCAAAACAAACGAAAACGGTGGACGAACGGCCACGGGCCCCCTATTATCCCTCTTGTGCACTCCCAGAGTATCCACTCTAAGCTTACGGTGGTGATTTGTGTTAATTTGGGGTTTAAATTGTGCTCTTTATGCCAGCCCTCTCGTGTCATTTCGCTTCTTGTGAGAGAGAGACTAGAGAGTCCGGGGTGACCCCCTGCCATATGCGAGAAGTCTTCCGCACTAACATGTACAAGTCCAAACAATTCACTTCTGTGCGTTTTCGTGACTTTGTTGTTCTGCGTGTGGACGAGAAGAGTGAAAAAGCCCTGCTCTAAACTGGGACCGTTTGGCGTGTTATCGTATGTGTATCGATGTTGTTTGTTAGCCCCTGAACATGGAAGTCTAGACGTGTTATCAACTGATAACCGTAGTCGTAGTCGTAGCCGTAGTCTATTGTAGGATACGGGCAGTTAGCAATATTGACTCTCAAATCAACTACCAATCATGGCTCTTATTCGGCACATGACGGCTGCTACTGCTACTCTAGGCACTGCTCCGTGCTTCTCGATCAAACATCTAAATCGACTTACAAGTCTTACACGGATCATCATGGTCACTTACACTGGGCAGCATAAGATCTACTAGAGCCACGACTTATCCTTCATTTATCACATACACAACTGACTGACATGACAGACCATCGCACGTACATACAACTTAACTATGCTGTACATGCCCCGCGCTCGCATATTCTGTACTAGACAGGGTTATTTACAGGCTGTGCACAACATTCAAGCGTCTCCTGCTGTAAGCTAAGCAGCTAAGCAAGCCAGATTTGTTGACCGCTTGACTTGGTTGCATATTTTTATGGGACGTCCACTGCAGCTAGGAGGCTATTGAAGCACACCGCACACAACTTTAAGTCTATGGCTCTATAAAAACAAGCGAACCCCTATGCAATTCATATTGCAAAGGGTCATATAAGTAGCCTCAGGCTACACCTCAGTAATCATCCTTCGGAATAGCCTCAGCCTCAGCCCCTATCTGCGTATTCATAAATTACTTTCCTGCAAGACTAAACCGTTGTCCTGTTGTTGCGATGTTGTTGTCGTTGTTGATATGTTTATAAAAGCGTGGTGAAACGAACCAACAATTAGTTACTGCCTGCACAATTTCATTCAGCTCTGAATACTTGGAAATCGATAGTCAATGAGACGCTAAAAGGTGCGGGCATTGAGTGTACATATATTTATGTGCTCTACCGTCGCCCGTGCATAAGAGACGGTCCAGAGTTGAGCCAACCTGGAACCCAAGCGCACCGTTTTCCGAAACCGAAAACAGATACGGAGTGTAAAAAAACACCATGACGCAAAGTGGCTTGACCTGATCTGCGACAAAGTGGACTCTCGGTTACCCTACATGCACAATTCTGCGGTTCGCTGGCAATTTGGGTCTTAGGATGGGGATTTGGTCAGAAACCTGCTGGCCTCAATAACTGGCCACGCTGGCAATGCAAACGCATCCCAATGGACTCCTTGGTTGGTCAATCCCGTAGAAAATCGGCGTAGCATTGCTTCAAGTGGGCTCGACATAGAACTGGCATTGTATAGACGGAGTTCAAAGTATTTGATTGGCCAATTCATCATCACGTTCGCAAGGGAGAAAGCGAGGGGTAGCTTCAACACCAGCTGCAGTGTAGTCTTCAGGAGAAGTGAAGTCTCGTCTCATATGCACCTCCTCGCAAAGGGAGGATCGAGATGAGCGATATTTTGCATGCCATTGCAGTTGACGATCTTCAGCAAGCCATGATTATTAGTATCTCCCGATGAAGCATCTCAATCATCACGTTGGGACTTCACCAAGCCACAATCCGGGCAATAACCAGCTTATCTCCCCCCGGGTTCTCCACAAAGGCATGGCAGGGAAGAAAAAGTGAGACGGCCGAGATACCCACGATCTAGTAGAGCTCCATCTTCTCGAGATGGATCAGGCCATTTGGCGGCTAAATCTAAGTCAGTGATCAAATTCTTCAAGTGCTACTGAACGATAATGTCTCGTAGTTTCTCATCCTAATCTGGACTGGACTTGGAAAGGGGGCTAGGGGGGGTTGTGAACTTACTGGTATGAACTGTCTCAGCTTCACACCTGCCTCCCTGAACACTCGGGCTGTGTCGTTGTCCATGCTGTATGTGTGGGCGTAGACAACCTCACTGATGCCCACCTGACAAATCTTGATACTGCACGTAAGGCAGGGACACGTGTCGCAGTAAAGAATAGAGCCCTCGCGTATTCTTTCACGTCCGGCTTCCAAAAGGGCGTTTTCTTCGGCATGGATACATAGACAAGTCGACAAGCCCACTCCTGAGCTGTTGCCATCATTGCATCTAGGGCAGCCTCCGTCGGCACAATTCTGTAGTCCCCTTGGGGTTCCGTTGTAACCAGTGCTGATAACCCTGCGCTCCTTTCCTACGAGCACACATCCAACTCTGCGCTTCATGCAGTTTGAGCGTTGAGCAGCGAGGGACGCCAATTCCATAAAGTAGGTATCCCAGCACGGGCGTAGACGATCAGGATTCGGGATGTCCAACTTCCCGAGAGTAGCATACAGGTGCGCAAGGGACGATGAGGTGTTGAGAAGTCTCACCACAGCACGCGAGATAAGGGGAGACAAGCCCTTCTGAGCGTCGTACAAATGCATGTCACTCTCCGCGACAAAGTCTTCCAGACTCATGTCAGGCTCTCCCGCGTGCCTTTGTCTCGCGCGGTCTTGAAACCGGCGCCAGCGGACCGTCAATGGTGCGTCAACGGAGAGGAGCAAGAAGAAAGGCCGGCGTAGAAAGACGTCCAGAACGGCCTCTGTGGGGATGTCGGTGGTTACAAAGCGACTACGCCATCGCTTGGTGACAAAGTCGAGGAGTTCTTCGGGCGTGGAAAAGACATGCGGCGGACCAGCCCGGAGGGTCAGCGTGGTTTCAGAGGATGAGTTGTGGCCATTATTGGTGGTGAGGGCAGTTGAAGTTAGAGCGCCTTTGAAGGCTGAAGAGTCATTTGACTGGGACTCTGTGCCTTGATCATCCGATGAAGCTGAAGCTGAGTTAAGCGAGGAATTGGAAGGCGCTGTCTGCGATGGTGGCTGCAGATAGAGATGTTTGAAGCCATGGTGGTCGACCAGATATTGGGCCACCGTCTTTTTGCCGGAGCAGATACCTGAGTTGATACTGTAAGCTCATGAGCTCTTCTTGAAGAACTTTGGGATAGTTTTACTTCCGCAGACACCGATGAGCATCTTTCGAGTTGATAAGATGAGTTTATTTGAGGTTCGTTGTTTAGAGGCTGAGAATAAATAGATGAGGTTTTCCGCCTTTAGATTTCTGCATGTTCTTAACGCGTAGACTATGGATCTCTAAGCGCGTTGAATAGCCCCAATGCAGGTAGTGTGGGGTAATCTACACTGTTTGCAGCTACGTACTACCTCTGTTCTTCTAGAAGGTCGGCCGAATATAACAATTGTATGCTTCTACCTTGCAAGCGGCCGACAAGAGACTCGACTGTTTTTTTATCAGCTCATCTTACGATTTTGTGATTTCTCATCTACGATCTCGATCTAGTGTGATGGGATAAATATAGATACTATATCTGCGTTCCAGCTGTCCCGAGAAAGGGATGCTGCCGAATTTGTTTCAGACACATCAAATCTCTGCTTAACGAGATGGAGAGATTGTCACATTCTTGTATTAGATTGTGGAAATAAATCTGATACGGGGGTAACGTCTAAAGAACCCCCAATCTTGAGGAGAGGTACCGAGTGTCTGGATGCGAAGAACGTGAACCACCTGTAACTCGGGGTGATGGTAAATGATCCGACAAGGGTCTTTGTTTGTTATCGTGAACTTCAAGAATGGGATTCTGAACTTCGATTTCCTGTTGCTGGTCAATTTGGGTCATGAGGTTAATCGTTCTGTGTCCTCTCATCCATTCAAGATCGAATACCAATATCCTGATAATGCGTATATTGTTCAGAGCAGGCTAGCACCAACTACAACTACGTCAAGTTATGAGCATACTATCGGCTCAAATAAGTAAATTTTCATATTACCGTTATTTAGTATCTCCAGTTAATTATACTTTCATCGTGCATTCAATTCTTACAACTAAAACCATTGAATCCATGATAACCAAGGTTCCTACCCTAGACTTCAGCACCGAGAGCGTGGGGCAGGCGCGATAAGGCTCAACAGGGCAACTGATAAGTTAGGCTGTTCTAGCCCGAAGTACCCCGCCGTGGGGCTGCCCGGTAAGTGCCTGGGCAGGAACGGCACCTGCCTGTTTCTCTGATCGGTAACCACTACATCATCTGTCGTCTTGTGATGAGTGACCTTCTCATCAAGTGACAGCCTCACTGTGTCAGCCGTGCAACAACAGTTACTTTCACTCTTCAAGAGCTTATTAATGACCACAGCTGATTGACTTCGGTAATAACCTTTGAATCTGCATCCGTCGCAGTATTAAACCTTGTCAACGCCTGCGCCCCCCCGCCTCAGCCCTACTTCACTCACTATCTAACTACGTCGCATCCATCGTCAGCTTCATAGGCACCATCTACAACTTACAACCCGGATATCCGGCCCCCTCGTTAATATGGCGAAGCCTCTGCAGTTCGCTCCGTTCATCTCGGAGATTGAGTTGCCTTTCTATTCCGCCCTTTTTGCTTCAAAGCTTGACCACGATAAGCTTGACGACTCAGCGCGAAGTGTTCTTGGTCTATACGAACCACGATACGAAGAGCCCGAGTCCAGCTGTCGCATGCAAATTCTAGGAAATGCTCTCACAAGCAGCACGTAGGTATCTTCTTTGTTTTTCTGCGCATTTCGGGTCTGACCACGACAGAACTAATGAGCCCAGTTCACCCTTAGCGGCCATGAGAGCCGAGGGCATCATTAGAAACGTGAACACACTCGAGGATTTCAAAAATACAGACAAGGCTGCCATGCTGAAGACTGCTGGTCGACAGGTATTTCTTTCGCTCCCAAGTGTTGGATATCACTGACAGCCCAAGGTATGGGATGCGATCAAAGATGGTAGTATCTACTCTGTTCCATCCCTTCTGTCTTCCTTTGTTATACTTTCATATGCGGATCTCAAGAAGTACAAGTTCACGTACTGGTTTGCATTTCCAGCTCTACATTCAGACCCAGTATGGAAACGGTCAGGCCCAGTCGAACACTTGACCGCTCCAGAAACCAGAGCTCTTGTAGACAGAGTCGGAACTTGGAGATATAGTGTTGACGCCCGTGAGCGTGGTTTCTTCCTGGCGAAGAAGATCCCCGGACGACCGGAGACAGACGACCCCGATAGTCCCCAGGAACTCCCTTTCCACTGGGTAATCGGCTCATTGCGAGAATTTGAAACTGGATTCTTCGACCAAGTGCCCGAAGAGGACAGATACGTTGCATTTACTGACCCTTCAACCTACCCAGAGGCGCCCGGCTGGCCTCTACGCAACCTTCTAATCCTCATACGGCACCGCTTCCGCCTGACCAAGACTAAGGTTATCTGCTACCGCGACACTTGGGCAAAGAGACACGAGCCCAAGAGTGTTATTCTTCCCATTGAGATGGACCCCGTCGAGAACATGCAGATTACCGAAATGCCCAAAGTTACTGGCTGGGCTCGGTCAAGCAACGGCAAGCTTCAGGCTCAACAAGTGAACCTGGGAGATTATATGGATCCTACGCGACTCGCTGATAGCTCAGTTGATCTGAATCTGAAGCTCATGAAGTGGAGGATCGCTCCTAACCTGGACCTGGACACCATTAAAAACACAAAGTGCCTACTCCTGGGTGCTGGCACACTGGGAAGTTACGTATCGAGAAATCTGATGGGCTGGGGTGTTCGGAAAATTACTTTTGTGGATTATGGACGAGTGTCGTTCTCCAATCCTGTGCGCCAACCGTTGTTCACATTCAACGATTGTCTCGAAGGCGGAAAACCTAAAGCGCTCCGAGCGGCTGAGGCCTTGAAGGAGATTTATCCTGGTGTCGATAGCGAGGGACATTCGCTATCGGTTCCTATGCTTGGCCACCCATTTACAGACGAAACAAAAACAAAAGATGACTACCAGAAGCTAGAGAAGCTCATCAACGAGCACGACGCCATCTTCCTACTCATGGATTCGAGAGAGTCACGCTGGCTACCAACTGTTATGGGCAAGGCCGCAGGCAAGATTGTCATGAATGCTGCGCTGGGATTCGATTCGTACGTTGTTATGCGACATGGTTCCGAAAGTACTCCTGAAGGGAAAACCCCACTGGGCTGCTACTTCTGCAATGATGTTGTTGCTCCAGCAGATGTGAGTTCAACCCATTCATTGTCACGTTCACAACTAATCTTGGTTTAGTCACAAAAGGACCAGACTCTTGACCAACAGTGCACCGTCACAAGGCCTGGAGTTGCTCCAATTGCCTCTGCACTTCTCGTGGAACTTTTGACAAGTTTGTTGCAGCATCCCCTCGGTAAAGATGCGCCAGCGCCTCAGCCAGCTTCAGGAGTGACTCCAGAGAGGGACCCTCCCGATCATGCTCTAGGACTAGTTCCTCATCAAATCAGAGGTTATGCTTCTACTTTCCAGCAGATTGTCATTCGTGGCCAGTCGTACGACTGCTGTAGCGCATGCAGCCCCAAGATCCTGAACGCCTATCGCAATGATGGTTGGGGATTCGTGAAGAGGGCGTTGCAAGAGAAGGAATATGTGGCGGAGCTGTCAGGTTTGGCTGAAGTCCAGCGAAGAGCAGAGGAGATGGCCGGTCAGGTTGACTGGGAGGAAGATGATGACCTTGTTGAAGACGGTGACGGAGAACTTATTTAGAAAACTGTAAATGAGCGTATAACGATGTTTAGATGAGCATAGAGATGGATTGCTATCGCGGTTTTGTCGAAAGGGATGGACATGGCGTTACATATTTCATTTTGTCGCATTTTGTCACGATGGAGTTAATGGCGAGGGTAGTTATTATAGATTCTTATAGGGCCCAAAGAACGCTCAAAGTACCATATGGATTATTGTACCCTACGTATACTGTCAGTTTGCATATGTGTATGTTCTCTGTTATACGGGTTGTTGTCTGCCCTCATACTGGAGATAAGTCTCACAACACGTTTCCGGAACTCAATTACTATACGACAGTTCTAAATTAAACTTTCTGTCGGCAATTCTACTTCTATCATGCTAAGTTCACAACGAATTGTCGATCATGGCTCCTCCTTGGCATATGTCCGCAAACAGACATGAGGATGTCTAGTACCTGTGGGTCAACACCACGCCGAACTTGTAGATTAACGATACCGAAGGCGTCTTGAAACATGCCCGGCTTTGGTTGTTTGTTTTGTCACATTACTTTCTTTATTTACGTTGTTACCTCTATAAAACTAGTGGTTGATTGACTGTCTTTGTCCTGAGGTGATCCCGGGTTTGTGTTAGACATTCAGGTACGCATCTCAACTATCACAAGGTCCCTCCTCAACGAGCCATAATGGTTAATAAACTTCTTATCGTTGCAATCGTGGCATCTATGGTCCCCACAGTGGATGCCTTTGATCCCGCAAAAGATCGATGGTTATGCCAACAGGACAATGCCATTTGTGTCACTTCCTTTGTATGGTGCTCAACCATCAACGAGGATACATCAAAAGGATGTACATATCCCGAAAACACCTGGCCGCCCTCTATCAGTAACCATGGCAAGAACCCAGCAATGGTTCTGTGGGACAAGGAGTATACGATCAGTTGGAAGGGAACAGATTACGAGTATCCTACGCTACTTGAGTGGCACTTTGTGAGAGATACAGAGAGACCGAGCACCTCGAGTAATTTGACATGGAGCAAAGGTAAGAGCTGAAGTGCTAGTGCGAATTTGATAATACTGACGGAGAAATAGAATTCAAGAATAAGGAGCAGTCCTACACTTTCAAGTTCAGCGATCTGGCCAACGATTTCCCCAATAAAGATCACGACGATATCGATGCCGATCAAGTGAAAGCCGCTGCAAGCAACCTGATGAATGTCTGGGCCGTCTCACAACCCGACAGGCCTTACGAAGGCAAGGCCCGAGTTCACGGTAACCCCTGGATGGACAAGTCCCAGCATTTCATAGTCATGGACGACGATGTAGTGCCATATCTCGACACACAGCGTGAGATGGCCAGAAGGGGGGAAGAGAGTAACTGGGAAATGGGCGTTTTTATCGGCGTTGGCATTGGAGTACCGGTTCTTCTCGCACTTGCTTTTGTTATTGGCAGATCGACAGGTGGAAAGGGGGCGAAGAAGATATCGGGCTATAAGTCTGTTGAATCGTATCATTCGGGGTATAACTCGGCGTATCTGGGTGGTCAATAAAGATTGCCGAGAAGGTGTTTCATACGTACGATGTTGTCGATTAAGTTGTCAGGGATTTTGATCGGTAACCCCATATTGTACATGCATGGAGTAATAGATGATGTGTCTGATGCAATACCACCGCGTGTTAAGCGGGGTATTTTGATATCAAGATCAAGAACTTATATACTAGAAGAATAGACATCACATAGAGAGATAATGAACTTTATAGTTGTTGAACATATGGAATTATGCTATGTCTAAGAAATTTATCATATGTAGTCGTAGTTCGGGTGCTTAAGCACCATCGAATTGCCAATGCACCTCAACGCCTTCCAATGCTATATACAGGTCTGTGCATTGTCCCAATCGGTTCCAGTATCCAAATAGCCATGTATAAATGTTGTTATCGAGAAGTGGCACCGTCGAGTCTTGCTCGTTCGAAAATGATCAAAAGATCAGAGAGTAGTTGTTGGTTGCTCCTTTACAGTCTACCGTCGAAGGCATACTGGGCAGCGAGGGGCCAGCCAAGGATGACAGCGAAGCCAGGGAAGAAGCTGAGAAGACAGTTAGTTGATGCTGATAGATAAGAGTGTATGTGATTGTCAACTTACAAGAGAGCTTGGCTACCAACTCGCTTGAACATCTTGGCGTAATCAGGAGAAGCAGACTTCTGAGAGATGGGAAGTCGCCCAAAGGGGTGAGACTCCATAGCTCGGCCAGCGTTTCGCATAGCAGTGAGGAGAGAGAACTGGCGACGCTGAACAGTGCGGGCAGCAGATCGGACAACGATGGGAGACATGTTGATTGATTGAGTTGTTTTTGGTGAAAGAGGGAGTTGAGTTGAGTTGTATAAGTCAAAAGACTTGAAAGAATTGAGTGGTGATTTGTTGGTGAGTGGAGAGGTTGTTATTGCTCTGTTGTTTGATACTGTTGATAGTGATGAGGAGAGAAGACTACTTTGGGAACGGTAGATGCCATCTTCTTATACCAAGTAAAGATGCAGATCAATTTTTCTAGATGACTACTAACTTGGCAATTTGATTCCTTCAAACGGCGAGCTCCCAGCTTCTGCGCAGGCCGGACACATCCATAGTGGTCAGATTTCATCTGGTATGAATAGTATCATGCCACTGTTAGGTTCCCGATCCTGGGGAATTAAGGGTGTAAGATTAAGGAACCAATTAGAGTGTCTATTTTAGCATGAGTCAGCAGCACAAGCCTAAGTGCATGGCACGATTTGGACGGTTGTGGTGCGATTCTGATCGAGTCGGCGGGGACCGGTGAGGCTGGCGATTGGTCAATTGAGACATCCTGTCTACCACCCTGTTTATTCCGTCAACACCTCAATTTATCGACTGATGTTGATGACTGCCCTAAATAAAATTCTGGATCCCAAACAAAGTAATGACCTTCGCTTCGCCGCTCCCCGGAAAGGTCACGAGAGTCAAAAGATTGCTGCGAAAGAGTTTCGGCCGTGAGAAAACACCAGGGTTCGACATGATATGATAGCTGCTCTGGCCACTCACGGCCCTCTCCTGCATACCCCAAGACTCGAACGCCCTGTCACTTCTTATCACGTTCTAGCCGTGCATGGCTGAGTTGTTCCAGATTGACAGCCCAGATTCGTGGTCGCATGAGATCCCGTTCGTGGTATCCATGATCTGACTGCCGTGGTCGTCGCCGATGCCGAAGAACCAAAACACCACAGTGCTGCCATTCTTCGCCGGCGACCGAATGAGTGGTGCACTTCGGAGAATTTCATGTCTAAAAGTGGTAACACAGTCGGTTCTTGGGCCCGGTCCGAGAGACAGCCGGAGGACAACGGCACGGAGCAAAGTGGAGTTCGGAGCCGAAAGATAAGATAGTCATGTGATTAAAAACGTGACATCAGTGACAGGCATGGACCCCAGGTCCAGTTGTCAAGTCCAGCTAAGCTAAAGCACCCTGTTGGTGATACTCAATTGGCGATCGCGACAAGACGAGACAAGCACGCACGAACGAGCAATTGCTCAAGCCACTCCTTTACGATCTACTGAATGCCTCTCGTCGACCCTGTCACCATGTCCACCACTCTCGTCAAGAGCGGACCCTCTCAGCAGCCCGCGCTCAAGGCCGCGGTGCCCGCGATTCCTCTGGTCAACTCTCCTCTAGCTCTACCTGCATCAATTGCACATGCGGCACTTCTTAGTGGTCTTTTCTACTGGCGATTTGATGCCCTGGTGGCTGATCCCGTCTCGACCCTCCAGACTGGTCTTCCTGTAGTCGCTGCTATCCAGGCTGTCTACTTGATGCTGAGTCTTCCCCCCGCGGGATCTTCGTTGTCATCTAAGAAGCTGCGCCCTGGTGAGAAGAAGAAGTCTGCTGATGGACGGGAAGCAAAGGCTATTCCTGTAAGTGCCCAACTATTTGCATACATGACCGAAAACTCACGTGTTCTGCGCAGACCGCGGTTATCTCCTTGCTCCTCGCCCTCATCCTGACGCCCGCCCTCCATATCCTACTTGTCCTTTTCGGCGCGCCGTTTCTTACTCACATCCCGCACACGCTCTTGTGCTGCGCGCACATTGCTGTCCTCGCTATATACCCCGTCTTCTACGTCCGCGGTTCCGACCCCGTTCCTCTGCAGGCTGTGATTGGAGTTTCGGCACCCTTTGACCAGACCTTTGGCGGCTTCGTCGGAACCGTCGTTGGAGCGTGGCTTGGAGCCGTCCCTATCCCTCTCGATTGGGACCGCGAGTGGCAGAAGTGGCCCGTTACAATTGTTGCTGGTGCCTACCTTGGATATATCGTTGGTTCTCAGCTTTTGGGCAATGTCCTCTTTGGAAAACGCTGGGCTGTTACCCCTGAGATCAAGGAGGAATAAGCCATCAGTTCATGAGAGCTGCCATAACCAAGTTACTCAATCTTTGCGTAATAGCCAGACTGGGTATCGCATCTACCTTGATAGTTGTAGATGCCCTAGAGTATATCATGGGTTGAAAGCTATTGACATAATAGAATTACCTGTCATCACAGGTAAAGAATATAATAGTAAATCACATAAGCACTCGCAAGTTCCTCTTAATTATTACGCCCGAGACCGTTTCCACCTGCGAGCTAGTTCGGCCTCATGTTCCAAATCGACCCGCCGAGTCACTCATTGGATCGGAGTCCTGGCCTGTCACATCGGACTACGGGATCGAAGGACCAGTCTTATTCGTGCTTGCTCAGGACATGGCTACTGATCTCCTCAATATGCAGATGTAGGAGGATATCAGATACCCTGCAGATCCACGATCTGGGATCTACCCGGATCACCTCACATTACGTATGACAAGCCAAGTCGTTGTCGTGTGCCGAGGAGAGTTGTCCCTGCTGTGCCTGGAACTAGACCCGGAGGTCAACCCCGATGGCTAGTTGTAGTTCTTTATCGCATTCGTATCTCAGCTGTCTAGGTACTATGAATAGATTCTAAGAACGATAGGCTTGTAGTGTTCAGTAAGGGACTTGGCAATATGCTGTTCATGAGATTGTGCCTCCAATAATCACGACTGTTGACGGTCTTGCTGTCATATGCGATCGAGAGTGTTGATAATGAAATATCTCTCTTTGGATAAACAGTTCTAAAAACAAGTTATCGGACTGGCAGCTTGAACGGTTTCTCTGCTAGTCGATATATCATCTTGCATCAAACGAAGCTCTTGGATAGACAATGGTGCTTGGCAGCTCATATTAGGTTTCGCCATCATTCGTCAAAATACGTTTGGAACTCTTATTTCAGCGTGCTACTGGTCGAAAAGTCATTGGCAACCTCCTTAAAAAAGAGTGTCTTTGTTTGTGGTGTTAAGCACCATTACTGCAATAGAGGATATTGAAGGTAGCTTGATCGCAGCAGTTCAAGAAGAGCATTAGCTTGACTCTTGCCTATTGGATCGAGAACTAGACCGACCACTCTATTGGACGAACCGTATCAACCCGCAACCCTGCATGTCGGTAGAGATGGGCCCAAACTTTAGTTACAGTAGGTACATACAGTCAGACCCCAGATTCTCCAATTCCTGACGCTGATATCATCTTGCTCTCTGCTGATATCATAATGGCAGGTTAAACTTTGAAAAGGGCTTATTTCCATTGTGACGTTATCACGAACAACCTGCCTGTCTAGTGTTGAGCTCTAATGAAATGCTGAGAACTCTAGCAGGCAAATCTAGACTTGTCAAAATGGGGCTGCCGAGATATTCTCTCTTGGCCCTCCACTGTGAATGCCGGTGAGGCCGTGAAGCAAGGACTTGGGACTTGAGTAGATGCTTGGCACTTACGCGTAGCCTCAAATCTTCTGAAACATGTAAACGCTGAGCCTGAGCAGCAGCATTAACCAAGCAGAAAGCCAAGAGCCAAGGTTCACTCTAGTGAGAGATTGGACAAGCCACACTAGGTAAAAACCAGGTAGATTTTCAGCTTTTAGTGGGCACAGACAGCTAACTACTGTAAAAGAAGCCCGACCAGAGAGAATTCTAGTAACAATTGTGTTTCCTTTTTGGGCAGGGAAGATTGAATTGACCTTGCCGCTAGGTCTTGGGAGTCGGTAGACTCGGCATCTTGCTGTGGCTACCCAGTAACGCACTCAATCATTACGACAGTAGTGTGTCAGGTAATCTTGCTTGCCAGGCACACTGCATATCTCAATAATCTGCAACGCTCTGTCACATCGGTTACGATATCCAAGAGGCTGAGAGACAATTAACTGATTGTAAATAGTGGCTGATTGCGTATTCTTTACGATATATCGAGATTTGAAGTCAAATGAACATTGAAACGAAAAATACTCCGATAACTCAGCCACAAAGATCAACGAGTATCGATTGTCGAATCCTTTCGTCAATCTGCTGCTCGCCACAGGTGTGATGCAGCAATCCTAATCCTTCGTGGTGGTTTGTGCTCGCTCGTTCGTTATCGGGTCGGATGAGATGAGATGCTTTGCCCCAGCCACAACGACACATGCGCCTCATGACGTAGCCTAGGTATCCCCTGTCATATCTGCGACTAACACGACTCGGAAGCGCTCAAGTTTGTTGTTTGTATGTACGTACTCATAATTTTTATGGTCAGGCGGGAAAACTGACCAAGCAGGGCAGAATTTGCTTGGCCGACGACTGGCTTCTGATTGACTGCCAGTTTTACTTAGACATCGTTCCTGTGGCTTGCCCCATCCCTGTAAGTCAATGACGCAGTGCCCAGAGGAAGGTGCGGTTGAGGTTGCGCGGACATTTGGGTTTTGTCATTTGTTGCTTGGTCAGGGAAAGTTGGAAGGTGGAAGGGCCTGGGGTGATCAGGTAGGTAGGTACCTTCCTTAGGTTTGCGTGTGATGCGATGTGATGTTATGCTGTGCTTGGCTCCTGGATGACGGCGTTTGTATAAAAGACTTCGTTTCCCTCCAACCTACCACATCTTTCTTCCACCCATAACAATTCACAGTCTAACAAAGTTCTACCAACTCCTCCAACAACCTACCGCACACATTTTCGAGTAATACCTCGTCTTCAAAAACCGACAACATGCCTTTCACTGCTAGGTAAGGCAATTCCTTCCAGTATTCTCGACTTGAGCGACGACGTCATCCCGAGCGATCCGCAGTTAAGGCTGTCGCAAGATATCTCAGGATGGACTTGTCGAGCTGTTGAGAATATGGGAACAACACTGAAGGCATCGAGACATGGACTAACATTGGCTTCAGCGACATCTGCAAGATCCTCCTTGCCATCATCCTCCCTCCCGTGGGTGTCTTCCTCGAGCGTGGCTGTGGTGCCGACTTCTTCATCAACATCCTCCTCACCATTCTGGGTAAGTCACTTATTACACCGACCTCTTTTCAGCTCTCTGCATCCGGACCCTCCGCGGTGTAGGCGGCTTACGCTACCACTCAATTCTACATCCATGCGTTGCTCGGCATTTGACTAACACATTCTCAGGTTACATTCCCGGTATCATCCACGCTCTGTACATCATTCTGAAGTACTAAGCCAGGCCGCACTTGACAGCTCAGGGCTACGGCGCTTGCAAGATAGCTTAATGACTGCTGCCCCGCTCGCCAACCATTTACGACAACTGGCCAGCCATTCGCTGTTCTTGACCATGCGACACTCTGTCTAATAGCCAAGACAATGGTGACTGCCGAGTCAACCGGGCATCCGCTGTCTGCCGCCGGCCCTGTGTCTAGTTGCGCAACCTTTCCTTCGCTTTGATACCTCACGCCGATTTTACGACAGGCATGGACGCGATTTGAGTTCCTTATTTCTCTTTGTTTATTTGCGGATGGAGGCGTATGCTGGATTGGCTCTCAAAGCATAATGCATTGGGCTTTTTAGTAATTAATTCGATACCCGTCAATCCAACGTTTTCTTATCACGTAACTATTGATTGCTTGTCCTGATGATCGCATTGCATTGTGTATGATCCGAGTGTCATTTGGCCAAGTCTTCTTGGCAGACCCGCCCTGCAAGCGTCGGTAGATGAGCAGCATGGGTATGCTATTGTTGTCTCCGGTTAACGTTAACCGTTGATCATTATGTTTACCAAGGTCTTGTCAAGTTTAAGCACTACACTAATTCGAGAGCCTCAATACGCGTATTATATATTGAGTAGTCTCGGTCTTTTATGAAGGTTTGGAAAGCAGGCACAATCTGTCTTCTTTCCAACTTATCCATTGAAGTCTTCTCTGAAGGATTCAGAGTTTTCGATTGGCGAAAGGATCAATTGAATTTGGAAGCGAAGCTACGAGGGTATTTGCAGCAGATCTTTGTGGCGGTGCAGTTTATTTTCTGAGCCCAAAAGAAGGTGAATGTGGAGCTAGGTTGTCTTTAACTCTTTTATGCATATCAACTGCGACTAAATGTCCTCTGGGAACAATTGAGGAATGGTAGATAGCTAATTAGGACTTGAGCTTAAACGCTTAAACTCATATCAACTTATTGCGTTTTTTTTTAAGCCGCTGATTCGCTCAGCTAGTTGACCTGCCGAGGAGAGCTTGTGTTAACCAGGTCACGTGCTTTCGCTCCTTGTATGACGATCGTGACGCGTTGCCTCGCGTTTAGCCAACCCATGTCTTTAAACCATCACGCTCACTTTACGCCATGCCTCCAGCAGAGCCGGAAGTAATAGAAATACTTGACGATGACGGCACAGCTTCGGAGGCTGAAAATAATAGTCCCTCTGCTTCAAAATCGGCCCACAAAAGAAAACATGAAGCTAAGATAGAAGAGAAGGTCGAGTGGACAGGCGACGAGGATGATCTGCCTACGAAGCCAAAAAAGCGACGCGCCAAGCGCAAGTCAACACGAAAGAAGGGCCGAGATGATGTTGAAGTCAAGAATGAAGCCCCTAAGGAGGACTTTGAGTTGGCAGATTTGCCCCAATATCTCATCGAGCGCAGGCGAAAGTTTGATAATAAGAAGAAGCTTCACCATGACGCTGCTTTGATGGTTCCTCCAGATTATTCTGGAATTCATTTCGAAGAAACGAGGAGATTGAGAGAGTTAGAAGAGCGACCAAAGTTTCCTGAGAGTAGCGGTATCAAGCCTTCACGACCATACAAAGATATTGAGCTGCCACAATCCGCAGGTCTTATTCCGGCATCCATTGCACAGTACCTTCGAGACTACCAAGTTGCTGGTGTATCATTTCTTCACAGAAAGTTTGTCTACCAAGAAGGTGGTATACTGGGCGATGATATGGGTCTTGGAAAGACAGTACAAGTGGCTGCTTTTTTGACCGTTGCATTTGGTAAAACCGGTGATGAACGTGACGCCAAACGGTTAAGACAGATTCGCCAGTCCCCTGAAAGATGGTACCCGAGAATACTGATAATATGCCCTGGTTCTTTGATTATGAACTGGAAGAATGAGTTGGATCGTTGGGGATGGTGGCATACTGACTTGTTCCATGGATCACACAAAGAGGATGCTTTGAGCACAGCCCGTGCAGGTCTAGTCGAGATTATGATCACCACTTACGACACGTACAAGAACAGCCGGAGTTCTGTCAACTTGGTTCAATGGGATGCGGTCATAGCCGACGAATGCCATAGATTGAAAGACAGGTACTCGGAGACCACCAAGGCTCTGAACGAGATCAACGCGTTGTGTCGTATTGGCTTGACTGGCACGGCAATTCAGAACCGATACGAAGAATTATGGACACTCCTGGACTGGACCAACCCCGGTCACTTTGGAGCAATTGCTGAATGGACGCAAAGAGTAACCAAGCCATTGACTGTCGGCCAGTCTCATGATGCAACGGTGGCTCAGCTCAGCCTGGCGAGGACAACAGCCGACAAACTGGTCCACAATCTTCTGCCACAATACTTTCTTCGGCGAATGAAGTCTATCATAGCCAAGCAACTGCCCAAGAAGACTGACCGAGTTGTCTTTTGCCCCTTGACGGACCTTCAGAGGGATGCTTACGAGAACTTTCTTGACAGTGCGGATATCGAGCTTCTTCGACATCTCTCGGACCCCTGTTGTGATGGCAGTAAGAGAGGGTGGTGTTGTGATAAATTCCTTTCTAATGGAAAGCCATGGCAGAGCATCGTGTTCCCTAGCATGATGGTCCTGCAAAAGCTTGCAAACCACCTGACTCTTCTTGTACCACAGACTACTGATCTGGAGCCGAAACACGAGTCGGACCTCACCACGCTTCGAACTTGTTTGCCTGATACCTGGAAATACATCTACGATAACCGGGACCGGATTAAGAATCTGGTGAACCCCGAATTTTGTGGAAAATGGAAAGTATTGAAGAAACTGCTCAAGTTCTGGCATGCAAACGGCGATAAGGTGTTGGTCTTCTCTCACAGTGTGCGGCTTCTCCGTATTCTGCAGCATCTTTTCACCAACACGAGCTATACTGTCAGTTATCTGGATGGCTCCTTGAGTTACGAAGCGCGCCAGGAGGTTGTTGATACTTTCAACTCTGACCCGACGCAATTCGTGTTTCTCATATCAACCAAAGCTGGAGGAGTTGGTCTCAATATTACATCTGCGAATAAGGTTGTTATTGTCGACCCTCACTGGAATCCTTCTTATGACCTTCAAGCACAAGACAGAGCCTACCGTATTGGCCAGACTCGCGATGTCGAAGTCTTTCGTCTCATTTCACTTGGAACTGTCGAGGAAATCGTCTACGCGCGTCAGATCTATAAGCAGCAGCAAGCCAACATTGGCTACACTGCATCATCCGAACGTCGTTATTTCAAAGGTGTGCAGCAGGATACATCTCGGAAGGGTGAGATCTTTGGACTCGCCAATATCTTTACATACCACAACGACAGCGGCTTATTACAGGACATCGTCAACAAAACCAATATTGCCGAAGCCAAAGCGGGCGTTAATCTTGTTGATGTCAATATGGAGGAGGCAGCCAAGGACGGAGAGGATCTGGGTGTGATCAAGAATGAAGAACCAGACAGCGAGGACGGTGGCATGAGTCAACTTGCCACGATCCTGACGTCCGAGAACCAGCAGCGGATACTGGACTCTAAAAAGGCCAAAAAGCCCCACAGCGATGCGATACAAGCCATCCTCACTTCTGCCGGTGTCGAGTATACACACGACAATAGTGAGGTAATTGGGTCGTCCAAGATCGAAGAACAACTCTCGCGACGGGCAGCCATGAATTCGTACTCTACAGGCGAGGGAAACAGTGCTCTCTTCGCCGATACTGGTAACGAGCGTGGCCAAGGCTTACATGGCATATACAACCCCCCTGAAGAGGTTATGTTGCGACATTTCTGCGAGATGGCCAAGGAGTTTGGCTTTGCGAACGCAACGGAATTTGCACTTGTGGTGGAAAGCTGGACACAGGAAGCAAGGCGAAACTGTCTAGATCTATTCTACAAGAAAAGAGAAGCCAAGCTCATCCGAGAAGGGATCATCAAAGAAGAGGACGCGAAAGACGTTGCCAAAGATGAGACTCGTGATCCAGATGCAAAGGAAGAGGTCAAGGACGATGTGAAAAATGAGAAATTGGACATCAAGCCTATCCTCAAAGATGAAGATATCAAGAAGGATGATGACAAGGAGAAGGTCTTGAAGATGGAGACCGTGAAGACAGAGAGCGTCAAGACGGAGAACGTGAAGACAGAAATTGTCAGCACAAAAATGGAGGACAAGAAGAAAGTCAAGACGGAGCTTGCAGGGTCTAGTGTGCGAACCTCGATCTTCCTGTCAGATGACGATGATGATGATGAGTTGTAAGGCGTTAATGCTTTCAAATTGATACCCTTTATGTTCATAATGCATAACTCGTATTTTCAGTTCTAGCTCCCACGGTGATCAATCATACCACAGTCGTTGCCCAAATCCTCGCACATCTTTACTTGGTCAATGTTCCCAGGATATGGGGAAGAAGATTGAATCTTGCCTCTCCAACAGGTTGCGCCAGATCGATCTTCTCCCATGGTCCGGCTTCTCTCAAGGATTTGCCTGTTGATCGGCAGATTCGGCATGAACCCATGACTTGTGACCATACCAGCCCAGTGACCCCTATTCCTGTCAGAAAGTGCCCTTCCGAAAGAAGATTATTGACTCACATTGGTAGATGCGCAGAAAATAGCCGTCGCTTGGATCCATACGCACATGCTCATAAGCATACCATCGACCACCCTTCTTGAGACTCTGGTATAGAAGCTTGATATTCTTCTCAGGCTCAGGGATACTGCAGAGGCACAAAATAGTGACAATGCAATCGACGCTCTCTGGTTCGATCCGGCCGTCCCAGGCTTTTGGGTCGTTGATAGATTCAATGCCCACTGGGACAACCTCATAAACGCCATCAAGCCCGATTTCCTTCACTCGTCGTCGCAAAGTTGCTGCAGATTTCGGGTTTGGTTCGATGCCATATACACGAGTTAGACCAGTCTCTCCTTTTCTTCGTCTGAGTTCCCCATCGGCATCTTCATCGGTGTTCACTCCGACGTTGACTTTGGCAAACACATCCGCCCACATCCCGGTCCCCGCACCAATCTCAAGAACAACTCCATTGATAGGCCTCTCTACGATCTCATCTCCCATGCGGCCATTCTTCACACGTCCTTCAAGTAGTGGAATGACTTTGTTCTCTGCGCTGGCTTTCACCTGGGGACCTATAAACGCCCAAAAGTTCCCCCACCATGCCTCCTTGAATTTCGATGGTGAGAGCAAAGTACGGAAATCTCTATTCCTGATAACTTCGAGAATCGTACTAGGGAGGAAGCGCATAGCTATGCCCATGAACAGAAAAGGGTCAATGAGTTGCCATACGAGCTCATTGAGAGTTGAAAGAACAGCCATGATGGGCAATGATCTGAGCGACAAGACCTGTAAATACGTGCCAGTGGTGTGACATTCAAAAGAGGAGGGGATCGCTTTATATAGGAAGATGGGGGACTTGGACGCCCACCCGGAAGTCGGCTCTGTTTGTAAGTTTTCCGCGAGCCGGATACGGAGCCGGGCGGGGCCGAAGGCGCTTCTAATGGCATTCACCATTATCAGTATGGTCTATTCATGCCACTCATCCATGTAGCTACTGCAGGTAGGAGGGTGAATTAGTAGTAAGATATGCTGCGGCTGTTGAGCTATTAAAGATCTCCCTAACCATCCCCTGCTTGATGGCATGAGAGACCCTTCCCTCTGCTTTCCTCACTTCGTTCTCCGTGCCTTCTGAATGAGATAGCTAAGAATAAACAGAAATGAAAACGTGGGCAATGGTTTTAAGAAGCCATGCATGAAAAAGGCCTGCTCGCAATCTGCTCTACTGCAACCGTAGATATAAAAACAGATAGCATAAATTTGAAAAAAAAAAGAAGAAAAAAAAAACTTTGATAGATATAGAACTATCGCCCTCAACTGCTGAGCTTCATCGTAATAGTAGCCCTTCGAAGATCACAATACAAAGACGCCCAAACTCCAATCGTCCAATGCATTTTCTCCCCATGCTCTTTTCAGCAACCAATACCCAATTACAGCAGCTCGAAATCATCAAGCTGGTCACGGTACTTCATGATGTTCCTCTTGATCTTGCTGCCCACAGTCCATGTCACAAAGTCCTCCATGCCTCTCGTAACCAAGTAAGCAGGGTCCGTAACAGTCTCAGTTCCCACGCGTACGTGGCCCTGCTCAATCATCTTGGTCGCAGCCTGGACATTCTCGGCCATGCGCAGTCTGGTCATAAGGACGGGCAATCGGCGGCGCGCAAAGGCGCTGACGGTAACTTGGTTCTCGACGGCGGAAAGCTTGGAGGCGGAGTTAAGGATGCCCATGTCGTGGAGCTTGTTGAGGAGAAGCTCCTCGTGCTTGCGGCGGGTTGCGTTCTCGGGAGGGAGGAGAGATAGACGATGGGCGAGTTGGCGCAGAGACTGCGATTGTTAGTAAGGGTTGATGCGCTTGAGATAAGAGACACGTACACCACAGAGACGGTTGTACTTGTGATAATCCTCAGGCTTTTGGATCATGTATCGTCGCACGACGGCCTTGTCGCGATGACCACCATCGGATTTGTATGTGATGAAGTCTGTCTTTCGCAGAAGCTTCTGCTCGTGATGCTTGAGTTTTCGGACCATGATATCGGTTTCTCGACGTCGCTAGTTATTAAGGAATTATTATGAGACGTCTTGTCGTCTTTTTGTGCTTGCGTCGTCGCAGTTGCTGGTAGAGTAAATAGTTGCTGTCCCGCTATCAAAAGTTAAAGGTTCAATTTGCAGACGATAAAATCCGAGTGGAGACGCGGAATTCACCCCGCCGCATTCCGCCCCGTCGAAAAACCTCCAACGATTGAACATCACCAAAATTAGCCTCGCAACCCGCCATATTAATCGTCGGATTCAATTGCGACCGCCCAAAATGCCTCCCAGACTACCAACTCCCTCGACAGCTTCGGCTATTGCACGATCCGTCATTCGACCCTTTTCCACTACAGCCCCGGTCGCTGCCCCCCGCGAGCACAATGCCTCAGCAGGAGGTCACAACCATCGCCTTGCGAACCTCAACAACAGCAGCCATAACCGTGGTCAAGCATACAAGCCATCCCGTGGAGATGCTGCCGCTAGACTTATAGAGCGATTCAAGTCGCGATCCGCCTCGTACACACAGGAGAAGACAGCACAGATGGAATTCCTCAAGAACCAGAAGATGTCGAACGATTTCCTCAAGCAAATGCCTCGACGATGGGAGGCTGGTGATGTCTACTCGCCTCACGATTTGAGTCCTGTTGAGATGCAGAAGTGGAGGAAGAGATCAGTGCGAAACAACGATGTTGTCGATGCGCTGGGCATCAGCCCTCTCGATATGTACAAGGTGCGTTTATACGAGCAAGGCATCCTATAAACAAACACTAACTTGTCCCTAGAACTTCTCTCTTATTGAGCACTTCACGACCTCATCTGGAATGATTAACCACTCCAACCTCACCCGTCTTCGACCTGTCAACCAGCGCAAGGTGGCCAAGATGGTTCGCCGAGTCCAGGGCATGGGTATCTACCCCAGCGTGCACGCCCACCCCGAGATGCTCCGCGACCAATTCTTCCAACGCCAAAAGTAGAACAGTCGTATATAAAAAAAGAAAAAGGGAAACGACTTGTTCCTGCGCTGGCGTTCTGTTAAATGGGATGATGTCATGATCATTATTTTGTGGTCTTATGTATAACAACCTCAAACCTCTATGTAACATATTGATACACTTGTCTACATCCAACACATCTCTTGCTTTCTTTTTATGTGACATATTTTGATACACTTCAAGCTCTCATTATCCTTTTGAGCTTGTATTGGCACAGCGAATCCCTGTTAAGTCGCTTGCCCTTGGACTCGAGAGCGGCCCACGCCTCAGGATAACGCCCCTGAGCCCATGCCTTGAAATCTGCTTGTGGCTGTTGTCCTGGAAGAGCGTTGAAGGCAATGCCCAGCCTGTTTTATGTTAGTCGTGTTATTATCTCGGTAAAGGTGGTTTTTAACTTACGACATTGCATCTGGTTCGTCCCCTGTCACCGCGCTCATCCTTATCAACATATCCTGAACCTTTTCTAGCTCTCCACTACCAGCGACAGCACCGACATAGGCGTTGTAGACCGAAGCAGGGACATCTATTTCCATGCTTTCGATTCGCTTCCAGATGAGGTGGGCCTGAATTGAACCTCTTGGTGTGCGCTCAAGAGCCCAGAATACTGCTTCCAGACTTGCATAGGATGGTCCCTCTGCCGAGGCTGTAATTGATTGCCAAAAGTCCATTGCCTGACTAGTCTTGCCGCAAGATGCGTAGGCTAGCATGAGGGAAGTGTAAAGCTTAGTATTGGGTACCACGGTGGTGTCCATCTTCAGCATGTTATGGACAATCTCCAGAGACTCGTCATCAGGGCATCTTGAGAACCTCTCAAAGAAAGTGATGTATGTCTCCCGTTTAGGGTGGTAGTCGTTATTTCGATGTTGTCGCATGTGTCCGAAAACATGCGCAGCCATATCTGGACGATTTCGATCGAAGAAGGCCTCCATAAGCTGCACACGGTGTTCGAAGCTGAGGTCTTGGAAGAACTGTCGCAAAATTTGATATCCGTTCCAAGCTCTTGAAGTGCTCGTTTTGAGATCCACACAGAAGTTGGTAAAAGTCTCCTGGATAGTTTCTCGCTCTGCCGCACTGAACTGAAAAGCGTGAACTGATAATATGTCCATCACTTCATAATGCTGCTCATTCTCCAAGAATCGAATACAGAGGGCAGCGACTGTGCCAGGCTCGAGAAGTATTTGATTCTCCTCACACGTTTCGATGATATCACCGATAAGTTTGAAGTTTGGCGTCGACTGAGAAGTGAGAGTCATCACGAACTCGTTCACCAGTTGACTGAAGTCCCACCATAGATCGGGCTTGACGTGCCAGGGTTCATAGTGTGTCACTTTCTTGTATGCCGCTTGGACTCCAGGTATATAGCCCGCTTGAAGTCGCATCTCCATAAGAATAAGGTGAGACTCACCATCGAGTGGGATGCCCTTGTCAGTACCGAGTGAAAGAATCTCTTCGACTAACAACATGTCTTTCAACTCAAGTCCAGCTCGAAGAAGATTGTTGATGGTGGCCGTGTTGGGCTTGAAAGACTCATGTGAGCTTTCCATCCTGGTCATCATCTGTTCCACCTCGGGCAGACCCTTTCCGATGATAAGAATCGCCTGCAGTAAGCTATCCCAGTAGTTCTTGTCCGGCTTTTCGGAAAGCCTTTCACCTATTTCAAGGAAATATGGAATAGCCCATTCTTGGAGGTTATTGCGGGCAGCGAAGTGAGCGACCAGGGGTATAATGTGGTTGTGGCGGGTTCCAGATTCAAGGGGTTTGTCGAACCAGTACTTCGTCTCCTGAATCTGGTCTCTCTGGGCAAAGAAAGAAACCAACACACGCTGAATATGTGTTTCGAATGGATAGCCGTTCTTTGTCGCCCATTCAACGAATTCAACAAGATCCTCTCCGTGGCCTTCTTGAGCTAATCCCTGGCACATCCATAATATCGGATTTTTCGTTTTCTTTTCGCAGTGCTTCATGGCCTCGTCCTTTTTATCATAAATCATTTGGAGAGCATCCTTCGATCCACCATATAGACACAGCACATTGATATAAGTGCACCATAGTCCACCGCGAGTCGTCCAGGGCTTTTCGTGCATCACGGGATTATGGATGGCGTTCCAGAGGCCGTTCGCTAGCATGAGGTGTTCTGAAGTTCGTTCGCGAGGTCGGAGTGTGCTAAGAACATTGAGGGCCTTGGTGAGATCGGCGACCTCAATCTTTGTTTGAATAGGAAATTTTCGTTCATTCACAAGATATTCGAGTAGTCGCCTGCATTGCATTGCCTGTGTTCCGTTCAATGACCTTCGACTGGACGACTTTCCCTCAAAGAAAGACCTCCATGCTTGCACAAGCTCTTCTGTCGGTGGAGGACGTAAGTTGTCGAGCATGCGACTCCTCCATACCATAATCTTCTGCCATCCTGGTTCGAATTCGGGTTGGCGAATCTCTCTGGGTGCTTTGGCGAAGAGGGCCTCGAGGAAGTATCGCCGTGAGTAGCCATTGTTTATCGTTCTGGGTAATCGTGTTCGGCGAAGAGGAGTGGAATAGACGGCGCAAGACGGGGATCGGACTTGCTGGATAAGGACCCGTCGAGCATGGCGGGCCAATTGCGCCCTCATGATGTATTAGTCTATGTAAAAGAGGAACTGATATGATTAGCCATTGATTGGTGTCTGTCCATTTTTAATTGTCCTTACAAAAGCATGTTTGAAACGTCGCATTCACAAGTGGAAGTGGGAGGTTTCGACACAATTCGGGATCTTGGAAATCTAAATCTCCAATCGCGAAGCTGTGATTTTGGAGGTTTAACATTGCGGGATGCTTGTCGCCGATGATTATCCGATTGTGCTCAATCCGTTATCTGGCAGTATCAATTCTTGCTTTAAGAACACCCAACCCACTTCAATGGGTCTGCCATTAGGTATATCGGTAATAATAATTCTAGCTCCGACAGCTGTAACATATGAAACTATAGGGACATCTATTCTAAAGGTAGCCTGTGTTGTCACCTAATTAGGCTTTGTAATCTGTTCTACCACTGATACATGTAAGTAAAAATAGGCTCTATATCTATATCTCCGTGTTGAATGAGACAGAACAGTAAAGTACTAAGCTATCGAGCAAAGATATTAACTGGGCAATCTATTGGCTCCGAATACCTTGAGAGTTTTGCTTGTTTTTGATCAACCCAAATTCTTCAATCCATGGATCTCATCGGGCCTTCCGTAAGTAGATATCGATAGCTAAGCCAGATGTTAACAAAAAAGACCTACGTCATGAAGCTACAACAACCAAAAGCTCGCTTGAGCTTCCGATCCCTTTTCACTCTCTCACCAATGACCTCGGAGCATTAATCCACCAATCCTTCCCCTCTAGCCAGTAAACAAACTTCTCGGGTGCCTCAGCCGCATCGTTTGCCGTGACGCTCATTTGACTTCAACCGAAACATACCCCGCCCGAAGCCGCTCGTTGTTGGTGGGGGTGAGTCGAGGATGTGATGATAGATTGGGGAGCTGGAGTTTAGGAGTCACATCTCCGATGCCCTATCTTCTCTTGAGTGACTATAAAGCTCTCTTTGTCCTCCCTTGAGCCTTATATCTCAATAGATACTTATCAATAATACTTTTCACCACCACAATGCCTCTCATTCCCCAAAGCGTTAAGCCTCGTGTTATCCTGGGTCTCATGACCTTTGGACCTCCTGGCAGCGAGAAGCTCGACGCTCGTATCTTTGATTCCGAGACATTCAACAAGGCGCTCGATGTCTTCCAAGGCAAGGGTTACCATGAGATTGACACCGCCCGTATCTATGTCGGCGGTAACCAGGAGGGATGGACTGGTAAAGAGACCAACTGGAAACAGAGAGGACTCACTATGGATACGAAGGTCATGTATCCCAAGGAGCCTGGTCAAAACACTTATGACAAGGTCATTGAGTCAGTCGAGACCAGTCTGAAGGAGCTCGGGACTGACTGCATTGATGTAAGCTGAGACCGAACAAAGAAACTGCAAGCGACTAATGCAATCGTTAGCTACTGTACCTCCACCGTCCTGACCGTGGTGTTCCTTTTGCCGAGACCCTTGAGGCTATCAACAAGCTTCACAAGGATGGAAAGTTTGTCAACTTTGGTATCAGCAACTTTACTGCATACGAGGTTGCCGAGGTCGTCATGACCTGCAAGTACAACAACTGGGTCCGTCCTACTGTCTACCAGGGCATGTACAACTGCCTCACCCGTTCTATTGAGGCAGAGCTCTTTGTGGCCTGCAGAAGATACGGTCTCGATATCGTCGTTTACAACCCCATTGCTGGCGGTCTCCTGTCCGGCAAGATCAAGTCGATGGACATCAAGCCTGAGACTGGTCGATTCTCGGATCAGTCAGGAATCGGAAACGCTTACAGACAGCGATACTTCCGAGAGAGCACATTCAAGGCCCTGAATGTTATTGAGCAGGCCGTGGAGAAGAATGGCCTGACCATGCTTGAGACTGCGCTGCGATGGATGCTTCACCACTCCAAGCTCAAGATCAAGGATGGCAACGATGGAATCATTCTCGGCATGTCCAATGTGAAGCAGCTCGAGGAAAACCTAGAACTTCTTGAGAAGGGTCCTTTGCCCGACGAGGTGGTTGAGGCACTTGACCAGGCCTGGTTATACTCCAAGGCAGACACAGCCAACTACTGGCACGGGGAGTTGGAGTACACTTATGATGTCCACGAGGCTCTGTTTGGCAAGTCGGCCAAGTAAATTGGGAGTAGATAGTAATATTTAACGTTCTGACTGAAGCTCACGTGCTTTTGCCTGCCTACTTTATTTAGTGATAAGCATAACGAGTTCCTTGTATCTGATAGTGATACTGCATATGAACATGTCTTGGGATTGGGGGCGCGTGGGGAGAAAGTGAGATGGCACATGACTTTTAAGCGTCATTTTGTTGGTGTGACGCCCTTGGCATTAGGCATGATATCTGAGCGATAGAGTAGCACGCAATCAGATCTTGCAAAGATTTAGCAAGATCCATGGGTATTTGGGTCAAAACCTGTTATTGTTGTACATGTGCAGGTCTACTGTACTTTTGTAGTGACCTTTCAGTGGGGGATAAGCTTCAACCCTGTAATCTTTTATTTGCAGGCCAGCACCAATGTTGAGTACTATCTATGCCCATGGCTACCATGTTACTCAGTTGACGTTCAACGGTCGAGTCATTTAATTGGAATCTCTAACCGCGATAACCTAGCGACATGAATATTTTGAGCCAAGATCCCCTCCATCTGCAGGCCCAACTGAACGATGACGGCACCCCTAGTTCCCCCCGTGCCATCCAATTCCCCGCGCTGTTGGTCCCCTGCGAAGTTGGCCCCTGTAAAATGGGGTCTTGGGACCCGCTTGTCTCCGCCATGGACAATCCATGGCTGCTTTTCAACACCACCTTTACATACCACAGATCCAATACAACGCCTCGATTCGATAATCCCATCTCCAGAAACACCCGGTGCAGCCCCAGATCCAGCTAAGCCGTTTCACTCCTTACCGTCGTACTGTACCCTATCGTTCTTTTATATATCTGCCCTGTCCCTCCCTTTTACCTGAAATGTCTCGCCGAAATAATAGAGATCAAGAGGCTAGTCTTCTGCAAGGTCGCGATCGAGTATCCCTAGATTCGGATTCAGATTCAGATTCTTCCACTTCTTCCAGTGACGATACCACATGCGAACCGGCATCATCCTCCACTGCCAAACCAAGAACTGTTGGCGCCCGTGGCACCGCCGACCATCCGAGCGACGCTTCCGATCTTGACACGAAACGCCACGATCGCAATAAGAATACAAAGTCCAAGTCCAAGTCTGATAGCGAGTGGCTGGAGCTGGACGATATGAATCCCAATGACCAGCGTCGCCCAAACTACCATCGTCATGGCGGTGGTAAGTCTGGAGAACCCCTTCTTTTTAAGGAAGATGACCCTGAGCGCGGTCGCGCTGGCTATTCGCCTACCAGCGAAACCGGACGACGACCTAGCCAGGGATCAAGGGGATCCAGCGAGGACGATCTTCCCTATCATCCAAATGAGATAATGGGACGACCAAGTTTGAGCCGACGGTCCACGATGCGCAGCCGTAGCCCTCAAGCCGCTGCCGAAGCTGCCGCGGACTCGACCAAGCAGCGTTACACGTACGCAGGATTCTTCCTTATCGTCAGCTTAATCGCTTTCTGCGTCCAGACAGAATTGAGCGCACATATCCAGCATAACCTTGGGTGGGATAAAGCTTATTGTATGATGTTTTTCACTCACGGTTCTTGGATTGTTTTATGGCCAGTTCAACTCCTTATCCTGCGCTTCCAGAAGCGTGAAGTGCCATGGCCCGTCTTCTGGAAAAGACACAAGCATCAATTGCGCACTACTGCCATTATGATCGAGAAGCAGACCCTCGATGTATTCCACATATCGATCCGACACCGCGCTCGGCCTGTTCGTTATTTCGTTCGTTTCACCGCCATTATCACTTGCGCCTTGACTGTTGCAGGGTTGAGTTGGTACATTGCTGTTAGTCTGACCACGCCCTCGGATCTAACGGCGATCTACAACTGCTCCGCTTTCTTTGCATACGTTTTCTCTGTCCCTATACTTCACGAGCCGCTGCGTCTCGATAAATCAGTCGCTGTTCTTATTGCTATTGGTGGTGTCCTTGTTGTTGCTTATGGTGATACCAAGGAGGGAACCGAGAGTGTCGAAGCTGGAAACCGATTCTTTGGTAACCTAGTTATCGGTATTGGTTCCGTTCTGTATGGCCTTTATGAGGTTTTGTACAAGCGATATGCGTGCCCACCTGAGGGCTGCTCACCCAGTCGAGGCATGATCTTTGCCAACACGTTCGGTTCTTTGATCGGTCTTTTCACTCTTACGGTCCTCTGGATTCCTCTTCCTCTCCTCGATTGGCTGAACATTGAAAAGTTCGAGATCCCTGAAGCTTCGACCTGCTGGCTCATTCTCCTTGCTGTACTTTCCAACGCCACTTTCAGCGGATCATTCCTCGTTCTTATTTCCCTAACATCGCCTGTTCTGTCATCAGTAGCTGCGCTACTCACCATCTTCCTAGTCGCAATTGTCGATTGGTTTATTACTGGAGAGCCCCTGAGCTTTGCAGCAATTGTCGGAGGCGCAATGATTATCGTGGCCTTCTTAGGTCTGACGTGGAGTACATATCGCGAGATGAAGGAGCATGCAGCGAGGGAGCCTATTGCGGATTTCACAGACAGCGACAAGGATGGCGACATCGACAGTGACGACGACTAAATCTTTTCTTATTTACATGGCGTTTTGGGCTTGGAGGAACGGTTATGGCAGAGGTGGTGGCAGTTTGGTTCGTGTTATTCACCACATACTGCCAGTTGGCTCAGATAGACTACATGGTGCATGTAGAGGCGTTTGTTTTGGGTTTGGCTTTTTGTACAACTAGTTTCATGGCTGAAGCTTACCAAGGGCTTATAACTTGGACTGATACATGGGGACGTCGAGTGATAGACCTCGCATCCGATATAGATCATATAGATACAAATGATCACACCATCATTATGCACTCGTTTACATGACATTCAAGTCGCTCTCGTATCTTCCTGAACTTGAGGTGGTATAATGTTTGGCGGAACCAGTCCGATTTAGCTAAGACAAGCATCATGCGCCCAAGAGCGATCGTAGGTAAACCATGGATGCAATGACCTATACTTGCGCTCCATCTTCCACAGTTTGTTCCTCACTATTGCTCTGGGAGATGTCCTTCACGAAAACGCCCCCACGCTCTTCCTTCCACCCATTTGCGCCGTTGATATGCGCATCATATGAGTTCATCCCCCAAACACCCTCTGCTGGCGTGTCGCCCGTTTCAAACATTCTCAGCTTTTGCCAGCCTTGCTGCGGGATAGGTTCTAACATCTGACGCACCAATAGAGCGTACGAGGTATCGCACTCAAGCCATAGATCGGAAAGATTTACTCTTGCAAGGCTACTGCTCTCCCAAAAGTCGCGATTCTTGGGCATGAGCTGCACATAAAGGTGTTCGACAGGTGGACAGTTAGGGATAAGAAAGTCGGAAATGTGGTGAGAGAGGGGGAACGTGGCGATGTAGGAAAAGGACTTGAGGTTTTCGCAAATGACATTGAATGAAGGATCTGAGGCGTCAAATATGGCAGGGAGGAGAGTTGCTGCTGAATAGTGAAAGAATTCATATGTCGAATAGACAGGCGCGAAAGAGCCTTCGTTGATAAGAAGCGAAGTCCAGTCTCTGATGTGAAATAGGTCGCAAGGGATGCGGTTTCGTAGGCCAGAAAGCTGCGACGGTAATAGATCTGATCTTTTCTTTTGCTCGATACTGTGAGATGGTCGTGATAACGATATGACATAATAGGAACTGTTGAAAGCCCAGTAACTCGACAAGTCGACGGTTCGACTCAGAAGCGAGGCGAGGATGTCTATCGAGCTGACCAAGGTGACGCGCAAGGGGTCTATAACGTCGAATATGGTATGCCAAAGCCAGTTGTTATCCCAATGAGTCCGCGCTCTATCCTCGTCGCTTCTTGTGCTGGCAAGTTCGTTGTTATGCTGATTCTCCAGGACAGACCACATGAGATTCCAAGACACGGGCCTCTCTGGCTGATTCACCGCAGGAGGTAAGACTCCCCAGCATTGATCGTCGGCATATCGGTTCTGTCCCGATCCCCGAGGAATATCAATCAATATAGTAAAGCTCTCGGCGATTGATGCCAAGTTATTGCGCCGTATGAAACTCAGAACCTCGATCTCGGATGCGATGTCTTGTGCGACTGGTTTATAGAAACGCCAAAACGACCAGACGACATGGCGAAACAAAGAAGTTATCACAGAAGTTCTCCAAAGCCGACATACTAATGAAGCATTCTTGAGGGGCGTATCCGGTCCAGACGATACAGGTCTTGAAAGCTTGCCAGGGTCTTGATAAATGCGTCGTTGTAAATCAGGTTCAGAGTCGAGGAAGCTGAGGATATGAGCGATGAGCTCGTTGGGAAGATTCTGCATCGTCAACGCCATAAGAAAACTGCAAACATCACTTAATTTGGTGGTCACTAGAATTAAGAAATTATCAAGTTTTGCTACAGGGAAACATTTCGGAAGGAAGTTGATCAATGCGAATGCAAACTACGATCTTATGACGAACTAGGATTACCCCACGTCGGGAAGGCACGTCACCGACTCGGACTCGCTTCCTATCCCGGTCACAGACTGGAAGGTGGACAGTCTTGATTGGATGCTTTCTTGTTTGTATGCATAATTGTATTTGTTGTTTGTCGTGTAGTTATAAAGCTGGTGTTTCGAGTGTAAACACTCTTACGGAAGGTTACAGGATAATGAGTCAGCTTATTCTTTCTGCCATAACCCGCGAGGAATGAGCACATATCAAACAGACTCGGTTGTGTTTTGGCTGAAGAGATTGAGCGTAAGTGAACTTGTATTGTGAAGTAATTGCGGGTGATATTCCTAGATTCGCGGTTATAGAGTGGTCGTGTTAGTTCAGTATGCAAGCAACCACTGCCTCCTATCAATAGTTTGGCGGTCAACACAATCTCTTAGTTCATTACGTTGAATATCAATCGTCCTATACAAATAATAGCGTCAATGCTTCCATTCATAGACAAGCACAATGGTGTTGTAACTGTAGCGGAGTGAAGAGAATCGTCTTTGCGCAAGCTCCTTATCGAGGGGAATATGTACTAACACGATCAAAGGCCTATGTCAATATCGTAATTGGTCGGTATTATCTGTTTGTTCTTGGATGAGTTTGTCTTTTATCTTCATTTAGGTTCCTTCCTTGTTCCAAAATGCAAACTACACAATGCCAGGATCAAGGGTATGTTTATTTACTGAGAATAGACCTGACGTTTACAACAATACATTGCTCAAGATGTCAATACAGTGACTTCTTTACCTATGCTAGGAGTTTCTTCCTATGTTTGCATTGGACGCCGGGTAGCAGCTGCCGGCAGGTGCGTTGCAGTTGCAGCTCCAGTCGTGCCTGCTGCCTCGAGCATAGAGTGAATATTCCTAAACAAGGAGCACCTTCGAGGTTAAAGAAACCACATTGTTTGCTTCTTCGTTCTAAATACCAATCTATGCTTCTAGGTATATCATCATCCGGCCCGCGATTGCTTGTCAGAAAGCACACCCTGATTACCTGACCTTACAACACAACACGATCAACTTCAAGATGACCACCATTTTGGAGGACAAGCTGGATCAGCTCGGCCATCTTATGGATGTATCATCAGCGCAGTTTTCAAAATCTCGTGCATCAGTGCTCGAGCCTGCCTATGATGCCTACCTAAATGCCAAAAATCTGCGAGACAGAGCACCACCCCCCTCGCTCCTACACATCCTACCATCAGTCGACATCTCGATAAAGCTTTCGCGCTGCAAAAAGACAACTAAAACGACAGACTTGGAGATCACCAGAAAATCAGACCCCCTGGACGATAACTTCATGGGTTATTGCAAAGAGCAAAAGTGTGTGGTGTTCAAGGGCGAGGGCGGGTTGGTCGACAAGTTCATCGATGTCATCGAGTCTGCCGCCGGAAAGACTCAAATCGACAACGTAACCTTTGTTTTGAAAGCACCAAGCGAGATCCGAATACCATTCGGAGGTCTGGAATATGGACTCAAGTACGAAGAATTCATCCATCGTGTCGAAGTGCTCCAGTGCGCCGTGTGGATTAGAAACTCACCAAGCGGTACGGAATATGCTGCACTTACTGACTATTCGTTTGTGTGCTAACTATCTCTGAAGAACAAGACGAAGGGGGTGAACGCTTTGTCAATGCCGCCAACGCCTCACGAACTCCTCCACCAAGCACGCCTGAGTACACACCTATGTCTCCTGATGCTCAGCTCGCACACCGCACCGACCCCGAACACCAAAACTCGCCAGCTCAGGAAATGGATACTGACAGTCCTCTATCTTCATGCGGATCGTCTCTACCCCCACCCACGCCTATGGATCAAGACGAAACAGAGTCAAATAGCGATACCAGTTCATTATCACCTCCTCCCTCGGTCATCCATACTCCACCATGGCTCAGAAGTGACGACGAGGACGACAGCGACTACGATGACGACGCATAACCAGTGTTCTTTGCTTATATCAGGGTCCACCAGAGGTGAACATTCTATAAAAGCCTTCGTCGAGAGTGGAAACTGGACATTTTACCCTCAAAAGTATGGTGCTGTGGTAGGACGAACAAGCGATGGTTACGAACAGAGATCCTCCCGATAGATGGCAGAGGGCAAAGTCAATTTGATGGGTGGTAATATCAGGCATAACATACGTAGCTATTAAGCCAGAGGATTGTTTTAGGGTCGATATACTCTTCTCTTCTCGCCATTCCTGTTATCTCTTTACTTAAGAGACCGGACACAAGATCTTTTTTCACAGAGCATATAAGCATAGTCTGGATCGGGGTAACTCTAGGCAAGATATGCTAATTGACTAATTCAAATCCAAGTTCACTTTCAGATTCTTTGAAGGTAGTTGAGTATAAGCAATTAAGCTCTATGTTCATTCATGTATGTATGTGTATGTATCTAGGTAGATTATGTGTGTGTAATAAATCGTAGTCTAAACGCCAGCCAATGCCAAGTATTAAACCCATAGTTCTAAGGAGGGAAAGAATTTCTAAAATGTCCGCTATCCATGCCAATGCATCTCATAAAAGTCGTAGAGTTGCGCCGTTTACTTCTTGAGGCCACAAGCAGAGGGGTCGGCGTGGTAGACCTGGGCGTTAACGCGGCCGAGTTGAGAGCCCTGGCCACCGGTGAGGGCGTTCATGGCATCGAGGCCGATGTTGAAGCCAGAGGCAGCGTGGTCGATGGCAAGGACGTTGATCTTGCGGCCCTTGTACTCGAGGCGGTAGCAGCCACCGCAGTTGGGGGAGTTCCAGCCAGCAATGATGTTGACACCACCGACGTACTTGGTAGGGATGTTGCCCTGGGTCTTCCAGCCGTACTTGGTGATGAGACCGTTGGAGCCGTCAGAGCAAGAGACGGCGGTCATGGGGCGAGACTTGTCATCGTAGCCAGTGTCGTAGGAGACTGAAGAGTATGTTAGTTGAGTGGAGATATTGGAGTGTATGAAGATGGAACTTACCAGTGGTGGCCGAGACGGCGGAGGTAAGAGCGAGAGCAGAGAGGATACCAGTGAACTTCATGTTGACGGTTGTGGTGGTTTGTGTTTAAGTTGAAGAGGTGAAGGTAGTAGTGGTGGTGAGAGTTGTTTGGCTGGAAGCTCGAAGAGGATGAGAGTGGTTGATTGTTGATGAGAGTGATGATGAGAAGAAGTGATATTTGGAGGAGACTGAGGAGTCTTCTTATACTTGAGGTTCTCTCATAGAATTTCTAGATTTTGCATAGAGAAACGAGCCATGACATGCCATGCTACCTTGCATCTGAACTTACAGGGCAGGGAACTAGTGAGTTGAGCTAGTTACCCTGCCTTGTCCATCATCACGACACGAGCCTCGGACGATCAGCTAGACTCTACCTAGACAACTCCACATCCGAATCGAGAAATCGGCCGGGAGGCTGGAGGCAGTGACAAGACTAATCTTTCTCCATATCGTCATAGTTGTTAGCTTAGTAGAGGGTAAAGGATTTGTGTTTGCTGTCAGCTCAGCTTAGTGCCCGTATTCTGGGTTAGTGCTTGTCTTGAAAAAAGCTATTTTGAGTAGCGGGTAGAAAAGTTAATGCCGTGGCGTCAGTGGTATCGCTGTGGTCCAGACTCTAGAGGAAGAATTTCCCGTCGTACAGGGGGCTTGTCTGCCGGTCATGGCCCCCAATTTTGGGCCATTGTGGGGTAACGTTAGGTCGCTTTTGGAGGAGAAGCATCCATGGATCTCGTATTTCTTGTGAGCTTCCAAGCTAGTGTCGTCCCGTGGACAATTCAAAGTAACGTGCCTTTTGCTGGCGTTCGCTTTCGCTCTGTCACTCACTCACCCAGATTAAGGGTATCATTCATGTATGCAGGGCTGCTAATGCTTCAATGCCTTTAGTCATACGGAGTAGCCGTTAAGGGTCCAATTAGCTACACATTGACTTTAATCTGTAATTGAAATATTCTGTCATGAATATTCTATTATCATCAATGCAAAACTCTATGGTTCGATCAAGATGCCAAACCGTTGATCTCTTGATCTCATGATCTCACCGCTCAACATCTATATTTCCTAATACCGTATAGTCACGCTTCTCGATTGCGATCTCTCAAGGGTCTCGCCTGTTAAGCTTAGCCGGGGCGAGACCTGTCTTTTCTCGTATTCCTCCTTGCGTTGTCGATGCATCAGTGAATCGTCAAAAATTTGATCCTAAAAAGGAAATCATTGACATGGAACTGGCAGTGGTCTGAGCTCTATTGACGTTGTATTGCATCAAGCACAAGAACCGCAAGGTCTAGCTGAGCCCACTGTCTAACGGTAACCTCGGATAATACAAAAGTTGATAGTCTGTTGTGGTTAATGTCTTGGTTATCTTTACTATCAACAAAGCTCCGCGAATAGGAATATTTACAACATGGGGAATGTCCCCGTGGAGAACCAAAAACACGAGATTTCAGAACGTCATGGTCTCGGTGATCTTTCTTGGACAAACAAAAAGACCTCAAGCTGGAGCAAGGATCCAAGTGCCGTATATCCCGGCAATTATGGAGAGACAACACTAGATGCGATTGCCAAGGGATATCGGGTAGAAAGGTAAGTCCGACGTGGAAACCCGTGATGCACTTTGAGCATTGACATCATGGTGGTGAGAGGACGAGGACGGGGACGGGGAATTGAGTTGTTGGGGGCTTTCTAGCTGCTATTTTGGGAGAAATGGAGCTTCTGGAAGGCTCTCGTTAGCGGATTTGTCTGCTGTCTAACTGTCGGCATAGCCGGCTGGGGTCGCACGGGGCACTTTAGGCTTGAAGATGGAGAGCTACCAGCTACGTTGTATTACAGATAATGGATCTATTGAAGAGGAACAACAGAAAACAGCCAAGCATAGCTACTGTAAAGACAAGGTTCAATATCAGGATAGTCCATAAAGATATCCAAGTTGATTGATCTACAGATACGAGCCGCGGATGTAAGGACTGCGGGTCATATCATGTAGGATATCCAAGGTCGTGTAAACCGCTCAAATCATCTGTCAAAGAATTGGCGATCAATCATAAAGAGTATACAAACGTGAAGAGTTGTGTATATTTACTACCCTCTGATAAGATCATGACAGTATTGAGTGGTTGTCTTCCCACTTACAAGTCAGACAAGCTGAGCCCGCCTTGTAAATGTAACCAAGGATAGAAAAGTGGTACAGTTCAGTTCGTATCCGCGAGCTATAATAGCATCTGATATGCATAATATTTCAGATAAGATAATAACATCAGTCTTCCACACTCTTACAAGGGCCGTGCCTTGCTTACTCCCATGCATGATACTGATTTTAGCACTCAGACTCAGAGTCTCAGAGGATCTGTTGAGGCTTGAGCATCCTAATCTCACTGAGAAAAGACTCTCTCTTATCGGCCAATAGATAAAATCTCTACCCCACCGCAGTTGTTCTGGACTTGAGTATTTTACCCCGCCAACTGCGCTGCGCTCTGCCCATATCGTGTCGTGTCGTCGATAGCAAAATTTCCACAAAATGCCTTACAAAAACGAATGTTTTCTTTCTTTCCTACAGCGGGGAGCTCCGTCATCGGCGGTGACTTCAGTATCAGTCACTCGAAATATTGAACAAATCCCACTATCGGCAGGATCCACGCGCCATTGGATCTTCCAATTCTTCTTGATGTGACTTTTAGTTTCGTATGTGAATTCTTGGGAGTTTCTTTTGTGAAAAGCAATCAGTTTTTGGGTTGAAACCAGCCCCATCTTGATTCGCGCGCCATTGGACCCTCTCTTTGCTTGCTTGTCTCAAAACTTTGCTCTCCTTCAAGTTCCGAATTTCGGCATAGTCTATAAACAAGACGCAGAAGCAGAAGCAGTAGCAGCCATGGAATCTTTTATTATCAAGACCCCCTGCTCAAGCGCAAACATTGGCCCCGGCTTCGATGTCATCGGTCTGGCCTTGTCCGTCTACCTCGAGCTTCACGTCACCATCGACCGGTCAAAGACAAAGTCCGAGCACCCGCTCAACTGCAAAATCACATACGAGGGTGAGGGAGAGGATGAGATAAGCCTTGACCCCCAGGTCAACCTTCTGACCCGTGTTGCTCTCTACGTCTTGCGTTGCAATGACCAGCGAGCTTTCCCCGTTGAGACGCATATTCACATCAAGAATCCCATTCCTCTAGGTCGTGGTCTGGGTAGCTCTGGTGCTGCTGTCGTTGCTGGTGTTGCTCTTGGCAAGGAAGTTGGAGGTCTAAAGCACCTCGATAATGACCGTCTATTCGACTACTGTCTCATGATTGGTAAAGACTGTTCCCATGATGCGGTGTTGACCCCAGACTAACCCCAATTCCAGAGAGACATCCTGACAATGTCGGAGCTGCCCTCTACGGAGGCTTCGTCGGAACCTACCTCAAGCCCTTGACCCCCGAAGACGTTGCCCGTACAGAGATTCCTCTCAGTGAGGTTCTTCCTGCGCCAGCTGGAGGAGAGGATACTGGAAAGAAGCCCCCAGCTCCTCCTCATGGAATTGGTCACCATATCAAGTTCCCCTGGGCCAAGGAGATCAAGGCTGTTGCTATCATCCCTGATTTCCAGGTTGCTACACATGCTGCGCGAGGAGTTCTACCTGCGAACTACACTCGCCCCGATGTGGTACGTTGAATGTTCGGGTCAGCAGTCAAGATGAAGCTAACGAGTGATCTAGGTCTTCAACTTACAGCGAATCGCTCTTCTGCCCGTCGCCCTCGGCCAGTCCCCTCCCGACCCTGAGCTCATCCACCTTGCCATGCAAGACAAGATCCACCAACCCTACCGCCAGACTCTGATCCCCGGCCTCACCGAGATCGTCGAGACCATGTCCCCCAAGACCGACGAAGGCTTCCTCGGTGTGTGCCTTTCCGGTGCCGGTCCTACCATCCTTGCCCTAGCTACACATAATTTCGAGGCCATCGCCGACAAGATCATTGCTAAGCTCCGAGAACACAACGAGAAGAAGGATCTTTCTTGCCAATGGAAGGTGCTGGAGCCTGCTGAGGGCACCCATGTCGTTCGATCATAATGGTATAAATAATGAGAAAGAGGGAGATAGAACAGCCGCATATGGTCACGATTACTTGTAGATCGTAGATGGAATTCAACGATCCTGCTTTTTTGGCAGAAGACATCGACGACTCTACCTCTGATCTTTTCAGAGATTTAGCGGAAGATATCAGCTTAGAGCGGTAGAATTACCAAGCAGAGGTCGAACTACAACTCCAGTATAGGTATTATTAGACAGGTTCAATAAGGTTAGGAGGCTATAGTATCAGTAAATGTGTATTTCGTTACTGGTACTATAACCTTGTGGCCCCATTGGACCTGTGTGCTGATACATACACTGGAATTGTCGTTCGACCTCTGCTTGGTTATTCTATCGCTCTTGAAAATCTCGGAATGAAGAGGAAAAGGACATAGACGGTTGGGTCTGGAAACAGAACATCTGGGACGAAGAAACGAAAATAGCGCGATAAAATAAATATATCCCTTTACTAATTGAATGCTCATGGGCGAAAACTATAGAAGGTCAATCATTTCACACAGCTTTCCAGTATCGGATTTGCTGTGTGTTTATTAGCCATTACAATGATATCTACTTATCGGAATAGGTATCTCAAAATGCGAATGTCTATACAAGAGGAAAACATACTCAAATATAGGCAGCGATTATTTCACAGAGTCCAATGCTCGTGAGGTATTTGTGGTGAGGATTGCAAATCATGGTGCTTCTGCAGGGTAGATACGTTGACATTTGTATACACGAGCAAGACTTTGATCATCTTGTTATTGATGAGATTGTACCAAATGGTGCTTCATCTAAGGAATTAGCTCAAACAATGACTAGCAGACTATTCCTCTATTTGTTGTCTGATATAAACATCTGTATTGAGTTGGCGATGTTTATTGGTGGTCTGAACAAACCATCACTTTCTGGTGTATGTGATTGACCAAAACACAACTGACCAGGACTCCAATTAACTTCATTTGCCGGCAATTGAATGAATGAAATACCGTCATCTTTTGCCATGAGGGGAAAGGTTCCACCGATTTCGGGTTTCTTTACTCTCGTTGATGAGCCGAACCGTCGGCTTTCTCCAATTGCAACATGGAGTGTCGCTGTAAACTACCCCGAAGACCGAGGTTTGGGGTTGGAGAGTGCTTATAATACATGATGTCCTCACCAAACCCCTCACGCGTTTGCAATTCCTCTTTATTACTCATTCGATTGTTTCATATAATTCACAGCAAACATGTCTTCTCCTCCGCCAAAGGGTATCTACGTGCCCGTCCCCACGTTCTTCGCCTCCAAGAAGACTGCCAACTACAACGCCACCACTCCGCCTGTCGATGTCGAAACTCAGGTCGCTCAAGCTGTTTACCTGGCTAAGAATGGTATCAAGGGCGTAGTTGTTCTCGGTACTACAGGCGAGGCTGTGCATATTCACCCCAAGGATCGCCATGCTATTCTTAGTGGTGTAAAGGCTGGTCTGGAGAAGGAGGGTTTCAAAGACTATCCTATCATTGCGGGAACTGCGACGAATAGTGTTGAGGAGACTGTTGAGCAACTAAAGGATGCTCACAAGTCTGGCGCTCAATGGGGTCTGACTCTTGTGCCTGGATACAATGCTTCGGCTGTTACGCAGGAGGGTCTCGTTCAGTGGTTCACTGCTGTTGCTGACCAGAGTCCTATTCCTGTTATGATGTAAGTTGTTACGTCCTGTCACCAGAGGCGCTTACTGACCATCGTTCAGTTACCACTACCCCGGAGTATCAAATAACGTCAAGGTCGCAGTATCGACCTACGTTACTCTCGCAAAGCACCCCAACATCGTCGGCTGCAAGCTCTCCCACGGCGACGTCTCAGTCGCTGCCCAAATCGCCTCCAACCCATCCATCGACCACGAGCACTTCCACGCCTACACAGGTCTCGGCCAACAACTGCTGCCAGTAGTTTCCGTAGGCTTTGCGGGCGCCATTGATGGTTCCGCTGGTTTCTTCCCCAAGTCTCTGGTACGACTTTACGAGTTGTCGGCAAAGACGCAGCCTACGGATGCCGAGATCCAGGAGCGAAGGGTTCTGCAGTTCAAGGTGAGCTCGATGGAAGAGCTCGTGGTCAAGTTTGGTACTGTCGGTATCAAGGAGGCTACCAGCAGACTCAGAGGATTCGGAGATGCTGATGGCACGAGATTGCCGTTGGTTGGAGGTATTCCTGGTGGTGATGCTGAGTGGGCTAAGTGGAAGGAAGTTATCGAGGCAGTGGATGAGGTTGAGAAGTCGCTATAAGCAGATGAGAAGCATTAAAATAGAACTATGAACTGTCAGTATTCGATCTAGCAGTCATTCAGATGTGAATGGATCATACCTTCTAATAAACCGAAGTTGGGAGTATTGCGCCTCTCCCAAGACGATGGGTGCTACAGGCGTAATAGCAAGACATCTTTTCAACAACAACCGGGCGAATGACACGCCCTTAGCATAGATGGTTTACTATAGGTCATTTAATAAGTAAGTGTTATCAGAGAAGTCAGCATGTCTCTTACCGCTTACCTATTACTCCCAATGCAAGTTAACGTTTTCCGTGTGAATGGTGCAGAAATCAGATAGCTCCGCTGACGTGTGACAGACGCAGTCAGTCAGCTTGCAGTATCTCGCTATATCTTTACTATAGATGCATTTATCCTGATGTGGCACAACCAATGATATAAGTAGTTATCCGATGCCAATGCGCGAAATTATGAAACCGAGAATCATAAACTTTCTCTTATACCTACTACAGTAACTTATTGCCATGAAGGAACCTTAAAAAGATAGTGTCTTCTAGCAGTACATTCCCTAGATAACCCCTAACGCCCAACGCTCGGCCGAGTCCCCACCAAAACTTGCCTCGGTTCCGTCTAACATTAACCTCACACAAGTTTAGTGAGTTGCAAAAGACTCATTGAGATTTTCCCAAGAGGCAAATCCACGGCATCTTCGGCAACTATCAATCTCTCAGAGAAGTTGTCAGATTTTGTGTTGAGGGAATTTGCGCGTCTGGCGGTACAAATACGGTGAAAGCCCATCCTTTCCCCTTTACCCCTGTCTCTCTCCCCAACGATTGTCGCATCGCAAAAACACCAGCAAAACGACCATCATGGCTGGCGCAGCAAAGAAGATGTTTGGCCTCTCGCAGGTTGTTACTGTGGTTATGCCTCTTGTTCTAGGCTCAGCTGGTTATGCTGCTTACAAGATCAACTGGGTTCCTCTACTCAGAGATTTCCTCACAGGACCTGGCCGGACATCGCGGATCTTGTTGCTCTTCTTTATCGTCTTCAACTGGAAGAGCATGCCTCTTGCTTGGACTGTAAGTCTCATCACATTCCCTGATACCGAAAAAGGTTTCTAACATCCTGTAGTACCGCGTCTTCCACACTATAATCTTCCACAGCTTCTGGCGCAAATCACCAATTCTCGGCCCCGATGCTCTCTTCAAACCCATGATCTCAACCTCGCACGCGCCTCTTCTCGAAATAGACTACAACTTACACAAATCCAATTCGACATACTTTGCCGACCTCGATGTTTCCCGATCCCATCTCGTTACATATCTCTGCCGCGCTTCTTACATGACTCTCGCCAACAACACCAAGACCAAGCTTGTGCTGGACCCAAAGACCGATAAGCCCATCAATGGCACCGTGAGCATCATCCTGGGCTCTGTAGCTTGTAGTTTCAAGCGCGAGATTCCTGCGTACAAGAACTTTGAGATGTGGAGTCGTATTCTTTGCTGGGACCGCAAGTGGTTGTACATCGTCACTCATTACATCCCCAAGGGCGCCGCTAAGCCTACATCGTGGCTCGACCCTACGTTCAAGGATGCTTCTACGCGAGGTCCTGGGGACCGAACTACTGGATGGGAGAAGAGGATCTATGCGACCGCCATCAGCAAGTATGTCTTCAAGATCGGGCGCTTCACTGTGAACCCGGCTATTATGCTTGGCGGCGCCTCTGGTCTCCTGCCCGAGCGCCCTGGAGGTTGGACTTCTGGACCCGACCAACTTGGAGACATGTCTGTCGACCTTTCCGACGTTGATTTGGATGTTCCAGGAGAATGGGATTGGCGACGAGTTGAGGCGCAACGACGAAAGGGGGTTGAGTACGCAAAGCACTTCCAGGAACTTGATACACTCCATGAATTGTTCGATGGCGGTAACGAAGGCGCCTTGGGCAAGTTTGCCCCTTAGAGAGCGCTTTAATAGATCGATGACTAGACAGAGCGTGTAGAAGCTAGTAGATGGGCTAGACTAATGACCGGTCTTGGATAGTGTAGTTCCATAGACGAGAGAGGATACCTTGCTTGGATCGATATCACGAATACTTTGAATGAATTTACGTTGCGAAGAGTTTAGACAGACTAATGAAGAATATTACACGATAATGGTTTATGCATATCTATCATAGTGCCAGCCAACATACAAGTGACTAAGTAATGCTACTCATAATACCTTGGTCAACGATCACACTTTGGTGTCAGTCTTCTCTCAAGATGACTTTATGCCGTCCCTGTGTACTAGGTAGTCAATCTATACACATACTTACTCCAAGATACCTACACCACGTTTGTCATAAAAGTAAGAATGCCCTACTTTATCATATCAAACGAGATGCATAACTCACAATAGCCCTATGCAGATAAGCTACTGTCGTACAAGGCCTCCAGTAGCGTGAGGGATAGACTTTGTGAATCATCATAGTGCCTGCCAGGTGCCAGCAAGTGTAAGGTCCTGACACTCGCTCCCCCTTATTCATCTGCCACTGCCACCCGTCGAGCAGTTAAAAATTTAAATTCTATTCGATTCTCTGGCTGGATCAGAGACTATAACTTTCAAGAATTTAGCAAAAAACCATTTGCTTTTTCCATCCTCAATTCTCTACACCATCTGCTACAACGCCATCTACAAAAGAACCATCAAACTCAAACATCTCTGGTGACACTCGCCTCAAGAGTCCCTTTCTGAAAGATGACTCTCTTCAACTACTTGAAAAACCGTATGTAACCCCCTGAGCATACAGGCCAGCTCAAGCAATATCTGACTTCAGATGCAGGACTGGCACGAGTCTTGGATGCATCACTCGATCAGTATCCCGGTATCGAGCTGAGTGACGCCGACAAGGTAGAGATCCTGTCTTCTTGGGTAAGTTGTGTCTTTTGCTTACTTTTCTTTGGAAGTAACTCTAACGCTCGTTGCAGGATGCTGAAGTGTCCAAGACCTGTGTTTCTGTACAGGAGATCTTCAGTGCTATGGATGTTATCAAGATTGTCATCGAAATAATTGATGAAGAGCAGAAAGACATTGAACAGTACTATGCTGGGCACAGCATTCAGTACCATATGGCCTACTTGCTCGAACTGGACGAGAATCTCTGGGAATTGTATTGGGCGGTGATTGCTTTTACAGTACAGGTCGAAGATCGCGACCGAGTTCTTCGAGAACTGGACGAAGCCTTTTGGTTTGAAATTTCCTACAACCTTCATGGATCTTCGCTCTCTTCTTAGGATTCTTTTTGGGGGGCTTTGAGAGTTAGAACAGATAACATCTTCTGGTCTCTTGGTACAGAGATACGACTCACATGTATACGGCCGATAACTACCTCGACTGAGATCCTAGCTATTGCACTGGCTGCAAATCTCTTGGTGCTGCGAGATTATGAGAATGGACTAGACTAAGCTGGGGAGGAGAGTTCCATGCCTGAAAAGATAGGCAGTCTAAAGAACAAGACAAGACACAAACTCTACTCAAACTGCCTCGCTCTTCACTACCCATGACCATGCTACAACCACAAGTGACCTCCCTCGTAGACCGACAAGTGATTCCACCAAACATCAGTAGAGAAATGCCATTCCATGCCAATTTGTGGAGTCAAAGAAGACAAACCTCGGGACCAGCCAAGACCCTTGTTAACCCAAACGCGGAGAAAACATGATTGTCGAAGAGAAATGTCACCAAGTTGCATGAAAACATTCCGTCCATGATGCATCGTTCCCCTGTTGTCCGGAATCTTTTCCGCCTGAACTACCTAAAATGGGCGCGACAAGGGTCGAGATGGAGGGTTGACCCACTGCCGACGAGGACGAGGATGTAGTTGATGGCTTGTGATTGATGCAGCTTCAAACCCAGTCTAAGCACTTCAGGCATGTTCTCTTCAGCCATCGTTACTGTCGATAATACAACAGCTATACCCGAGTTACCCATCATGTTCAACTCCTCTCCTCTCCTCGACCATAAACAACTATGGAGGCTTCAGGCGCAGACAAGGGCTTCTTCCAGAAACCGCCGGTTCTGAACAACCAGTTCTACGACGATGTGACATTCCAAAGGTGCTTTAAACGTAAGTACACTTTACTGCCGATCTTACCGGACATATTGTGCTAACTTTATTAGTGTTCCTCCCCAAACATATCATCCGACAAGTCGAAGCTGAAGTGGCTGCCCTTGGAGACGACGTTTTATCCGACGAGATCTTTGCCTGGATCACAGATGCCGAACGAAACAAGCCATATATCAAAGGCTCAGGCCGCGATGTATTTGGTCAGTGGAAAGGAGATCTAGTTACTGGTGAAGGATGGCGCGGCCTTCAGAACTTTGGTCTATCCAGAGGGTAAGATCCTGAATCTGCACACTCGGTCGTGGTTACTAACTCATCATAGGTTTGTTGCAGCAGGATACGATACTGAGTACGGCCCTTTCGCTAGAGCATATCAGTTCTTGCGAATTCAGCTTTGGACACCATCGGGCGCCAATGTTGGTTGTCCTTCTGCTATGCAAGATGGCGCTGCCCGACTTCTACAGACACACCTCAACGACCCGGCGCTCTCTAGCAAGTTAACCGACGCACAACGACAAGTGTTTGAGAACGCCTTCAAGCACCTTATTGCGAGAGATCCCGCCTACGCATGGACCAGTGGACAGTGGATGACTGAGAGAACAGGGGGTAGTGATGTATCGTTGACCGAGACCACAGCAACACAGCTTCCTACTTCTGAGCGCGGACTTGCCTCGAAGGCTGAGAACATCCCATTGGGACCGTGGAGTATCAGCGGCTTCAAGTGGTTCTCCTCAGCAACAGACTCAAATATGACCGTTCTTCTCGCCCGTACTTCAAAAGGCGGCCTCTCAACCTTCCTCGCACCAATGTACAAGCACGACCCCCAAGCTACGACCGCTACTGGCGCACCCAAAGCCGACGGCGGCAAGAGACTAAACGGTGTACGGATTCAAAGACTAAAGAACAAATCTGGCACTCAATCGCTCCCTACCGCGGAACTAGTCCTCGAGGACATGCGGGCTTGGCTTATAGGCCAAGAAGGCCGCGGCATCCAAGAGATTGCCAATGTCTTGACATTGACTAGAGTTCACTCTGCAGTTGCGGCAGTAGGATATCTGGGAAGAGGAATTGCTATTGCGAGGGCATATGCTCAGGTGCGAGAGGTTGGCGCAGGAAGGGGTGCTCGAATGAAACTCACAGAGAGCGCGCTACACATGCGGACTCTCTCCAAGATATCATGCGAATATAGGGGACTCATGCTGATCACTATGTTCACATCTTATACTCTAGGAGTCTTTGAGCACGGCGCTCCTCCGAATTCGACCCTATCGCCAGCCCTTGAGGCATTGACCCCTTTTTCAAGCCATGCCGGCCCCCTGATCCGAGTTCTGACCCAGCTCACTAAGGCCTACGTCTGCAAAGCATCCGTCCAACTACTCTTTTCATGCATGGAATGCCTCGGTGGCGTTGGGTATCTCGCCAACGAAGAACAGGAGTATCTCAACATCGCTCGACTTCACCGCGATTGCGCCGTGCTGCCCATATGGGAGGGCACTACCGATGTGCTGAGTACCGACTTCCTACGAGCACTCAAGCACCCCAAGCGTGGACAAGAAGCTCTCGACGCTCTCGAATCGTTTGTGAAAAGGGGCACCGGTTTTAAGGGGAAATCACCCCGACCCGAAGGCTGGAACCCGTTGGAGGCTTGGAAAGCATTGAGGAAGCGGATTGAGGGAGAGCCTCTGGCGGATTTGATGGGTGATGCTAGAGAAGTTCTCTGGGCTGTTGCCGATATAATAGTATCAATACTGCTTTTCGTCGATGCCGGAAGCGATGGCGATAAACTCTCGCTAGACATCTTCTTACGCTTCCTAGAAGCAAGACATGATCCGGCAAAGCGAGAGAAAGTATCAGCCAAGGAGCAGCTTAGAAGGGATACCGGGGTTGTGTATGGAAGCACTACGAGCGGCATGTCGCCTAGGCTCTGATTTCTCGTTCTGTCATTGGCAAGTTTCTTTGGCTTGAAAGCACGCACACAAGTAGTTTCTACAGCAATTGCAAGTATGAGTTATTCTTTGAAACGGCCGACTTAAATCTCCGTCCCGACAATGGGCTACATTAAAGTAAGAAGTGATAAGAATACAAAAACGAGAAAATCATAGCAGTCAAGGTATTTCCGAGCCAATTGGTCCATTGTTCCCAACTCAAAGATTACATTTGCCCTTCAGGTTCTTCGCCTTAAGCGTAGCCTTCTTGCATGATGAAGCACCAGAATGCTTATCCCCAAATAGCACTGTTCCCTTTTTGCTTGTTGCAGTCTTGGAACAGGAGTTGAAAGAGCTTGCGCCATCGCGATGAAGAAGAGTGTTGCTACCGCTCTTCTTCAAAGTCCAAGACTCGAAGCCGGGTGTGGGATCAACACATTTGACCTCGCCACTGGGGTTCAAGAAACAGGCATTGAATGCGCTATCTCTCAGGATCTTTTGAGAGTTGGATAGATCAATGCAGTAGAAGCCATTGGTAGTTCCAGCATTGAGAAGCAAGTTGCCATTGCTGTTTTGTTGGACTGTAGCACCGCTGGCTACGTCTTGTAATGTGAAGCAGCAGTGACCATCGAAGACAGTATCCCGAGGGAGTACTGCAGCGGTGGCCAAAGTGCAGAAGAGTGTGATCAGAGAGAATGACTTCATCTTGAAGTGTTGAATGATAGTACGGTGTGTACTGTGGGTATCTTGGATGATTAAATAGAGTAAAGGATTGATTGAGGCCAGCTCAAATTGTTCAAAGATGGTCGTAGAGAATCTGATTACAGCAGTTATCACGAAGGATATCACTTACCTTTTATAATGGCTTAAGCCATCACTTCACCGGCTCATCGAGGTGAGACTCCTCACGATCAGCACAAATAAGCCCATTCAAAGGCATCCAACCGAAGGGCACAAATGCATGTTGGGCCCAAAGGATCGAGTCACGATAGTGATAGTAAGCGGGGAGTAACATTGATGAGTGAGTGAAATAAAAGTCGGTCGTGATGTCCCGTGCAGTGTGATTCAAATGATGGACGTGACGATTGCCATTGGGAGTCGTGAGGTTTCGCGCTATAGGACGAGGATAACTAGGGCCCTCTCAGGGAGCGAATGGCCTGTCAGGAACAGCCGCGAACTAGTTAGCAGAGTGACACCCATTGATGCAGTTGGTTGTGATTGTCGTTCATGCTATGGACTCTTAAATGCAAGGCACAGTCACATGTGGGTGACAGACCAGGGTATGTCTTTTTCTATTGTACACCGCAGAATTGAAAAGCCAAAAAGTAGAAGATGGCTTCATTGAGTGCATCCAGCCAAAAGCCAAAAGCTGCATGGGGAGATGATCAAGTTAAAGATTGGCTGTGATTCAAGATGCATGATCCTAGTGACAACTCGTTAACGAACCAATAAGAAGGAGAGGGCGGATCTGTCACTCCAACGCTCGATAGATCACGTGAATCAGTGCTTCCGTCGGTTATCGGCGGACGCCTCGGGCTTAACACACCGTTTCTAACGTCTGCCTCAAAGAGGAACCGTTTTCTCCATAACGTCACGATCTAGACTCTCTTCACCTCGACCTTCTACACTCGTGATCCTTGGATACGATGAATTCTTATGAATTTGGCTTATCCTTGATGGTATAAATATATCCTAGAATTCTCTCACTTTTGCTGATTCAACGTTGGTCTTCATCTTTTTTTCCTTCTTATCATAAGCAGCCTCATCTGACTCAAGCATTCCTCTTCTCTAGCTCCTCTACGTTTTCCCCGACCTGCCTATTCAGACTACGGCATGTCCACCGTTTCTTACCACTCCCACTCATAAGACGATTTCCACCTTTTCAAAAAGAAAAGGCCCAACACTTCGATACCAAATCTAGCTCTGCCTCATCTCTTGTTTTCTGATACTCGGCACAGAAAACATGGCTGAGGAACACACCATGTCCAACGAGGAGTGGGAGGAGGTCTCTCAAGACATCCCCTCACTCTCCGAACCTCACCTCCAGCAGTATCTTACAGGCCGCGCAAACCTGATAAGCCAAGAGAAAAAGTCTCGTTCGGATGCTTCTTTTAGGGCATCTCTCTCACCTATTGCGCAGCGCGCCTGTGACATTGTTGACCGCATCCGTGATCAAGAAAATGACAAGGTCTGGACTCCTCAAGTTGAGGAGGAGCTCGCCCAATCTCGGAATGAGCGCATCTTCCCAGGAATGATGTTCATGCTCGCAAAAGACCGCATGGAGAAGACTAACCTGTGGAAGATCGTTCGCCGTATGCCAAAGGGTGCTCTGCTTCACGCCCACATGGATGCCATGGTCAACTTTGACTTTCTCTTCGATCAGCTTCTCAGTCTTCCAGGCATGCACATTAGCAGCGATCAACCCCTGAACACTGATAACTCCAGGGAGGATGCAACTCCCAGCTTCCGATACAGGAAGCAGACTGACGCTGAGACATCCATCTGGGATGAGAATTACAAGCCCGGCACATTCGCTCTATTGACAAAGGCAGCTGATGAGTTCCCAAATGGTGGAAGAACCGGTTTCCTCAAGTGGCTCAAGGGCAGATGCACTCTCTCCGTTACAGACAGCCACGAGCAACATCACGGTATTGATGCCATCTGGGAAAAATTTGTCAAGTGTTTCATGGTTTGTGCTACCATCATTCACTACGAACCCATGTATCGAGCGTTCCTTCGAAAGCTCATGGAGACCCTCAAAGACGACGGTGTGAACTGGGCTGAGCTTCGGTAAGTAAAAATCTACACAATTCCAAATATTTTTCTAACAATTACAGTATCACTTGGCCACTTAACTACTGCCGTGATCAGCAAGAAGAGCCCGAGAAGGACTACATTCACATGTTTGAGACTCTTCAAGAAGAGATTAACAACTTCAAGAAATCACCCGAAGGAAAGGGTTTCTGGGGTCTCACCACCATCTGGACATCTCTACGCAGCTGGCCTACTCGCTTGATCGTTGAGAACATGGACTGCTGTATCGCCACCAAGATAGAATTCCCTGAACTTATCGCTGGCTACGACCTGGTCGGGCCCGAGGATCTGGGTCGACCCCTATCCGACGTTCTCCCCGAGCTGTTCTGGTTCCGTAAGCAGTGTGCTATGGAAGGCGTCAACCTCCCTTTCTTCTTCCATGCTGGAGAGACACTTGGCGACGGTACTGACACCGACTCCAATGTTTTTGATGCGATCCTATTGGGAACCCGACGTATTGGTCATGGATTCAGTCTTTTCAAGCACCCCCTTCTCATCGATATGGTCAAGGAGAAGCGCATTCTTATCGAGTCATGCCCCATCTCCAACGAAGTCCTCCGCCTCACTGGCTCTGTAACAGCCCATCCCCTGCCAGCTCTCCTGGCCCGTGGCGTCGCTTGCAGTCTGTGTAACGATGATCCCGCTATGCTCGGGCAAGACACAGCCGGCATGTCGCACGACTTTTTCCAGGCCCTCCAAGGGTGGAAGAACCTTGGTCTCGCAGGCCTCGGCAGTCTAGCCGAGAACAGTGTCCGATGGGCTGCCTTTGAGAACCAGAACCAGACCGAGTGGATGGAGGGCATCAAGCAGGCTAGCCTGGGTGGCACCCTCAAGGCCAAGAGGATGCAAGAGTGGCAGATCGAGTGGGAGAAGTTCTGTCTCTGGATTGTCGAGGAGTTTGGAGACGAATTCGGCGATGAGGCAAAGGAAGGTGCCGAGGAAAAGGCAAAGACCGCCGATGCTTAGAGATACGCATTTACGACGAGACGATAGATCGGGGTTTCAGAAAAGGAAAACGGGGTGCATAACGGCGTTGCATACTGAGATTTGAGACATGTTCAACACGGACGGGTCAGAAGGATTCAACCACTGTCTTCGATGTGAGGCCATCGCCTTTGAGGATTTAAGAACATCCTCGCGGGCAGCACAGAGTGCCACTTTCTCACGTCTTTAGGTTTACAGAAGATCCCCTTATCATAAAGGGGCATTGGATCAAGAGATCACTTTGTACCTAGTTCTTCTCCAAGGATAAAGACTTGGCTACCAAGGAAGAGATAATTAGAAAATACTTTATACACTACTTTGCCTTCTCTGCAACTTGACGATCGTTAATTTCTTACACGGCAAGCGAAAAGTATTCTCGGCGCCGACACCCAAGCATTTTCGCTAGCCTCAATGTTCTACGTTAACGCGCAGCATGTTTAAGACGCTTGAGAAAGAAGAGCGAAGTTTTATTTATGAATACATAATAGTGAAGAGTAAAGATTGCAAAATGAGCCGCATCTGTTGCCTCGTCGCGACCAGCACCAACACGTGTGAACCCAGCACAGCCGCAGAAATACAAACGAAAGTACACGGACCATCTAAGCCATAAAGAACGTTAGTCAACAAGAGAGTAACACATGATTCGATACAACAACATGGAAAGAAAGTCTATCTTAGTCCCGTCATATTCTCACTCGAAGATTCTTACTCTCAAAATTGAACACTCAGCCACTGGCGAAAGGTTTGGGGCTGAACATTGACACGAGAGCTTGCATTGATGAGATCGTTCAAGGTCGCCTGACTAAAGTCGTATCGTCCTTCAACGGTAGCTTTGAGCTGCTGATAAAACACGACTTTGGAAGAATCGCCCTGTTGATAGTAGGCGGTTGCAAGTCGAGCAGGGTCTGCGGCCTGCCACTGGGAAAGCTGGAAAGGGGCTGGACTGTTAGCGTAAACGCTTCTTGAGAGGGTTGTTGTAAATTACCATTCAAAGCTCTTGAACATTGACCAACAACATCACGAACTGACAGTCGATCACCTCGCATGGTCAACTCACGAGGCCAGTTTGCAGGACCCAGATCAATAGCTGCGACCACAAACTGAGCCAAATCATAAATAGATGTCATGCATACTCGGACGGTATGTCCTCGGGCGTTTTTCTCCACGTACTCGGCCGTGTAAGAGTTCATATCAACCAAATAAGATCCCGGCATGTACAGGTAGGACCCGTAACCAATGGATACACCTCCGAGTCCGTCAGCAAGGAACCTCTCCATGAATATTCCGCAAGAGAAGACAGTCCACTTCATCTGAGAGGATCTTGCCCAGCGTCTCAAAAGTTGTCTTGCTTGGTGAGAGTAAGGTTTAAGCTCATCATTTTCAGGACGTTTTTCGATTGACCCTTCGAATTCGGATGGAACAAAGAATTGTACACCGTTTCGAGCGGCGGCATTGATTAGGTTGAGTTGCTCGTTGCCTGAGAAGGTGCATATGACGAGATTGACTCCATGAAGTGCGAATGGGAGGGTGTCTTCGTCGTTATAATCAACAACTTGGACTTGAACATCAAGCGCTTCGTACTCAGGGTGTTGCTATCTTGTTAGAAATATCATGTATGCGAGGACAACACTTACAGAACGCGATAGAACGACAACTTGGTAGGCGTTAGCTGCTTGAGAAAGTTGACTAGCCAGGAGATAACCAAGGCCAGAACCTCCAGCAATAGCGATACGCATCATTCCGTTGAAATAGAGTAGAAGTTAAATTGAATCTAACAAAACGGTGCTATTAAGATAAGAGACACCTGTGTACAGGATGTACGAGAAGCAAAGAATAGTAAGTGATGACTGAGGTTAAAATGGAGGAACCTGACGGCTCCTAAATAGCTTCTTCTCTAAGCATTGGAGCGTAGTGTCCATGGAGCATGAGCAGAGCCTCAAAGCTTGGACAAACAAACTATGGCTGGTATGTTGAGAACAATTAAGACTGGCCAAGTTCAAGTTGGCTCATCGGTGAGGCCTCAGTCATAGGCAGACTCTAGACAAGCAGGAAACTCCGGTATGAGTCTTAGGCTAAGAGCCGCAACTGGCTGTCAATAACTTGCCGTGAAGTTGGCAATTAACGAATACCGGCACGTAGTCTCACATCTGATACTTCGGCCCGTTAGGATTGTTGTTCCGGACCTCCTGTGCATCACAAAGGCAGAGTGTATCTTAGTTTCTGCTTCAGGTAATAGGTCCGCATTAGTCTTCAAAGGCCATGTGAGGTCAAGGGTCCGTGAAAAACGGATGCCTAACAGGGTCAAGGGATAAGAGGTGTGATCAGATACTTGGTATAACATGAACTCCAGAGTCTCAGATTGGCTAACTGAACTTGTAGCAACAGGATATCTGGGGCCCTTGAGAGTCTGTTTGGTCCAACCTCACAACGCACAAAGGCAGTGCAAGTTGAATCACAGTTCGAACATGATCACATGAAACTAGCTTGGGATGTCTTGAGGTAACCTCTGAGAGGAAGTCATCCGTATGGTAGTTGCAGCAGGGCTGTGTTTCTCCTCACTGTGGATATGAACGACTAGTTCTCGAGGAAACTCGATGCAAAATCATGGAATTCTCAACAACGCCAAAGTGATATGTCATTGAAGCACCAACCAGTTGAGATTATCCTCAATGGTCACCCTCTTCCTCGATTGTTACGCCACAGTTGTAATGCATGAGTATGCGTCAGGCATCTGTCATGGTATCAACGCAATGAACCAATCCTTGAGCTAGCCCATGAAAGATGGAGTGTTCGAGCATGAGACATTTATCAAGACCCTACTAAGCCTGCACAAACACACAAAATGCATCGTGAACTCAAAGAAGATGCAGAATTGCAGGGGCACATAGAGGTTTCTGTGTGCGCATATGCGAATAGGAAGCCAGAGAGCTCACCCTTGAACTGCATTGCATCGGAGAAGCCGTCATTGGCTTTTCAAGATGCACAATTCCAGGCTCCCCTGGTGCTAACAAGGCAGAAGAGACTGCAGCCTGAATTTGAAGAGACACTGTAACGAGGCTCTGATCCACGGGGGGCAACAGTAGAATGTAGATCATAAACTCCAAGGGTTCAGATTGGAGGTTGGGGGCCAAAAACCCTGGCCCATCAGTGGTTGAGCTAATGCAGCAACCCCATGCTTGAGCTCCGTAGGGCTGACTGGGGTTTATATGAGTGGCGAGCAATTGGGCTTATCGATTGGCTGTTGTAGATGTTGATACGGGAGGGAGACGATTCTTTGATCCAACGTCTTTTCGATATCGGTGTGGCGCCGGTGACCTGCATGGCACAGCACAGCCATTTTCGAGAACGTCTGCACATGACTTCCATTACAGTAAGAGAACAGCGGCGATCAGGGGTATGTTGATCGGAATTGGTCACGAATGACCCAGATTGCCGGGGCCGTTATAGGTGGTGATCAGCAATCGGAGTTGATGTTGGTGTTGAAGATCAAGTTGTAGGGAGCCAAGTAACGTTGAATCAAAGTTTTCAAGCACCTCCCTATAGAGGGAGCCAACTCCTTCCTTTTACACCCTCAAGGGCAGTTCCCGTTGCTCCTTCTGCGGGTTCTTGGACTTTCCTTCCCAACATGGGCATTGTCTCTCATGGAATTGTTCTAGAGGGTAGGCACGTCTGGGCGCTTACCTCGGCATGGATTCGAAACCCTCCTTCCTCCCTGTCTTACTTCGATCATAGAACATGGATGAATTCCTTCACGGGGGTGACTTCCCCATGGGTAGTTAAACTAAAGAGCTTGTCTTTGATAAACTTGAGCTTAAGAAGTGAGTGGGCCAGATCGGGCAGCCAAGAATGTTAGTTCACTTTCAGGCTCAAAGATTACATTGTCTCATACTGCTTTTGGCAAGTATCAGTGTGTCTTTCTCACTTAAACAACGCAACTCTAGAGTAGTATCCGCCCAGATCTCTTTACTGACACCGAGGTTTCAGGGTGACACGTCCATCTTTTTTCATATTCACGATGATGTCTTAGTGATGTCTAAGTTATGTATTGCCAGAGTATGTAGGGCTGGCGGGAAATGAAACATATTCTAGGCTTCCGCGCCCCGTATAATGATCTCACTGTCGGGTCTTTGAAAGAGTTATTCAATAAGATTATCAAAGGGTTTCAAAGCGTTTGAAAGAGCTGAAATAGGTTTGCATAGAACAAGTGAGCTCATAACCAGTTCAAGCTCGCCATTTCAATCATATTCTAACTGTCTAAGCCTGAAGCGCAGTTTCATCCCTCGCACTACCACTTCCTTTCCTCCAAGCTTCAGTATGATCAACCTTCTTCTTAGCTACACTTTCAGAGCCCTCAGCTCCCCAAGCACCTCCTCCAGGCGTGCAAATAATAATACGATCTCCAGCCTTCATCGAAGCTGTGTTCTTGGCACCCATGTTAATCCGTCTCTCCTCATACTCCACCTCGCCCGCGTCCTCCTTGGTATGAAACTGCTTCAGGGATGTCTCCCAGTTTGCCTTTTCAACGTTTCTAACCCAGAGATTTAGACCGCATTCTCCGTCGCCGCCTCCATTTAGGCCGTAAGGGCGGTAGACGCGGCGCTCGCTGAGGATGGAGACTTGGAGAGGAATGCGGAACTCGATGTCGCGGATGACACCGTCACCACCGCGATGTTGACCTCGACCTCCTGAACCGGAGCGGATGGAGAATTCGCGAAGAAGCACGGGGTATCGTCTCTCGAAGATCTCTGAATCTGTGATGCGAGTGTTGGTCATGTGGCAGTGAACACCGCTTGTACCCTCCCAGTCAGATCCTGCACCACTTCCACCAGCAATCGTCTCGTAATAACCGAAGCCCTTGACTGCTTCGGCTCCATCTTGGTTGCCGCCAAATCCGAATGTCAGATTGTTACAACAGCCCTGACTGGCAGCGCACGCCTGGAAAGCCTTGAAAATGACATCCGTGATACGCTGACTAGTAAGCACGTTTCCTCCAACGACAGCTGCACCGGGAGAAGGCGATAAGATAGACTTTGGAGGAATCTTGACGTGAATAGGTTTCAAGCATCCCTGATTCAGAGGGATATCCTCCGAGATAAGACATCGTAGACAGTAGATGATAGCACTGAATGTGATGGCTTGTGGTGCATTGATGTTACCGTAAACCTCAGGTCCAGTACCAGCGAAATCGAATTCGGCTTCTCCCTTTTCCGGGTCGATTCGGATCTTCAGTCTAATAGGAGAACCATCATCCATAAAGTCGACTGATGAAAGATCTTTGCCTTCAAATCGCTTATGCACGTCCTTGAGTAGTTGACGCACACATTGCTCGGCGTTGTTCTGGATGTGGACCATGTAAAACTGTACTGTCTCTTCGCCATACTCGGCAATTAGAGTCTCGATCAACGAGATACCCTTCTGGTTGGCAGATACCTGGGCTCTCAAGTCGTTGATGTTGTCAGCCAAACAACGAGTTCCACTGCATCCAGGGTATTTGGCAGGCTCTTCATAGAACAGCTCTACCACTCGCTTCTCGTTGAACTTGCCCCCACTGACAAGCTTCTCACTCCTGATAGAAGCACCCTCTTGGTACAGCTCTCGTGAGTGAGGAGGCATGCTGCCTGCACTGATACCACCAATATCAGCATGATGAGCTCTCGAGGCAGCATAGAAGAGGATGTTTTCTCCCTTCTCATCAAAAGCCGGCATCAACAGAGTCACATCGGGAAGGTGAGTTCCTCCGTACGAAGGATGGTTAGAGATGATGACATCGCCCTTCTCCAACTTTCCTTTCCAGATCTCTGCCTGGCGTCGAACACATGTGGACATTGAGCCGAGATGCACGGGCAGATGGGGAGCATTGGCTACGAGGCCACCGGTTGCGTCGAATATAGCACAAGAAAAGTCGAGTCTCTCTTTGACATTTGTACTAACGCTGGTCTTTTGTAGGGCACGACCCATCTGCTCAGCAATAGCCATGAAACGATGGCCGAAGATGCTCAGCATGATAGGGTCTACCTCCCGATCAGCAGACGCCTTAGCAGACCTGAGTTCTTGTCAGTCTCGACTACACTTCTCAGGATGGTAAAGAACTTACTCAGACTTTTTGCCCTCCTTCTCCAAGTTGATGACTACATGAGTCTTGAGGATAATCGCCGTTGCTTTTGGTGTTACTACAATCGTCTGTGTACCGTCCGCAAGCATGGCAGGTCCAGGAATGGAATCGCCAACTTCAAGATCCTCAAGCTTGAAAATTGGAGTTTCCTTTCTACCACCCTCAAAGTAAACCTGTTGACTGTTGAGCTTCTTCTTATCAGAGACTTCCTGCTGCTTGAGATCTTTGAGCTGCTTATCCACTGTATCGTCCTGGTGTCGGAAACTCTTGCCGATACCGCGGACACGGACATCATCGATAATGATATCCCGCTCATCCAGTGTAAAGCCAAATTCGTATCTGTGCTGCTTAACAAAAGCTTGCCCAAAGTCCCATTCTTTCCCATCAAAGTGTTCCTTGGCTTCCTCTGGTGTTGGTCTGACTATCATGAGAGCTGATTCAGTACCACGGTATCTCATGTTGAGATACTCTTCAAAGGCTATTTCATCTTCTTGGAATCCTTGGTCCTGCAACGACTTTCGAGATTGATCCTTGAGCTTCTCCATCTTCTTCTTCAGTTCGTTGACTGTACTGTCGCCATCCTTCCATACCAAAGAGTCAGGCTCCTGTCGCTCATCTACAACGTCTGCAAGAGCCATTCCATAGGCGGAGAGTACTGAGGAGTATCGATGGACCAGAATTTGCTGAATGCCGAGGGACTCTGCAATGGCGACAGCATGCTGACCACCTGCACCTCCAAAAGTAGCAAGTCGATGCTTAGAAGAATCATGACCCTTGGCTTCAGTGATGGATCGAATAGGCCGAGTCATCGTTTCATTTGCAACAGTCAGGAATCCATATGCCACTTCATCAGCTGACAGGTTCTTGTCACTCTCCCGGTTGACCTGATCAGCCAATTCTTGGAGGACCTTTCTGCTAGCTTCAATATCCAGTCCCTCGTCTTCATTCTCTCCAAAGATCTTGGGGAAGAACTCAGGAAGTAGGCGGCCAAGAACCAGGTTAGCATCAGTGACTGTGGCCGGTCCTCCCTTGCGATAACACGCAGGACCAGGGTGAGCGCCTGCAGACTCGGGTCCGACGACGAAAAGACCATTTCTGAAGAAGAGACGAGATCCGCCACCTGCTGCAACAGTGTTGATATCCAGTTGGGGAGATTGAATGGTTACACCGGCAGTTGTCGTTTCAAAGACGTGCTCATATCGTCCTTCGCCGTATCTCGAAACATCCGTACTAGTACCGCCCTACGACAGTCAGATCCTGTTCCATTGTTCAGCGATTGCGACAAACTTACCATATCGAAACCAATAACCGGAGTCTTCGTTTCTTCATCATATGAAGTTATCGCATATCCCACCACACCTCCAGCAGGACCAGACAAGATTGCCTTCAAGCCAGTGAACTTTTCCACATCGACCAGACCGCCATCACTCTGCATAAACTCACATCTTGCTCCCTTGGCACCCTTTTCTTCTTTCACGCTGCGGGTTCCAAGGCCCCCTTCGAATCCAGCCTGGAAACCATCGATATACTTGCGAATGGCCGGTGTGAGATACGCATCGGCACATACAGATGTAGCTCGAGACACCAACTTGATCATAGGCATAAGCTCATGGCTGAGTGAGATGTGCTGAAACCCGATGTCTTTGGCTACACGACCAATTAAAGCCTCGTGGTCGGGGTAAGTATAGCCGTGCATGAGACACACAGCGATACTGCGAATGCCTTGATCGTAAACATCCTTGAGTTTTGACCGAACATCTTCTTCCTCAGCTCGTTTAAGAATTCTCACTGTTTCGCCCGACAAGCCTCGGACCAAAGTCTTGCCTTCTGCTTCTTTAGTACCAACTTGGGCTTCGGTCTCAGTTTGCTTCCTCTCGGGATCTTCGGCATAATCCTCAAGTGTAACTCGCTCATCAATCTCGACCACTTTCTCATACAAAACATCAGGTTTTCGAATGGCAAGATCGAAGATCTTTGGTCTTGACTGATTTCCAATAGTCAAGCAATCCTTGAAACCCTTGGTCACAACCATAGCGATCTTCTCGCCTTTTCGTTCAAGCAAAGCATTTGTGGCAACTGTTGTTCCCATTCGAATAGAGTCGATCTTGGTAGTATCCAAAGCTTCACCTCGAGGGATATCTCGGCCGAGGAAGTGGCTCATAATCCGACGAATACCTTCAAGCGGGGCATCCTTGTAGTTGGCCGGATCTTCAGATAGGAGCTTGATGATGATTTCCTTTCCATTGTGCTCTCCTACACAATCTGTGAAGGTACCTCCTCTGTCAATGGCGATCCTGATGCCACGTTGAGATGTTTCTGCCATGGCGGATATCTTTCGGGATGTTGATAAGATGATGGATGAGGGGTTGCGATGACCGAGGTGAAGCGATCACCAATTCAAACTACACCAAAAAGAGTGATATCGTGGTATTATTCAAACAGTATAATGCATTGAGGTGAAATATTGTCAAAGTCTAAAGACTCTAGTACAAAACAATCACGTAAATGTTATGCAAGTTGAGGTTGCTACAGGGTGAGAGAGCGGTTATTAATGTCGTCACAACCAACCCCACGTTCCGTGATTGGTAATTGATGGCTTCCTTGACCCGAAAAGGCAAATTGAGGGACATTCACTTCATGATATTAACCAGAACAGATAATAAGCAGGATCATATCTTGGATATTGATTTATATAGAAATAGTCTGAGTACCTATCTATCACTCGTATATAGATAGGTGGGAAGTAACAAACACACAAGCATCTCTTACACATGTCATCCATCGTGAAGAGACATGGTTGAAGGACAAGTAGAATGAAACACGCGATACTTCTCAGTCTTCAATTACATTATATGAAAGTAGTTTTATCGAGACGACATGGGCAAGAGGTAATTGCAAGCCTGGCATGTGTCACTACATCATAGCAGCATGTAGTAAGATAGTCTAGGAGCATTCTACCCGAAACCAGTCATTAACTTACCCGACAGAAGCTGGTAATAATAACAAAAGATTAATTTAATTGCCAAAAAACTTGATCCGCCTGAAAATCAAACTTGACGTTTTGCCGTCAGCAAGACTCGAACTTGCGTTTTCAGTGCTTCGAAGAGCCACAAACTGATGTACTGACCCCTATACGATGACGGCCTTTTTCTGATTGATGAAATCCTGGCCATTTATTCCACTTCATGTCCTTAGCCCCACAGCGTCAAAAGCCACTTGACTTCTTCACCGGAACTGCGGGTCTACGTCGGACCCAATGAAATAAGGCCATGAATATCTGTCGCGAAATACTTGTTCATATGATCCTACGGTGCGTTGTTGCTTAACTAGACATTGATGTTCAACATCGTGTTTGAATTGTGAGAGGATCCAGCCCCACTCGGGCTACCAAGATACTGACATGCTATGGAGATTCAAAACAATAACTATTTACAAAAAACACAAATCCAGAATTCATTCAGTTGAGCCATGCATGCTAGACAAGTAGCTATGGGTTAGTGTGTCCAGCAACCATCCTAAGCCATGTCTTGCTCGTTCCCCAACATGCTCACAAAGACCACCCGACTTTGCCTCTGATGAAGTTCACGATATCATCAATCTCATCTGGAACTTTGTACCAGTGACCCAGTCCTTCATAGCTCTTCCATTCCACCTCGAAGCCCACCGAACGTAGGGTACGACACGCTTCCTCGCCCAGAGCGGGTTTGATCTTCTCATCCGCATCTCCGTGGCCCATAAACACTGGTGTCGAAAGTGACCCCATCTCCGCAAGATTTTCAGTGTCTAACAAAATCAGGTCTCTGATGTAGTCGTGAACTTTGGCGTCGGGGGTGCGTAAGTATTCTATCTCGTTATTGGAAGTATCAAATGGATCATCATCCTCGTCAGAAAAGTCGTACTCGTCCAGGTCGATCAAGAAGTCTTTGATTTCCGTAGCGAATGGCAGCCAGCTGCTCATTCCGAAGAACCCCCCAATCGGGAATTCCATCGCAAGCAGGCATACAAGGCCCATGGCACACCCTTGGCTAATTCCACCCAGTATGATGTTCTTATCCGGTACTTTCTTTCGCTCCTCTTCAAGCAGGTCAAAGATCTCGCGGGATGACTCTTCCAAGCCCTGAGTTTGTGTATGGTTGCGGTATGAAGGGTCCTCGAGACTAGCAATGTTGAACCATTGCGTTAACTTGCTGCGCCGAAAAGCGCTGGAACGGCGTTTCTTGGAGGTCGGAAAGATAAATCTTGCGCCTGGGAGAAGCTCAGGTAGTGATTTACCGTCAGAGCAGATGCCAGTTTCGATAAGCTCGCGGCCAAACTTTTTGCCGTTTGAGCCAAGGCCATGAAGGATGATGAGACTGTGAGTGTGAGGCCCAGTGGGCTCAACGATGTAGGGAGTCTGAGCCATGATGATAATGTTGGTGGGGAATGTTTTGTGGTCGAGCGTTGGGGGTTAGGATGTCTTTAATAAGCACTTGTGATTGTTGTTGGTGGTGGAATCGACACGTGTGTTCGATGCATGTAACCGAATGAATCAATCAAAGATCCACCAACTCAAAGCGCGGAATGCATTGACATGACAATCATACCGTAGCACAACTAGCTGTTCTAACTTATGTTAGAACACCCTTTACTTGAACATAATAAGTTGTTTCGTTAGTCAAGCTTTGAAGGTCAGGTCTCTCAACGTGTACAGGTCAAATCAGCACGACGAATAATAACCTCACTATGAATCTAATGATAATGAAGGTTCAACAATCGATTGTTTTGTGAACGGACTGCTTTTAGCCAAGGGGCACAGACATCGACGAAGTCAAAGGGAGTGAGTGTTACAAGTACTTACCATTTATTGATAAATCAAGTTTAGCTTATTGCTCGTAGGTGTCACGAGACCTAAAAGATAAAGAGAACAAAGAAAACTGCCAATGCCAATCAATCCACCCGAGCACAGACTTTGTTTGGTATCCTGTTTGCTTACCCAAACTCGCTGGTTTATAACAAAGAAAAAAACAACTCACCGACACGTTTGCCGCCAAAGGCTGTCGATTTCCGCACTTTACCTACCTGGACATTCTGTATACTAAGATTGGGAATCCAGTTTCTGAAACTCTCCGAGAGAAGGCGGTATCGGCCAGCAATACCGCTCCAGCATCACTGCTGGATTCGTTAGCATCTTAGTATGGGCAGGGCTCTACACGAGCTTGCCATTGATTTGAAGTTCCCTGAGGAACCAAGCCACTGCGTACCTCGAGGTCGCGAAGAACATCAACAACCCATTGCTGACAGTACATGGGAGGAGTTCGCTGCGCCGCAGCCTTAAGTTTTCCGAAACGACTGGGCGAAATCTCGCCGATGAAGTAGTGTTTTCCAATGCCACGGCTTTCGAATCGTTTCGGCTGAATGAGAACCTCGTATTGCCTACCTTGAGTTGGTCCACCGGTAGAGTGGTACCAGATGGCCTGTTGAGAACCGAATTCATGTACCATTAGGATCCAATGGCAAGGAAAACCGTCTCCGCGGCCTCCACAGATAGCGACGTAAAGATGATGAGTAGACATACTGTATTTTTTCGAAGGATGATAGTTGAGAGGTGAGATAGTAAGATGTGGCGTCAGTGCTAGGGCTTACTTGAGAATGGATGAGAAATCGTGTTGCGATGTGATAATGGTTTAAGAGCTGAGTGATGAACTGGTAGATACAGAATCTGGAAAACGTTAGAAGCCTGCTTCTATATACTTGCCAGAACAACAAGCGCTCAAAGCGCAGCTCCTTGATATTCAGTAGGTCAGATCATCCTTTGTAAGGATAGTTACAGATAACAAAGGTCTTAAAACATAGCAATGTTCCAGGAGTCAAAGAGATCGATGTTCCAGTTAGTCTTGTTCAGCGGCAACAACTATACAAGCGGACATGATGAGTACTACGAGTTTTAGAACAGTCAACTTCTTTATGAGTACATGGGAAGCCTTTCGTCGGTACTCTAAGGACCTGACAAATGGAGTCAGCCGAGAGCTAAGTTGCAAGAGGGTAAAACAGGATCGATCTCTATTGTATCTATTTCTAGACTGCGTTGTAATAGAATGGTTGTCTAAGGCTTCTATCATCACAATAAACTAGCTTCAATGATAATCTAAGCCAGCATAAAGCGACTAAATTATTTCTTCTCTTCTACCCCCGATGGGCAATTCTTCTGACACCCCATCCGCCTTCTCACTTGTCACAGCCTCATCCAAATCATCAGTCTGATCAGTGCCTAATTGCCTGATTACCAACCATCCTGGAAGAATTGAGACAGCCCAGAGTCCAAAGTTCACATACGCACTACCAACAGTCGCCATGACGGGCAGCGCGTTGAGACCATAGCTAAGCGCCTGCCAACCCGACTCTGTGCCTCGCAACAGCGCCGACAGACGTACAGTCTCTTGAGGGCTGGTAGAGATCTCTCCGATGATGAAGAAAGCAAAGTTGTAGTTTAGTTGGAAGCCAGTGACAAGAAACACGAAGACGCCGAATGCGGCTCCGAAGCCAGGGTCGCTCCAGTCGTAGAGAGCCCCTTCACGGTTGAACTTGGTCACATTGATTGTCAACCAGATCCACCATCCTCCTTGCAGGGTCATGATTACAGCATATGCCCATCGCGCGCGCTTTTTGAGAGCGATTTGGCCCTGGTCCAGCCACACTCCAAGCAGGTTGCTTGTAATGATTGCAACAATACCAGAGACGAAAGAACCTAGTGCTCGAGCTCGTACGCTAAACCAGAGGGCGATGTAGGTAAAGAATACGGATTCTGAATATACGCCCTGGCCAATCCACAAGATGAGAAGAAGAAACTCTTTCTTGAGGAATGTTCGAGTAGTAGCTTTGAACTCTTTCCATGGATGATCATGGATGCTCATGTCAACCTTTTGGCCGTCGGACCGCTGCACCTTGGATGGTTTGTTGAGGAGGAATGCGATAAATGGACCCAGAGCTTGAAGCGCGATGAAGATCAGATAGACCTTGTACGAAACTTTGCCAGCTTCGTTCCGGTCAATATTCAGGCCTAAAATAATCGCACCGCCCATGATCTGGCTGAATCTGGTAAAGGAAAGCCAATATGCGACCAAGCGCCCTCTGTTCCGCGGTTCAGGATAACCGATTGCGATGGCAGCTTCAGCTGACCAGAATATTCCCGCCGAAATACCACAGCATGCTGCTCCGAAGATAACGAGCCATTCGACGCCATACCGATTGTTCAGATACAAGCCTGCGCTGTACGGCGCGAAGCCGATAGTGCCAATGACAAGTGCGCCTTTGATACCGATGTATTTGACGATTCCGCTCGTGAACCAGCAGGAAATAATCATTAAGCAGAACGTGAGGGCATTTCCAGTGTTGACCAGATAGGGTTCCTGAGCACCACCTGCGCCGAGTGAATTCATCGCGCTCCACAGCCCAGGTGCTGCGAAACTGCAGAGACCGAGGATAGTGGCATTATAGACGGGTGAGCGATACCACTTTGCTGCAGGATGTTAGTGCGGGGTTCGAGGAATTGAAGCTGGTAAAGTTACGTTTGGGAAATGTCTGGCGAGATCCTTCGATGTTGATAGTATCGTCGGCCTGTTTGTTCTCCGAGTCAGACATCGTGATATTAAAGCTGTGGTGTTGTGTTGACAGAGAAAGACGGCATTGGGGCAGAATGCTTACCATAAGTAAGATATAACCGCTTATCTCGAACAATGCGGAGAATCGAGATAAGTGCGAATGGAAGGATTGTGTGACAGGCTCGAGATAAGGCGTGCTAATCGACCCCGCGATTTGGGTATCGTCGCTCGCTCGCAGTAGATCGCCAAGGATAGATAAGAGAAGTGTGAGTTCTTGATTCGCTCCCAGCGATGGCGATCATTGTTCCATTGTGCCACCGATCATGGATTAGCAACTTCCAGGTATATTGTCGTGCTCCATGTCCTTAATCCCTTTACACTTGTCTCATAAGCTGGATCCTGCTTAGTAAATGGTCCAGGAACAGCAGCTGTTTGGTCACCTTTGCGGAGGTTCACAAATGTTTTACAGTAGCATCCTAAATGTTATCCTAATGTTTTCGGCGAGGCATTCATTGAATGGCTCCTCCGATTCAAGCAACTTCATCAATTCCTCTTTGAGCCAAGCCAAGTAAGCTCCTGCCTTTGAGCGCCCGAATACCACGGTGCATCGCTCGAAAGCCTCCAATCCAACACACACTGGACACATGACAGGCATAAACATAGACCAGGTGACCCGTTGAAATTCTTGTAGGCCGCCGATCGTTTTGTAGATCTGACGATGTATTGTACGGGTGTTGGAGCAGCAATGGCAATTGCCATCTTCGAAGTGCTTAATGAAGTCCGGAACGGTAATTTCAACGTGGAGACACTTGATCTTAGAGGAGAAGAGCAGGCTAGGGATTTCCCAAGGCTGGGATGCGCCATCGAGATGGAAGGGATTAGGTAAGAGACGGAAGGTCAGATCTGGTCGGGCCAGATACTTGTTGGCCTCTTCAACCTCATGTTCATCTCTGAGTGCTCCGAGCGATGCCCATTGGTTCACCCTATTACATACGAGCACCCGGCCCCTTTTGCCTCCAATCTCGATACAATTAGCTCGTACAATAGCGAAGTCGTGTAGGCTTGGATCGTCGGTAATGATGTCGAGGATGATGTACCAAATCTCAAGAGGTAATGTCTTCCGAACGGAGGTTTTGCTGGTGACAAGTCCTGGATCTCGAGCTACAAGACTTTCGACGTAAGCAGGGCCATATAGTGTTTTGTCAAGAATCATCATGGGTTTCCACTTCGCGAGATCCTCGGCCTCATCTCCGCGGACAGGTCGCATTTTGGCAATGTCGGCTGTTGTCGTGTGGATTTTGTTGTATCGATTGAATCGGAAAGGATGATGGGGCTGGTCGGGTGAGCACAAGAGGATGTGCAGGAGGGGGAGGTATGGGGAGAAAAGTTTGCGATGACTGATTTCAGAAAGGAAAGGACCTTTTAAGTAATCCGAGAACTGAAAAAGTATCGGAAATCCATTTTGCAAGTTTTGCTATTAAACTTTCAAGTTATGATGGTCCAATGTTTACACTCAAGCGTTTTCTCTTATATGTACCCAACTACGTGTAAGCTTGCTTGATTGAATGGTATACTGATCGACGGAAAGATTATCCTCCAAAGCTAAAGGTGCCCAAGATAAATTGAACTGAGTGGCAGCCTATACTGGCATTCTCTCTGAATCGAACATTGCAGTGGTCCTTTGCTGTTACTGATTAATTGGGAATCTTATCTTCAACAAACCCAGGACAACACGATGCTTTTGATTGTCCAAAATGACACATGGAGACGGGTCACGAGAGCGCTTGTCCATTGCAATTCCTCCTGTATTCAGTAAATGGTTAGAGCTCTGGCGAGGCTGGCTATTATCTTTAATTATCTCACATTCCAAGTCTTCAAACTAATCCACTGACGCGCTGGATTTAGGCAAGGCAATCTGTGCAGCAGCCCGAACCTTATGTTAGGTATGGTAGGGCGGAAAAAATTTCAAGGTTCCGCGCAAGCATGGAGTTGTGATGAGTTCAAGTATTGAGTTCTTGATGAAAACCTTACATCGGCGCAATACACTGGAATCATTTATAGAACGTCTCGATATACGCTTGGCTAGAGAAATTGGATTATAAGGCTGATACTCTAGTAGTTCATATCGTTGTATGCTGCAAAGCTCATGTTCAGGTTTGTTCAAATATTTGGCCGGAGAGACTGACGGTCCACTCGAAAACATGTCTTTCTAGTTGTCTTCATTGGTGCAAGCAACCCAACGCTCACTAACACTTCACCGAATTAAGATAAATAAGGGAAAGCAAAGACTGGTAAAGCAGGGAAGGAAGATGGCGAAAGGGCGCAACCTTGGAAACATGGAGTGAGAGGATGATTTTTGTGACGTCTTTTGATATCGACAGAAACAGGAATGTGAGATCCTCAGACTGTAGGGTGGGAATGAGAACATAGTTGAATGTATATCATGCACGTCAGAAGAGTCGCTGGTTTACACATCTGGCCTATCGCCATAGCGAGAACAAGAACTTTTCACGGACGCTGTTCTGGGCTTACCACATATTTGGACTACACCTCTATGTTTGACGTATATGTAGCACTTTGGAGCCATGGAAGACAGTTAGTAGCAAGACTGTTAAACATGCCGTGGAGCGTAGAGAACTGGCACAGCCTTTCGAGTTCGTCACCTCCTCAGTCTCTCAAACAGTCAGAACCGGAGACTCTGAGATTAAATAAGAACAAGCTGACCATGACAAACAAGTTGGACAAATATTTTAGGTAATGCTATCTCGCATTGTCACCCTACCTTACCCTATCCCCTTGAATACGGCCCGTTTAAACAAGCTTAAAAGGCCTCTGCAACGAATAGCCCCATACCGGAGAGAGTCTCTGGGGTGCAGTGCGGGTTAACCTACCAGAGCGCAAAGATTCAAGACGTTGTGAGATGGGTAAAGGTTCCGGGGTAGCTTCAACGTGGTAGAGGAAGTGAGAGCAAAGACCGGTCTGACCTCGCGAAACATGTGGTCCAAACTCATTATTCATAGATTAGTCAATGAGATAATTAACCCCACAGATAAGCGATTCATGGGCGCAGATTGTAGTCGTGGAGTGAGACGAAAAGTCAAAAAATTTGATCAAGAAAATTTTATATGGATGGTGATCTATAAAAGAGGTTTGGACCCCGGGTCTTTTCGACGCCACGCGATGACTTGCAGATCGGCAATTGAAACCGCGAAGCCGACTGCGTACCTTTTTCTTCTTTTCAAGATTGGGGAATCTCATGGTCGTGTTCCCCAAAGTCAATCGTTTTGGGGCCCCGGAGTAATCTCGCTGTCCCGGCAGGCTCTCGACTCGTTCTCGACGGCTATAGAGCGGATGTTCATATTGGCGAGTTATTGTTAGGATATCATAACGTGATGAATATCCACAAGCGGTTGGATGACGGGGTCCACAGCTGATATGATGCGTCCAATGATACGTTTCATCAACGTAAAAAAGAACCAAATGCAGAAAGGGTCAAATGTCACTCTGGCCCACAACCGGCAGATATTTCCACCACCTTACGATATTAGGTAAAGTGTCTGGTCTAGAAGGGTTTTTTCTTAGCAGGGACCGCCAGCCGCCACCACAGCGCGGCTCGTGAACACCCTTCGGGCCTTTTGGTCACTAAAAAAGTTGAGATTGGATCAGGAACAAAAACCAGTTTCTATTATGCATTCGTATCGTTGTTCCTGTACCGGCCCGGTCTACGAGACGTTAACTCCGTTGATCGGAATTTAAATCTATTACGAGTTTAAATGTCATAAAAACCTGGAGTAATGAGAACAGGTTACGCCTATCTAATCGTGTCGTGTCGTCCCATGGTTACGTCCCGGCCCCGACGCGCCGGAGGTGGATGTGGATACCGGATACACCGAAAAACTGCGCTGCGCCTTGGTTATTCATTCTCGTCATGCGCGTTATCAGTGCAATTGCCGTCGCCGCCCGTAAGAAAGCTGTTCTAGCCGTTCGGATCTGCCTTCCTCTTAAATAGATTACTTCTGCCTCACTTTTTTCTTCCAGGATTCTGTCCAATTTCTTCATATAATATACCTGTACTCTTCTCCCACCTTTGACCATCTCTTGGTCATCACATGAGTGCTAGTCAATCCTCATCTTCCTCCCATCCTCCTCCTACCGAACGCACATCTCTACTCCTACCCTCCGACCCAATGACTTCAACAAAGGCCAAGGCCGACAAGCCCGTCAACATGATGGACGATCGCCACGACCCTGAGGCTGCCGACGATGTCGAGATCTCTCAGCAGAAGCAGCTTGCCGCCCAGGGCAATGCCCACTTCCACCGTCTGGGCTGGAAGCGTCTCGCCATTGTCACCATTGTCGAGGCCGTCGCCCTCGGCGCTCTCAGTCTGCCTTCAGCTTACCACACCCTGGGCATGTTCCCCGGTGTCTTCCTCACAATTACTCTCGGCCTTGTCTCCATTTACACCAGTTACCTGGTCGGTCAGGTCAAGCTTAAGTTCCCTCACATCACCTCCTACGCCGATGCCGGACGCCTTCTGCTCGGTCGCTTTGGCTACGAGCTTTTCGGTCTCGCTCTTATTCTCGAGCTTGTCATGGTTGTCGGATCGCACGCTTTGACTGGCAGCATTGCGCTGATCGACATCAACGGTGGACACGTCTGCTCCATCGTCTTCTCCGCTGTTTCTGCCATCATTCTGTTCATCCTCGCCATCCCCCCATCTTTCACCGAAGTCGCTATTCTTGGATATATCGATTTCGTTTCTATTCTCGCCGCCATTGGTATTACCGTTATTGCCACCGGTATTCAGGCTAGCGACTCGACTGGTGGACTTTCTGGTGTTGAGTGGTCTGCCTGGCCCAAGGAAAACCTTAGCTTCGCCGAGGGTTTTGTCGCCGTCAGTAACATTATTTTCGCCTTCAGTTTCGCCATTGGTCAATTCTCCTTCATGGACGAGATGCACACCCCAACCGATTATATGAAGTCCATCTACGCCTCGTGCTTCATGCAGATCTCCATCTACACTCTGACTGGAGCCCTTTGCTACGCTTTTATCGGACCCTCCGTCCAGTCGCCTGCCCTGCTATCAGCTGGACCACTTGTGTCCAAGATCGCCTTCGGAGTCGCCCTGCCCGTTATCTTCATCTCAGGTTCGATCAATTCAACCGTTGCGCTTCGATATCTTCATGGACGTATGTTCAAGGACTCCATCCTTCGATATGTTAACACCCCCATGGGCTGGGTCAGCTGGATCTCCCTCGCGGCCGTCTTCACCATCATCGCTTGGGTCATTGCCGAGGCTATCCCCATCTTCTCCGACTTGCTCTCTCTGGCTTCGGCCCTCTTCGTGTCCGGCTTCTCTTTCTGGATTCCTGGTGTGATGTGGTTTGTCTTGCTCTGTGAGGGCAAGTGGTTCGAGAAGAAGAACCTGCTTTTCAGCTTGGGAGCTATCCTCGCCTTCATCATTGGTATTGTTACCCTTGGTGCTGGCACTTATGCTACTATTAAGGATATTGTAAGTTGTCCAAAATAACCAACCTTCAAAAGGCTGTTACTAATATTTGTTCAGATTGATGTTACAAGTGCTGGCGATGCCCACTCTCCATTTGCTTGCCGATCAAGCTAGATTATGATTTACACTGCGATAGATGATAAAAAGCGTTGTTGCATTTAGATATATTGTGTACATTACCTAATCCACACTATTCTCGACTTCTTACACAACTGGCCAAGAATACTACGTGACGATTTGCCTAAATAACAGGTGGGTATTAGAAGAGCTTTCGAAAGCTTAGGCTCCATACTTACGATAAAGTAGCCTAAGTGCCTGTCTAAACTCATGACTGAAGACTGTAAGAAGAAGCATCGGTTCGGTGCATCTGCCTATGAATTCATGATGAAAGAGATAGAAGAAACCCTCACCTTAGGATATCCAAGTTATGGAGTTCTCGTCTCTCATTGTCGTTAGAAGTAGAAGATTCTGGACCTGATCCCAATATCCTGCACAGATCGAAGATAACGGCCCCCATCATCAAACGTAACAAAGTCGACTCCACGGTCGTTGAAGGTCAGTTTCTCTCGCGTTCGGAACTCGGTAGCTTTGAAGTATATCTCACGTTATGGCAGGCAAAGTAAGGAGTACAAACAATGCGCTGAATAGAGCATGGCTTTCTACCGCCGCCGCCAAGCCTCTTCCCTCGTTTCCTAATCCGTCCTTTCCCCGTGTTTGTGGAGGACTCCTGAAACCTTGACTATCGGTTTCCTGTTAGCCCCTGCTGCGGTCAAGAGACGTGAGAACCATTTCATTTCGTGATTCTCAAGGAATGTCGAAAGCGCGCCAAATCTAGCAGAGATCCTGGGCTCTTCCGGTCAAAACCTTTGCTCCGGACAAACGGCCGAAACGGCCGAAGCACATCAACACCCAGGCATCAATATCCGGGAGTACGAATACCACCAAACGAGGTTGAGCAACCACTGCAACCACGATTGGGATTCACCGGAGATTTTTGACGCTGGCGAGCTTGAGGAACGCTACCAACATGCAGAGAATATCCTCTGAAATATTCGGGGTTAACCAGGCGACGAGAACTTCGTGTTCAAGCGTTACTGCGTTACTGCGTGGCTGCGTGGCTGCTATTATGCTAGCAGACATATCTGCTTTCGAAGATAGTGGATCGCTATCTTTGACCCAAGCCCCTCGTCATACAGTCGAAGGTCTGGAAAGCATGTTCGACTGTGCACTACGAGGTGAGTATCGGCCCTAGGGTATTAAAAGAATTGGCTGCTAAGAGCATAAAGACGAAATAATTTGGTCATTTTATGCTAAAATTTAGGCTACTTTACTTTTATAGCCTAAGACTCAGAGGATAATTCTGTGATACCCACCTTGGTAATTCGTATCATCGTATACAGTCCTGTAAAAGGCGAAGCCCAAGCCAAACCAAACCAAGTAGAGAAGGAACAAGACCTCGCTATACAAAACGCAGTCGAAGCGCAACGACAACGGCAAAAGCAGACGCAACAGGCACTGTTGCCGCACAGAACAACAGAAAGATCAACACAAACAACAAACGTACCACCTTACGGTATTTGGAAGGCATGAGAGGCATGCCGAAGCCCCATTTTGTATTTCGTTTTCGGCAGCGAATTCTCCATGCCTCGACGATTATAAACTCTGTAAAGGATTCTCAGAATTTCGTGTTTGGCCCATCTTGATAAAAAAGCTGGCCATCTCGCCTATGATACTGACAACATGCACTTAAACTTGAGGCGTAGAAGTCATGATTGCACGTGCATCTAAAGGACATTATACTGCTAGAATAGAACCTTAATGCCGGTTCTCAATTTGGGGAAAGCTGATCGGCGGTAACGATGCGATTGATACATACGATCTCAAAAGAAATATCTCGTAATTACATTCTTAGATATATAACAACAACTCCAAAGTTCAAAACCGCGATACCAAGACCAGGAACGAAGACAGAAAAATCGGAAAGGCCTATTTCATAACCCATTTTTGTTTTAGCGAGCAGATGGGTAGAGCCACTCCTGAAAGCTAGACCTGCGTCGTACAGGTGAACCACTCGAGCCTTCGCTTCCGACGCTGGCTCGACGGTCGTTGCTACTTCGTCGCACCCAAGTATTGGTCCAATCGGAACCGGTCGCAGGGGTGGTAGTGGTCATGACTCTTTGCTTGTAAGCTATTCACCATACAAGTCAGCACGACATAAGCAAGGACATTGGGATGGTAGTTACGTACAAGTGGAATCGTTTCTGTTGGGATTATCAAGAACAGCCTGGAGCTTAGCTCTAGCTTTCTCTGCCATTGTCTGAGGTGCCATGTCGCTCTGGTGAATTGACACAAGATCTTCAGTATGATCTATTGATAGGAAAAGATATCGCGATTCCAAAAGAGGGGAAACACCCTCTTATTAGAAACTCATCTCAGGAACTCGTGACCTTCCGTCATTCTGAGGAAATTGTAAACAACATTTGTCAGCTCTTGGGTTGGAGTGTAGCCAGAGTTGCCTCTTTTGGTATAAGATAGACCATCACCCACGATGTCTTGTGCCATCAACGTCAGAAACGCGGGGTAGCTCAACATCAACCAATTGTCTCGTCAGCTTTCTTGTACTGTATTGCACAAATCGATGATAATCACTCACCTTCACTGTTCCGTTGTTGATGATTGTTGGGGGGGCTGTTGCGGTAAAGGAACCGACTTGCAAGTCCTGGGGCCTAGACAATTGGAGGGGAATTATGCTCAAGGCTTAGGGCGCCAAAATAAAGCAGCTCAAGCTTCAGTCTAATTTGGCATAAATGAACTACTTTATTTTCTCTCTTCTGCTTCTGGTGGCTGATTCCTCTGACAACCTGACTTCGGGTTTGTAAGTGCGCAAGAGATAGACAGACGATGAGTTAATTGTGTCGTTTACAACAGAGCCAGAGTTAAGCGTCTTTCGGACAGTGAGGACTGGTCAATCCATCGCTGTTCAGGCCGCCTCGGAATATGATTGCGACTACCTTATTTCCTTCACTCTCCAGCAGCCGGATTACTCAATTGATAGCGCGGGGGTTAGAGGAAACCGAGTTCTAAATATCGAGATTTAAACGTGAATAGGTATGTATTGACAGCATCCTCAGGTGTAGTACAAGAATGTAAACAGTAAAGTACAGTACAGCAAATATCAATTGTTTTCAAAGGTATGGAAGCTTTAACCTATCTGGCTGGCTGTCCAGGGCTTTGCTAAGGCCTGTGAACAACAATTGTCATCCTTGATTCGAATTTTAACACTGACATTACCCAGCCATCAAATAACCCTGCATAGATGAGAAAGGAAGAGATCAATTTTAGAAGAGCCTAAGTTCTGATTTCGCCTTACATTCCAACTCTGAATGATCGTCCAAGTCATTGTCCGAATCGTTCACGGGCTTCAAGGAAGTCTGTATGTACTGATTGTGCCGCCATGAGTGCGACGGATATGAAATATGGCCAGAACCTGATTTCAACCCAGTACTCCCATGAACCTTCAGGAGGCTGGCAAGTAAAGTATGTCGAATTCATCAGCTCTAGAATAAGCAACAAAAATAACACCGGGCGCCTCCATGGGGAAGTCGTAGGTGGTAGTGAGGTTGGTAGCTTCTTTCCATAACAACCAAATAGGCGCTGAAAGTGTTCTGTGTGGCATTCCAACCTTTTGTGTTCGTCCATGTATGCGCGGAATGTAGATATGCGCCCGATTTGCCAGGTCATCATACGCTTCCAAAGCGCATTAACCTCGAAAATCAGATATTTGCGGTCTGTAAACAACGGGTCGCGGATGCTGAAATCCATAATATCCTGACTAATAGAGCAACCCCCATGTTGTTCGTCCGGTATAAGCTTGGGAATATAGCGGGTGGAAATTCCACTAACAGATCTAACCATCTGGGGCTTATTTTTACAGTACCACAGTAAGTTGGCTAGTTGCAAAGCGTATCTGAACAGCCTTTGACCTTGGTAATAACCTGTTGACGTTTCGAAGTCCTTGTGCATTGCGTCCCAGGCTACCAGCATACTATCCGTCTTCCGTTGTCGATACAAGATAGGTGAGGCTTCGCACAGACTGATAAAATTGGCCCGCCAACCTAGAAAGGTGATAATTATCAGTCTCAACTCGGCGGGGAGCTTGTTGAAGGGGTCTGTGCCGGTGGATGTTGGTTGAGACTTCTTGGGTGGCATTGTCGATGGTTGGGTAAGCTCATCAGACCAGCCAGAGACTTTGGGTGAGGTGGACATCTTCATCATACATGATGAGCGAAGGCAAAGAAAAGCTCGGCACAAGAGTGCTGGAGTTGGATGAGAGAAACGATATGGCTGGGGAAAGTTGTAGGCGGAGAAATCCTCTTGGAATACTTATGAACATGTTGCCATTTTTAAGTTGTGTAAACACTTTAGAGTTTTGGATATGCAGTGATTCGTGCCCTTCACTGGGTGATTGAGTATCTTGAACGATGTGTGAAAGTCTCATAAATATGCAATTGTCGTCCAATTTAATTCAAGCCTGTTACCGCGATTTAACCTTGACGCACACCTTGAGATGTTCTTGAGGAAAGCCAACTTGCTTTGCCCTACATCTGGAAATAGTTCATGGACGTAACGTCGGCATCATTAACTCCTTCGTTTTCGATTCTGATGACCGAGACGCTGTCATCGCCAAGATGGCTCGTTACGACATACCCATCGCCTCTCATATTAAGAGTGGGTTAATTCGGCGATTTCTATATCGGTAGGTGTCAGAAAGGCCATCTCACCAGGCTCAGGCTGCAGAAATAAAGTCGTCTAAATGCTGCTCTAAATTCAGCACAAGGTGACTAAACTATTTCGTCTCTTTTACTCTCGGTATCCATTTCTTCTGACACCTTAACGATTGGGCAACCACACCATGCCAAGCGAACAGCTCCAGCCGAGGACCCGTAGCTTGCTTAAACGGCCCTTTAGCTTGATAGAGCCAACAGTTGTTGGTTCAACTAACATGATCCTAGCCAGCATTTGCGGCACGGACCTGGTGTGATGCCTAAAATGTTCCATAATAAACCCGAGGCTGACCAACAGCTGTTCATCACTTAAATGAGACAATCCTATCATGGAGAGCGACTTAAACACCGCATTCCCGTTCCTGGGATCTCGGCTTTTTTATTCCACGCCATTTCACTCTTTTAGCCATGGCGAGGCTCATTTTTGCGTATGTCACTCTCCTTCTTTGGGTGGCCCTGGTAGCTGCTCAGTATGACTACCACCATGTTCTGAAGGGTTGTTATCAGGTGAAACCACACATGTCCTGGGCCGGAGGATATGCACGAACACAGCAAGAGCGCGAGAAATGCGCGATTGTTTGTTCTCAGAAAAACTTGCCATTCGTTGGTTTCGGTACCACGAACTGTTTTTGCGCCAGGGTCGAACCGAGCAACAATAAGGTCGACATCAGCCGGTGTGAAGCCGTAGGTTTGGACGGGTGGAACGCACCCAAGACAAGAAAGGCAGACTTTGTCGAGGATGAAGAGGTGCTTCTTTTCTTTGACACTAGCATCCCTCGCAGCATTCCCATCGGATGTTTCCAGGGCCTACCTGAGGATGCCCATCTTACTGAACCTGCAATTAGCAAGCCAGAGCGTCTTGCGTGCGCTACGTCCTGCGATAGAGAAGGCAAAGCTGCCGTTGTCTTCGCTGGTCGAAAGTGTGGATGCATCGATTCCATCCCGGATGTTTCGAACAGGGTTGAGGACATCAGCTGTGGTCTGGAACCTTCAGCCGAACCTTCTCGATCCGAGCAATTCTACAGTGTATGGACTGCTGGACGCCGTTTCATGACACAGAATTATGAGTTCAAGATAAATGGTCTTCTTCCATTTGAACAGGAGGGACTAGACTATCAGCTATTTGAGAAAGAAGGAACGACCACTGAACTGGCTGAACAGTATGAGGGTCCTCGACAAGCCTGCTACAGAAATCCACCAGACGAAAACATCAACAAGTTCAAAGAGTTCCCTGATAACAATCCTACTCTTTGTTATCGCTTTTGTGAGCAGTATGACATGAAGTACATCTTTTTGCGAGATACAGGCTGCTGGTGCTCGAATACGTACCCGCCTAAAAAGGATGTGTACCTCAGTGGGTGGTGCAAGTGGGAATGCCCTCGAAACCCGTTTGCTCAATGCGGAGGTGAAAAGGCCTTCAGCGTCTATAACCTCAAGCCCTGGATGAGCCCTGCCTCCCCGGCTTCCCCGGCCAGAACCTCCGAGCAACAGACTAGGCAGTGCTTCTCTATACGTCCCACAAAGGCATCGGAGATGCTCGGCTATGATGGTGGAGAGGAGTGTCTGGAACGTTGCAAGGAGGTCAGGAAACCTCTTGCGGTGATGCATGGCTCCTACTGCTGGTGTGCCTCGAAATATCCTCATACAACATACAAACTCGACCTCGACTCTTGCGACCTCCCTTGCGAAAACGATAATGGAACGTACTGTGGTGGGAACGATGGCATTAGACCTTATTATTCAACCTATCGCACAGGTATGCCAGGTCGTATCGAACACCACCCTAGCCAGAGGCGCTTTGACACCCCTATTCAAGACGAGACAACATGGCATGGGTGCTGGAACAAACCGCCAACTAGGCGCTACGGATCATATGCCGAATCCAACACAGTCAAGGGCTGTGCCAATTTCTGCCGGAGGAGCGGTTTCCCCGTTGCGGCTGTACAGGATCATAACTGCATCTGCGGCGATTCTTATCCTCCCCTTGAACAAAGAAGCCCAGAGTCCTCTTGTAACACTTCATGCCCTGGCTTTGAGTATGCTACCTGCGGCGGACCACAAGCCTGGAATGTCTTGAACACGGGACTAAAGACAGACGTTCCTTATGATGAGTCCGATTCCGAGAAGAAGAATTCCGAAAGTGCTACTGTGAATCAGAAGATGGCGAGGCCAGACCTTTTGGGCTGCTACAACACGCATTTCATTACAGCTCGCGATCGCGTATACCTTCGTCACGACCAAGTCAATGGATGCGCCAGAAGGTGCAAAAGCAGAGGAAAGCCCATTTCAGCTTTGCAGAAGGACACATGTCTTTGCGCTGACGCGCTTCCTCATAAAGACAGCCAGGTCGATAATGTCGAGTGCGACACTCCTTGTCAAGACCCCTCCAACGAAAAATGTGGTGGGCCACGATACTGGAGTGTCTACAACTCGGGACTGCAAACCTCCCTTGCCACTGATTTGAATATGAAACCAGCATATGGCTGCTTCAAGTACCTCCGATATGCTGACGAAACTAACAAGCTCGTTCGTATTCATCTTCACGGTTCTGGTGGCAATCGGAGTGGCGATTCGTGCACCACGCGCTGCGCTGAAAAGGGCTTCCCCGTCGCCTTACGACTCATGTCCGCATGCTCTTGTTCGCACGAGTTGCCAGTTATGAAGTATAGTCTCCCCAGCGAGTCGTGCTCTTATAAGTGTCCCAAGGATCCCCTTGAGATGTGTGGAGGTCCTGATTCTGCCTACACGGTCTATAAAACCGACGCCTACGTACCTGATCTTCACACAGAAGAAAAGCCAAACGATGAGAAGCACAAGGGAAATGATCCCGGCGCTTCCCCGGACAGCAGACCGCAGTGTTTGGAGCCTGCTTGGGAGAAAGCTTACGATATTTTCAACGTGGTTTCGGACAAGGCTGCTGGCTTCGCCCAAAAGATCCAAGATGGCTTCTTTTGGGTCCGCGATAAAGGGCAGGAATTGTTTGATATCTGTCTGTGGAACATCATCGTTTTCTTTTCTAATATTATGTATGGCTTGGGATTGTGGTCGAGCGAGGGGAATATCGACCTGTAGTCAACGTTGTATCTGCAATCTTTCTACGTATATGCGGCAAAGATTAGACTTGTGAATAGATAAGATTGTATTCAGATAGTGAAGACAGTCTGACATAACACCGTCCGTTCTACGACATGACCTGAAATCATCATTCCAAAACCCCAGATATCCGCTGATAAAAGACTTTAACAACCCAATTTCGATATCGACGAATCAATTATCCAACGAAACTCTATCCATTTCCACAAGTTCAACAATCCTATTCGCCTTATTGGAGCATATCGCAAAATAGATCCCAATCAACATAGTCCATATATAGGCACTAGCGCCGAAGAGTATCGTTCAATCATAAGTAGGGAAACATGCAGTTTGTTGCCCTACTCAATGTCCAGTTCCATAGTTCGATTGCGCATTCGACAATAGTCGCTCTCTCTCATCATCAGCCTTCGCCTCGACCTTCTTCTCCGCAAAGATTCTACCCTTGACGGCAACGAATACGGTCAAGACGATGCCAACAAGAGCTCCTGTAGCACCCAGCGTAGCATTGATAGGGACCGGGTTATCGTGTAAAGGGCCGTGGGTGAGCGCATCGAGACCAGACTGGGCAAGTTGGGTGATCCCTGACACACAGGTGATGGTTCCGTAGATACGTCCGAAAGTGGCAAATCCAAACACTTTGGTAGCGTAGTCACTGCGATGTAATTAATATTAAGATCGGATACGGAAGAGGAAAAGACTACTTACGAGATAGCTGAGTAGTAGAGAGGTCGGAAGAAGACAAAAGCCACGACGGTAAAATAGCCAGCCCACATGCTGGAAAGGCAATTCAGGACGCCGATGACAATAATAAAGACCGTTAGAACGCTAAAAGTAGCAGGAACACTCAAGTTGTTGAGCAACAGTCCAATGAAAGGCGTCGAAGCGACTCCTCCCACAGGCAAAGCGATGTCGAAAAAGTCGTTGATGCGCTCGGCAGCCTTATCGGAGCCCAGCATGTATCGATACTGAGATCTGACACTGGCGATGAAGTAGTTCATGCGAAGCATCTGAAGGATCGTCAAGAGCAAGATGAGGATAAACCAGGGCGACATCATCTGTCTGTGAGCAGGAACGCCGTGCAAAACTCCCCAAACACCACTTGTTTCCTGTCGGTCCTCCTCTTCCTTGATGCGTTCTCCTCGTTGTTCTCTATCGCCAGCGATTTGTTCAATCTTCTCAATCTTGGCCTTTCTTTGATCGGCACGCGCGCTTCGAACACGCGTTAGTTCATTGGTGTCATTGATCTCATCATCCGACGCGTGAACATCGCGACTCCGGTCTTGGGCCTGTTCGAGCTTCTGCTCTAATTGAGGCAACGAGTGGTACGAGTGAGGCGGCATCCAGAGTAGTTCAGCTAGGCAGATGAGCGCTGGAACGGAGATGTAGGCGAAGAAGAACTTTTCGAGGGAGAATGCGCCGTCGGAAGCTTCGTATGCCATGCGGTAAAAGAGGAAAACAGCCGCGGAAGCGTCGAATGCACCAGTGACGAGAGCGACGATTAATCCGGAATGCCTGGGGAAAGCGTTGCTTAATTGATACGTGGAAACAAAGAGGAACGTGCCGCCGAAGGCCAAGAGGATGTTGCCAATCAGGTAACCGTGGAACCCTGGGATTGAGAAAGATAGAGCCATCATCAAAGAGCCGAGAGTGAGCAGAAGACTGGAAATCAGCCAACACGCGCGACGCCCGAAGCGATCAAGGGCAGCGCCTGCAACCAGCGACGAGACGTTGGCAGAGATAGACGCCGAGATAAACAGAAGATTCAATCGCATATCCTGCGCCGCGCATGGAATTTGGAAGTCCGGCTTATGCCCGAGTTGTCGCTGGTCATTTTCGCAAAGTTCGGAATAAATGCCCTCGGAGATCAAGATGGGCTTAAGTGCAGCAAAACCGAAGACGATACCAGCTGCAAGCCAGCAAGCTATTATACCTGTCGCGACTTGGACTACCAACAGTTAGAAATGCACTCCAGTCGAAGGGTTGCTCTCCCGAAACTTACCATACCGTTTGAGGTCGGAGACCTTGTAAGCGGCGAGATGGGGCAATTTCTGCACAATCTCAACGGGCGCAAAACTCAAACGTCGCCATTCGGATCGGTCGGGAAATGATTCGTACTCAATTCTATCGGGGACGAGAATATTTGGTGTTCCGAAACCGGGTGAGATGTTTTGATGTGTTGGACCTTCGTAGTTGGGATTCGCTGGGCCTTCGTAGTCGAATCCCTCTGTTTGAGTCACATGCTGAGCGAGAGACATTTCCACTACCTAGATTAACAACAACACAAACAAAACGGGCAAGTATGCATCACAAATAAAAGACAAATTGATGTAGAGAGACGCAGCATTTATTCTTCCAGCGATAAGATGCGGTCTGGGTCAGGAAGTTTCGGCAATGTTCTTTTGTGAACCGTAGCAGGTGACGTCAACATGATACTGCATGTACAGTACTGGAACAAAATGTCCTATCGTCGTATGATCAGCCATCCTTATCTGACTGGCTATGCTTGGTTTGGGTTCACAAGCGAGGGTATTCGCAGCTTGGCGTAGCATTGGAATCTGATGGAATGGATGGACATGGAGATTGTGCCTCAGGCATGATTCCGGCTGGTTCGTTGCTTCATGTTGGATGCCGAAGCTTCGCGAAACACGCAGGGATGTCACAGCCTGAGGCAGACGGAAAGTCAGGTGGGGTGACAAAAAGAATTAGCCGACTGGTCCGCCATTCCACACGATAGTTGCTTCACTAATTCTGTGGTCTTGCGCCTACGGTTGACTTTTATGTTCTTGTCCAACTTTCCATCTCACAACAACGGATTACAGCAACCAGATGGCCTTCCTCCGGTTGAACAAGACAACGCTTCGCACAATTTGACACCAATGATTATTCGCAAGATTGAAAGCGATTGACACCGTTCCGCACTTTCTTCCGCACCTGAATAAGCTTTTGGTACTCCACTTGAGGCTCAATCAATCTCGATCTTGCCGAGAATCTCGAGATGAACCAACCCTACAGCAGAACAACGCCATTGTGAGAATACACAAATCCTTTTGTAAACCCGGGCACGAAGGATCATAGGCATGAATTGTTACCGTAATTTTTTGTCACGAAGTTATGAGACATTACAGCCCGTCAAATAAGTGTCAGAATAGCTGGTGGTGCATGTGCTAAAATTTCCAGCGCAAAATTGACTGAAAGGTACTTGTACCAAATCCACGTGAGTTCACCAACACATCTACCTCATATCAGGATCTTGAAACCCTTCTCTCACATAACCCATTCATTTACATTGCATTCTTGGCCCTTCACTGGGGCGCATCAATCAAGGTGAGGCGGAAGATAAAGTCAGCCTCACAATGAAGACGCTCAAGGTGGACAGGACAGAGAAATGAAGGGTGTCTAGTGCACGTGTGACAGGGTTCAATGTCACTGGAGGGATCTCCCTAGCTTCCCTTGTGGCTCATCCCCACCCGATCCCATGCAAGGGCAAGTAACGGTTATTGCAATGCCGATTTAACGGGGCTGAATACCGACACTATACCATGTTTAACGTCAAAAACCCACGGATAAATAGAGATTTTGCAATTGCAGCAGTAACGGATCTTACAAGAGCTCTCCACTCTATCAGCTTGGTGGATGACCCAATCACTTGATGCTGTCATGACTTGTTCAGGTCATGTCAATACCTGCAACTCTATTCTTGTCCGAGTTTCCATCTCCGTGTCACAATGTCAAACGCAAACCTTGAAAGATCTCCTGCCGTTCCTGATACAGTGATAAAGTGAGATGGCCCCAAGCCGCAAAAGGTTATGCCGAAATAATTTCCTTATCGCAGTGGCGATGGTGTCTTAGTGGCCTCGCTCTAACTCGTCTAACCGTTTTGGACCGCCCCGAAGGGTCCAGACTCCAGAGCTTAATGCTCGACAGCATTTTTGCCAGCAAAATTCTTTCCCATTTTCAATTTCTCTGTTTTCTTCACTGCTATTCACCTCTTGCTCATCTCTTATCTCACCGCACCAATGGAGTACCAAAAACCCCGTCTCCCACCAAAGGCCCCTAGAAGCACCACCTTGAAACCTTCAAATGTGGCCAGCACTTATCACGACCTGGACTTTTACGTGCATCCTAATTTGGTGCCAGACCAGGACCCTTGCAAGGGCAGACTGCTCAAAGCCACCGGTCCCATTCGAGAAGGCACCATTCTTCTGGTAGACACAGCCTATGCTATCGTCCCCTCCGTGACGTCCGATACCGATCCTCTCATCTGCAGCAATCTCTCGTGCTCTCGCCGTGTCCCGCAAAATGGCCGTGCCATACGCTGTGAACACGCCTGTTTCAAAGACGTCGTCTGGTGCAATATCGCCTGCCGAGCCACGGACAAGGTCCGACATGACTTCGAGTGTGCTTGGTTGAAGAAGCACGCCGACAGCATGCTCCGCAAAGAAACAGAGTACAATTTCGCGACGCTCTGGCACGTTGTTCGTCTGGTCGCCACGTGGAACGGAGAGTTGTACAGCGGCAATGCCGTCGCACAGCATCGCTACCCGTGGGAAGCTCACTTTTTGCGTGGCTGGAAGGCCGTCGATATGTGCTGTGCGTACCTTGACTCGTGGCCCGAAGAGCAGATAATCCATTGGAAGCGACTGGTCAATGAGTATCTGAGTGATGCATCTGTTCTGCCGTGCATGTTGACTGCCGACGAAATGCTTTTGCTGCTGTGCAAGGAAGAGACCAACACTTTTGGCCTGTACCCGAGAGCGACTGGCTCTCAATCAGTGAACGACCGTTCTACTTCTCGAGGTGAATCGTACGGGTTTGCTCTGTATCCCCGAGCTGCCCAATTTAACCATTCATGCTTACCCAACGTGAGTTGCTGTTAATCATCTCAGTGCTTGGTCGACTCGTCGAGTACTGACTTTTGTTTCAGGTATCACATAAACCAGATGGCCAAGCACGAATGGTCTACACCGCCGCTCGTGATATCGCCAAGGGCGAAGAGTGCATGATTACCTACTTTGATCTGGTGACACGTAAGGATCTGTCAAGTAGACAGAAATATGCCCAGACACAATTTCAATTCAAGTGCACATGCAGCAGATGTTCGGAAGAGGAAGCTGAAGAGAATATGGACATCATGGACTCATTACCATTCGGGTTCTAAGGGAAAGGAAGCATGGCGTTAAGAGGTACTTATAGCAAGTTATACACGGTGGAGTAAAGGCATACATACATCATCAGAGAATACATTCATTGAGACTAAGGAGCAGAAACGCTTGCAAACAGGCGGAAGTGTAAACAAGATGTCATTATAAACTGGAAATCAGAGCATCATATTATACGACCAGAAGCCCATTCCTCTGTTTCGAGTCAAGTCTTCTCACTCATCAGCCCGCTCCCCATCCGCAGAGGGGAACAGAAGCACTTGCTGTCCCCATGCCATAGCTATCTCTGCAACAGTGACCGCCTTCTCCCACTCATCAAGTCGGAATCCACGCTCAACAATCTCATGTCCCGCTCCCTTGCCCAGCTTCAGAACCCCGGTCTCTATCATCTTGATCAGCGATGCCAACTCCTCCCGTGTATACATGAATTTCGCCCTAATCGTGATATCCTTAAGCACCAGGCTTGCATAGTTGACTTTTATATCAACCATCATGCCCAAGAAGACTACACGACCGAAGCAGCGCAGTGAGCTGATTGACACGGTTAGATGGTGAGGGCTTTCTGTGGCAGCAGGAGGCGAGACGTCGATATATGCATCAGCGCCCTCGGGCACTAACGCTCGGATGGCCTCAGTATCAGCCTTCTCATCGCCAGTCAGCTCAAGCGCTGTGACTCGAGGGAAATGAGAAGTAAGGGGCTCCAGCTTGGACGCCGACCGGGTGAGAGCAATCACTTTGCAGCCAATTTGAGCAGCTAATTCGACTACTGCTCCAGAGAATTGACCAGTGGCAGGGGCGACTATGACAGTTTCGCCCGCTTGAAGGTTGGCAGCTTTGATACCGCCATACGCAACCGAAAGGCGTTGAATGTAGTTGAGGTCGCCAAAAGAGTACCCCATCTCATCAGCCAAAATCTTCTCATTGAGAGGTAAGACATTTTCCGCTGGAACAATGGCGATGTCCTTCCAAAAGCCCTTCCAGAGATTGAACAGCTTACTATCTCGCTCAGGGCCACCGCCATCATGAAGTCCAAGAAGTACACGTGTGTTTGGGTCATCTCGCGCAGTGGCAAAGTTACTCATATAGACAAGTTGTCCCGGCTTGAGAGAGACAGCATCGGGTCCAACAGAGATGACACGACCAACGCCACCATCACCGGGATTGTACGGAGGCGTAAAAGAAAGAAAGCTCTTTCCATGAAAGCCAGCCCGCTGGTGCGGACGAACTGGAGTACTGAGAACACGGACAATGATTGATCCTGATGGTGTAGGCTTAGGAATGGGAGTCTTCTCCAAGTCGAGCTGTCCGTTGAAGGAGTTGAGGACAAGTGAGGTCGAAACCTGGGGAGAAAAGGTGTTATCGTTCATGGTAATGGATTTATAAGGCACGGCTGGGTTGAGATTGTTTTGGATTTGTTGATATTGAGGTCTTGAGAAGTGTGCAAGAGCAACCTTTATACTTCTCTGTCTATTATCCGATGTTCTCCTCTAAGCTTGACAATTTCGTCGAATATGTGCCTGTGACTATCATTATCCAATGAAGTCGCAGAGATCTGCATGGCTGCTTTCTCGGCCGTAAGCGCGGGCATAACATTTACCAAAAGTAGTAATTCTTTGCTCCGACATGTCCGAGGTTCCACTCAATCCTACATAGCACTCCACTTCGAGAAAGAGTAGACGAAATAATTGGGTTAATGGACCCCGAAGTTAGGGAGGAATGTGCCTAATCATTTCCTGCACCTCCGAGAAAAGTCACCAACCTAACTATTAATACTGAATGGGATCCAAGCATGCATCGTTCATAAACACTTCATTGAAGGATTCGTAATCAATGAGTAGATCTGAATCCTTTACTTACGTCAGTATTGGCTTCCATTCTGCGTCCAAGTCATTTCACTTACCTCCATTGTGCCATCCCACTCGGTACTGCTGATTCCGCATTCAACCTCAACACCTTCGTACCCAAACACATTTCTATCCGAGCCCACTGGCACATGGTCATCATCCTCTATAACTTCAGGACTCTGGATATAGTTCGAGTACTGATGGGGATTCGAAATACGACTCGGTCCTGACTTCCTTATACACATATTGGACAAGACTACTCGAAGCATTCGCGAGCTTTCAAGCGCATGGACCGAGGCGCATGGCCTTTTTGACCATAGCAGCGCTGCAGTCTGCAGTGTAGTCATTATGTACCTCCCCTCGACAGGTCTGGAGCATATTAGAATAGATATAGGAACGAAAGATCTTGTACTCACGGCAGATCTACGCAGTCGAAGAACTCAAGCGGCGCAACGATAGTCATCATCAGGAAGTCGCTGAAAGGTAAGTTCGCGGCAATATGTTGGTCGTCGTGCAGCCTTCCACCTTTTTGCATCTCGCGATCGACTTCCACATAGACTCCAATGGATCGCACGGCATTCTTTCGGCATACATCAAGGGCTGTTTGAAACTCGTGTCCACTGTATGTCATTGAATCCAGAAATGGGCGATGTAATAACGTGATACTGGTGGTGTAGATAAGCTCAAGGAGGACTCGTTGCATGGCAATGTGATTAGAATCGGTGAATGCAGAATCTTTGATCGAGCGGATGCGAAGGCAAGGAGGTATCGAGCCGTACCAGGCGTCTAATTGCGCCTTTAAAGACATTGCGTCCGAGTAGCTACATATCTCGAAGCCTTGAGTATGACATATTATTCGACGTAAGATTGGCAGAAGCCGAGACATGAACACATAGGGTAACATGGATTGAGCTTCCGTAGTCGGCCGCGTCGATACAACCATGGAGTCCTCATCGAAGTCGTCATCTGTGGCGTTTGTAGGATGGTAGCCCGAGGATGTTTCTCCATGGATTAGTGGAGGAAGACCATACTCGAGCGAAGTTAACACGTCGTGATACTGGATGAAGAACCAAACGCGCCGTCTCATCTCTGCTTCAAATGGAGTGACGAGTTGTAAAAACTGGTTCATATCGCAATGATAGAATTTCTGTTGAGCAATACGAACGGTCACTGCATGTAATTGAGATGGATCGAGGTCTGGGTCTGGGTTGTCCTTCTGGAAGCTTCGGGCATGAAGATGCATGGCCAAGGCTTCGACTGAGAACTCTGCAGCCTTGTGGTACTGTCCCGAGACAAGGTATCGCGCTGACAGGTTGATATACAGCGATGACTCTTGGACAGCTGACTTTGAAATTATAGCACCAACAGCCATAATCGAGAACAATATACTGATCCACAAGAAACTGCTGGAAGTTGGATCCTTCCAGAATTCTTCATACTGTCGACGAAATTGGTGAGTGTGAATAAACGGAACGGCGACGTATTTGGCGTTGAAGTATGCTGATACCATGCGATCCGTTATCTGACGAGACGGCAACGCTTTGGGAATATCTCGCACTGAAACCTTTTCCGTAGGTCCGAAGATAATTTCTGGAATATGGTATGTAGAAGGAGTCTTTGTAAGACTTTGGCTGGGATTTTGGTCGATTTTCTGCTCGATACGCCCTACGCTCTCAAGCAGCTGTTTGTAGGATTCGGCTGATTGGTCTTGTCCAGGCTGACTGAGGAGGCTCTGCAGCACACTCCGCATTTGTCGAAGCTCACTTTGAACCCGACCCTCGCTATTCTCGGCCGAGGTAGACTTAGCAGGTCTTGGAAGGGACTCGAAACAACATGATTCTTGAATACCACGCTTCTGGCACCCGCTGCAAGGCTGCTGTCTATCACATCTCTGCTTACGGGCTCGGCAGGCGGTACATGACACCGTTGGCCTGTTTCGCTTGACCCGCTGCGGCCGGATCAATCGGAACGTGTTCATATGATTTGATAGTTCTCGACTGGTCATTTTGGCGTTGGGACGAACAGATCGCAATTTTAGATGTTGGTCACATCCATGAATTGGGGAGTGACAAGCGGGTAATGATCTGTCGGCTAAAGGCCACAGCAGACAAATTAGTCAGCGCCGAGGAGTCATGTTCCTGGTTACTTCTGTTGGCAATACGTTGCTTTAAGCCAGGACATATATTCTATTCAGTATTCAAAACTCAGGTATCATCGCTTGCTCACCCAAGCATCAATATGTACATCACCATCATCGCTCAACTCAATTCAACATATGTCCAAAATCACATGACCCCCTTCACAGCCGGTTATACCGACAGCGTCTACAAGCCATTAGGCGACACTGACGACACTCATACAAAAACATAGGTAGAACTTGATTGCATCTCTCGCACTGCCTGGGGCCTGGTCGGCCCCTCCACCATTGGTGAGTGCATTCATGAGCCCGTATCAAGTTCATTCTCTCCTGCGCGACGTAAACTTGTCGCTGGATTTCATCAAAGTAGCCATAGTCCATGAAGTAATTCCGATCAACAATGACATTTGCCCTTTGCATGAGTTGATCCTCTTCCCATTGTGGGCAATCACAGTTTTTCCATGGAACTCCGCAAAGATAGCAGAATTGGGCACCACATAGACAAGCTTCATTCTCATTAGAGATTGGAAAGCTTTTTAACAAAGAAATAGTGACTTACTGATATGGTAGCAACCAAAGTTTAGCTCCACCAGTCGTCGGCATGCATTACAACTCTGCCAGCCATTCTCTGCGGCAAGCTTGAGAAGCAGCTGCGCCGAGGCGTCTTCTTTACAAACGCCAGCGTGATACCCGGCCTTACAGTGTGTACAGGTAGTCCACTTACACTTAGGACAGGTCGCCACCTCGTTTGCAATGAATGCGGGCGGGATGAATGTTGAACAAGTCGGTATGCTGCAGTAGGTCCGGTTCGGTGTGTCGTGTTCTAGCTTCTTTTCGTTGAACTGGTCGACAAGCTCTCGTGAGAACCATTGACCCGTCTTGATAGGGATATGCTGTCCGCAGCAACGGGGAGGGAAGAGTGACTCATCGTGAAGTGATGCTTGTAGGAGGCAGACGATACATTCACGACAAGATTCATGCGAGCACGGAGAACGAAAGAGCTCAGATGGCGGGAAGCTATCACCACAAGCAACACATTCTCTTGACTCAGTTGGCTTGCGCGATGCAGTCACCCTGGACGATTCAGCCCGTTGTTCAGACCCTCGAAGACGCATTGACCGCATGGACTCAATCAAGGCATCGTGCCCGTCCAAGTGGTCATCCATCCTGCTGTGGGTCGCATGGCAAAGACTCATCGTGGGTTGTCGATCTTGATCGGCTTGTTGGTATGCTTGTTGAAGGAGGACTTTGGGCTCCAAGAACGATGGACGAGGGTCTCTTTATAGACATCGGAGAAGTTAAGGTTTGATAGGAACCCTGGGTGTAGCTCCGGCCAATACTGCGATAAGGTTCAGTAAGGTTCAGTCAGTTAACGCTCAGTGAGAACATGAGCATCTAAGCAGGCCGCCTAATGCTGAAAGGAAATGCAATTCCTATCTCACTCGGTATAATATCAGCTGAGTTTACGATCGAAAGAGTCACACATTTGAAGAGTCATGGTAAATGCATGCGCACATCAAATATATTAATTGTTGGCGCTTCAATCTCAGTTCGGTGAGCCTCCAGAGCCATTTCGAAGTCAGTCCCCACACCCGCGCGCGGGTTATCTTTGATTCAATATGACCTTGGCGCTGAAAGTCGAATGCAAGTATCAGTAGTGAGGTACGCATGATGAAGAAGAAAATGTCTCAACTGACCCATCAAGCATCGGATGATATGTTCCGACGACCAAACCCAAAGTTTACCTGAAGTTCCACGCAATCAGTCGTGATGCCACAATCTACTGATAGGCTTGACGTAGTCAGAAGCTCGGGAAAGCCTGCAAAGTGTGACAAATATCTGGCCAGCTCTCATGGTGTAGAGTTCTTATAAGCACCCAATGCCTGGCCTTGCACTGAGCTACGAGCATCTTGACAGGGTCCTAGCGCTGAACTTTCGTCTATCAAATGGCCACATGGCAAGATCATTTTGAACTTATCCCTATAAAATAGACCATAGATATTGCTTCCCGTGTTTTCTTTGTCATTTGCTGCCTCAAGATTTCGGAATCGAAAGATTGACTCCAACGAACCGAAAGATGACAAAGAGCAAAGAGGTCAACTTAACGCTCAATAGGCGTATCTTCGGTGCCGCAAGATTGAATACGATCCTCAGATGCGATATATTTATGCTTTGTTAAATTTATTATTAACATTAGCAGCAATCCGATCAAAATATTATACCATGGTCCGATGCAACACCCTCTGATGACGAGGATATCCCAACTCCAGGTACCTGCAAGCTGCCTCACACTCACATGCTGATCTGTGATCTCATTCCGATGCTAATAACACGAAAAGGCTTGTAAACTCTCCCTTACTAGAGGCGGGTCTTCGTCCGTATCTCCGGGATCTTCAGCCATCGTCACATTCCCATTGGAACTCAGCATTACTGATGAGCAGCATTCGTTGCGAAGAACAAAAACATCCACAAGGAAACGTGCCAATGGCGGCAGTTCCTGACTGCAACTCCAGCCGCTTTGGCCTTTCAGCCAGCCACACGGTCCAATGGAGCTAGGCTTGTCTCAATAGTTCTCTGGGGGAGGCAGGGGTAGTGACCAGTAAGATATAGCGAGGTGAGACATTGGCTTGAATGATATTCTCAGCAACGCGAAACTATTGATGCGCGATGAAAATTCCAGAGCTGATGCCTTGATGGTTGCCGCAGCTAACGACGGATCGGACCTCAAGTGCGGTGACGGGCCTTATCCCGTGCGGGGATCAGGGGCGATTGAGACACGGCTGAGCGATCTTCACGCTTTAGTCTGCTTGGTTGAGACAAACCAGGGAGTAGTCCTGGCAATTGAGATGCTGGGCAAGGGCTAAAAATGCATGTGCTATGAGCAGTATGCGTAGTAGTGCATTGCCCAATCTCTTGGTCAGGCTATAAGAAGGCGACGTCTCCAGCTCGAACGACAGCTGATGAACTCGGCTGTACCTTGTCGTCATTCAGTAATACCGCCATCATGTTGTTCAAGTCCATCTTCATCTCGTCCCTTGCGACCAGTGCTCTGGCCATATACCTCCCTGAGGACCATTACCTCGCCAAAGCTCCAGCAATTCAAGAAGGAAGCTGCAACTGCTCCGGTGACAACATCAGATACAACAAGTCTCTCGCCAGCGATTACATTTGCGGTGACAAGCGTCTTGGTCCTAGCCGACTTCCCACCAAGCTTCCTCTTGGAACTTTCGTTACTGGCTACGACCGCTTTGGAGGACTCTCTCCCAACGACTTCCTTGGTAAGTGGTACAACTCCACACAGGGACCCGACGGTCGCGAGGCGGGATGGATCTATCCTGAGAAGTACGGCTTCCATCTGGATGAGGAGAAACTTCCTGTCAAGTCGAACATAGACTTGATGCCCGGTACGCTGGTAGACCGTTTTGGCTACAACACTGGTAAGTAAGCCTGGTGCTCTTCAATTGACAAGATCTGACGAGTATACGTAGGTCGCTACATCTCCCCTGCTACCGCTCCCTTTGCGCAGCGAGCGCTCCACCCTCAGAACCTCGATAACGATGTCAACAAGGAGTTCCCAAACAACTACCACGTCTACAACGTGACCAGGATGTTCACTGTTCAAGCCGGCCCTATTAGACCTTGGTTCGGCCAGCCAGGCTTCGGCGTTCAATTCTTCCTTGGAAATGGTATCAATGTGAAGGATTATCTTGACAACGGACATTTGGTGGAGCTCAAGCCATCTGATCTCGTCAAAGATAGAACTGGATGCGGCTTCCAGCGAGAGGACGAGGAGCCCGTCTCGGACGAGCTGTGAACGTAGCGGCTGCGAAAATGTAAGCCACAGAGTGGCAATCACAAGACAATAGCAGGATTAAATGAAGATAATGTTTTTGAACAATTAGAAACGCCCGTCAATTCGTAAATAAATAGTGATAGGTAAAGTTTTAGATCGGCGCTTCGGGGTTCCTGATGAAGCTCTCAACAGCGAGGGCCAACTCCTCCAATCGCGCCTCCCAAAACTCGCGTCGCTCCTCGTCAGCCTCAATACCGATCTGCGCTCTACCATTCTCCACAAATGACACAACGCGGGGCGGTGTCGCAGGCTCGGGGTGAGGAATGGAGTAATCTACGCGACACTTTGTTCCAGCAAAGGGAATTGAGTCGAAGAACTCTTTGTTGAGGTGGTTCGTGAAAGACCCATAGAAGGGAGTGTCTGCAGGCCAGCCTGTGCATTCCTTGAGGACTTCTTGGAAGCTGAGAGTGGCGCGCTGACTACCCTCGAGGGATTGGCTTCGTACAGAGTCCAAAAGTTGCAATGCTGTCAGGTTGGGCTCGAACTTGACACGGACAGGTTGGTACTGGTAGCAAGGACCCATGATGGTGTCAATACCAGGGACGTCGACGTCGCGACCGGATACAATGCCACCGAAGGTAACATCTGACACATTGAGGTGCTGAGACAGGACCTTGGCCCAGCCTGCAGTCAGCAGCATCGCGTGCGTGGTGTCGGGTGAGGCTCCAGAGATGTCCACATCTCTTGTCATGAAAGCGGTCTTCTGCTGAGGGTCCGCGGCAGGGGCAATCTCGGTGTGCGAGGATCCCTGGAGGGTCTTGCGCCAGTACTCGACGTTCTGGGGCTTGGTACTCGAGAGGTGTTGAATGTAGGTCTGGAAAGGCTCTGAGGATGGGATCTCTAGGCCTCTGTATCGAAGCTCGAGTTGACGGAGGAGCTCTGGCAGAGAGACACCGTCGTATTGAGCGTGAGAGATTCGGATCATGAATGCGTTTTCCTTCTCGCCACGGAGGACGAAAAGTCGGATGAAAGAGGAGCCAAATGCGAGATCAGTGCTGTTGTTAGCGTCCGTTTCGACAAGCTGCTTGGCGGCGACATCAATTGAACCGTCGACATTCTGCTCTGTTACGGGAACCTTCAGATCATCGAGTATGACTTGAAAAGTCTGTCCTTCGTTCTGAATAAACACTGTTCGAAGGATAGCATGCTGCGAAACGAGGTACTGGAAGCTATCGACCAGTCGGGCAGTGTCAATTGATGGGTCGAGGTAGAGCATGTTGTATTGAACGGAGCTTCGCGGCGCGTACACCGACTGCTTGACGTCGCCAGTCTGGGGTCCAGTGGCAGGCAAAACATCCTGGATCTTCCATCTCGAGTCTGCCAATTGAGGCTGGATAGTTTGTGCCAACAAGCTATCGACATCCTTCATTCCCAACAATGAGAAGGCGGCGTACTTCTTAGCTGTCTCGTCGCTCTCTGTCGACACCCCAACCAGTGAGTTAGCCATGCCCCGAAGCTGCATGTTCTGGAAGATGCTCGCGACAGACAGACGGTAGCCTTCTTGTCGCAGGGCTGAAACCATGCGCATCGCCACAATGGAGTCGCCACCTAGGCGGAAGAAGTTGTCATCGAGTGAGAGCTTCTCCTCTTCAATGCCGAGGAATTTTGACCATGAGGCACGAAGAACGCGCTCCTTCGTGGTCAGGACAGTAGTGTCTGCGATGGTCTTCTTGAGAGACGCGAAAGCCTTGCGTAACTCCACAACCAGAGACAGTGTAACGTCATCGGCTACACTGTCAAGCTTCTCGATGTTTGCTGGGTCGCCCAGAGGAATGCAGATTGAAGGGATTGCGTAGGGTGGGAGAGTCTCAACCAGAGCCTTGTTAAGGCCAATAATGGCGGTCGCAAGCTCCACCGAAAGAGCTGGCGACAAGGGCAAGGAAGCATCGCCAGTTTTGACATCAAGCTTAAGCGATTGTGCATCCTTGGGAGGAGTCTCTTTGATGAATGCGACAACGACAGGCATCTGGCTACTTGAGCCCTTGGGAACCAATAGCCTGCTGGCAACCTCAACATTATTGGGAAGCAAACGCTTGAGCTCGAGATTGGTAGCGTTGAGGTCAACTACTCGACCATCAACGCTAGCCATGGCGTCTTTGCGACCGACAAAGACCAAGGTCATGTCATCTGCATATTTGACAAGGTCGCCAGTGCGGGATAGTTTGCCCTGTCTGCCTGGGTAGCCCATAGCGCCCTCCTTGAGCCATTCGGGAGTATCCACGACATCGGCTTCGGCGCCTGTAGCGACACCTTCTACAAGAAGCTCTCCGGTGCTTCCAAGTGGCATGAGAAGTCTCTCGTTGCCGGGCTGAACCACCCAAGGAACATATTGGGTGGTGGGGTATTTGTCGCCCGTAGACAAAAACCTGGAAATCTCCTTGGGGGAGACAGGCGCGTGCTTGTTCGTCTCCCAAATCTGGCCAAGCTCCTCATCACTCAGGCATGTGAGCTCATTCAACGAACGTGCCATATCTCCACGCAGCTGGTTAATCGCCACCTCAAACTGTGACAGGACACGCTCGACCTGAACAGGACTCAAGAGGTCTGAGTCGAAGCTTGCCAAAAGACGGAAACCTGCCTTTTGCATGGACACAGCCAGCATGAGAGGGTATGAGTTGAAGTGCAGAGCTTCGAGAGCGGCATCGCCACCACGGAATGATGGAAGCGCGTCACTCTCATTCTCAATTGAATCGGGGTCTTGAGGCTGCACAACAAGGCCCATGGTGACCTCGCAAGCAATCTGAGCGTCTTCGCTGAGTCGTCGGATGTGTTGAATACCAAGGTGTTCGTGCGCAGCGCGGGCGACGCTTTGTTCTTGAACAGCTCGAAGGAAGTCTTGCACGGTAGTGGTGCGATCGAGACGGATGCGTACAGGCACTGTAGCAAGAATAGGACCTTCAATCAACTCGGCGCCAGGAAGAGGAATAGTGCGACCCATAAAGGTTTCGCCAAAGACAACATCGTCGCTCATAGAGTACTGAGACGCCAGTAGAGCCCAAGCGGCGCGAATGACAGTAGCAATGGTGATGTCCGACTTGGCAGCCTTGTCAAGCTTAATGAAGCGCTCAGTCAGGGAAGTCGGGTCGGGAATATAAGACCGCGACGGCAGAGATGGGAACTGAGGTCCTGTAGCACCTGCAAGCTGTGTCTTCCAGTAATCCTTGGAAGACTCGCGTGAGTCCTCGGCGAGGTATCGAATGAAGTGCTTGAATTGAGCAGGTCGAGAAACTTCTTCGCCCTTGTATGCAGCACGCGCATGCTCAACAATGAGATCCGTTGACCAGCCATCGTAAATAGCGTGATGAGCTGTCCACACGAAGTAGCGCTTGTTGAAAGCCTTGTCAGTGACGATGACGAAGCGAGACAAATGCGCGCCGGGCGACATGGGCTCCTTCTTGTCCTCTTCCAGGAAGTCTTCTAAGCTGGAGTCTACCTCCCTCCATTGGAGAGACTCGTTGACAACGACCTGCATGAAGCCATGTTGCTTGAACTCGACGATGCGTGTTCGAAGAATTGGACTTTCTTTGTACACAACATTCCAAGCTGACTTGAGCTTCTCAATTGAGCTGGAAGAAGGAATGTCGGCGATGCGCTGCGCGACATAGTTCTCCCTTGATCGCGTGTAGAACGCCATGTGAATCTCCTGCATAGGCGCGCAAGGATAAATGTCCTCGATTGCGCTGACGTCGCACCCAGATTGCTCAGCCGCCTCAGCGCACAAAGCATCATGGTCCATTCCATCCTTGAGTAGCGAGAACTCGGGGATCTGCATGTCTATGCCCTTGCTGTTGTCGCCCTTCTGCATAGACTTGGCCATGTCGGAAAGGACTGGGTAGTTGAAGATGTCGGCAACGGAGAGCGTGTAACCCCAGTCTCGCACAATTGGCACCAGCTTCATGGCGAGGACTGAGTCGCCGCCCGACGTGAAGAAGTTGTGCGTCGTACTGACTTGCTTAGACTCGAGACCGAGAAGGCGACACCATGAGTCGCGCAGGAACAACTCAGATTCAGATTCTGGTTCGCGAATCTCAGGGCTCTCATTTACAGCTGCGGAAGCTTGCATGTTGGCGGAGATCTCGGCGCCGAGGGCACGCAGCGACTTGCGGTCAATCTTTCCAGACACAAGATACGGGATCTTGGAGAGAGTAATGTATTGTGTAGGAACCATGTACACGGGAACAACCTTAGACAGCTTGTCGTTCAGCGACTCGAGCGCATCGCGGAATCGAGGCGCGTAGTCAATCGGGCGTGCATCCCCATCATCCTTGGTCTCACGATCCGCGATGAAAGCGACCAGCATCGACTCTTTGCTCTGGTTCCGTGGCGCGATAATCTCAGCGACGACTTCGGCGCCTGAGGGAAGCAGGTTCTTGATGTGATGTTCAATCTCGCCCAGCTCGACCCGCTGTCCGCGAAGCTTGATCTGAGTATCCTTGCGGCCGACAAAGATGAAACCTTTCTCTCCATCGGGATCGTATCGAACCAAGTCGCCTGTCTTGTAAAGACGGCCTCGTCGCCCAGGGATACCACCCGTGCCCGCGAGGAGAAATTCGGGGTCGTGGATGAAGGCCTCGTTTGTCTTTTCCGGGTCACCCAAGTATCCTTGACCAACAAGAGGGCCCTCGACGAGCAGCTCACCAACTGCGCCCACTGGAACAAGCTTATTGTGGTCGTCAGGATCAACAAGCCAAATGCATGCGCCAGTACCAGGACCAATGCTGACGTACGGCTTGCCTGCTGCACTGGGGTTGACAGTACATCCGATCGTACATTCAGCTGGACCGTATCCAATGACGATTCGCGTGTGTTGACCCCAAATAGCAATGTCGCCAGCTGAGCAAGCCTCACCACCGATGCCAAGACTGTTCAGTGAGGGGATAATGTCGGGGTCTAGGATTCGTGCGACCGAGGGTGTGATGTTGACCATGTTGACTTTGAGGCGACGAATCGCGCCGCTCAAATCATTCACACGATCCATGTCTGTGGGAATGCAGAGACATCCACCGCGAATAAGAGTGCATAGAATGCTGTCAATACTGACATCGAAGGCGTATGAGGTAAAGTCGAGCGATCGCGATGTATTGGAGTAACCGATACCTGTACTTCGGGCGAGCGCGCTGGCGGTATATGTTTCATGGGAGAGCATGACTCCCTTAGGTGTTCCGGTACTTCCAGATGTGAATATAATGTATAGAAGAGACTTGGGTGGCACTTCGGGTAGTTTTCTGATGGGATCTTCGATGGTCTTGTCGAGGAAGTTAAAGGACTCCATGTCGACGATGACATGCTTCGTCTCGGGCGCGATCTCGGATGCGTATTTCGCCTGGTCTCTCGAGGTGAGAATATGTGTCGCTTTGACTTGCTGCGCCATAACCTGTCGTCGCTGAATAGGCTGGCTTGGGTCCATGAGCACGAATGCCGCGCCCGCCTTGATAACGCCCATGACACCTACAGTGGTCCATCTGGACTTCTCGAAGCACAGCGGGACGATATCGCCATTCTTAACGCCGAGATCAATAAGATGCTGCGCAAGAAGCGTCGAAAATTTATCCATCTCCGCGTATGTAAGGTCACCATCCCACGAGCAAATGGCTTGCGCATCGGGCCGCCATCTCACCTGCTCGGAGATCAAGGTGTGGATGCACATCGGCACTGGCGGGGGAAGGTCTTTGTTCCAATTCCATATCACGGACTTGTCTAGCTCGCCGAGTGGTAGAACGGAGTGTAGTGTTGAGTCGGGGCTGGCGAGGGTTGTGTTGAGGACTTCGACGAGGGCTTGGGCGAAGTGGTTCGCGAGAAATTCGGCGCCGAGGGGTTCGCGCCATGTTGGTCGGAGGCAGAGAGTATCCTCTTCGAGCGTCGCTTGTATTTGGACATTTCCCTGTATCACACACCCTGTTAGTTGGCGTACGATTGGTTTGAAGCAAGAGGCTTACCCAGTTCACGGAAATATCACCATCCTCGTTTACTTCATTGACCAAATCACCGGGCGCAGCCTCGTCATTGAAGAAGAACCTGCAGCCCTCCGTCTTGACCTGTCCTTGAGACTGTAGCTTTTGATGCAAATATGTTCTGAACACGTCTAGCTCTGATGCGACAGAGTTGCTGCCCTCCCATTGCAGCTTGGCTGTGTTGAGTGTGAAGGTGCGACATGTGGTAGACCCGATCTCGCTCAATCCCCACGAGAACTCGACATGATTTCCGTGGTTATGTCGATACAGAAGAAGTGACCATGCTAATAGTAGGATCTCAAGCCCGTTGCTACCTTGTTCATGGTGTTTGCGCAGAACGGGTACGTCATAACGGACACCCTTTGCTTGGGGCTTCTCTTGTGATTGAAGCTCTGTCATTGTGATTCCTATCTCTCTTTCAAGATAGTCGGCTTCTGTTAAATGAGATATTGTCCCAAGAGTTCGGGAGTTTGGGCAATATTTTGCTATTTTGCAGTCAAGTATGAGGCTGCAGATGCAAATGTGCGTCCATACCTATCGAGGCTTCACATGAACACCTCCACTATTTTATTGTAGACTTCCACCCAACTTCACATGCAGGAACCTCATTACGTATCGAAAGAGAGCCTTTTCTCCCTCTTGCCCTGTATAAAGCGCATGTGGGGGGTCTGGTCTGGCCAGCGCGGGTAATGCAAGGACTGGGACGGTACCTTTGAAGCCTTCCACACCAGGTATCGAGAGTGCCGTTTTCGTTTCAGGGTCCCATCCCCAGGGCATCATCATCGTGGGCGACTTCGGAGGGTGTCCATTTCGGAGCTTTTGTCGCCTTCCATTTGTTGATCACGGCACGCTAAGCCGGGCGTGAATCGAGGTACAGGACGTAAGGAGATGGAGATGATGGTGGATGACCCACGCAGAGATGGAGCTATGCGCGACTGGGTTAGCGAGACGAGGCAATTGAAGAAAGATCCTGGCATACTGTTGGAAGAAGCTCCATCACAAGACAAGACTAGTGGGCTTTGAAGAAGTTGGGAGACGCGGTGGGCGGCTTCGGCATCGAACTTGGGAAGGTGAATGAGGCTGCTTCCTTCTGCGTAGAAGGAAGCAGCGTTCGCATCAAACGGCTTGCAGTGTAAAACATGGGTGTGAGACATGCCCAGGTCACCGGTAAAAGGATCATCCACCTTTTTTGTTCGTGCATCTAATCGTCCGACAGCTGCAAAGCGACCCCGACTCTGTCACTTCATTGTTCGCTCGAGTTGTCGACTTGCAGCCTCTTCGGGCCTCCACTGCGCTGCACCATGGCAGCCCAAAGAAACAGGGTTTCATTTCGTCTTTTACTATACGGCAAGCAGTAATAATCGACACGCTGGCGGGGACGCGATGCGAAGAATAACGGAGATGAAGCCGAGGCGAACTTTTCGGGTGGGGTGATTGATAAGTCCATTATCTGATCTGATTAACAAGGATCGGGACCCTAACAAAAGATGGCGTCACACCAAAAAAGCCACCAGGAGCAAAGAGCTCTTTTTTCTTCAATTGCCGGGTGCATTTTACCATGGATGCTTCACATTGCTAGCTTCAATCGAATGACATAAGTGCAAGGAGGTACATAGAAGACACGAAAAGAGAGAAAATGCCTCAACAACCGTGGTACTGACAGTTACTGCATCCATTAGACTACAGCTTGCTGTCCACCCATCTCGGACTCCTCTTCTCCACAAAGGCCTGCACGCCCTCATGGAAGTTGTGTCCATCCGCCATGACAGCATCCCATGTCTGACGGTGCACCCGCACCGCATTCTCGGCGCTCCCATGTTCCCAGCCTGCAAGGATACCCGCCCGAGACACGATCACACTGTCGGGGCTATTGCTGATGATGGCAGCCGCATACTCGAGGGCCTTTTTCACCACTGGCCGCTCCAGCACGTCGCTATCCGCCGGGGCATCTTCAGTGATAGCATTGAGGATGCCAAACTCGCGGGCTTCTGCAGCGCTGATACTGCGTCCCGTTAAAGCCATCTCCGTCGCTCTGTGACGCCCAATCGTCCTGGCTAGTCTCGGCAGGGAGCCTGCATTAGCGACGACACCAATCTTGGCCTCAGGTAGGGCAAAGACAGCACTCTTTGCAGCGACGATGAGGTCGAGGTTTGCGATCATCTCGAAACCCCCTCCCATAGCCAAGCCGTTAACTGCAGCGATGATGGGCTTCTTTCCGCTCCTGCGCGAGAGGCCGCCAAATCCCGTCAAGGGCGGGTCCATCGGTCGCTTCTCGGGTATGCCATCTCTTTTGCGCTGGTTAATCTGGTTCCATTCCTTGAGGTCCATGCCTGCGCAGAATGCTCGTCCAGCGCCTGTCACGATGGCGCATCGTAGGGAGGGCTCATTGTCGTACCACTCCCAAAGAGCTTCGAGCTCATATTCTGCGTCGCTGGTCATTGCATTGAGAGCATTTGGTCTGTTGAAGACCACAAGCATAACGTGATCTGCTGGGAATGAAACGATGCCATAGTTTTGTTGTGGTGGCTGTTTGTTGAAGGTGTGCTGTGCCATAGTGAATGAGTCGCTAGAGAATAGTGGGATACAGCGCTGGGAGAGTTTGTCACACGAATCGTTTATGTGCTCCAACGAAATGCATCCGACGATGGATCTTTTCTTACGCGGTTTATCTGATGAAGCCGAGGGATCTCAATGGCCAGCATCATTGGGAGAATTTCTTCCGATCAGATAAAAACCGGCGCGATGCAACCCAAGCCGGTGTTGGAGTTCCCTGGCTGGTCGATCTCCGACACACCCCTCAGCACGCACATGGCCCGATCGTTTTTGGCGTGGAAGCTACGGAATGAACCGTTTGAAGAATCTAATCAATCACATCTGATAACGAGGATCCATCGCATCACATGCACGAGGCAATCAATACATTTGATGATCGTGCATGATGCTAACGCAGCACCGAGATCGGGGTCCATCAAACTGGATCCAGCAGAATTTTTCACGAAAGCTATGACGCCCAACTCGGGAGCTTGGAGATGATCAGCGGTTGTGTTAATGCAGGTTGGCTTGGTAGTTTGCTTTGGACTTGGCTAATACACATTTCCCGGTACTACCGGTAGTTCCAGCCTCTCGACCGCGCCCGCGCTTCTCCATCGTCCCGAACACGAATTGCTGAACAAACAAGAGCGGAAGAGTCGCTGTCCACTGAGTTATCAGTCCAGAAGGCGCCAAGTGGTCGGGTATATCCCAGACACGGGTAGCTTGTACTAGGTTGTGGGTGTGCTGTATATTTTGCCGGGTGCGACGTGTTTCTGGGCATTCTGGATCGGCTTGCAAAGCCTCAGCCAAGAATGCGCGTCCGTCGTCACCCATCATGCTGCACAAGTAGACAGTACAGGTTTGCTCGTCGCGCCTAGCCGTAGGAAAACCTGTGCTGTCAATTGGGGCCAACGCAAATACTCAAATGCTTGAGCCCCAGCTTAAAGATCATTCCAGCTCCTCGCCGTTGTTGCGACGCGTCAAGCTGTCGCAGCTCGTCGCGAAGAACGCCAGGTCCTTGCAATGCTGTACCCGAACAATCGCATTGCCCACCGCACATAAACATAACGTATTGGTAGAGAAGCGCTTGTTTAATTGTTCGCGACGTAGTCCAATTCATAGTTCAAGGTTCTGGCGACACAGCGCCAAAGCTAGGTATTCGGTACGGATAGATTTGTACGCGTCGCGATATGGAAAGCAAGCTTCTCGTCTATACCACGCAACAAAGCTTTGTCAGTGACGAGATTGCATTCACTTACGTCCATCCAGTAGATACTTCTGGTGCCTCTGTAGTTTGCGCTTCGTAAACCTCGTACATGGTGATTCTGTTCTGCTGAGCGCGTTGTGATGGGGTCAAAAACACGATTGCGTCAGGCTTCGCAAAAGGGTCGATTGCCTGCGATATCACGACCGAAGTAATGTTGATATCCTTTTTCCCAGATTGAGACGGTCGGACATCGAAACAGGATGTGAAGAGAATTGAGGCAAGAGAGTATCTGCGAGATATTTTGCTGTCGGCAATCAGTGTGCAAACAACCTCATTGAACTTTCACGAAGGATATCACCCACAACTACGTCATACAGACCTTCAGAATTGTATTCTGGCTTAAAAGTTTCTCATAAACTCTACACACGATTTATGGTTCGCTTCATCTCGACCAGGTCGCGTAAATGAACGAAACGTCCTGTGTCAACATCCCCATGCGAAACTTACCCTAAGCCTTCGCTTGAGGGCATTGGCCTTGACACCATTGCCCATCAGGCAGTTGAAACCAGCTAGCCATATCAATCTAATCTTATCAGATGCATAAAAATCAGCAACAGCGCCATTTCTGCACTGGTGGAAGCCAAGGTTAGGTGTGCATGTCACCAAGACAACCTGGAAGCTAAGATAACTTGGCGGGCTTCATTGCCACCAGCTTCACAGCGCCTCTGACGCAGAACGGGTCGTTGCGACAGTCCCATACCTAGATCTCAACTTTGGGTATGGCGCTGAAGCTCTAATATTCCTGGATTGACTCTGAACACCGTCGCAATGAGTCTGGTTCAACCTCTCGTTGTGTCGAGCTTCATTCCATCCATGGATCAAGGTGCAGCCCAAACAAGTGGAGCCTAAGAGGAATCCCAGAGCCCACAACCTCCTGGCGGTGCCTTAATTAGCGCACAACCCGCCCACTTCGGTCAGCTTTTAGCGCAGTTCCAGTGGCACCATCACTGGAGCCAGCGGGTAATCGGCACAAACCGGGCATTCATTCATGGATCCAGACATTCATCCATGGATGAAGCTTCATGTTACAATACAGAGACTCCCCTACGTAGAGCGGCAACTTTCCCGCGGCTTCATCAACCACGGTAGGCATCGGGCAAGTTTACCGTCTCTGGTAGACCGTCGATGCACAGGATCTTATCTGATCTGATTGGGTCTGATACGGAGATTGGTCCAGTAGGGGTATAAATAAATGAAGATAAAAATCTGGAGATGTGAAAGATCCAATGCTTAGCAGCAGTCACACAGCCAACAGTCAAATCACCCAATATGTCTTCAGAACCATTCCAGCAAAAGTCTCCAATCAAGATTAGGCTGCCTGAGCCTTATCTGACGACATACTATCTGGAGCGCACCGCTGAGGGAAAGCAGTCGTTTCGTCTACGCAAAGATGACTCTGTGAAGGAGGGCAAGCCTTTCCCCAAAGCTCTTCACGGTGATGACTTGGTCTTCTCCAGTATCCCAATTGCAGAGTCTGATAAAATTCCCCATTCTGATAACCGCGAGTATGCGCGCGCGCGACGAAGTCCTGTGTGGGTGTTGAGCTGGGACAAGCAGACTCCCACGCTCGCCCAGGCCTGGATGTTCCTGTACACTTTCTTCGCATACACTTTTGATGTAGAGCAATTCCGTTTCCATCTTGAAGGCCCTGGTGCCGAGGATCTGGAGAAGGCTCTTGTACTCTCTATGGTGGCTATCAACATGCCTCAGCCTCCCAAGGGCGTTGATCCTGCGCCCAGCACAGGTGTTGAAGTGCTCGTCCTGCGAAGCGCCTTCTGGCAAGGATGTGCTTCGCCATTGGGTCAGCAGCCTATCTGGCTTCCTACCTGGAACTCCGCCAACGTCGTCCCTCATCTTGAGTATGTGATGACACCTACTTCCGACGTCACTCTTCTGCGCCATCCTCGCAGAACACCCAAGCCTGCTGCCGGTAGCTGCTTCTACAGCCGTTACATCCCGTCACTTGACGAGCACTTCAACCTCGTTGCTCTCGACTACGAGAACCCCGAGCACCTGGGCCTGTTCAACACATGGCAGAACGACCCCCGTGTGGCAGCAGGCTGGATGGAGACTGGTACTCTTGATGAGCACCGCACTTATCTCAAGAACATCCACGAGGACCCCCATCAATTCGCCGTGCTGGGCTACTTCAACGACATCCCATTCGCCTACTTTGAGCTGTACTGGGCCAAGGAGGACAAGATGGGCCAGCACTACGCCTCGCTCGACTTTGATCGCGGTAGACACTCGCTCGTCGGCAACGACAAGTTCCGTGGACAGTATCGCGTCTTGGCTTGGTGGCCTAGTGTCATTCACTATGAGTTCCTTGACGACCACCGCACTGAGAACGTTGTCGGCGAGCCTCGTCTGTCAAGTGAGAATGTTCTCAAGTATGAGATGATATTTGGTCTCCACCAGGACAAGTGGATGGATCTGCCTCACAAGCGATCCAATATGGTCAAGGTTTCTCGTGAGCGCTTCTTCCAGATCTGTCCTTTTAACCAGGGCAAGCCTCGCATCGCAGGCACAACATTTGGCTTTGAGCCCAAGCTGTAAATAATGAAGCAACGTCTTTAAAAATTGATGGATGGGAAGTTCTCATAGTTGGGGAAGAGTAAATAATGATAGCGACTTTTGTACATAATTGATCAATCACAATCACATCGATGCATACCTACATCCTCTTGGCAGCGACTCAAGACCATAGCGCATAAGCTCGAAGCAATTCACAGGTCAGAACGGGAATAATTCTGCCAAGGCGGCAGCCAAGCAGTGATCCGATCTTGCCGATCAGGAATGGATGGACGGATCCTTCGCACATTTTGCCAAGGTAGTGTTGCATTGTCAATCTCTTCGATCATCAACATCAACAGACATCAGACTGCATGTCGTTTGAAGATCAGAGTCATTGATCTTGCCACAATCTCGAATGCACTCCGCTGGATTGCCTGTCCCACGAAAAGCACTGGAGCTCAATGCCCTTGCCAGTCCAACTGAATGATCTCAAGGCCCATGGTTTGTCCCCAGCGCAATCGGGGAAGCGTAGAAGCAGCCGCTGGTCAAACAGGATTAGCGTAAGAGGACCCTTGGCTGAATACGGCTTCTCGTCTTCGTTCCCATTGTTAGTCTAAATGGCCTTGCGAAAATTGGACGAAAATGCGCCGCTTGCACCTCCATCATTTAAGCTTGTTTAAGCGGAAACCTGTGTCGCCTCCGGAGGCTTGCAGCACTGTCCGAGTAAATAATGCATAGCTCCAAGGGTCTTTTCGTTGGATGAGTCTCGTAAGCCTGATGGAGTGACCTCTCCCACAAGCCGACGGTGCGGCTTGAGCGGCTGAACGGGACCCCTGGTGAAGAAACTTGGCCTCTTGTGGCGTCTTGTCCGCTGGCTGTCATTACACGAGCCCAGAATAAGCCTCTTGACTACAAAGGGTTATGGCTCGTAGGGCTACCGTCGACCGAGCATTTTACGATGGAGGCATTATTGATGTCTTGTCAAGGTGGATAATTCCTACTGGTGAAGTTGAAGAATGTAAGTGGTGTTCTTAGCGTGCCAAGCTCGGAACGTCGCCAGCTACAATGCAGGGTTTTCTCAGGTTCCGACATGTTGGTTGAGGTTGACCAAGAATCGCCTGATGAAGATCCTTGTCTCAAGACGCCAAGATCACGCAGTGGTTTGCCATAAAAATTGGATGCAAAAGGCAAAGGATGAGATGAGGATACGATGAGCGAAAGCGCGGAAGCTCTCCTGGCTTTACTGTCCAGGTATTGTACAGACAGACCCGCTGCAAAAGCGGAGGTTGCAGTGAGTCGCCTTGATCATTCCATCAATCAGTGAAACATCTACCAAATGATCCCTGACATGCATTTGATCTGATCCGAAATGCATCCATCATTCATCTCTATCCCACTACCCGTGCATGGACAGACCAGCAGGAGGTAATTGCGCCCGAGAAGTAATAAAACTGCGCAACCATCACACGATCTAATCGATCAATCAGATTAGATAATGGAAATCTCTTTTGTCTCGTGAATGTCCCTTGTCCATGCTTCTTCTGGCGCTCTTTTGCCCACGCCATCTCCACTCACAAACCGGCTACTCGGCGTTCGAGGCCTGTACTAAACAAAGTGGCTGCAGCCCGCTGGAACCCTCGCGTCCCGAAATCTCCAGTCATTCTGCTCGTTCCTGCTCCTCGCCTTCAACTTACTCTGTTGGTTGAGGTTCAGTCGGTTTATTTCCCTAATGTAGCCGATCTCGGTGGATTCAATAGTCTGTCCTTTGGCCACCAGACCTGATCTTATCTGATGGAGTTTGTATGGGTCCTGAGCTGAAGGATGATGTTGAATCCAGTCTAGTTAGAACGCACCCTTGCCTGAAGGACCTCTTTTTTATTTTATTTGCTCCATTTGTTTATGTATAACCATCTGCTGTTCCCGTTTAAGTTTCCCTTTTCTCCTTATTGTCTTCCCAAGCTTAAGCTTAATTGATACCCCAAAGACAAAGATCACCATGGGCGTTCTTGACAAGTTCCGCCCCAGCAAGGGCAATGAGGCTGAAGAGCCTGTAACTGTTACTGCCTCTGTCAACGAGAAGGACCAGGAAGCTGGTGTCTTCCCTGATGATGGAAGCAGCAGTGATGCCGTTACTGAGAACGCGCAGCATGGTGTCCAGACTGTCGAGGCCACCACATTGGCCTGGAGCAAGAAGGCCCTCGTCGGAGTCTTCATCTTGTATGTCCGTCTAGTGGAAATTGAAGATCTTGACTGACACCCTTGTAGCATGTGGTTGATCTACCTCACCAACGGTTTCCAGGGCCAGATCAACAACACTCTGCTCCCTTATGCCAGCAGTGAATGGGAGTCTCACTCTCTCATTCCTGTAATTGGCGTGGTCGCAAACTGTATGACTGCCGCCGTCTACATCCCTCTGTCCAAGATTCTCGATCTTTGGGGTCGTGCTGAGGGTTTCCTCCTCATGGTCCTCTTCGCCACCATTGGCATGATCATGATGGCTGCCAGCCATAACCTTCCTACCTACTGCGCTGCCTATGTAAGTCATTGACTCTCGTCCACGACACTCTTCAATTGCTAATTCCTCTCAGGTCTTCTGGCAGGTTGGCTGGTCCGGCTTGACCTACAGCATCGATGTTATCACGGCCGATTCGACACAGCTCAAGAACCGAGGTCTCGCATACGCTTTCACCTCGTCTCCTTACATGATCACCGCCTTTGCCGGCCCCAAGTCTGCTGAGGCTTTCCTCCTCAACGGCGACCAGTGGCGATGGGGCTTCGGCACCTTCTCCATTGTCCTCCCTGTCGTCGCGGCGCCTCTCTACGCTCTCTTGAGATACAACCTTCGAAAGGCCAAGAAGCAAGGTCTTCTGGCTCGCGAGCCTAGCGGACGATCGCTCTTGGAGAACATCAAGTGGGGTCTTGTCGAGTTCGACGGTAAGTAAAGTCTTGACTCAATATTGAGGATGCGTGCTAATTGTCGCAGCTGCCGGTGCGTTCCTTTTCGCTGCTGGTCTCGTTATCTTCCTCCTTCCCTTCTCCATTGCCAGTATGGCTCCTCAAGGGTGGAGCACCCCTTACATCATTGCTATGATCGTCCTCGGTGTCGTTCTTCTGTGCGTGTTCGGCGCCTACGAGCGATTCGTCGCCCCTAAGCCCTTCCTCCGATTCGACCTCCTCACCAGTCGCACCGTCATTGGTGTCTGTCTTCTCGACTTCATCTACATGATCGCCTACTACTGCTGGAACAGTTACTTCACCTCGTTCCTCCAGGTCGTCAACAACCTCCCCCCTTCTGAGGCTGGATACGTCAGCAACACCTTTGAGATCGTCTCTGGTGTTCTGCTCTTCGTTGTTGGTTACGCCATGCACAAGACCGGTCGCTTTAAGTGGCTCCTGTGCGTCGGTATCCCTCTGTACATCTTCGCCCAGGGTCTCATGATTCACTTCCGTCAGCCTGGCCAGTCCATCGGCTACCTCGTTATGTGTGAGGTCTTCATCTCAATTGCCGGTGCTACCTTCATTCTGTGCATGCAGGTCGGTATCCTTGCTGCCGTTGAGCATCAGTATGTTGCTACTGCTCTTGCAACTCTGAGCGTTACCGGAAACATTGGCGCTGCCCTCGGCGGTACCATCTCTGCTGCCATCTGGACAAACACGTTCGAAGAGAAGCTGGTTGAGTTCCTCCCTGCTTCAGCCCAGGAGAATGCTGCCCTCATCGTCGGAGATCTTGACAGCCAGCTAGCTTATGAGATGGGCAGTCCTGAGCGACTTGCTATTCAGAAAGCATATGGATTTGGGCAGTTGCGAATGCTTTCGGCAGGCACTGGTATCATGGCTATTGCCCTTATCTCGTTGTTTTTGATCAAGAATTACGATCTCAGGAAGATCAAGCAGACGAAGGGTACCGTCTTTTAAGCAAAGTTGGTGTTTTCCCCTTCGCCACCGCGCAAAGGCTGCCATCTTCGTGTCACATTAAAATTATGGTGTAGTAATGTTAGATGATGTTTAATTGATGCTCAATTTACTTAATCGTTGTTCAAAGTGTCAATCTGTTCAGTGCTCCGTGGCGGATAGGGCTCTCAAAAGTGGGAATAGTTGCACCTTTAAATTCTCAGTACCAACCAATTCAATACCAATTAATTGGCGGTACCACGCATGTGGGTCTGAAACCGGTACGAACTTCCGAATTCCATTTAATATGTACCGAGTCTTATGCAAAAGAATAGCCGTAGCTCCTGTGATGTCGTGAGGTGGTGACCAAGCTGAATTGATCTCCGCAGCTTGACCGATGCATTACAATCCCAGTGTCTCTCACCAGCATGTTGTATTACCATTGCACCACACATACAAGTGCGCTTCTAAAAATTTATTGTTACATCTATTTAATCTTTATATCTTTCCGAGAATGAATTGCATAAGACTCTGCTGAAGACCAGTAACAGCCACACTTCCATGGTCCTCACCTTCAAACTCACGCGTCCAAATCTTCTTGACACTTGGACTCTTTTCCAATCGCGACGCCATTGCCTGTGCGGTTTCCCTCATTTGATCATGTTCCGCGCAATTCTGTCGCTTCCACCACTCCTCATCCGTCTCCTCCGGCTCCCTCACCAAGTCGCCCTTGCCAGTCCCCCATGTGAGCGCCAACGAAAATGGAGGGTTAACAGGCTTGTCGCGCGCAAGGAAGGTCTTCTCAGGCTCGCGGATCAAGAAGTCCTTGTTCCACCAAATGACAGGACTGCCGATTAAGTAACTGTTAAAGAGCTCGGGTTCTGTGAACATTGTGTTGAGAGCGAAGATGCCACCGTAAGAATGGCCGTACAAGGCCTTGCGACCGGTGTGGAGATTGGCCTTGGGGAAGAGCTTGTTTTCAACATAAGGCATTACGTCGGCCTTCATCCAGTCAAGAAATTCCTCAGCCTCACCGAATGAGATATCGGTGCGAGGCTTGCCATGTCTGTCAAGAGGCATGTCATACTCGTCGCATTTGGGGGTGAGATCTGGACCACGGCGGAAGTCATAGACATATTTCGATGGAGGATACCCAATCCCAACGATGACTGTTCTTGTGCTATTCAAGTACTCCAAGCGACGAGAGACATCGACAGCTGTGAAGAAATAGGCGTTCCCATCAACGAGATAGCTTGGTGGTGGTCAGCTTACAGCCCTGTAATTGTGGCTTAAATGAAGCTGTACTCACACCAAATTGACCTTCTCATCCTCGGCAGCAACGCGATCCTCACCCCAACACAAAGGCCATGCTACTTGAACAAGGTAATCGCCCCTCTTAGTCTTGGCAAGCCACTCAAGAGTGTTAGGGACACGAGCGTGTCCATGGTTATGTTCAGTCGCCATAGTTCTACAAGTTTTTGAGAGGTGAAAGAGGCTTCGTGGTGGTGATAGCGATAACGACAATAAAGGACGAGCTCGAGTGAGACAACGTAGCATGGATGACATGCAGCAACACAGCAGGCTAGTCAATAGATGAAGACGAGTCAGAACTCAGGAAAGGATCTGATAAACGAAGAGGAAGATCTGATAAAAACCGCGCATTGCTTTTGTATTCGTGGGTCTCTTTATGTCACCGGCGTCGGCGGGACCAGACTCCACTGTAACCCAGGGCATCGTTGGCTGTTGGCGACCACTTCCCACTAAAATATTGGAGATTTAGGCGGTCGTGTTGGACAAAGCGCTCACTGGAAACTGTCAGGTGCAGCCGAGTCGGGTCGGGTAGAGACTGCATGATGTAAACCTACGACACTCACAAAGGCTCAAGAAGGAATTGTCTTTCAACTGTGCCTTATCAGCAATTCTCAATATCCAGAGGGAAAAATATTAATGTCCCAATCTAGTTTATGATCTGTAGGCTGTAGACGTGACACCAAACCTACTGCAAGGTTTAGGCGCCAAAATAAGTCGCCTAAGAGCTGGCCTAACGTTGCACAAGATTTCCACATTCTTTCGTCTCTTATGCTTGCGACGGTTGACATTTCTGGGACCCCGATGGAGATGCGACGATAGCAAGACTAGAGATTGATCGATATCAGGACTTTGAAGAGCTTGTGGGACAATACCGAACCAAATATCTGGGCTAGAAGTGGGCTGTAACAACAATGAGATACGCGATCGCGAGTCTAAAGGCCAGATGGACATTTGGCTACGAGACACAGATGTGTCAATTGAGGTGATCTCAAAACACTGAGTCTGGGCTCGAGCTTTTATATGATGCGACCAATGTCCCTTGTCGTACGTTCGTCTTGGCTCTTTTATCGTTATTAACTTCAGCATCATAATGCGACCGCTCTCGTTGGGGTGGATAAGAGCTTAACTACAGTTTTCTCTAGCGAGGGCTCGACGATTTACTACAGACCAACGTCAATTGAGCGGCCGAACGTAAAACCAAAAAACCAATTTATGGCGAAGGATGTGCGCAAAAAAGGTGCAATGAACCTCTTATTTTACGACGGAAGTGCAGCAAGGCTCTCTCGATGTTGGTGTAGAGTACATAGAGACCAGAGCTGCAACTTTCTTCAACAACATCTCTTGGTGAGATGGCCGAGTTGGTTATGGCGCCAGGTTAAGGTTAACCTTAACACCAATTTCCTGGTGGAGCAATCCTCCTGGGTTCGAGTCCCAGTCTCATCAGTTATCTTTTGCCTTTCGACAAGGCGATGTCTTTTTGTCAATCGTTTTGCAAGTCTGGATGTTCCAGAGGTCGAAGAGCTGGCGCTGTCTATTCCATGGTACGTGGTGGGCGTCGTCTAAACTTTTCCTCCCAACGGTCAATTGCAACGCTGAAGCTAATTGTCCTCTAAATTTCAGGCTGTCAAATAAGAGGTCTAAAACTTAGTCTAAACTTGCACAAAGTATCCTAAAGCTCTTTTATTCCTTATAATATGTCGCTGCAAAGAACGGCGCGACCGTGGAAAATTGGTGGAAACCAGGTCGGAGGCCATTGTAGTTCGAGTTCTGATAGAACGTTTGAGTAAAGACTTTAGATGCCCATAGAGGAGCACATATGGAATAATCACAGGGCAAGACGCGATTGACAACGTTTTTGAACAGATGTATATAAGAATGAGGCTCCGTTATAGAATGCCCTCTAGGTGGTCTATCTAAGAAGTAGTCTTGCGACTAAAGTTTAAAGTTTGTACGTGATAATGGAATGTCCAACTTCATCGTCCACTTAAGCGTGACGCTGGTGACGGCGCTGGCGCGCGCGCAGAGAACGTCTGCACTTGGACTTCTTGGGAGGGTTCTGGATGGGGGCAGAGCCAGAGCCAGAGCCAGAGCCACCGTTGTTACCACCGGGGAAAGGGAAAGCAGGGCCATTGCCGTTGCTAGGAGGGTTGTAGGATCCGTCGTTTCCGCCGTAGGTAGGAGGGACAGTAGGGGTGTTGTCACCTCCATTGTTTCCGTTGTCACCACCGTTGGAAGGCAGGGGAGTGGTGGAAGGAGGAGTAGTGGTGTTGCCACCATTGCCGGTGTTGTTGTCGCTACCGTCGGTGGGAGTAGTGACAGGGCTGGAGTCGCTTCCACCAAGGATCTTGGAGGCAGCGTGCTCAGCAGCAACCATGATGATAGCCTGAGTGTTACCAGTGGGAAGATCGGGGTGAATGGAGCCGTCAACGACATAGAGGTTCTCAGTACCCCAGACCTTGGTGTCGGTGTCGACGACACTGGAGGACTTGTCGGTACCCATGATAGCAGTTCCGACGAAGTGAGAACCGCTGACGTACTCAGTCATGAGGCTCTCAGCGGTGACGTTGCTAGGCATGCTGATGGTGCTGTTGGACTTGGAGGTCATGTCGATGAGCTTCTGCATGAAGGTCTTGACAGCCTTCTTGTCAGCGGCGTCCTTGAGGTAAGGCTCACCAATCATCTTGGTAGCACCGGAACTGGTAACCTCGAGAGAACCGCTGGAAGTAGCACCATGGGTAAGGTAGACCTTGAGCTTGAGGGTGTCATCGCCAGCGGGAGCGCAGGTACCCTGGACGTATCGCTCGACACCATCGTCGCCCATGACGCTGTCCCAGAAGATGAAGCGTTGGCCGGACTGGGAGAGGAGACCGTTACCTTGAGCGTAGAGGTCGATGTCCTCCTGGCTGGGCTCAGTGACGGCAGTGTCGGGGAGAGCAGGCATGGCCATCTTAGTCTTAACCTTGACGGTGAAGATGGGGTGATCCTTGAGGTTCTCACCAACGGGAAGCTCGATCCACTGATCCTTAGGGGGCATGGTCAGGCGCTGGCTACCGCTGGCAACAGTCTCGATCTGCTTAGCAGGGCCGATACCAGAGTTGACGAGAAGACGGGGAGTAGCGAGAGTACCAGCAGCGAGGATGACACCACCGCCGGACTTGACCTTGATGATTTGACGGGTAGCAGGACCAGACTGGATCTCGACACCAGTGATATCCTTACCCTCACGAACAACGCGCATGACCTTGGTCTGAAGCATAAGCTTGAAGTTGGACTGGGCCTGGGCGAGAGGAAGGTAGTCGCGGACGGGACCAGCACGCTGGCCGTCGGTGATCATCATAGGAGGGTGGGTGAAAACGGACTTCTTCTTGTCGGGCTGGGCAATAGCATCAACCTGGCTGAAGCCGGCACCGGAGAAGAACTTGCTGAGAACATCGTAGGCACCTTGGTCGACGTACTTCTGGTCCTTGGTGGGGGTGAGGGTGCCGGGGGTGCGCTCGTAAAGGCGGGCGGCGGCGGCCTCAACATCACTGTGCTTCCACCCTGCGGGCCACTTGTCATCAAAATCGACGGCTTGAGGACGAACGAACATCATAGCGTTGACAGCAGTTCCTCCGCCAAGTAAGCAACCACTCATGCCTGCGTTATCGGTGCAGTATTCGTCGGTTTCCTTGGCTGTGGTGAGGTGGTACGCCATAGAAGGAACATCGTATTGAGTCGTGCTGGAATTCCAGCTCATTGTAGCCTTTCCCCCGGAAGAGAAATAAGAGGCCTTGCCCTGCTCAAGAAGAAGAACAGACTTCTTAGCCTCAACGAGACGTTCGGCGACGATAAGGCCTGAGGCACCAGCGCCGACGACGATGTAGTCGTAGGTCATGTTGGAGATGACAGTGGTGAAGTTACCAGTAGCAGGACCAGAACCAGAGCCAGAGCCGGGAGAGGCAATAGCGTCAGAAGCCATAGCTGCCCAGGTCTCGTAGTCAGCGGACTGAGCAGCAGTGCTGTCGATAGAGAAGCCACCGAAGCCAGCGCCGTGGTAGTTGAGGGCACCAGCAGCATCACTAGGATCATCAAGGGCAGTAGTGCTGATAGCGAAACCCATAACAGCACTGGCATCAGAGACCTTCCAGGTGGTGCCGTCGTCCTTGATGCAACCCTCGCAGAGGAAGGTGAAGGTAAAAGAGTCGGTGCCGACCTTGACACCCTTCTCGATAGGCTTGATCTTGACAGTGTCGTCATCCAAAACGTCGGGGTTGACGTATCCAGAGGCCTGACGAACGGATGTGACAATCTTTCCATCGGAGGGCTGGGCAACAACGAGCAGCTTGCCCTTCATGAGAGAGCCCATGGCGACGGAGGCATATCCCTCTGAGATGGGAGCGATGATCTGACCAATGAAGTCGGACTTGGGGTTCTTGGGCAGAGCCATACCGAAGGTGAACTTGCTGCTCTTATCGGACCATTGCTGGAAGGTAATTCCGGTGTCGGCATCCTTGTACTCCTCAGAGAGAGCTGAGGCTCCGATCATCAGCGAGGCCGCTGAAAGAAGAGTTGAGAAACGCATGATGGCGGCGTTTCCAAAAGCTTAGGACGTAAAAATAAAGTATCCCAAGTACTAGTCTAAGCTAGTAAAAGATGAACAGATAATTTCGTCCCTTAGGGTGTGTATATCGGTCTCAAAGAAAGTGGTTGGATAAAGAGTGGACGAGAGGTGAAGATACACAGTAGCAAATGAACGTTGGCAACCAGTGCCTGTAAAGAATGAATAACTAAAAAAAGAAAGAAATAAAAAAAAAGATAGATAGACCAAGCTAGATGGATAGCATCAAGATCTCAAGAACATGTTGGAGGTGATCTGTCAGGCTGTTATATATGAGTCCAACCAAACAAATGCCGTTTACCGCGGAAATTCGCTTCCGAACGCTCGGGACCGTTTTTGCAAACATGGAAAACGGTATTGGTGGCTTAATTCGCATGGCATGGCATCGGCCAATATTTCGCTGCCATTGTGGAGGACCAAGAATGGTAATGCCTGATCTACCCACACGAGCCAGCACCTTGTTGCTTCAGGTTGTTTGAGATGTCGAATTTCTGCTGTGTAAGGTCTTCTTTCCTATTGGCTGTGGACCTGGTTTCAGGTTGACGGTCCAGACCCCGAACAAGGTAACAGAGCCTCTGTGGACCCCCGGCACTTTTTATTCGAAACGACACCAGGGAGCTAGATTCTGCAAGGGTTGTTTTTGTGTCTGGCAGGATCAAAAGGATCAAAATCTGTTTCGTTCATCTGTTTCCGAGGGAGAGACCATGCAGACAATTGCCGGGGCTCAAAGGATCTTCAGGAACAGACATGGCACATATTTAGGCGAAGGTTTGATGAAACTTGAAGAGCATCTTCTAAGTTTATATTGTCTTAGACTAAGCTTTTGACAATTTATATAAGCATACACTTAACTAACAGCATAGTACGGAGTAGCTACAGCTTTGACTGTAGCTTAAAAGGAGGAGCTCTCAGGAACACGGTAGGATTATCGGCCAACTCGTGCGACTGTTAGCGCGATTCAGACCGCGTCACTGCACTCAACTGAGATTGAGCATTGATAAAAAATGCATGACTCGTAGTGCGAAACGAACGAAAACCCTTTGCCTCATTTTAATCATGCAGCCCAACCCACAACCACAAACAAGTCCACCAGACAAGCCAAGCCGGGAGAATCTCCACCTGTCAAACCTTACAATTCTTCCACAACACATCGATCCCACTGCTAATTGCTTATCCGCTTACTTATCATCTCAAGTCCTTGGTTCGTTCTTCCGCGGCTGCGATCCACTCTCGCAATCTCGATTCGGATCTTGCTTTCAATCCGACCTTGAAAGGCTTGGGATCAGTGGTAAGGGATGTGGGCACCGCGTTGCATTCAATCGCATCCATGATTGCCATGTCCTTCTTGTCTCTGGGTGGAACGATCTCAAAAGCTGTGATGAGACGGATGAAGGCTGTGTAAAGTTCGCGATTGGCCAGGTGAGAGCCTGCGCACATTCGAGATCCGGCACCGTAAGCGTAGTGAGGTGTACCAATTTCCTTGTCATTGATATATCGTTCAGGATTGAATTCATGAGGATTAGCGAATCGCGCTTCATCGTAGTCTGCGGCGTAGGCATTCTAGAACATCAGTCAGTGCCAAGTTCTTCACCAGAATGGGAATCAGATCAGATGGACCAGGGCAGAAAATGACAAGGCTGTGATCTAAAGTGCAGGGCTGTCGTAATTACCATGAAGAATGTGGTCCCGGCGGGAATTGTTGCACCCTTGTACGGGATATCCTTGATATTAACCCGCGGAAGACAAATCGGGATAACCTGTGCCACCGGATATCAGCCCAATGATCATTTCGGATACAAGCTTTGACCTTACCGTCCAGAATCGCAGAATTTCCTTGACAAGAGCGGTGATATAGGGTACTTTCTCCTCCACCAGGCACTTCTCCCATGCTTCGCCATTGGGATAGACCTTGTAGATTTCTTCTAGAGCCTTGGCTTGGATCTCTTGGCCGTGAGCCGTTGCCAGATACGCAAGACCCATGACCAAATTGCCAGGAACGGTGTCCAATCCTGCAGAAACCATTGTTAAGCAAATGGATTTAATTTCAGCTTCGTTCAATTTTGCTTCTGGGTCCTTGAGGATATTGCCGGTGATACATGGTTTGTCGGTTCCCTCAGCGATGCGGCTCTTCAAATTGTTGAGGAGATCAGTAAGATACTTATCACGTCTCGCACGGAATTCTCCAGCTGAGTTGTTCTGTGCTCCCCAAATTCGCAGTAAAGGTACGTAGTCTTGCCAGTTGTTGCTTGTGGACCTGAAGTTGGAGATTTCCCGCTCCACATGTGTAATTTCATGGAGTAGCTCACTGTTCACGTCCCCATCAATGCGAAATCCGTAGTTGAGCGTCAAAGATGTGTTGAGTGCGAAACGAGCAAAGTAGGGCGACGGATCCAAGTCTTTGTTTCCCTTCTGACAATCATCCAGGAGCTCCTTAATGCTGACAAGAGACTCGAGGTCAAGAATTGGCATGTAAGATTGGGTGGCAGGACGGTTCAGAGCAGTGGCGGCAGCCTTTCGGCGGTTCTTGCAGGACTCGTCCCAAGGCGAGGTGCCGATGGTAAAACCCTGAGATGTTGAGACTACTGAGTGGAATGTGTGGAACATGGGGCGGGAGATCAGCGCTGACTGGTGAGTGATCCAGAAATGCTTGACAGCATCGTAAGAGTTGACGTAGACGACGCGCTGACAAGATTAGAGATGTGAATGACTTGACAATCCATTACTTACCTTATTGCCAAGTCGTGTCTGAAAGACTGGACCATACTTTGCAACCCATTTCTGCGCAACCCTCGCATGATCCGTTCCTAACTGGAATAGATTTCCAAAAAGTGGTACACCAGGAATCTCAGGAATACCTTTGATCTTGGGCTTATCCGTCGAGTTTGCTAACCTATACAGGAATAACAAGCCGATGAGGATTGAGACGTACAAAACTTGATCTGACATCGTGGGAGCTTAACGTGGGGAAGAGAGATGACATGCTGGACAAACTGGCCGAACATTGTCAGCTCTTTATACAAATATTCCATTCCGACACAATTCCGACGACAACACCGCAACGTGACCTGTGTTCCCCTCAGTCTCTCAGATGCTCGGGCGGGATCTGCAGATGATCCCCATGTTTATACCCGAGTAAGCGGGGAAGCCAGTGCCGGATCCGACGACAACCGTGAATAAGACGCTTTCTATTGGTTCTTTTCGTTCTTTCTGGAGTTGTCCACGCGAGGTCAAGTACAAGTACCTGATTCATTGCGTCGCATTGACGGTTGAGATTTAGCCGTATGTATTGCCGCGGGCATAAAGAATCTTTCTACGTTCAGTGAATAATGGACATGCCCCAGCAGGTTTCCGAAAGTACGATCTATAATTTTTCATAAGAGAACTCGCTTATGTCTTGCCTCAAAAACGCTGTCCTCCAAGCTGAGGGGATCGAGATAACCGACTTAGAAGATCGTCTAATCTTACATAAAATAGTAAGCCAATTCCGTTCTTTAGTTCTCGGAGGTCAAGAGCCCTGTTAACTTGATGTATGGTAAGACGGCCTGAACGTTGAGCGTCTTTCTTGACATGTCTGTACCCGCTTATGTATCTTTCGCGGCACCAGCACCAAAGTAACGAGGTGCCCGGTAATCGATTGCGACACTCATATGAGATCGCGATGTACGTAATATGATTGAAGCAGTTATATCTATGAGCCCAAACCTGACACATCCGCACAGCCCGGATCATCTCTGTATAGAGGGAAAATCAACATGTACCGAGACTGCCCGGCGAAAGATACATTTACCATAATACGCTAGAGATAAGTAGAGTAGTCAGTGAGACTTCAATTCCTTAGATACTAAAGCTAACACTAAAGCTCAAGTGTCGTCAACTGGCTTGTCATACATGACCTCTAATAGCCGAGAGCACTCGGAAGTTAGACTATCCTTTCCGAACAAAACCCACTTTCTTCAGACTTGCCGTGCTCCACAGCCAATGACGATAGAGCTCAGCCAAGGTCAAGTACTGCACTGACAAACAATGTTCTGGCATAACTTGGGAAATCCCCAGATCAATATCGGATACTCAAAGGCTTTCTCTCATTTTCGCCGACAGGCCACGGACTAAGACAAAATGAGCGACTATAAAGATGTGATACCAGAGCAAGTCAAAGGGAACTGGTAAAAAAGAAGCACATTTCAACCGTCATATCCATCATTCATTCGAAGCATAAACAGCATGTCTGCTAAGTTTGACCTCTCTAAACCGGATCGGAAAATTCACGTCGGAGTCATTCTGATTGATAGGTAAGCAGAAATTTGCCATCAACCCTTGGAAACCCGAATAACAGCCCTTTCAGTGAGACTGAAATCCTTGATGTTGCTCCCATCGACTTGATTCATGGTCTTTCCAAGAGTTTCTGGAAGAAGGGCATGGCAGATTTCGTGCCCGCCGAATGGGAAGAGCAGACCTTCGATATGGAGTTTCACTGGGTTTCCAAGAACGGCCCAGCTTCGCCTAGCAAACTGACCAGCGGCATCAACCTTGTCCCTACGGTGTGTACATACGCTCGATAAAATGACTTCCATGACCTAACAAATCCCAGGACTCTTTCGAAACATGCCCTCCGCTTGACATCGTTCTCATCGGGGCTTCTACCATAAACCAACCTCCCGACGAAGCCGGACTAGCCTTTATACGCAAAGCCTGGGAAGAGTGTTCTGCGTTCCTTACAATTTGCGGCGGCGTTGTGGTTCCTCTCCAAGCCGGTATCTTACAGGGGAAAACAGCGACCGGTCCAGTCATCATGCTCGACACGTTTCGAAAGCAAGCCCCGGATACCAACTGGGTCAGCAAGCGCTGGGTCAGAGATGGAAAGCTGTGGACGAGTGGCGCGCTTCTCAATGGCGAGGATATGATGACTAACTTTGTCAAGCATTACTGGGGTGGCACTTATGTTGACTTCTTGAGCAAGCTTGGTGCTTGGCCTGATCGTGATGTCGACTTTAGGGACGTCGCTTGAGAGACTATACTGAGCTGGCAATTGCCGCTGTTCTTGGTTTCGCGGCACCAGAAGAATCAGTCACCAAGACTCTAAGGGATGAAATAATTTAGACACCTCAGACCACTAATTAGATTACTTTATTTTCAGCAACCTGAGCCTTAGTGAATAACTCTTCTGTACCTAGGGATCTAGCCTGGGAATAAGAATGAGCACCATTTTAACAGATGCAAATGCAACGTCCATATTCATTTCATGGCTTAACAATGATATCTTTCCTGTTTTGAAAACCAGAGACAACTCCTTATAAACTCGTTCGACAGTGTTATATGGAGCTCGGAAGTCATGTCTGATATGGATGCCGACATCTCATCAAATCGATCACGATACTCAGCTCTAAAGGCCATCGCTCAGCCATTACCCACAACACCGTCGAGCAAACAGACACACAGCTCTTGAAAGTGTTCACGTCAAAGACCGCGCCCTGTGCTGTGAGGCTCTTGATACAATGAATGAGAGCGGCGCCGGACTGGAACAGGTTTGGCGTAGTTCGCCAGTGGAACCGTAACTGTCCATCTTTGAACCCTTGTCTGTACAATTCGATGCTTGTAGAAGCATATTGCGCAAGATCTCTTAACTCCTCTTCCACCAGATGGGGAAAGTGACGGGATGGTGAGATCAGAGACACTAGAGTCGCATATAAAGCGCCATCAAAGAAATTCCGAGGTGCCAGCTTTGATCCCGCGTCGACAGGTGGGATATTGGTATGCCAGTCCATGAGACGGTCCTTCATGTTCATCTTCCATCCTTTGTAGTCGAAGAAAGCACCACTTGCTGGAGTCTTGTAGTTGAGTATAGAGAATATTTCGTACTCTAGTTGACGGAAGAGGATGCAGTGGTTGGCCAATGGGCTTGACGACTCGGGTCCGCTTGTTGAAGGGAGAGGTGTGAAGATAGCCTCGTCGGGTATTGATCGTGGGCGATTTAGCATAACGCATAGATTTGTTTCGAGTATGTATGTGCACCAGAATACCCTTCTTCGTTTGTTAACCTCGGGATCAGAACAAGGCGCGTCTAGACCGACGGAGCGTTTTCGTTCAAAAGGTCGAGGTCAATGGCCAGCCGTGTCGATAGACCAACCATATGCCAAGCGGTAGAGAGATTCGAAGCGAAAATGGTATACTGTGCGATGAGAAGAAGGTTCTGAAGATGTTGCAAATCGCCTTGCCACGTAGCCTGTGGTCGTTCTGTCAGTATACCGACAGCTGATGCGAAGAATGACTCGGATGCGGTCGTTGGAACAGCGGAATCTATTCTGTTGAGAAGTCTGATGGCGATAGCAAGAACCATGCAGAGTTGGAATTTCTGTATCGACGAGCCTTCTCCGGGAGTAAGATGGTGCTGATGTAGGGTGGCAATGACTTTGTTGAAGGATTCTTGATCAAGCACAGGTGAGAAAAAGTTGGAATGTTCGAAGTAGGTGGCGGCGAGTTGAAGTGCAGTCGCTTTGGGTGGAAATTAGATTATTTCTGGTACAGCGATACTGTCGAGCAGAGCATGGTAGCCTGAGCCTCCGGAATCTTGAATATCGTTTGGCTTAGGAACAAGTAGACCCAGTAGGTTCAATTCGTTGGAGCGGATCGCCTCCGGTGTGATCGCCAGAGCATCTTGCGAGGTCCGGCTTCCAGCAACAGACTCGGTGTCTACACCCTGACTGCGGAGTGCGAGCTCGAGCTCTGCGACTCGATCTTCGAGATTTCTTATGTAACTGACAAAAGCGTAAGTATTCGTCCAGCCATTTTTATGAAAAGCTATACCTTCGTGGTGCAGATTGCCCATCTATATCGACGCTTATGCAAGTTGTTCCTGCACGTACACAGGCTGAACAGGCGGGAATGTTCTGGTCACAGCGCTGTTTCCGCGACTTGCATCGCTGACAGCCTGTCACATTGGCACGTCGGACATCACTTCGCTTGCGGTTTGAAGAGGCTGCCTCCATCTCCGAGTCCGCCAGCTTGGTTGGTCATGGTGGAATAAATTGACAGACATTTGAGAATGTTCCCCGAAAGTTTTAATACCAGTCGCACTTTCCCCGCGTGGGAAAGATAAGAAGGGCGCGTCGCTTCAGTGGTTGTGGACGATGGCGTCAGACGCGCTAACTCTTTTTGGATTAAGATGTGAATTTCCAGATTTAGGGTAACAATATTCAATGGACATCTGTCTAAACAAATGCAAACAAATGTGTATCAAAAACAATTTCTTCTATTAGAAGAACATATGGCGACCGTATAGTAATAAACGTAAGTGTTGGAACTTTCTTTCGACGAGCTCACGTGATTGCTGGAGGAAACTCATCCTATTTGCAAAAGCTGCACCAAACAATTGCTGAAAATCTCCATCTCACAAGGTCTTTTAAACAAGCCCACCACTCAAGCTCGACCACATAATTTTGATCGTAAAAGCATTTCAAGTCAAAATCTATTGTCAATACCTCACTGATTCATTTATTTGTGCTACTGAAAGGCTTAGAAATATCTGCAAGCCATGCGATTACATGCGCGTGGCAGTACAGCGCGAGAGCGGCGATTTACAGCGCTGCAGCAGCACTACATCCAGGTATTGGGCAGCGGAAGCCTCAAATATCGTCCGAGCAATCTGCCCTACCCGATAAACTTCTCACCATAAACTCTACACCTGCGAATCTTTTGTCTGAATCTTGTGTCCTGAAAGACCATACATAGTTAGACAATATGGCATTGAGATTGTTGGTTAATTACTGCCCGGGCATGTTTTGCTTTTTCTCATTGCACTGCGAAATGAAGAGTGGACCTCCCAAGCTGGACCCCTGAGGCCACTACAACGCTCTGGCTGCGCCACTGACATGCGCCTCTTTCGTTCAACAGCCAGATGGTTGATCTCGACCTTGCATCTCTCAGATCTGGATTCAACTGCCTAGCTCACCTCGGTAGATTCGGCAATCAACTCACTTCTCCTCATTTCATCCCACTTTCTGCGATGAAACGATTACCGTTGCTGACAATATCTGCAATCAATATGTTACCAATCGGCCGTTCCATCCCTATCAGGTGATGCGAAGCTAGGGGGCCAGAAAGGCTAATCTGTCCCACACCAATCGGGATTCCGCGCCTCCCTACCCCGAATACAACAGAAACACGTTCTATGAACAAGGTTTGCGGCGATAGCTCCCCTCTGAGACGCAGCTTTTTTGGTTCCTGTTTTTGAAACGGGGGAAATTTAATTGCAGTCTCGGCAAGTGAATGCGGGAGAAGAACGCCCAGCAATTATTGGCCACACGGCTTGACATTCCGAATAGATGATGTGACATCCCGACATGGATGGCATATACACTATAAGAGGGACAGATCGCGCCTGCGACCCTACAATGGGCAGCTTCGTTAGTACTTACTGCTAGGAACACAGACCACACTCTCTTTAACTTGTCACTCGTTCGAGTCGCTCCTTGAATCATGCCTCGTCTCCAAGCCATCGCGCTGGCTGTCTTCAGCGGCCTGCAGGTTGCATCTGCTTACCCCAATCCGGAGGATACCAAACTACGTGCCGAGTACGACTATGTTATCGTTGGCGCAGGAGCTTCGGGTCTCACTGTTGCAAACCGATTGACCGAAGACCCTGGTATGACTTCTTACAAATAAGAGAAAGGTCGTAACAGCTGACTCAGATGTGAAATAGCCGTGACCGTTCTTGTTATTGAAGCGGGCGACTTGTAAGAAACTGCTATCCTGGTATCTACTTTCACGCTAACATATTGCCAGCGACAAAAATGAAGACTATATGACTATTCCTGGCCTTGCTGGTGGAGCCGTAGGAACCAAATACGACTGGAACCTGACATATCCCGCAACTGAATCCTTGAACGGTCGCAATATCACAGCTCCCCTTGGCAAGGTAGTCGGTGGATCAACCAAGCTCAACCGTATGGTCTACGATCGGGGTTCGAAATCGGATTACGACCGCTGGGAAACACTCGGCAACGGAGACTGGCAGTGGAAGTCTCTTCTCCCCTACTTCAAGAAAGTAAGAGACCTTGTGATATCTAGGCGATTACAACCTGACATGTGATGCAGAACGAGAAGTTTACTCCACCAACTGCTGAGATCAAGAAGGAGTATGGAGTCACCGTCGACCCTGCTGCACATGGATCGAACGGTTTCATCCATTCTACATACTCGCCCTTTTTCTGGCCTACCACAAGTAAGTTCTTATGTGAGCTTCAACTAGGACTTAGGCTACTCTATTCTGGTACCCTGACTTAGAGTAGCTTGAGATCACGTCCTGTTCAAGTTGAACAGTTCAACTATTCCCTACAGCTGATGTGAACTGACAACCTTCTTTAGAGAACTTTGTGCAGGCCGCGGGCGAACTCGATATCAATGTCGCTGTCGATCAAGCTAACGGAAACGCCATTGGAGGATACTTCTGTCCCCACAACATCAACCCCAAGACTGTTTCGCGTTCCTCTGCTCAAGACTACTACAGTGCTGTCTCAAGCCGCAAGAACCTACAGCTGCTGTCTGGCCGCCAGGTTACGCGTGTTCTCACCAAGAAGAGTGGAAAGTCTGTCAAGGCTACTGGAGTCGAGGTATTTCTCACTGCGCCTGTCGTGTTTGCTTCTCAACTGACCATTTCAACAGTTTGCAACAAGCCGAGACAGTAAGCGACAGACAGTCAAGGCTAAGAAGGAAGTTGTTTTGGCCGCTGGCTCTATCCACACTCCTCAGATCCTGCAGGTCTCTGGTATCGGTGACCCAGCTCTGCTGTCTAGCATCGATGTCCCTGTTGTCGTTGATCTCCCTGCCGTTGGCCAAAACTTCCACGACCACGTTTTACTCGCCGTCATTAGCACTCGTGAGTTCCTGAGGACTTCGAACTTGGCAAGCAGTATGGACTAATCATATACAGTGAGCGCTCCTGTCATCCAGACCGGCAACCTGACCAGCAACGTCACTTTCGCCGCCGAAGCTCGAGCTCAATATGACAACGAGAAGACAGGCCCCTACACGTCTCCCACCGGAGACTTCTTGCTTTTCTTGCCTCTTTCCAACTACACCAGCTCGGCTTCCGACATCCACAAGCAAGCCACTGGCCAAGATGGCGCCAAGTTCCTCCCCTCAGGAACACCTTCGGAGGTCATTAAGGGCTACAAGAAGCAACAAAAGGTTCTCAACGACAAGCTTTTGGACACCAGCTCGGCCATGCTCGAGATCATCTGGAGCGACGGTGCCGCAATCCTTGGCCTTCAACACCCATACTCTCGAGGTTCCGTCAAGGCCAAGTCGTCCAGCGTTTTCGACTCTCCTGAAGCCAACCCTGAACTTCTCAAGAACCCCCTCGATGTCACCCTGCTTATTGAAGGAGTTCGATTTGCCCGCAAGCTTTCCAACACCCCTGCCATCAAGTCTCTCGGCCCCTTCGAGATTGTCCCCGGCGCGAACGTCACAAGTGACAGCGATATCGAGCAGTTCGTCCGTTCAGGTGCTTCCACTCTCTTCCATCCTGCTGGCTCGTGCAAGATTGGAAGCCGAAGCGAGGGTGGTGTTGTTGACCAGGAGCTCCGCGTGCATGGTGTTTCTGGCCTGAGGATCGTGGATGCCAGTATCATTCCTCTTCTGCCCGCAACGCACACCATGACTACCGTATATGCTATGGCTGAGAAGGTAAGTCTCCACACTGATCTCTTGAATGCTGTTTGACTAACATCTCCAGGCTGCGGATCTTATCAAGCAGGGATAAAGAGATATATATAGGCTTTGACAGTAACAGATCCGTAGACGCTGGCAAGGGCGTTCTCGACGAAACAACACGTCGGGAATAAGGAGATCGTATGCATTGTGGATAGGTATCCAGGGACAGCGGTTCCACCATTGTATTGTACTAGACTAGCAACGTATCAATCACTGTCATTCCCTCTCCATTTTGTTCCGCATGATGGAGCCGCTTCAGGTTCTCTTCTTCGTGCTGGTAGATGGCTCCTCACCAGTGTCCTCACCAGCTTCTCGAGTAGACAAAGATTCCTTTCCATATCATTAGCTATCGAGTGTCTACTAGTGTAGAGTATACGAACCTTCAAAGCTTTGACTTGATTTTGACTTCAGCCTCCTGTCTGAGCTTGGCATCTTCCTCTGCCCCTTCCTTGAGGAGCTGGGCCCAGAGCTCATCGAAAGAAGCATTCTCGTAGTCTAAGAAACTATTAGTTGATATGTTTGTAGCTGCTAGAATAGGGTATACATACCGAAAGAAGGAGGCTCAGGAGAAGGCTCTGGAGCAGGCTCTGGCGGGAACACCTCCCATACAGGTACAAGTTGGTCCATCGGAACGGGGAAAGGAAAGACTCGTATAGAAACGCGGGAGCCATCTGAGTCAGTGATGGTAATGAATGGTCTGGAGATGCGGAAGCCATCTGAGTCGTTGACGGCGTGGTCAGAGCGCGCCATTTCGCTGGTGAGGAATAATCGGTGCTTGAACAACTTGTAAATGGTAAAATCAAGTGATGGTTGAGTCAATCTCGCTGACCGCGGCCATGAAGAAAATGCACTGTAGCCTGAGTTGCCAGGCAACCATAGCTTTGGCAGATTTCCTTGTATCGGAGGAAAGGGCGACCGATCGACTTGAGGGCCAATTAGACTTTGGTTGGTCACGAGAGTAGAATATGCAATGCACTGTCATGCGGGACGTAAAGGAAGTGAATCGGAGCTACCTGGCCTACATTATGCAGGCACACATCTGCCTAGACCTTCGGGTCTTCACTTCACTGAACCATCATTAGGCGCTATGAGTCACAATAGCGAAAAGACGCATTTCGGAATTCAACATCGATGACGTCTTCGAGTCCGCTGTTCTCTTCATCCTTCTCCTCATCCTTTTCAATTTCCTCCTCATCTTTCTATGCGCCTCTTTCCACGGTTTCCTCCTTCTCTTTCCTGAGGTAGGTATGTATAGCCTACTTTAGCAGCTGCGAGCCTATCGACTGATAGCTTCTTAGACTATGAAACAGCTTCGTTCGATAGCAGCAGGGGAAAGAGCTGAGGCCAGCCAGGAGGCTGAAGTTATAGCCTATTCGAAGCTTCCCGATATACCTAGTCTCCGACAATAAGACTGAGGTGGAGCGCCCTGCTCCAATGATCACCATCACAGATGCGGATGGCAGCCGCTACTTAGCGGACAACCCCCCCCGCTTGCGCATCTCGGTCCCTGTCTTTCCTGCCACCGTTCCCGAAGACCAGCTTGTTCCCGTTTGGGAGCCTGAGCCTGAGCCTGAACCAGAGCCACCTTCCTTCGGTATGTATGCCCTACTTTAGCAGCTACCAACCCATTAACTAATAGCTTTTAGACTATGAAAATGGTTCTTTGATCAGCTGTAGCGCCGCGTATCAGAGAAAGCGGATGAGGAAGACGTCGGGCTCAAGCAGGAGCATGAGGATATAGCGTACTCGAGGCTTCCCGACACAGTCTCTGAATATAAGACTGTGCGGGTTGCCTCGAGGGACTACATACCTCACAAGTGCCGAGCCTGCCATTGTGCTCAGTGGGGTTCCTGCCTTGAAGAGTCATCTTGGCTGGTTAGGCCGCCTGCGCTGCCCTGTTCTGAAGGTATTCACAGTCTACACTAGCAAATACTTATAAGCTAATAACCCATATAGCAACTTATATCTACCAGAGAGGCCGAGGCAGCTGTTGGAGAGACTCGTGCAGGTGGTTGCGACCGATGGCGATCAGTTTTAGCTTCTACACGAAAAGTTGAAAGTCACGATATGTGCCCTAGAATAAGCTTTTCCATCAGAAATAAAAAAGTCTTGCCTGTCTTCTGTTGGCATCTCTTGCACCCACGTCTGGTATGAACATGAGCCAAGACACACCTTCGACGCCTTTACCAGAACACAATCAGCTGCGATGGACCCTTCTGGAACGCTCCCAGCAGAACTTCTCGTTCCAATCTTGTGGAACCTCCCCGACCTTGGGAGTCTTTACAATATAGCACGTGCTTCTCTGAGAGTTTTTCATTTCCTGAACGGCTCCCTAGGCACAGCGACTTTCGAACATATTCTCGACTCGTGGTTTAGAGTGATTCTCGATCATCACCTGGGTATCAGTGCTGGGAGACACAAAGGCTTCTTTGACTGGTGAGAATTGAGTACCACGCTATGGATGCCGCATATTCTGCGGCTAATCGCCCTTGTCAGATCCTGCTCCTCGACGAATCCGTTGGCAGAAAGCCTCACGTCTTTTACTCCCAAATACGTTATGTCGACCAGGACACAAATGATTGGCTTCCCACACGGGACGTTTATACCACCGTCATGTTTGCCAACTATTCGACTTCAAGACGTAACAGGTGGTGGTAAAGCTCTCTCTTCGCGTGAGATGCTGTGTCTTGTCAGGAAAATCTTTGCCTTAACGGATGAATGTTTTCACTTTTACCATGATCGCATGAAAGCCACCAAGCCCCAACATCTCGTTCGGAAACTATCGAGTACGCGGTATTTGGGAAAGTCTTACAACCTCGATGCTGGCGGTCAAGTTTCATACTATGAGTACCAGCACATCCTGCATGGTTTTTGTAGTCTTCAACTTCGCTACGAACTGAAAAATGCTGTTCAAGAAGGTCGACTTGCGTGGCCATCAGAGTACCTTGAAGCCATACTTCGAATGGATAAAACTTACCACACCGGCATAGACTTTGAATAACCCGAAACCTGTTTTGCATGGGAGCCGCTGGTAACGGCAGCGATCTATGTGGCATCTTGGGAAGGAGTCTCTGATGAAAGCCCTTCTGTAGGAGACGTTGCTTTAGCCTGCAACGGGTTGAGGGTCTTTTACGATACTGGCCTTCAGCCATTGACAGGGGGACATCTGAGATTACCGCGGCCAAAGCACGAAGATCTAAAATTTACGTGGCCAACCACAGTCATCCGTCAACCACCCCCTTCAAGAACCTTTCTTGATCACTGCTATAGATTGATGTTTCCTGGCTGCGGTATCGCACGGTCCGCAAGGATTTTGGATTCCCGAAACAGTTGTTCTATAACTGAAGGGTTGTTGTTTCGCCCATTCAGGTGTTTGGGATTCGGCATTTGGGATGATGACCGGTTACTGGGAATGGAAATGGTACATGGACCACCCGGCTCTAACTACATTGAAGGTCTGTTTACACCATTCAGTACTTATGACGAGGATCTGGCTTTTAAATGGGCTAGCCTTCTACGTCCCGAGGAGAAGGATGAATTGCGTGCGTATCAACAGAGGAGAGGTTGAACGAGGGGATATCTTGGACAAGATGTGCTATTTAGATTAGTGCCCTGGTTACTTAACCTGGTGGTCGATATTATAGAATGTATCGTGGGTTCCTGCCACCTCGATGAATTATGTTCTATTTTCCAAGTTACTCCTCAATTAGTGTGTCTTTGCAAAATGTGTAGTAGAGAGGTATATTTAACCCTTGGAAGAATGTAACAAAATAAGCGATACATGAACCAACAGGTGGATGACAGAGGAAATGTCTAAGGCTTAGGGCTGTAAAATAAAGTAGTCTAAGCACTACTCTTAAGCTAGCATAAGAGAACTAAACTTCGTCTTTTATGCTTGTGGCGGCCAAGTTTCCTGGCGCCCTGACGACTATTCTAGCAGCCAAAATATTTCCTCAGCTTATCAATCACACTTTCAACAACCTCGTCATCACCGACATCAGCTTGCCAGGTGAACCCAAATCCGACATATTCCTCATCGTCAACCACGCAAACCACCAACGGAGCCCCAGGAGCAAATGCACATCGACTCAGCTGCAGCTTTCCTCGGTGCCAGAACGGACTGCCATCTCCTGGGAGATTCTTGGATTGTGGGAAAGTCCCCAGGTTAGAAACCTCGAAGGACTCGCCACGTGGATTACCAACAGAACTAGCAAGAAAGGCTTTGATGTCTGGAATTAGTTTGAAGACAGCGACATTCGCATAAGGCTCCCCAGAAGGTGAAATATCTGAAAAGTACCGTCGCGTGGCTTTTTGGATCTCCTTGGCATGTTTCCAAGCGGTACCATCCAGATCCAAGTCCGAACGAAGAAGTTGCACCTTGAAAGCATCGATGAAGTTACCCATTACTCCATCGACCTGTTTCGGAGGAAGGTCAGAGCGTAGGCTGACTGGTAGGTTGCATGTCAAAGCCGCCGTTGTCGAAGGAAGAGAATCGTACAACATCCTGGCTACAAGGGCTGGAAGAGTTGCTGTGACTGTGGTCTTGTTCCTTTTGCACTCCTGGGCAAATGATTGTAGAACGCGTACTGGGAAGGACAGGGACTTGTAACGTGTCTTGCAGGGAATGGTGACCGGACTGCCCCTCCACTCCTGAACGCCTGCGGCATCTGGTTGGGGCAGGGTTTCAGGCAGCGGCAGAGGGTGAAGGTCTTCAAGTGGCAAGGAGATAGGAGCGTCATTCGAGTAGATGATATGCTCTGGTCTCATGTCCTCAGAACTGGCGGAGACGTCACAGAGAGCTTTCTGGAACGCGTTTTGGAAAATCTGGGCACTAGTCCCATCGCATGAAGAATGGTGATAGATGAAACATGCTGTAAATCCATCTTGCGAGTCATGGTCGCGTAGAATGATCAACCGCCAGACTGGCAGCGTACCGTAGCCAACCTTGAAGCTTGTGTTATGTCGCTCCTCGAGCAGTAAGTCAAGCTCGTCGTCAGTGGGAGAATGAGAAGACAGAGGTTGAGTTCGTTGAACGAAAGACACAACCTGCTTCAGATCAATGGATCCCAAGCGACCCCAGTAAGGCCTATCAGTTTCTGGTACTACTGGAATTGCAAAAAGGATGGGATGCTGTAGAAGCACTTGGGATACGGCTTTGAGTATCAACGACTCAACGTCAAGCTCAGCTGAGGGCCGTGAGGCTTTGTAGTGAGCTGAGAAACCGCAGTTGGTGAAGAAGTCGATGTGATGCGCAGCCGCAGCAACCTCTTCCAGTTTGCCTTTCAAAAAGTTAGTCAATCCATGCGTTGACTTGGGAAATGGAGAAGTACCTAGGGGGCGGATCTTTGGCAGTTGATGTTCAGCCATCTTTGCTCTACCTTTACACTAATATCATGTCGACAGCCAACACCAGCAAACGACTTTATCGTAACATTATATAACCTATGGAGCTATCTAGGCAAGAGCCAGTTCGCGCATCAGATTCCTCACAAGTGATCAAACTGCCTTGCCAGCCTTCTGAAAGTGTCACATGTAATGTCAGGCCCTATGATAGACACGAGGTTCGTCTTACTGACACCATCTTCAATGCCCGGCATGCAGTGTTCACAGTGCCCGGAGTAGACACAGTCAGCATTGCTCGGCATCCGGAAGATCGGAGAAATAGATGTAATTGCTTACAAGCCCCAAGCCTTGTGCAACCACATAAAGTAAGATCAGGAAATATCCCGCGCATAGAGTTGAGGTGAATCCTCCGCTCCTCTAGGACTCTTGGCTTGGCCTGTTCGTTGCTCAGCCCTGTAAGAGGTGGGGGTTGGATGTGTTACACAAGGTCAGCAGAACGGCCTCAAAACTTCTCATGCTATGACAAACAATCTCAACGACCTACTCGTTTGGGTAATTGTGGCGATCCAGTGAGGTGCTCGAGTTGTGAATCACAGATATTGTACGACCTGGCTTATCAAGGGCTCATTATTGCTCACGGACTGTACAAGTGACATGTGACGAGAGGATTTAACGGCTCCTTTGTTAGAGAGCAAACAATCCAGCACTAACTTGTGGCTTTTCCAGTCTAACAACATTTTGTCTCAATCTTTACAACTTCTCAGCCATGGACTACCCACATCCCTACTCTCAAGCTGCAAAGCTTGACGAGAGAATCAAGATACCTCGTCCCTGCTATGATCCTGTCCTGGCACCAATGCTCGACTATGCCTCACTGCCAGAGGAATTCAGTCTAGATCTTATGCGCGGTGTCGCTTCAGGCGATCAAGAATGTCCTCATGGCTCTCACACCTTCAATGCTGAGACCATTCTCAAGGACCAGCCTCACCTGATCCATGCTGAGCATTCTGTCAAGGGACCTGACAATAACGAAGTCATTCTTTCGGTCTTTACTCCTAAAACACCAGGAACAGCACCCCGTCCAGTATTGTATCATATACATGGCGGAGGAATGGTCTCGGGCGACAGATTCACAGCCTTAACCCAGATCATTGACCTTCTGGCTGGCATAGACTGTGTTGTTGTCTCTGTCGAGCATCGTCTTGCTCCCGAGACTCGGGCACCTGGACCTGCCGAAGACTGCTACGCTGGTCTTGTGTGGGTTTCAGAGCATGCTGAGACCCTCGGAATTGACCCGACTGCCATTGTCATATTCGGTGTCTCTGGTGGCGGCGCTCTAGCAGCTGCCACATGCCTCATGGCACGGGATAGGAAGTGCCCTGCAATTCCTATCAAAGCTCAAATGCTATACTCCCCTCTGCTGGATGATCGCTGCGAGAGTCTGGCAGACCAGCAGTTCGAGTTCGGGAACCCAGCTCCTACAACATGGCTTCGAGCTATCTGGGACCACATTCTTGGAGATGATAGAGGATCAGACAAGGTCACTCCTTATCAAGCACCAGCCAGAGAGACTGATCTCTCGAACCTACCCCAGGCCTACATCGACGCTGGAGAGTGCGAAGTGTTTCGCGATGTTGCTGTTGCCTATGCTACTAGTATGTGGAAAGCTGGATCGACAGCCGAACTCCATATCTGGCCAGGAGCTTTTCATGGATTTGATATGATGGATGATCCAGAAATCCCGCTGATTGGTATCGCAAACAGAGCGAAGGCCAATTGGTTCAAGAGGGTCTTGTCTACTGAAACCAAGCCAAAATCTATTCCAGACATGCATGAATAATGGCTGGGTGGAGTTTCTTTTTAGCTGAATGAGATGTAACAGAACAGTACCACTGTAATCCCCAGTTTCCTATCCAGAAAGCCAAATTCAAAGTGAGATAGTTTAGAAGATAAAGTCTAAGGCAATCAGGATAAAGGTCTAAATATAATTCAGACTAGCATAAAATGACTAAATAATTTTGTCCCTTCTTGCAACGAAAACAACTAATGCAGCCTGAATCCTCCGTAGGTATAGGGAACCCCGGTTCGTTCAAGCGACGCGTCCCTTCGTTTGCTTGATGTTCTTAATGTTGATGTTCTTCCACATCATTGTACCACCAAAGCCAAGCACCCAAACCACAGTACCAGCTATAAAAAGAAGCCGGTGAGCGTCACCGTAAGCATGCTGGATTGCCAGTCTGGTAGGCGATCCGACCGGGAAAGAAAGTTGGGTAACAATATCCGCAGCGATGATTGGCAAGTTGGGGAGATCCTCTGCTGGGAGGTACTCAGCCAGCTTCCGTGGGATGACGTCTTGCCAGATCGCTGATGAGACTGTAAGACCAACAGCCTGTCCGATATTTGAGCACATTGACACCAGAGCGATAGCCACAGCGAAGTACTGTTGCTCATTCACAGCCGCCAGGATGGCGATCTCGGCGGTGATCATAATGGAGCCGCTTCCGAAAGCAATAATTAGTTGCGACATGACTATGTAGCCGATGCCCTGGTCGGGTTGACGAAAATGGATCATCAGGCCGGTGCCAAGGGTCGCAAGAGGAATCGCCATGTACATGGTTGCAGCTTTGAAGTTTCCGGTACGTGACAGGAACCAACCGATGAAGATGGCAAAAACAAAGCTCCCGACAGTGTATGTTGACATGATGTAGCTGGCCTCCGTGACGCTCAAGTCATTGACAACTTGAAGTATGGATGTGAAGTAAAGCCCCCAACACCCATAACTGAAGAACAGCGTGAAAGAGACCAGACAGGCTCCGGCAACAGTACGATCGAGAAGGAATTCCCATGGGATAAAAGACACCTTCGCAAAGCGCATTTCCCAAATCCCGAAGGAGATAAGCAAAAGAATGCCGAAGACGAAGAAGCAAATGATCATGGCAGAGCCGAAACCTTTTGCTTGCAAAGTATATAAATTAAAGGGAAGAAGAAAGAGAGCCACTCCTGCTGAGAGGCTGAGAAGGCCGATGACATCGAACTCGCGGACATAGTACCTGGTCGCATTGACCATCGAGCCATGAGACTGCCTTTCAGGGATGAGGCCTTGTCTTTTGGCTCGGAGGTAGTGGAAATTGAAGAGACAGAACAGTGGAATAGTGACAGCAGGTACGAGTATCGACTCCATGCCAAAAGCCCAACGCCATCCTGGCCCATTCAGAAACGACGTTGAGATTGGACCACCAAGCCAGGCAGTGATGATGTTGGGGGATGCACATATCGACTGGATAAGACCTCGATTGCGAAGGGAGGTAGTATCCGCGATGAAGACGCTGAGACTGTATCCAACACCATTGATGCCAACAGTATAGAAGACTTGCGAGGCAGCGTAAGCTTCGACGTTGTTGCAAGCAGCCGACATGATAAGCCCAAGAGTCGCGAGAGTAGCGCAGAAGAGGAAGCCTTGCGGACGGCCAAAGATATCAAGAGTCTTCGCAATACTCAAGTTGGTGACACCTCCAATGACTGAACTCATAACGCTGGTAGTGGGTGTAAGGGAATGCATCGCGAAGTCGGACGTAACATATGGGAGTAGCGCGCCGCTTATTCCCCCTACCAGTCCTTGCACAAAGTAGACGAGCCAGATGAGTACGAATGCGATCAGAAGAGATGTCTTGGACCAGGAGAGGGTAACGGCTTCAATGTTCTGAACGCCGTGCTGGAAGTTTGCGTCGACAACATCATCGCTGCTTGAGCCTTCGGTGTCTCGGTCGGGGTCATCGTGGGGAGTTTCGTGTACTCGATGGAGGGCTTTCGTATCAGAATCGGGCGGAGGTGCGAACGGCATTTTGGCAATTGGATTACTTGAAGATGGTTGAAGAAAGACAGACGTTGCTTTAGAATGAGCGCGAAAGGGTCAATTATAAAGAAGATAAATAGAACAAGATGATCATCCCACGAGGTACCCGATTAGAAGAGATTGCCTTTCGGCCACCGATTCACTGCAAGGTGTAACATGCGCAGTACCGTAGTCTGACACTGAGACCCTACCCTAATAGGGCCTGATTGAGACCGACCAATAAATATTTTGCTCAAATTCTCTCATCATCACCGGCGGCCAACAGGCCTCGTCCAGTCGCTCGGTACCTGGAGTCTTCACTGAAAATAGCCTTCCACATGTTCCACCGCTGTAAGACTGTTGGGCGGTTTGCGATAAATACCCATCCATCCATGGATACTTGCTCTAGATTGCGTGGTAGCCGTTGAGGTACCGGAAACATTGGCCGCCGAGAGCCTAAAGGACGAAATAAATTAGACTAGCATTTAGTCTATCTTGTTTCGGCATCCTAAACCTCAGGGCATATCTTCTGTTACCCGTTCGGTTAGGATTAATTTGCTCTGCGCCATGTTGCTCTCATTCGAGCAGGTTTGTTAGTGGAGGGCTTATTTTAGTGAGTCTGCGGCTGACTGACCCCTGGGACCTTTGGCGAGCCGTCCCGCTTCGGTAGCTAAGCTAGGCATGGACAAGAGCTGTGCTTATAGGTGCATCTACTAGACGTCGTGAGCACATTAGGGTTGTCCGGGAGGTTGGCTGGGTAAAGGACAGGGAGAATCTCTGTGCTCCAGTGCATCAGCATGTTCCTGGCGCTTGTGGAAGGGCTACAGTCAGGCATGCGAAAGACGTGGAAAGGATTGTTCAAGGTATCGCACGAGTTTGGTGAACGCATAAGGTGTTTTCGACATTATTTATGTAGGAATCTTGATCGCAGGGTTGTCTCAAATTTTACTCTTTGGGGTTGATGCGGATGCTTGCAGTACCGCCTTGCTTAAGCGGATGCATGAGGCGTCCTGAAGATTCTGCTACAGGGCTCGTGTATAGTGCTTTATCGCTACAACCCAGGGCGTCACAAAAAAGCATCAACGGGCATTTAGTAAATTTTACCACTTCTATTAAACGACGGGACTCACACACAAGAAATAAAGCAATTTGTAAAGTTCCAGCACCAAACAATCATTCAGTCTTGTGATCGAGGAGCACTGCATACTTGATAAACTCCTCATCACTCATAAGCATCTTCAATTCTTCAGGAAGCGTGCCCATAACCAGTTCTACCCCTCCGTCTTTTCTCAACGGAGAAATGACCAAGAACCTGAATCTTCTGTGACCTCTCTCAATCTGTGGTCTCAGGGCCTCAGGGCTACCGCCAGCAAAGAATGAGTCGCCAAATGAAATGTCGCTAGTTTGGAATAACATCATGTTGGAGATCATGGCATTCATATGCTCGAGACCCATGTTCGCCGTTGCCGGCTTGCTGTATTCTGACATCGATTGAAGCAGAGTAAAGGTGTCATGAACCAAACGAGGCGTAATTCTCGTCGCTGATTCACGGATCAAACCTGCAATTTGCGCAACACTCGTATCGGGCGCGCAGAGCGTCTCAATTGGCATGGTTGGACGGTTCATGATGAGCAAGCTACCCATATAGGACGATGGCAGATGGGACGAGAAATATGGACGGCCATCAATTGGCATCTCCAAGATCGACAATTCTTCGGGCCCAAATGCTTGGCCACGATGTTCTTTGGCCACTCGGTAGCGCGACTTAATTGAAGCGCGCCAAAAGAACGCCTGTACGACATCAATTACAGACGTTGAGAGCTTCTTTGCATTGGGATCCGCCAGGGCTTCTTGCTTGAGCTTGTGGATGCTCTCGCCAGAAAGAAGGAACACGGTCGTGTTCAGCGATCTGTCACTCGGGGCAGCAGGCCAAACAGGCTGTGTTTTGAACAAGGGTGCTGGAGGCAGAGTATTCTGCGACGAACGTCCAACACCATTCTGTTGAGTCCTTACTTCTGCGATCTTCTCGGGAAATGGCAAGTAGCCCCAAGTACCCGGGTCGACCTCCTCAGCAGGTTTAGCATAACCAGCTTCCTGCCAGATGACCTCGGGCAAGTCATGATTGAAGCTCTCGGGATCAAACCAGTCGCAACTGGCTGTCTCATCTCCCTCGAGATGTCTGCAGCATTCGGCCCAGACGCGGATCGCCATCATAACACCTACAGCGTCAAGGCATGTGTGAATGAAGTTCGTAGCCAAGATGCACCCGCCGTCGACAAAATTGGCTTGAGCGAGCAAGATATCAGCAGGCATGGCAGGAAAAGGCGGACAATCTAGCACCAAGTCGTCGCTAAATAGACAGGGCGAGAATCCAGCTTCGCGCATTTTAGAGAATGACGGAAGAACCTTGGACAAGTCTTTGTAAACAAGTTGTCTAGGTACAGGTGACGATTGAGGAGGAATGGTGATGCGATATTCGCCCTTCTTGTAGCCGAATTCGTGCTCTGAAGCGAGCATCATCTTGCCATCGAGCTCGGGAATGATCTCGAACGCTTTTGCGAGACCATTTTGTAGCTTGGCAAAAGCCTCTTCAAAGCTAACACCTGGCCGAAGGGCAAAGTAGAAGTTGAGACCCATATAGTGATTGGGATTGACAGCATCGAATGGGTTCATCTTCGCGCCGAGGCGTCGCTTGCGCTCTGCAACGAGCTTCTTCAGGTTGTCCGAATCGGTATTCTTGGGAGTGCTCGTGCCGCTGATCGCAGCCGAGGCCTCGCCACTAGAAGCTTCAAATGCAGCAGCTTTCTTCGACTTCTCTTCGTCCAGGATCTTTGCGAGCTGCGACGAGAATTCTTCCAAAGTCGGGTACGCATACAGGTGTCGCGGAGCAAGCTGCTCCTCGAGACCTGTAACAGCGCGAATGATCCTGATGACTCGAACAACAAGAAGAGAGTCCAGTCCCAGATCGAAGACATCTTCTTCGGGGCAGAAGTCTTCAACGTCGGGAAGGACGGATTGCATGATTTGAGTCACAGAGTCTAAAATAGTCTCATTCGACGCAGTGTCAATTGAGAATTGATCAAAGTCTTCGTCTTCACCTTCCTCATATCTCGAGTTATAGAAACGTTCGATGAAGTCCGCATATAAGTCCAACGTCGCGCGACGTTTAATTGTCGCTTTGTCAGTGCGAATAAACGGCTTGTCCGCCTCCGCGAAAGCAATGTACTCCCTTTGAATGCGGGTCTTCTGGAAGGTAGAGTTATTCGCTCTCTCAATCATTGCCCAGATACTGTCAAAGAGCTTGTTGTTCCGCTCCGAGGGGTCCTTAAGCTCAATGAGCAGACCTGCTTGCGGCTTCCCAGACCCAATCAAGAGGCACCCTTCAATTGCTTGATGGGTCGTAACGAGGGCCTCAGTATCTAGAGGTGAGATTTTGTAGCCGTTGGAAAGAACGACGACATCGTCACTTCTTCCAGTGAAAGCCCAAAGATTAGGGTTTGTGGGATGTCGGACGTAGAGGTCCTTCAGATTGACAGAGTAAAGGTTGGGAAACGTATGGAAGATGCCCTGGAAGAACTCCCAGTGCTCATTCCGGTGGACCCAGTGTTCAAAGATACCAGGCTGTACTTCCTTGAACTCAAATCCAGAATATGGATGGAAGGCGAACCAGTGCCAGTCCTCTCTCGGTACCCAAAGGTTACCGATGAAGAGGCCTTCTGTAGTACCCGTCAGGTTGAGAACTCTGACTACTTTGTTGACCTTGGCAACAATGGCTGGGCTAACAGGACCTGGGATGAATGTTAGCTGCGTGCGAAGTACCTTGGAAGACAGGCCACCTACCACCTGAAGCACAAATGAACTTTGAAGACTTGAATTTGGCAAGCATAGCGGGGTTCTCGCCCAGCTCATCAGCAAGAGACGGAACCATGCTCCAAATGTCAATCTTGGCATGATCGGCCATGGACTCAAGCAGTCCAAGATTGGGCAGGACACCCGCAGGCCCAAGGATACAATGCAGATTGCATAACGCGGGTATGACAATATCCATAAGTACACCAGCACCCTGCGATGACCTAGTTAGTACCGAACCTCGAGAGCATTATGTGTCACACTTACATGACTCATGGGGAAGGAAGAGTAAATCCTATCTCCAGGATTCCAGTTATCCATCCACGGGGCTAGACCACCATCTCCCTCAGTGGGTGGAAGCAGGCGAACGGCATCCATAGTACCAATCAAGGCATGAGTCCAGAGAATTGGCTTTGGAACGCCTGTGGTGCCTGATGTGTGCAGAATGCAAAACGGCTCATTCTTGGACCTTTCGAATGTCTTGTCAAATGAGAAGGGTTTCGTAGACCCAGCATCCAGAAGCTCTTCGATGCTTGGGAGCTCAAGAATTTTCATGTACCTCTCTTGCAGAATCCCTTCTAAAAGAGGGAAGATGGGCTGCTCTTTTGGCTTGACCCATATGTTACAGTCTGATGCATTTAGGACAGCCAATGCGCCAGTGACATTGTTCTTGGGTGATAGGAATAAGGCCTGAGGAGATTAGCGGTTGCATAGATCGACCTCAGAGTCTCGACTTACTGCACAACCAGCCTTTACAGCACCAAATGTTAAAAGGACGTGGCGAATGTCGTCTATGAGGTGTCAATCCCGACTGAAGGAGCTTTGATAGCCAATTGCTACTTACGAGGTCCAATGTAACCTAAAGCCTGGACTTTTGACAGTAGATTTGCATGTCCGTCAGAAGCCCCATTCGTTGAGAGTAACTGTTCATGGAGCCACCACGCCGTCTTGTCAACAGCTTTGGTAAACTCACGAGCAGTAATGTCTCGAAAGCTTGGTTTATCATCATAGAAGGATGCAATAGAATAGACTATGCGGTCTGGGTCTGCCAAGGCCAGGCGATCAAGGATCTGAGGGATCAATCTCCTCCCATACTCGGGCTTGCCATTGACTGTCATTGTGAAGATGCCAAACAAACGATAGAAAGCTATTCACAGTATGATTTTACAGACTCCAGGATCCGCGAACCATAGACAAGGAAAGATTTGCGCACGTTTTATATGGTACCTTGTACTATCCATTGATCCACCTAACCCTGTCCCAGGAAACTGACTCAACATTTCCCTGTAGCTAGCTCCTTCTGACTACCTGCTTTCCAAACCCAAGATAACGATTTTCCGCCAATGTGGCAAAGGATTGAGGCTTAGACTTGAATCCAAATAGCCAGCCTATCTCAATCGAGTTCTTTGGAATTTCCATCACCTTCCACATCATAATCCTCTGTACCACGATAAGCAAAAGTCATCTTGCATCTCGGCACATTCATTTCTGACATCTGCACAATTGCTGACCAACCCCCCTCTGGAATTTGAGCCGGTTTCCGAGTCGAAAGATACGGCAGAACTCGGTGAAATGCTTATCCATCCACCCAAGAAAGTGCTTTATGAAACCTCAGATTATGCAGGTGATGTGAAGGATTTTCGACGCTGAGGCTGATATACAGGGGTTCCACAGTGCCGGATGAGACATCAGCCTTACTGTATCGCCAAAAGGAGAAATGTCGCCATGCTTGCCAACGTCTTACAAACAACGAATTGCGTAACCATACATCTTGGGAGCGGTGTAATTTTCTAAAAAGCGTGGGGGGGATTTTGTGAATCACATCATGTCCCTAATCATAATGTGGCTCTTCTGACACCCATCATGGCCAAAAACAGCTTTTTGTGACGAGGCAACTGTCGATGCAAGGGGAAAGAGAAAACGGTTCCTAAGCCTAAGGTACCCGGAGAAATTTCCCAAGAACTGATCTAAGCTCGTATAATGTGCCTAAATATTCTAAATCTTATGATTTTAGGTAGCCCTGAAGACTTTTGCCTCTTAGGCATGGGTTTAGTCTAGGGTACTCCACATACGACATGGCTATCCCCAGAATCGCAAGGGAAACTGCCTCAATATCTCTCACATAGGACCTTCCCGTTTTGTATATCCCATCTATCACAGAGCCAGTTTAGATACCATAGTTCAGGAGGAGAAAGCCTAGAGGGGTATATCATGTTACATGATCCTTCAGCTCGGCTGAGTTTGAGCACATTGACTAAACAGCCAGTGAGCAAGTTGCGTTACGCAACCATGAAGTTGCCAGAAGAACTATCCACTAAGATTTAGGGTAAAGAAATAAAGTAGCCTAAACGCTAGCCTAAGCCGGCATAGAATGACCAAATTATTTCGTCTCTTAGGGTCTCCACGGTCAATTCTTCCGACACCCTGACGGCAACCACTACAGTCCTATCTCTAAGCATCATGTTACAGCAGGAGCCTCAGCCGCATGTAAGTAATCGGCTGCCGGAAGAATATTTCCTATGTCATCTTGAGTTGCTGACTCCTCGTCTCTACACCCACTTCGTGAGAATTCAGCAACTGCCTCATCCGTGAACTCCTACTTGTTGATCGACCTGAATGCTATCACTTTCGAAGCTGTGTCATCGGTGACTATTTTCATCCCAAGATTATTTCATCATTTCGAGGCCTGAACACGACTTCGCCCCAAGCTTGGAGATAGGCCAAGGTCTGACAAGCCGGGCTGAGTATTTGGCATCGCCGTGATTCACAAGACTCGAGGTGACTATTTTAGCACAGATCGACGAAGGAACTTTCATTTAAACTTCGAAGATCTCCAGACTCCACTGCACTTAATTCACAAAGCCATTCACCTTCTTTGAGACATCTCATAGCCTGCGGCTGCTGCTGTGTCACCTGCAGTGATCTTCACATAACCATTTCTTTTCTTTCTCTTCTGCAGATCTTCCCGCCTTATCCGGCTTTCTCTATACCAACCCACAAACACGATGGCTGTACCTTCAAAACCAGTCGCGACCGACTCTGTGGTCGAGCGCTCTGATTCGTCGCAAGCAGAAGCTCTTCCTGCAGGTGACGTCCCAGAGCAGAGCGAGGTTGACTCTTCTATCACCGATATCTCGTCTCAAATCCTTGACGTCATCTTTGACTATGCCTTGAATAAGTTCAACGACAGTAAGGAGAGGCTCGAGGCTGGAAGGCCCAAGTTCTTGGCCGTTGTGAACAAGTTCGTGACCGCCGGGACTCGGGTTGACATGTGCCTGCCTGCCTTTCCCTTCAAATCAGCAAACAAGGCCTACAAAGTGTTTGGCATCCTCCCTGACAAGGCTGAGGAACTTGCCCTTGGTCGTCTCAACACTATGTGCGCTCGTATTAAAGAGATCTATTCACCCGGAGCGCGCTGCGTTATCATTTCTGATGGTATCGTCTACAACGGTATGTAGCCACTACGACTTATCTGTTAGAGATTACTTCTAAGCTTTCCAAGATCTGTTGAGTATTTCCGACCGCGATACATGGGCCTATGGACAAGCCCTTCGCAAGATGTCTTCCGCCAAGTTCGAGTACATCGGCTTTTCTAGGATCAAGGACCTGATCGACTTCCCTATGCCTCCCGACATGAAGGAGATTGCGTATGTCGCCAACGCTACCAACTTCCGCCGAGCCTTCCTCAACCGTTTTGGTAAGGATGACATCGACATCCACCAAGAGATCAAAGACAATCCTGATACCATGATGACATACCTTGGCTATCGCCGATTCCTGGAGTCTGATCTCAAACACATCTTCCCTATTGGAAATGGCCGTGGTGCCAATGAGTACAGAAGGGATGTGAGGTATCTTGCCAAGCAGATGCTCATCCGAGGATATGTAAGTCTCCATATCGACTCCCATACCAGCCACAGGGACTGACTCGATGCTCTTCAGGCCTTTGCAGGTGCTGTCAAGAATGGCTTCCCGAACTACTTGCGACTCTCCATCCATCATTCCACTGGCGAACACAAAATCTCAATGAGTCTGCTCGACACCAACACTGGCTTCACTACGCCTTGGCATTGCTGTGTTGCTCGCATGGCAAATGGCGAATGGACCAGTGCTCCCATGGGCGAGTATCTGAAGGACCCTAACATGAAGGTCGTTCACGAGAACGGTCGCCCATCCTACTTCCAAGAGACAATCGCCGACACCAAGACCGAAGAGGTGTCGGATGCTCAACCTGTCCAGATGCCACAGAGTGCTGTGCAGACAGAGCCAGATCAGGTCAAGTCCACTATTCTCTCACCCTTCACAGGTGAGGAAGAAGAACGTCTCACCGTTCTCGCCAAGTCCATCTCTTCGGAGCTCAAGCAGCAGGATAGCAAGCCCATCAACCCTTTCTCAGGCCCCGATAACCCTTCCCTTGACCCACACTCAAGCGAGTTCAGCATAGCTGCTTGGTTGCAGGCTGTCATGAGTATCACATCTCGTGACCCTGAGAAATATCCTCGCGGTGTTGCTGGTGTGGCGTACAAGGACCTCTCGGCCCATGGAGTTGGTGAGGCCACTGACTACCAAAAGACCTTTGGCAATTATCCCTTGGAGGTAGTCAAGTTTGCCAAAAAGCTCATGAGTCAGGGCGAGTCTGCCAAGATCCAGATTCTGAGGGACTTTGAAGGTTTGGTTAGGAGTGGAGAAATGCTTCTAGTCCTCGGTCGACCTGGAAGGTAAAGGATACAGGACTAACTGATGGTTAAAAACAGAATGCTGATTTGTCGCCCAGTGGCTGCTCAACATTCCTAAAGACCATTTCTGGCGAGACTAGTGGTTTCAAGATTGGGGAGGAATCGAAGCTGAATTACCAAGGTATTCCTCAGGATATTATGCACAAGGACTTCAGAGGGGAATGCATTTACCAAGCAGAAAATGACGCGCATTTTCCTCAGTTGACCGTGGGACAGACTCTCGAATTTGCTGGCAGGGCAAGGGTATGAAGAAGATTGGCTTTCCTTAGATTCGCTCACTGATGGTTCGAAGGCTCCACGTACACTCATAGATGACATAACTCGCAAGGTACTCAATTTCATTAGTATTTCATAATAATTTGTGTAGCAAAGCTGACACTGTTGGCTTAGACATACGTGACACATCTGCGTGATGTTGTGATGGCGGCTTTTGGCTTGAGTCACACCGTTGATACGATTGTAAGTACAATTTACCTAAGCTTTATACTAATGGTCTAACCATTCTCTAAACCACTGGTCTAAATCTTGTCTAAGTCACTGGTCTAACTCTTCTATAAAGGTTGGCAATGATTTCATAAGAGGAGTGTCTGGAGGTGAGCGTAAGCGGGTTAGCATTGCTGAAGTGTAAGTTCTATGTGAGAACCCCAAGATCACGTACTTATGCCACCTACAGTGCCATCGGAGGTAGTACCCTCCAGTGTTGGGACAACAGTACTCGCGGCCTTGACAGCGCGACCGCTCTCGAATTTGTACGAACACTACGGACCTCGACAAAGTTCACTGGAGCAACGGCTCTTGTCAGCGTCTATCAAGCTTCACAGTCTATCTACGATGTAGGTCCGTCTTCCTCCGTCACCCATCTCTTCCACTGATATTCTATGTAGGTCTTTGATAAGGTTGTGGTACTTTATGAAGGGCGCCAGATTTACTTCGGAAATATCCACGCCGCCAAGGACTTCTTTGTCAATCTAGGCTTCGAATGTGCATCCAGACAGGTAACAGCTGACTTTCTCACTTCCCTCACTAATCCGTTGGAGCGGAGGGTCCGACCTGGCTTCGAAGGTAAGACACCTTCCACGCCAGACGAGTTCGCGGCAGTATGGCAGCGCAGTCAAGAACGAGATGTCTTGCTACAGGAGATCGATATGTTTAACAAGCAGTATCCTACCGGAGGGCCGTCACTAGATGCCTTTAGACATTTTCGTAAGACTTTCAAGGCATCATCACAGTAAGTCAATCCTTTCATAAGTCCTATACTACTCTGGCCTCAGGATGTCAGAGGAATTGGCCCCTAGAGACATAAGAGATGAAATAATTTGGCCACTTTATGCTAGCTTAGGCTAGCAGTTAGGCTACTTTGTGATAGAACCCTAAGTCTTAGAGTAGAATTCTTCTGTTATCCACCTAGAGAACCTCGCAAGTATGAGTGGCTAACGATACTTCCTCAGGCGTGTCAAGTCCCCGTACGTCCTCTCTATCCCACAGCAAATCGCGCTCTGTGTACGACGAGCCTTCCAATCCTTGCGATCAAATGCGACGCTTGTGGTCTTTGGGTCTCTTTTCAATGCGATCATGGCACTTGTGGTTGGTAGTATCTTTTACAACCTTCCCAATACTACCGATTCACTTTACAGTCGTGGCGCGTTGCTATTCTTTGGGATCCTTCTGGCGGCATTCGCCAGCGCACTTGAGGTTTGTCAATTCACTCGCTATAATAGACTCATCTCACATCCATCAGATCATGACGCTCTATGCGCAAAGGCCTATCGTTGAGAAGCATAAGAATTATGCCTTCTATCATCCGTTTACCGAAGCCGTTGGTAGGTTCAACGCTCAAGGAGTCTTCATTTTCGATGCATGCTAATTACGTTCAGCCTCTATGATTTGCGACCTACCAAACAAAATTCTCACATCTCTCACCTTTAACTTAGTGCTTTACTTCATGACGAACTTGCGGCGTACTCCTGGTCACTTCTTTGTCTTCTTACTCTTCACGTTCACTTGCACTCTGACTATGTCGATGTATTTTCGTTGCATAGGAGCTTTAAGTCGCTCACTCCCCGAGGTAAGAAACCTCCAAGGTTGATATCTATCATGACTTTCAACCTCCAGTATCAGATCAGCGCTGATGACTTAGGCCCTTGCTCCTGCTTCACTCTTTTGCCTCGCCCTGGCTATTTACACCGGCTTTTCTATCCCCATTAAGGACATGGTTCCTTGGTTTAGGTGGCTCAATTATCTCAACGTTAGTAGCCGGATGGATCCCTGTCTTCTTTTAGCCAGATGTATACTGACCCTATGCTAGCCTGTCGCCTACGCTTTCGAGGCCCTGATGATTAACGAGGTTAGCCACGCAACGCCGTAATGATAGAAGTCTTTCAAGCTAACAAAGACAAACAGTTTCATGATCGCACGATAGGATGCTCGAAATTTGTCCCACAAGGTCCTGCCTATGAAGGCATCTCATCCGCTGAGAGGATCTGCGCGACCACTGGAGCCGCGGCTGGCGCAAGTGTCGTCGATGGCGACGCATACCTCTCAGTGAACTTTGGATATCATCATAGCCATATGTGGAGGTAGGTCTTCTGCATTCGAATGTAGACTGAAACGGCACTGACTGTCCTCTGTAGAAACTTTGGTATCATGCTTGCTCTGATGATTTTCGGCTGTGCAGTCTACTTGGTGGCTACTGAATACATCTCCGCTAAGAAATCAAAGGGTGAAGTCTTGATTTTTCGAAGAAGTCACATGCCCTACCTTGAATTGAAGTCCGATGAAGAAACAGCTTCCTTCGGTAAGAACTCCGTGGGTATCCTGGACAACGAGAAGGCTCTTGGACCCGCTGCTGGGCTTGAGAAGCAGACTGCTGTCTTTCAGTGGAGCGACGTGACATATGACATCAAGGTCAAGAAGGAGACCCGACGGCTACTCCATCAGGTCGATGGTTGGGTCAAGCCAGGAACATTGACTGCACTCATGGTAAGTCTCCCGTAGCCGATGACTAAGATACTTACTAACGAAGGTACTAGGGCATCACGGGTGCGGGTAAGACAACTCTCCTCGATGTGTTGGCCAATCGCACTAGTGTCGGCGTTGTTGATGGCGAGTTTCTCGTCAATGGACGACCTAGAGACACAGGGTTCCAACGGAAGACTGGTTACGTGCAGCAACAGGATCTTCACCTTTCGACTACTACTGTCCGGGAAGCCCTGACATTCAGTGCTCTCCTTCGACAGCCACGAGCTACTCCGCGCAAAGAGAAGCTTGAATATGTGGAGCAGATCATTGACACTCTCGAGATGCATTCCTATGCTGATGCTATTGTTGGCGTCCCGGGCGAAGGTAAGTGGCTCTCAGAAACCTAATCCCAGCATAAGAGACGAAATAATTTGCATATTCTATGCCAGCCTGAGCTAAGCTTTAGACTATGTACTTTGTTTTTGTCCTAAGCTTAGGGGACCACTTTGAGCTGTAGTCAATTGATCTGCCTACTGACTGCTCTAGGCCTGAACATTGAACAGAGAAAGCGTTTAACTATCGGCGTCGAGCTTGCAGCGAAACCTGCACTACTGCTGTTTCTCGACGAACCCACTTCAGGTAAGTCTCCAATCAATCTTCATAGTCAGGCAGACACTGACTCGTTGATCCTATCCAGGCCTTGATAGCCAGACAGCATGGTCCATATGTCAACTCCTTCGCAGGCTCGCAGACAATGGCCAGGCTATCCTCTGCACAATCCACCAACCATCCGCCCATCTTTTCCAGTCATTTGACCGTCTGCTGTTCCTATCTATGGGTGGTAAGACTATGTACTTTGGTGACATTGGCCCTTCCTCCAAGATCATGACAAGCTACTTTGAACGCAATGGAGCGCGCCCTTGTGGGGAAGACGAGAACCCAGCAGAATGGATGCTTGAGATCACTGGTTCTGGCAGTGAACAAGATTGGCCTTCTCTTTGGAACGACTCCCCGGAGCGAGAGGCAGTGAAAGCCGAGCTCGCCGTCAAGAAGGTAGAGCTTTCGCAGTTGGCCACTCATGTGACAGGATCAAGCGACGTGGATGCATTGCGCCCATTCGCAGCACAGTTTATAACGCAACTCTCTGTTGTGCTGAAGCGAGTGTTCCAGCAATACTGGCGTACGCCTTCCTACCTTTACTCCAAGGTTGCACTTTGTCTTTTCAGCGTGAGTCCCTCGCCTCGCCACTCTTTGGACATCGGCCTCTAACCTTCGATCAGGCACTTTTTATCGGCTTCTCGTTCTGGCAACTATCCAATTCCCTCCACGGGCTCCAGAACCAGATGTATGCCATTTTCATGCTTCTCGTCATTTTTGCCAACGTCTGCTCTCAAATCATGCCACATTACGATGCTCAGAGGGCTCTTTACCAGTCTCGCGAAAGCCCATCCAAGACATATTCATGGCAGGTATTCGTGCTCTCCAACCTACTTGTTGAGATCCCTTGGAACTCTCTATCGGCACTTCTTATCTTCTTATCCTGGTATTACCCGATTGGACTTCGCCATAATGCCCTGGAAGCAAATGAGGGACCCGAGAGAGAAGCGCTCATGTTCCTGTTCATCCTCGCGTTCATGAATTTCGCAGGAACTTTTACGAATATGGTCTTGTCTGCTGTAGGGAATGCTGAAGCAGCTGGCAACTTGACCAACCTACTGCACTCTCTGTCTCTTATTTTCTGCGGGTACGTGCTGTGTTCCAGTTCACAGGATCGGATACTGACAATAACGCAGGGTTCTCGTGTCGCCTGAAGCTATGCCTGGCTTCTGGATCTTCATGTATAGGGTATCTCCTTTCACTTACTTCTTCTCTGGCGTTCTCTCTGTTGGTCTCGGCAACTCACATATCTCTTGTTCTGCTGAGGAATACCTGCATTTTTCCCCACCACCATCCATGAACTGTTCGGCCTACCTGGCACCTTACATAGAGACTTTTGATGGCTATCTTACGCCAGGTAGTATGGGGTCTACTTCTGAATGTGTATTCTGTAGCGGCAACGATACCAACATCTTTTTGGAGACAGTAAGTGCAGATTATGATGATCGGTGGAGGAATTTCGGCATCTTCTGGGTCTACATTATCTTTAATATAGTCGCGGCACCTTTGTTGTTCTGGCTCACCAAAGTGCCGAAAGGCAAGATGAGCACGAGGAAAGAGGACACAGGGGGAAGGATATCGGAGGTTGAACTTAAGAATACTGGTGCAAAATGAGAGGGTCTGGACTGACGATTCTACCGAGATTGTTAAGAATGACTCATGAGAACGCATTCTAATTGACTCAGATTTGTTCACCGCAACATCCTGTTTCCGAAGCTTGATTGTGACTCGAAAGAGACGAAAAGATTTGAACACTTTATTGATCTGCTCCAAGTAATTTATTTTTATGACTCTAAAGCTGAAAGCCGTGTTCGGCCTTGGCTTTTTCGTATGCTGACAAATCCTGTGCGACGATGGTGTCACAGCGCTACCCCTCACTAACAAGTCACGATATAAGACTCATCTCACGAACACATCGTGAAGCAGCTCTCAATCGCAAATGAAAATGTCTCCTCCTACGAAATACGCCGTCGCTTTGTTCCCGGGTTTTCAAGCTCTCGATGTTTTCGGACCTCTCGATACCCTGAACTGGACATCCAGACGACAGCATTTCGAACTCTCGCTTCTTCACACTTCGCTTGAACCAGTATCCACTCAGTCAGAGGGCATTCCCGCTTGTATTGGGCAGAGTGTTGTCCCGACTCATACCTATGACACTGCTCCGGAAGATATCGAGGTTCTGATTGTGCCGGGCGGCTTTGGTGCCAGGGATCCAAAGAATACCGAGCGAGTGCGGGAGTTTGTTAAAGAGAGATATCCGAAGCTGAGATATCTCTTGACTGTCTGCACGGGAAGTGTAATTGTGGCTCAGACAGGACTTCTTGATGGCAAGAATGCTACTAGTAACAAGCTAGCCTTCGAATGGGTAAGTTACAGATCCACAACGAGTTCGGGACATTTTGCTAATAATTCTAGGTCCTGACTCAAGGTGTCAATGTCAAGTGGGCAAGAAAGGCTAGATGGGTGGTAGATGGAAATATCTGGACAGCCTCGGGCATCTCGGCTGGTATTGATATGACCTATGCATTTATCGCGGATCAGTATGGACAAGACGTTGCAGACGATACAGCTAAGGGATCTGAGTATGTACGCAACACTGATCCTAACGAAGATCCATTTGCTGTTTAAATCAATTCTATTGCTACCAAAATCTATTTTGGCCCAACACCCCTCAGTGTTTCAGAAGAATTAGTCCCTAAAAGCCTAAGGGACGAAGTAGTTTGGTCACTTTATGATAGCTTAGACCAGCACTTGGGTGACTTTGTTCCAGTAACCTAAGCCTTAGAGGTTCCATTTGCTGTCTGAACCGAATTCTGTTGCAACTATAATATTGATATCGCATCTATACTTGTGCGCTATTCTTCATGTCTAAGCTATCGCGTCTGTCTTATCGCTCTGTTGCGCGTCACTGCCAGTCTCGCTACTTGCCTCCGTCTTCTTGGGCTTGGGGAGGATAAAGACAGCCGAGACCACCATCAATCCACAAAGGGCTGTGTAGAATGCCCACATAATTCTCAGTCCACTGATATACCCCTGTTTATCAGTCTCGCCTTGCTCCTTATCCTCTGACACATGCGTCAATTCACCACCGCGAACAGTTCGCTGAATTAAGACTGTTCCTACAACGAGCGATATGGAAACGAACAACCCGCGCATGAAAGTGTAAGCTGACATTGCCGCCGCCATATCTCTCTGACGCACGTGAGTCTGCAGAGCGATCATGGGGTTCTGGAAGAGGACACCACATCCCAGACCTGCGAGGATCTGGAAGATGATCAGCTTAGGCCATTCCTTTCGTTGACCGAGGCTAATAAAGAGGCCTGTTCCCAGAGTCATGAGGGTGGCTCCAATGAGGATCAAGATCTTGTAATTCCCGGTCTTTCTAACGAAGACGCCACCAAGACCTGTCGAGATGGACATGGGAATGATGAGAGCGAATAATGTGACTCCCGAAATGATAGGTGAGAAACCCAGGATGACTTGAAAGTAAAGAGGCAAGAAGTAGTCGTACGAGATGAAGATGAAGGAGTGCAGATTTGCCACTGCAAAGGCAGCAATGTTCGTCCTGCTATGGAAGACTCGAATAGGGATGATAGGGTTCTTGGCGACTTTGGCTTCCCATACCATGAATAGAACCAGTATGAGGAACCCAAAGACGATCAAGCAGATGACAAAAGCGGAGTTCCAGGGCGCGAGACCACCTGAACCGGCTTCGAGGCCATAAAGGAAGCAGATGGTGCCGCCGATGATGAAAGCGAAGCCGACCCAGTCAAGACTGCGTAGACCGTCGATGAGAGGCTCCTTTTCGATGTTGACCTTGAGGAGAAAGAAGAGTGCAACCAGAGCAACACCCTCGAATGGTAGGTTGATGTAAACTGCGAGTAAGGTTAGTTCATGTTGAGCTTCAGCTGGAGTATACTTACAGCACCACCTCCAAGTAACAGCTTGAGAGAAGACACCCCCCAAGACTGGACCGATAGCTCCAGCAATGCCAAATACAAGTCCTGTGATACCATAGTACTTGGCACGATCCTTCAGTGGAAACAAGTCTCCGATGAGAATGGTGATGAGAACCATACATCCACCACCACCAAGACCTTGAACGACTCTTCCACCGATGAGCATACTACTCGAGTTCGCCAAAGCACAAATGAGACTACCAGCCATGAAGAGACCAGTGGCACTCATCATACTAGGCTTGCGACCAACAATGTCAGAAATCTTGGCCCATACTGGCGTCACCGCTGTTGTAGAAAGGGTATACGAAGATCCAATCCAAGCATACTCGCGAGCCGAAACAGAAAGTTCATTGCCAATAGTAGGAAGAGCAGTCGCCAAGATAGTCGTGTCCAACGCACACAGAAAAAGAGTTAAACAAAGAGACAAGACTACAAGGCGTCGTTGAAGGGTGCTCATATGTGGAGGAACGTATGAGGCCCCTGTCTCGACAGGTTCGAGACGGGAGCCCATAGCATCTTTCTCGTTGTGGTGTTCATCTTGGGGTGAGGCAGAAGACTGTGGCTGTGATTGTAGTGGCTCCGACATGATACGCTGGGATGTAACGGTCGAAAATCTTGGTTTCGAAATGGAGCTCGTGATTATGTAGACATGAGGAAGATTGGACGTACCATTTTCTGAGAAAGGGTGCTGTTGTGGATTCGGTTCGGCTCGGTTCGGAGCTGAGAGATCCCGGTAGCGATCTTTGTCTTGGAATGGAGCGCAGGTAATTGGTCATTTGGCCGAGATCAATTTGTTTGAGGGTGAATTGAAGCAAGGGACTCGTCAGCGCAGGAGATCTCCCATTTTGATGTTCCTCCTTTAAGGGTTTTCGTATCCAGTAGCATATAGGCCCAGCCAGGTGGGTTGCGAAAGAATCGTCTTCTAAGGCTTAGATTACCAACATAAACTAACCTAAGTTTTGGTCTAAGTTCGCATAAATTATTTCGTTTCTTATGCTCGGAGGCCAATTTCTTCTGGCTATCGAATTAATGGTGTTGAGACTTCGGTTCATATTGACCCTTCGCGAATTGACGAGTCGTGATTGACAACGATGGCTGGTTAAACTTACTCGCGCGTCCCCTCACCCTTGCCCTCAAAGGATACCTTTTCCCGAACCGAATCGAACCGAAGTTGAGCGACAAGCTAACCACGCCTCAAGAATGTCCATCTCCAATGAGAACAGCGATAATGGAACATGACCAAGTGATGCAGGGCCTCGACCATCTAGTCCCATTGTAGAGACAAACCCCCATGTTTCTTACCCCGCGACATCAAACATTGCGACATCGCCGTCCGTGACAGGAGGGACACGGGTAGTAAAAAAGCTTGGCCGTGAATAGAGCGGGAGATAAAATAACTTGTGCAGATCAGTGTAGATCTTTGCCCACCATTTTCTGACTCCCTGATCAATTGGAAATCCCGTTGAAGTCTTCCGCAGAATCGGAGATCCCCACGAATGCGGGGGACTCGTTTAGTGGCTTTTTACCCCGGACATTGGTGGTGATACGCGGAGGGAAAATACAAATTGTTGGCGACACCCTCGGGACGACTCTCTTCTCATTCTGTGTCGCATTTCATTCTCTTCACCACAATCATGGACTCAGAATCTCAAAGCCTCTCACCGCGTCCTCCCCGATCCAAACGCGGGCGCCTCTCTCTAGCTTGCACACAGTGTCGCAAGCGCAAGGTCCGATGCGACGCGACAACCCCCAAATGTCGCAATTGCGTCCTGAGAGGCGACGAGTGCCAGACCTTTGACCCGCGACGACCCAACGGCCCTGCTGTGAGGAAATGGCCTCATAAGGGCTCACAGAGCACGTCTACGTTATCTTCGGTACCGCGCAGAGCTTCAATTGCTAGTCAGCACAGTTCTCCGGCTTCGCTTGTCGGGTCGCAAATTACTGCTTCGACGCCGTTGTCGGCGAGTGGGAATAAAGAGAGACCGCCTTCGTGGATTGAGCGCGCATATCAAGAGACTACGCCTGAAAGTGGCACGGATGGACAAACGAACGATAGTCCTGATGTGGTCATGAACACGGATGAGTCGTCGCATCGCATAAAGGTGAGTCTTGAGGGTCCCCATGTGATTGAAGGCGATTGACGGCGACTGACCTTGTGTAGTATATGGGATCCTCTAGTCTGCAATGTCTCACTCGCTTCATCGACCTGTTTCTTCAGAGACGCGGATTAGATCCAATCGGTCGACACTTTCACTGGGGTATGTGTTTTACTGAAGAGTACGCACTGCCATTGGTGCCGAGCCTACCAGACCTACCAAGCATGTCCATCATGGAACCCTGCATCAAGAAGTTTTTCAGCCGAACGCACCCTCTCGTCCCCGTCCTCGATCATACAGCCTTTATATCAGATGTCCTGCGCTTCTCAGAATTACAACAGACTTGTCAGGGTGGCCTGCAAGGCGCAATAACTTCCGTGGACGCGCCAGCTTTGGCAGCAATCTACGCGGTGTTGAGCATCGGTATGGACGACCATGAAGGTGCGATATCGACTGCAGCGACAGGTTATCTCACCGGCGCTTATTCGCTCGTGAGCCACTTGCTCAGCTTTCCATACATGAGTTCAGTGCAAGCCCTTGTTCTACTAGCAGTGGCTATGCGTTGTAGAGGTAAGTCTCATTTCTTGTGACCACTTGGTATCTCTACTGACTCTTCTGTCTCAGGTAAAGATGGACAGTGTTGGCATCTATTAGGTATGTGCAAAGCGTAATAAATATCTTCACGAACCCTTCTGATGGGGCATTTATCAGGTCAAGCAGTCCGCATAGGGTATTCCATAGGCATTCACCGAAAAATCGCTGTATCAAACCCCAACGAGGACTCAGGAAACCAGGTCGACCGGAAACTACACTCTAGAGTTTGGTGGGCCTGCTACGCCCTGGAGAAGTCCATGCAGTTAGAAACCGGACGACCGAGTGCAATAGAAATCACAGACTGCGACCAGCCTTTGCCTGACAAGGCCAGCGGTCTGAACCCTTGCTTTATCAGATGGGTCACTCTATCTCTATTGGTCGGTAAGATCAGCGAGCACATCTTCCAAAGAAGAGCAGAGAGCGCCCTAGATTTCTTGTCAGGGATTGCCCAGTTAGATCAAGCCTTAGTTGATTGGTTAGACGAGGGAGCAGAGGATGCAAAGACAAGTCAGAATGCAAAGACCACGGAGGAAAAGTCATTCGAAGTCTTCATATCTCTGCATTTCCACCAGGTAAGAAACCACGTTAACTGCAGCGCCAGGCCAAACGCTTACTGTATTCACAGGCACAAATCACTCTTCTACGCGCATCGCTCATCTTCCCTGAAACGTCTTTCCAAAACCAAGTACAAAAGCAGGAAGCCAAACTTCACAGCATCTCAAGGCTATTGCAAAGCCAGAACACCTGCGTGGAAGCTGCGCGGTCCATCATTACCCAAGTGGCGGAGTTTGCCGACACACATCCTAATTTCCTACTTCTGACTCCAACTCCTACCTTTCTCGCAGCTGTCACTCTTGCGCTACAAACATTCAAGAAGCCGCATAAGCGCATGGGCCGATCCGATGGAGAGCTTGTGAGAATAGGCTCTGATTATGCCGCCGATTCCTGGAAGAATGTCGGGCAACACAGCGAGTTTGTTAAAGGCGTGTTGGAATTATCAGTCCGTGTGAACCAGGTTTTGTCTGGCGATAGCTCGACTACAGAGACGCCGAGAATACCACAACAGGACTCGCAGGACTCGAGCTTGGACAGGATGTTATCGCCGAGTCAATTCGTAGATGCAGGAGGAGCTGGTTCCTTCGTTTTTGATCCGTTGGAGTATTTTCAGGATCCGTTCCAGGCGATGCCGTTGGATCATTTCTGGGCGGTGATGGAGAGCGATTTTGCGACTATCGGCGACGGTATGTGTTAGGATGCTAAGAGGATAACGGAGAGGATTAGTCTGCGTTTAGAAGATACCCTAATGATGACTCATGTTATGTTTGGTATTTCAATCTGTTGAATCGTACACAAATATCCGGTATTCTGTCAGAAGGTTGCGCCGAGCGGGTGAACGTGTTATGGCGAAGAATTGAGACTTTTGACATAAAGCCCCAACTTTTCCCTTGGGACTTGCTTGATATAAAACACCAGAAAATGATCGTCGTCGGTTCTAGACCCTTATCCACCGAGCCGAACCGTATCCGCTCGACAACATACGATGATCAAGGTAGCATCGGCAATGAGTGTGTTTGACCTCCTTCTCCCACTCGGGCACATGATACACCAGCTCATCTCGTTTCGTGACTGTTATGTTACAAAATAGCATTAACAGACTGAAACCAGTCTAATGTAGACCCAGGGAAAAGATCCGGAGACCTGGTATATGGTCTTTGCATAGTTCCTCATGAGAAACCTGATACCTAACATACATGATGTCTAAAGCCGGCTGGAAATCGGCAGTTTGTATGTATGACACTGCGTCTAGACTTAAGAGTATACTGTTGTCGAGTAGAAAGTGACAGTGGAACTGCATCAGTGTCATGAATCCCCTGTAGAATGGAGTACCGATCCAACGTGTGGTTCTGGGGCACGAGACCATACCAATGAGGAGAATCTGGACTAACACCCAGTTGTTTAGCTTGCACACTTAATTTAGAGCATCTGACACAAGTATAGGGTATAGTTGAGTCCCCTCGCCCCTCGTCTCATCCAGAACCGAGCTCGGTTCGGTGGGGGGTTCGGTTCGGGCTATTCCTCCCACGCCTCCACGTTACTCACTAGTGTGACCCCGGATTCTCGTCCGTATGAGGATCGGTGGAGTAGACCACTCGATGGTTTCGATACATATAAAGGATTAAAGACGGCTACTTGCAAATTAATTCATGCCAGAGCTCAACAACGAACTATCTGACTTGTTCATTACAAACAACAGACATTAGCACAATGGCTCCTTCAGCAACTACTACCACCACCACACAAGAGCACCCTACGCTCACTCTTCGACCAGAGGGTCTTGAGCGTATCGTCATTGACGGCAATGACCGACGATATGGCGACTGGAGAGATGATCTCGTCCGTGACGGATACGCTGTCATCAAGGGCGCTATTCCCAGAGACCGAGCTTTGAGCTACGCCAACCGCATGTACGGTCTGCTTGAGAGCTTGTAAGTAGAATACTCGTAAATGATGAGAAAGCACTTGAACTAACAATGCAAAGTGGTCAAGGATACAACCGAAACGATCGATCCACCGTTCACCCTGACAAGCTCCCTGTCATCAACGAGAAGGGCATGCTTTTGAACTATGCTGCAGCCCACGAGGACTTTGTTTGGGGTGTCCGCTCTGAGCCCGGTGTTGTCGGCGCTTTCGAGAAGGCGCTCGGAACTGAAGAACTTATCGTTTCCTTCGATGCTATCAACTATGGCTTCTCCAACCGAGAGAACCTGCCCGCAAACAAGCCCTGGCCTCACCAGGATCAAGACCCCGACAAGCCCGGCTTCCGTTGCCTTCAGGGACTCGTCAACCTACTCCCGAACGGCCCGAACGACGGGGGGCTGATTGTTGCCAAGGGTGGTCATCTTCTCAGCCAGCAATTCCACGATGATATCCGTGGCACTGAAGAGCGTATTCCTGCCTGGACCCCAGAGTGGTACGGTTTCACCGACAAGGGCATGAAGTGGCTCGAGGACAACGACTGCGAGTGGTACAAGGTCGAGGCTGACCCCGGGGATCTAATCGTGTGGGATTCGAGAACGCCGCATTACAACGTTCCTGTGAAGGGTAATCAGGACCGTTTTGCAATCTACACTTGCTTCATGCCGGTTTCGGAGGCATCCCAAGAGGATCTCATCCGCAAGAAGGATGCTTTCGAGCGCAGAATTGGCACTACGCACTGGCCCAACGCTCGCCATGTCGGATCTAACGAGGCTAAAAGGAATGGGAAGCCTGACCATATTGTCCGGGACAGACCTCTGCATGAGCCACAACTTAGTGAGCGGGCTTTCAAGTTGACGGGTATTCCTTATATCAAGGCTGAGGCGAGCTAGAGGGGAAGACTGGATGAATATGAATTGGTTCTTAGTTTTATGTAGTATAGCACAATAGTATCACTCTTTTGACATCATCTTCGAACTCGTTTCTGTGAAGAGACCTCTCTTACTCGGGGTCTGCTAGTGACTTCTACTCGGGGTTTGCTTCTGACACATCTGGTGATAAAGATGCCCGCAATGCGTACTTAATAAAATAACACTTTTGATCCCACGAGCAGAAGCTTCTGTAAAATAGTGATAAATGCTTTAAATGTCAAGTTCTCTAAACGTAGGCAAGCGAAAATTGGAAATTGTAAAATTGGTGCGCGTTTCAAAGGCTGGCAATTGCCTACAGTACCATGTAATTAATTCCTCTCAAATGGATAAATTATTTATGGCAGAGCACTAGATGAATGACCTCGGAAAAATCAAGATCGAGATCGAGATGATTGACTCGATTGATGAATTGATGTGACTGTGCTGCTTCCTGGGTGATCTGTCTTCCGTACCATGCTGTCACCCCGCAAAATGTCACTCCGGACCTAGCCCCCGGTCTTGGCCGGAGGTGGTTCACGATTCAACCCAATTCATCTGCTCTAAATCCGTTGGCTGACGAATGCATAAGTAAAAAACCCCCATTCGTCACGGCAATTGCCTCGGGTGAGATTTGAGGGGTTCAGCGATTATCGGCTTGGCTTTCAGTGGTATGGAGGGTTGGTGGCTTCGGTTCGTACATCTCGGTTCGGATACGGTTCGCTCAACCCCGAACCTAGCGGATGCTAGCGTCCCCGGACATGACCCTTGGCACGGGCGTATAAGATGCAACCAGCAGGGGAAGGTTGAGTTCATCAATACCAAGAAAACGGAACTATTCACAAATTAATCATGGGAAGCCTACCTGATTTACACATCGTTATTGTTGGTGGCGGAATCGCCGGCCTAGCCACTGTAAGTTCTCCCAAAAGATAACTAGAGTCGAAGCTAAATGATTCCAGGCTTGTGCTCTTAGACATCCCAACAGACGCATCACCGTACTCGAGCGCTCTCGTCTTCTTCGTGAAGTCGGTGCTCTCATTTCTCTCCAGCCAAATGCTAGCAAGATTATCACTAAGTGGAAACTTGATCAATTTCTTGAGAGCGCAGAGCCCCAGATCGATCAAGGATTCAGAATCTTTGATGCTGATGGCAATTTGGTGAGAGAACTGCCTTTTCAAAAAGGGCAGTTTGGCGCAGATCGTGTCCTTTATCACAGACAAGATCTGCAGTCTGCTCTTGGTACTGCAGCGGCCAGCGAATTGATCCCAGGAAACCCTGTGGAGATTCGAACTGGTTGTCAAGTGGCGAGCGTCGACTGCGAGGAAGGTATTGTGAAGCTTGACTCCGGGGAAGAAGTCCGAGGAGACGTCATCATTGGAGCAGATGGCATTCACAGTGCTGTGAGAACAGCTGTTGTAGGGGAGAAGAGGGAACCCTTACCAACTGGAACATCAGCATATCGAATGCTGATACCCACTGAGAATCTAAAGGGTCTTACTCTACCTGACAAGGTTCTGGACCCTGCGGATCCCAAAACAACCATGATCATGGGCCATGACAGGAGAATCATCATGGGACCGGGAAGAGGCAGCAAACTCTACGGTATCGTTGCTTTGGTGCCAGACGAGAAGCTTGCAGAGGAGAGCTCAGATAGTTGGGTAGCACCCGGCAGTATCGAGAAACTCCTAGAAGCATACTCAGATTTCCCATCTTGGCTACACGACATTTTCAAGGCAGCGCCGGATATCGCACTCTGGCAGCTCCGTGACATTGATCCTCTACCAAATTGGGTCAAGGGACGTACCATTCTCATTGGCGACGCTGCGCATGCCATGTTACCCACACAAGGCCAAGGTGCTTCCCAAAGCATCGAAGATGCAGAAGCCATTAGTGCTTTCTTGTCGGAAGTCCGCTCCAGAGAACAGGTTGGGGAGGCTCTGGAGAGGGTATTTGCAGCCAGATATGACAGAGCGACGTTGATTCAGAAGTTCAGCAGGGAACAGGCGAAGCCAGCAACGGACGGTGTCAGCAAGGAGATTAAGTTAGATCCTGCACAGTTTGTGAAGTACAATAGTGACTATGATGGGGCTGCGGATTGGGAGCAACGGCAGAAGGACGGGACCGCGGTTCCGTGATGATGGGTTGGACAGGGTGATAGTAATGACAATAGGATACTTGTATTTCCAATGCCATGAAGCTACTCAAAGTTCTTGCAATAGGTTATTCCAAGTGTGTAAATCATTGTTCAGTTCTAATTGGGGCACGTGTTGCAGGTGAAATCCTCTCGAGTACCTCTTGGCATCATGTAGCCTTTTCGTAAAGTTAGGCAAAACTTAGGCTTAGCCTTTAGGTACTTTGACTTCCTTATCCTAAACATTAGACAATAAGGTTCTTTTCATAATCTAAACATAGACAGTATTCTCAAGGAGCTCCCGGAAAAAGTGAGCTCCGGAAACGTGTACCAAAGCGAGACGAAAGGCAGATCGATCAACAACAATTTCCATTCCAACCAACCATCAAGTTCATACACTCATAAAGCTATTCTGACAAGAAAGCAGCATCCCACGTGATTATGTAATATTTCCGGGTTGTTACTCGTTCTTGGCCTTATCCACAGCCCACCGGGTTGTGAACTGGCGAATCTTCTTACCCCAGATGAAGATGAAGATACCGATGACACCAAAAGCTCCTGTGAGGCCTCCAAAGACTGCAAAAGCTCCGTCGTAGCCGTTTCTGTCAATGAAGGGGGAAATGCCGTAGGAAACGCCGAACGACATAACGCCACGCATGGCGCAGATGATGACAAGCAGAGGACCAGCGCGCTGAGGATAACTATCCAAAAGATATGTAATAGCGACGATATTAGCACCGACAAAAGCGAAGTAGTACGCTAGCCTTTGTTAGAAAATTGATAGAACGAAGAGAGTGAGTTGGTAACATACCGGCGACGGCCCAGACAAAGACAAACCAGTGGTAGTTCTCGGGATGGGCTGCTCCCAGACCATACAAGACAGCGGTAAAGATACCGACGATGATTGGGAAGGCAAGAGGAATGATGCGGACTTCAGGCTCGTGGATGCCGTTTCGACGGTTAGCAAACCACTTGATGAGCAGATCAGAGCCATAGCCGAAGCAGGGAAGGGCCACCAAGGATGTCACGATTTGACCAGCATTGACATAACTAGCTGAAGACTGGGGCCAGTTGTAGGGAGGGCTTGTAACGATGTGACCGTATGTGGTACCAATGGCAATGTTGACACCAAGGGTGAGACCGTTGAGAAGTAGGGCCCACAAGACATTGGGGAAGAGCATGAGACTAAAGGTTTGCTAGCAAGGGTTAGTAAGGTCGAGACTGAGATGGACCCGAATAGCTTACAGTAAAGATCTCCACCACCTTGTTCCATTCAGGCTCGCCGACCCAGAGTCGCATGTCAGATCGCCAGGTACGGGGAGCAAAGTTGACGTAGTCAAGCTCCGGGCGCTCGGTGCAGACAATGACAGTGGCCTCATCGTCTGAGCTACCACCGGCTTGGTAGGATGCATTGGATCTTGGGTACTTGGTCTCGGGGACGAAAAAGATGGTGAAAACCAAGCAGACTCCTGAGAGAATGGCGCCAAGACCGTACCACCAACCAGGGGTAATGGCTTCGGCGATGGGACCGGCAAAGATGGTAAAGACAGCTGTGGCGATGGTCTGGATGGTTTGTTGGATCATCATGCAGCGACCTCTCTCGTGGAGGAAGAAGATTTCCTGTCCTCAATTAGTTATGTTATGATATCTGAGTCAGAGGTATTTACCTGAGTGATCATGGGCACAAGAGCCTCGCTTTGACCAGCAGATAGTCCGAGAATAACACGTCCTGCGAGATGCCACTCATAGTTTGTGGCACCAGCACACAAGCCAGCGCTCATGATCATGATGATTGTAGCTCCGATGAGAACGATTCGTCGACCGACCGCGATTCCGAGTGGCATACCGATGAGGTTTCCAATGCCCCTACGAAGGTGTTAGTCATGTCACGGGTATTGCGCTGATAGTCAGGTGGGTGTCGGAAGAATTGTCCTCCAAGGCTTAGGCTACAGAAATAAAGTAGCCTAATTACTAGCCTAAGCTTGCATAAGGCAACCAAATTATTTCGTCTCTTATGCTCTGCGGGGCCAATTCTTCTGATACTCTGAGGATAGTTGGGCTTACATGAAGAGGGTGGGATAAGTCATCAGATGAGTGATGTCGGCATAACCCTTACCAGCAGCCTCATAGGCTGGAATGTAGAAGCCCAGAAGACCTCCAAATCCAGAAACGAGGGCAAGACCAATTGTCGAGACTTTTGTTTCGTTAGTACCAATTCTTGACGAGAGTAGTTTCAGTAGGGTTGCACTCACAAAGCGAGATGATGATGAGGACAACAGCCTTTTGCCACATCTTCATGTTCAGGGGATCTTATGGAGTCAGCACTTTAATCCGATCTCAAACAGGGACGGAATCCTACCTCGCGGATCTGCTGTGGGCGTAGGAATGAAGACAGTCTTGCCCTCGGTGAGCTTGACTGTGCCGCTGACTTCGACCTTGGACTTGGAGACCTGGATCACATCCAGAGAATCCCGTTCGAGATGCTCGACATGATTGATGTCGGTCTTTGTGTCCATGATGTCGGAATTGATGCTGTGAGTGTCTGAGTGTTGAAGAGGTTTGCTTGCTGATGCCGAGGAAAAGATTCGCCAAAACGACGCCATTGCGAGGGCTTTATAGATAATTGACAGACGGAGCCAAGAGATAACGAGAGGAAGGGGAAAGAGAAAGACAACAAGGAGGTGTGATTGTCCTCCGCTGGACAAAGCTTGGCCCTTGGCTTAGTGCAATCCCCCGCAAAACCTTGTTTCCCCGCATGAGGACCACATCCCGAAGTCTTGGGTGTCTTTGCGTAGATGAAGCTGGTTAGACCCATCACGAACCGAGATCCGCCACCCTAGACGCTGCCCCGGATTATACCCCGGATTTTGATTGCTGAACCGAACCGAGTCTCGACCATTACTGTGGCTTTTCACTAAACAACCCCCATGCCAAGTTTCTGGGCTTGCACGGCCTATCACGAGACATCGATTGGAAAAGGAAAAGATATTGCTGATATGCGCGTTCATGCATGGTAATATGCAACTGTAGTCTAAACTGACGTCGAGATAATACAACCCCAGACTTCCAACATTTAGAAAGGAATTATTGTTGAGCGATTATCCCAAGACTGATCATCATCATCCAAGGCCTACTCTACTGACTGTCTTCGTCTTATCTAGTGTCGGGCCAGAATTACATCAAGCAAAGTAGAGACCATAGAGTATGATAAATTTCGTGTGCATTGTAAATGACTAAGATACTGAAACAAGATCTCTTTGGTGATCTAAACTATTGTTGCGACGCATTTAAACAAATTCCGGTACCCATTCCCTTACTCGTCGTAAGACTTGACACCAGCCAGCCTCAAGATCTGATCCGTCACCTCAGGCTTCTCAAAAGGTTCTGTGCGGTACTTGGGGCAGATCTCTCCATTTCTCATTGGCTTCTCCTGTGCGATACGGATGTTGCTGGATAACAGTTAGCAATGCCAAAACCTAAGAGATACGAGTCACTTACCAGTGAGGCCAGTGAGTAGTGCCGGTGTATGTCTCAAAGCAGTAAGCCTTGGCCTTGAGGGCCTCTTCGGTGGCAAACTTCCGTGGTGTCATGCAGACGTACTGGACGTGGCGGATCTGGTTGCCCTCGGGGAAGCGCGCATCTTGTTCAAGGGTTAGTAACGTCTAGGCTGAGATGGATCTGAGTAGCTTACAGTGGATCGTTCTCGAATCCCAAAGTACAAGATCACCAGGGTCCATGTTGACCTTGTACATCTCACAGCCTCTTTCCTCAAACCACTTGACGTCCTTCTCACTGAAAATGAACAAGTCCATGTACTTGATCTCAGGAGGTGGGGCGTCCTCGTGGTCTGCGGATTCGCGCTTGTGAGCGAAGAACTCGTTGAACAGCTTGGATGAGCCCTTCATGAGCATTAATCCGCCGTCATTCGGGCCATTAGGGGCGAAGTTAATGAGTCCTTGAACTGCCTGCATTCCTTTTCTCTCAGGATTTTGATCGCAGTGAGGCCAGGGGCTCCAACCGATGTCCTTTCGGTTCGGCATGGAGACGTTGAGGCCGTCAAAGGAGCAGAGAAGTTCGTTTGTGCCCCAGAGCTTCTCGAAGACCTCAACCACCTTGGGCTCGGTTCGCGCCTCCCAGGCCATCTTCTCATGGGTAGCACCGTATCCGTAGTACATACTACCCTTGAAACTGACAGGGAGGTGCTCAGCTGTCCAGGTGCTTTCGTCATGTTCATCAAAGCCAAGGTCGAACTTTTTCAACCACTCAATCTGCTTATCGCAGTAGTACTGGGCTTTTTCAGGGCTGATAACATTCTTGATAAGAACGCAACCATTCTTGTGGAATTCGTCTCGCCAATCGCCGTAAACGGTGTTGGGGTCGAACTCAACCAGATCCTTGGTCTCGAATCGAGCAGCCACCGTTTGAGTGGGCTCAACTGTGGTTGTTGTAGACATATTGAGAAAAGATGAGATGAGTTTAGAGTAGTTTAGATAAGTTCAAAGAAGTTTAGAGAAGTTTAGAATATGATTGTAAGTGTTGATGATGAGTGTTGATGATGAGAAGCTAAGAAGACCTTGAGGCTGAAGCTAGTTATATTTCTGATCCGGACACCAAAATGAGGAGTTACGGGGTAGAAAGAGCCCTAATCGGCTCGGAGTCAGATTTCGGTGGTTGAAGAGGTGAGATTCCAGCATTTCTTCGGTTCGGCTGGTTACGGTTCGGTCCGGACTCCAAGTGCCTCCTCTTCTAGTCGGATAATGTCTCAAGTGATCCTAGCAAAAAGCGTAAACCGAGGCGACGCTATTGGAATTGGTACGGAGCATCAATCAAATGATAATGAGGGAGCCAATTGAAACGAATCGATTTGGAATTGAGTTCCCACTTTGCTAATGCATGATCAGAACGCATTGCAGTTCCGCGATCGCTTCCCCTCATCTTGATCCTACCCCGGATGGAACCCCGTGGGGAGGGGACTTTTAGCCCGAATCGACCCTGGAAGAATGCGGGCAACTGTCACTCGGTAGGACTTTACAACTCCACTACTCGGGGTTTGTACGCGATACCAATCGTTCGGCTGAAGAGCTTAAAGACAACTCCAATCTCTTGCCACAAATCAACCAGTCAAGTTATCAATTACCTCATTCATCAATTCGTTCAATTCAATTGATACAAGACAACTGCTTTTACTCATAACAAGAAGCCTTTTGATCTTCATCGTCATTAACTCACAGGCGATTCGCCTTATCACCCCCTCCTCCTGTCATACTCTACCTACTACCAAGATCAGCCATCATGCCAGCCCCTGTTCAAGTCGCCTTCAAGCCTTTGAATAAGCCCGAGGTTGGTGACAATGGCTATGTCGAACAGACAATTGGCAAGACAGAAGTCCTGAAGAAGGGCTCTGCACCCTTCAACGCCAGAACGTTAGACTCTGATATCCGCATCGACCACGATGTGGAAGTTGTCGTTCGCGATGGCTGCCGTCTGTACGTCGACATATACAGGCCGACGGGCTCAGAGAAGGTGCCCGTCATCGTCTCTTGGTCTCCTTACGGAAAGAAGTACTCGGCCATTGACATGATCTTCAACGTCTGTGTCTGGGCCTGCTGCCTGACTAAGGATGATGTCAGTGGTTTGGAGAAGTTCGAGGGTCTGGACCCTGCCTGGTGGGTGAACCAAGGCTATGCTATCGCCCACGTTGATGCACGAGGTGCTGGAAACAGTGACGGCGATGCAGTCTGCATGGGATCCCAGGAAGCAGAGGATGCCCACGATGTTATTGAGGCCCTTGCCAAGCTTGATTGGTGCAATGGCAACGTGGGAATGGCAGGAAATTCGTATTTAGCCATTATGCAATGGCAAGCTGCTGCCCAGAACCCACCATCACTCAAGGCTATTGCACCCTGGGAGGGGTCTGGAGATATCTACCGAGAGCAGTTTTGTAGAGGTGGATGGTTTACTATGAGTAACTTTGATCTTATCACAACTCTGGTCATCAAGGGTCAGCATGGCGTGGAAGATTTCGCCGAAATGCACAGACGCAGCCCCCAGGCCAACGCTTACTGGAACGACAAGCGCGTGGACTTCAGCAAGATCAACATCCCTACCTTTATTACCGGCTCCGATCTCAGTCAGATTCACACTATGGGTGCAGTGAGAGGCTGGATGGAGCTAGCCAGTGAGAAGAAATGGTTGCGTTGGGATGGTTATCAGGAGTGGTTTGAGCTGTATGGCGTCAAGGAAAGCTATCTTGAGCTCAAGGTATGTCATCAGAAGTCGATGTGAAACTAGGGGCATAACTGACAACTCTGCAGAAATTCTTTGACAAGTACCTGAAGGGTATTGACAACGACTGGGAAGACACACCTCGAGTCCGCTGGACAACACTTCAGTTTGACGAAGGAAAGGTTAAGAGTAACATCGAGCTTCCTGACTTCCCAGTCCCCAACACCGACTATCGTTCATTCTACTTGGGAGATAGCGCGCTGCTCGACTCTGCGCCGTCTTCTGGTGTGTCAACATACAACTCCGAGGATCGTTGGTCCATTGCCAAGTTCAAGTACACATTCGACAAGCACACACGAATCATTGGAATGCCCAAGGCAGAGCTCTACATGAGCTGTGACGATGACGATGATATGGTTGTTTTCTGTCAAGTGCGCAAGCTCGACAAGTCCGGCAAGGAACTGAGCCATCTTCAGTTCCCCATAGAAAAGACACCTGTGAAAGCAATCTCGGAAATGGCCGAGAAGGAAAAGCAGAGTCTTACGCTACATAACGGAGCCATGGGTATTCTACGGGCCTCTCAACGGAAGATTGATGCTAACAAGTCGATCCACCCCCAATTCCCTTTCCATCCTCACGATGAGGTGCAAAAGGTTCCCAAGGGTGAGATTGTCAAGCTTGAGATCGGCATTTGGTGCATGGGTGTAGACTACGAGGCTGGCGAGAGCCTGCAGTTGGATATTCTGGGACAATACCCCGGATTCAATGAGGTTGCTGCGTTTTCCAAGCCCAGGCCCGACCACGAGAAGAACAAGGGCCAGCACAAGATTCACTACGGCAGGGATTACCCCAGCAGACTTATCCTGCCTATTGTTTAGATATTTAATGAATAGATTTTGTTAGCGCAGACAGCTTATCAATAAATGCATTGGCGTTAATGATGAAGCGCGTCTGCTCGAGGTCGCGTCTTATGTCTCAGTAGCTGTCCGCAAAGGGTATAGCGTCTTTGAACTCTCGACGGGGAAAAACGTGGTGCCGCCCGGAATCGAACAAGGGACCTTCGCGCTGTCAACAAGATTTGGCAGTCGCGACTCAGATTGGGCTATGGTTACCTAACGGAGGGCTACGGAATGATGATCAACGCGACGGACGGATCTGGTGTACCAGACGGCTGGAACAACTGATGGCGAGCACGACGATTTGGCTAAAAGGATCTAGTTTTAGTTTGTGAATCAGTTACATGTTTAATGACGCGATGCCGTTGAGCTAGTCAAAGCGCAAAGAAATCAGGCTGCAATGCATTGTGATTGCATCACCATCATGCTTTTTGGTGGCGGGACTACCCTACAGGAAGACATATCAATAGATGCAATGAGTATAAAACAGTTAATTCTTATCGGATTGGGATAAAGTTACATTTTTCGGACTTGATAAGTTTCTAGAACCATATGGATATGATTAGGAAATTGGGATGATGCCTGAGGCTTGATGTATGGTCTCATCATAACCTTCTGAAGGATTCGTGGTGTGGACAACCTCACCTTCCTTGCATGAGTCAGCGGAACATCTCCCTCCAACACAATCCTTTACAAACCCACTCAACAAGCGTAATTACAGGTGTTTTCATCTGGAGCCTCATCACCCACTATTGACGGATGTTATGTCTCCATTCGGCGAATCTGGAATCTTAGCATCTAAGATACGAGAGATCTCCCATGCTGTTTAATAAGCGGATCATGCGATAAAGAAAAGGAGTTTAAAATAAATTCAGCTCCGTCTCCACTTCGAAAACATGCTTATTGGATAACCTTGGGTCTCGGACCCGACGCTTGCTAAGCTTGAACCGGATTTCGGCATCGGCATGACGCAACTCCGTGGCAAAAGACTTTGAGCGGATTCTACAACCAATGGCACTATTTGCGCAAAGTTTTCGCATAGAAACTCCGCGGACTTTCCATGGTCTTCATGCTGGCGGACTCGTTTTCGTCCCCGAAAAAAGGCTAACGACGGATCTGCAAAACTCTGATTCACACTTGATTTTCTAAAACGCTAAAACCGCTTAGTATCCGTTGGCTGCCACGTTGATGGTACCGGCGTTTGGTATGATTACGGCCGAAAAGACCGATCCGGACCCGATAGCCCATTAGATTGGATCATTCCACACAGCCAAGAACCGAGGCATCTGGAAAAGGAGTAACCTAGAACGCTGCTAGCGTCTCGCTTGGTGATATCATCCCTTGTCGGATTTAACGTAAGGACCAACAGCCCTTGCCTGTCTGGGTCGTCTTGCCGCGGCGGATCCGTCATGGAAGATGCGAAGAAGCGAGCAAATTTCTTTCTTTTCCCCGTTACGTCCTTGATTAATAAGGTAAAGTCCGATTGCAACTACCTGGTCCCTATTTAAGTCGCTTGGCTCCCGTCCCTTTCTTTGTGATCTGCATGCTCTATCCAGACAACGGGTTTTTAACTCTATCTCCCCCACCAATTCCCATCGACGCTATTCACACACACACACAGCGACTCGATACGACTACGATACGATGAGCGATAACGATAAGATTGAAGGTCCTGCGAGGACCAAGATCCCTTACTGGCGATTGGTCGCTGACCAAGCTGGTATCACACCCGAAGTCGAAAACTACAATTACGATGGTTCAGGTACAGAGGAGGACCCTTACAGAGTGAAATGGATCCCCAATGATCCCCGAAACCCCATGGAGTTCAGCCAAGTCAAGAAGTGGTTCATCACCATGACTGTCGCTCTCACAACTCTAGCTGTTGCCCTTGTGTCATCAGCCTACACTGGCGGTATCCGACAAATCATCATGGAGTTCCAGATCAGCCAAGAAGTCGCTACTCTTGGTGTGTCGCTCTTTGTCTTGGGTTTCGCAATTGGTCCTCTTCTGTGGGCGCCTCTGAGTGAGATGTTCGGTCGTCAATACCTCTTCATTGGTACCTACGCTGCCCTCACTGCCTTCAACTCTGCTTGCGCCGGCGCCAACAATGCCGCTGCTCTCATTGTTCTGCGATTCTTTGCGGGCGCATTCGGCTCATCGCCTCTTACCAACGCTGGTGGTACCATTGCCGATATGTTCCCCGCTTCCCAGCGTGGTCTCGCTATGGCCATCTTCGCTGCCGCTCCCTTCCTCGGTCCCGTCCTTGGTCCCATCATTGGAGGTTTCCTTGGTATGAACGCTGGATGGCGATGGGTCATGGGCTTCCTTGGAGCATTCTCTGGTGCTCTTTGGATCCTTGGTACGCTCCTCGTCCCCGAGACCTACTCTCCAGTCCTTCTCCGTCGCCGTGCCGCCAAGCTCTCCAAGATGACCGGCAAGGTCTATGTCAGCCAGATTGACCACGACCGTGGCAAGGTTACCCTTGTCGAGTCTTTCAAGACTGCCCTCTCTCGACCTTGGATTCTTCTCTTCCGAGAGCCTATTGTCCTCCTGCTTTCCATCTACATGGCCATTGTCTACGGAACCCTCTACATGCTTTTCGGTGCTTTCCCCATCGTCTACCAGCAGCAGCGTGGCTGGAACGCTGGTGTCGGTGGCCTTGCTTTCCTCGGTATCATGGTCGGTATGCTTGCAGCTATCGGATACACCATCCCCATGAACAAGCGATACGTCAAGATTGAGCAAGAGAACGGTGGCTTCGCTCCTCCTGAAGCTCGTCTCCCCTCATGCCTTATCGGTTCCATCTGTCTTCCCGTCGGTCTCTTCTGGTTCGCTTGGACCAACGGTCCCAACACTCACTGGATGGTCAGCATCGCTGCCGGTGTCCCCTTCGGCTTCGGCATGGTCCTTGTCTTCCTCAGTGTCATGAACTACCTCATTGACGCCTACACTATCTTCGCCGCCTCTGTTCTTGCTGCCAACTCCGTTCTTCGATCTCTATTCGGTGCTGCTTTCCCTCTATTCACCAGCTACATGTACCAGGACCTTGGTATTCACTGGGCCTCTTCTGTCCCTGCGTTCCTCGCCCTGGCTTGTGTTCCCTTCCCCTTCCTCTTCTACAAGTACGGTGCTTCCATTCGTGAGAAGTGCAAGTTCGCTGCTCAGTCTGCTGCCTTTATGCGCAAGCTCCAGACCGACAACGCTGCCGCTTCCGATGAGGAGAAGAAGGACGAGGCTGCCCCCGCCGAAGAGACCTTCGACGACGATGCTTCCACTGAGGTCGATGAGCCTGCTTATGCCCCCATCACAGCAAGCAGAACTCACCAATCCACCCGATCACACGCCTCTCGTGCTTCGCGCGCGTCTCGGGCTTCATTTGCGTCACGCCGCAAGTCATATGACGGAAACCCTTACGACATTGACCGCGTCAACACAAGACAATCATTCACATAAAACAATCATCTCATAAACATAAAAAGTTATTGCTTTACCGGGTCGGATACCCAGCGAAAATTGACGGCCGTATATAACGTTTAATTACATAGACTTGCTTCTACAATAATACCCCATTTCTTACCTTCATTCATCTCATCCTGAATCGTTATGTTAAATGTGTGACCATTGATCGGAATGACGTAGACTGAAGATCCTAATCCATCATCGCTTGACTCAGCGTGCAGTAGAGGCTTGGCAACGAAGCTGCTAGCATTCTCAGTAGCGCGTAAGGCGAAGTTAGACTTTTGCTGTTTCCTTGGCAATTTAGTCAAGATGATGATGCACTGACCTTGTAAAGGATGGCGCTCATACCACGCCCTTGTCTGCGTTTTGGGCCATGCATAATGCAGAGAATCTCCTGGAACCCACTGTGCATCTTGACAAGGGCACATTCTGGAGTTTTCTCCCACCGACCTATTCTTTCTGCGTGAAATCTGTACAAAAACTTCCATCGGAAAAACCTGGATCCGTGGTTATGGCATCTCGTGAACAGCGAGAAGGTCCTCGGTTCGATCCCAGGCAGAACCACATTTTTGCGCTTGCGGGGAGTGCTCAGAATCGCTCAACTTGCTAAATCGAGGCAACAGACATTCCAATTTGCAATGCCGAAGGTTTCTTGTAGGTGGTTGTCCTGGCCATTCACAAAAGGCAATCCGCTGAGGAGAGAAAGTGTCACTTTAAGCCAACCGTCCCGCGACGGTATGAGTGACAATGGCTACCCTACTCTGATCAGTGGTACAGATAACGAGCGAGATAATGGTACGCGCATAGTAATCTCATACCATAGGCTATGGGGCAGCTTTCAAGGCGAAGATATATATATTACCATAAATAACATCAACAACGGGAGAACGGAAAACTATCTAGTTAATACCTTAAAAAAAAAAGCCAAACTCGAACGACCCAATGTGAATCAGGACACCGACACAGAGCGTCGATATATCCTTGCAAGCACACTTAAGGATGATACATCCTCCTGCGAGCAGATGGAAAGATATAAAGATATCATATTAACTGTTGATCCTTTTACAACGTATCTAGTCGTAATATCGTACTTCTGAGTCACTGAATTAACACAGCTATCATACGACTACCGGCGCACCGCCTCAGAAACCGACGTGCTTAATTTCCACGAGACCACTCAGCCCCGTTCAGGTCAACAGTCAGCACTAACACGCTACGACCCCTGGTTCAGTCGGCAAAAAACTGCCGCACTAGCTTTGGAACAAAATACGTGAGTATATCTGGCGTACTTTTAACCATATACCTGTGTGTTTATTTTCTTCATGCTAGTGGTTGTGCCCATAATATCGGCTGCCTCCTTGCGTTAACATACGATAGAAGCCGTGCGCGAAAAGGATTCTTAGTTTCAATCAGGTCTGTTTCAAGGATTTGTCCTCAGATGAGAGGATGGGCAGTTAGACGCAGAAACTCGGGCTGTGCAGAATCCTTTCAGAACATATAGTATGCTCGCCATCCCAGTGCAGATCAGAACAATCATCAATTCTTGGCATCCAATCTATTTACTATGCACTCTACCTTGTTCTCTTTATTGACCTTGGCAGCCATTGGCCAAGCTGCCTCGTGCTCTGCTGGTCGCAAGTTCTCTCTCAAGAGGAGTTATGATGCTAGTAACTTCTTTGACGAGTTCTACTTTCGAGATGTGAGTTCAGCCAGACACAATAATGCACTAAAGCTAACCGACTAGGCGGCCTACTACGATGGTATCGATCCTGCATATGAAGGAGATCCTACCCATGGATCGGTCAACTACGTGAACCAGAGCAATGCTCTAGCTTCCGGACTCATTAGGACAAACGCGAATCAGGTATACGTCGGCGTTGATGCTAGTCATAAGTCAAAGCCTGTTGGTTCAAGCAAGACCAGACATGGCAGGGACAGTGTTCGTCTTGAGTCAAAGGAAACCTATGACTCCGGACTCTTGATCGCAGATATTGAGCACATGCCTGGAACGGCATGTGGTGTTTGGCCATCTTTGTAAGTCTTGTAATTTCTACAGTACCATTGAAAAAGCTAATCGTTTCAAAGCTGGTCGTACAACTTCGACGAGGACCCCGTTGGAGAGATCGACATCATTGAGGGTATCAATGACCAGAGCCAAAACGTAGTCTCGCTTCATACGTGCGGCGCTTGCAAGTTCACAAAGATCGGCGGCCTTGACGAGCGATCCAATTGCAACAACGGTGGAACAGAGTCTGATCAATGCGAAGACGGAACCAACTTGTCAGCGTTTTTCCTCAGCTATGAGAATGGGATGATTGCTAACACCACCTAAAGTGACGGATGCGGTAGCACTCATGCTGAGGGATCGTACGGCTCCGCTTTCAACAAGGCCAAGGGTGGCGTATACGCTACCTGGTTGGAGTCAGATGCTCTCAAGATCTACTGGTTCCCTCGCGACAAGATCCCAGCCGACATCAAATCTGGCAAGCCTGATCCATCTAAATGGGGAACGCCTGCCTCCAAATTTGTCAGTGGCTCCGGATGCGACGTCGGAAAATACTTCAAGGGACAAACTATTGTGAGTACTATATCACAGACTGTCGAGAGATACTAATATTAAGTTTAGATCATCAACACTTCTTTCTGTGGAGATAACATCGATCAGGACACTTGGGATGGAGAGTGCAGAGAGTCAACTGGCGCAAAGACCTGCGACGAATATGTCACGAACAACCCTGAAGCATTCAGTGACGCATATTGGCTATTCAACTCTATCAAACTGTATCAGTAGATATGTCTCTGAGCAACGAGTTGCTGATTTTGTCAGTGAATATGTACGAACAAGACGGCGTGGATGATACGATGCCCTGTGCTTTCAAATGGCGAAGATAGTCACTTTTAGAATGGATAATATTGCTTTATTTCATTTAGAAAAGAACAAATTGTAAGAACAATCAGAACAAAATTCAAATTAACCTAGCAACTTCAGTCGAGTCCTAGTGGACCTAATCTCAATACTCGATCAAAACCTCCTTTTATCGCACCCTGGAGATCCAGCCTCCAGCATCCATTCTATCAGCGTTCTATCATCCTTAACATACCGTCGTCTCTACATCAGAGTACTCCCAACACTCAGTGCCGTTCTTGTCCACACGAACTAGCTTTCCAATGGTAGTCATCTTGTCGTTCAGAGCTTCGTCCTTGACATCCCGCTTCGCTTTGCACCGCTCGCATTGCTTCAGTACCATAAGGTTCTGTTGCAGGCAAACACCACCGTCATCGATGTCTTGCAGACACTTCCAGTGCGTGTGATCTACACGTACTTGAGCAGTCTGCGCAGCATTGCCAGACATCCTCGTCTCTTGGAGGGTGAGGAGGCGAGACTGCCAGTTTCCAGATCAAGCTGCTCAAAGGTGGTTGCTGGTTGGAGATTGCGGGACTCTTCACGGCGAGGCTCTGGCGCACGGCGAGAGGGAGGGAAGTATTGGGGGTTGCGAGCTCGGAAGTCGATCGCTTCAGGCGAGTTGTCGACAACTTCCTCCAGGGGTCCGTAATCGTTGCCTGGAGCGCCCTGCAAGTAGCGACCGTCACCATCGTGGAAAGAGTACTGTTTAGTTTCTTCATCATAACCGACTCTCTTAACACCCGGAGGCAGACGACCATGGTCGTCGTCAAAGTGACTAACTCTAGGCATTTTGGGACTGACTTACAAGATAACAAGTGGGATAAGGTCGCTTAGGATGAGAACAAGAGTAGATTTGAATGGCTGTTGATTGGTGACCGATTTAGTGGTAAACGTGGAGGTTTGTGGTGTGTTGTTACTACTCTTGGATGAGATAGGCTGGTGGGAAGATAAACTGCTGAGAAGAAAACAAAATTTGTAACAGAATCGTCTGAATATTTATAATATTTTTGAATATCTTTCTTAGTAACATATATTATTGTTAATTCTGAACATTTTGGATGTTGTTATCGCGAAGATGAATCACAGAGGAGTGTGGACAAATGTGCATCATAAGGTTGTTTCTGGATCACTGCAACATCTCTTCCGAACAAATTCAGTGACCTAGAACATATTAGGATAACCATTGTTTCCCCGATATAACTTCGTCTGTACGCCAATGCCAGTGTAGACTTTTGGTATGTTTGGTCCAAGTGCACGTCTTGTCCTGTCAGAGTTGCATGGTTAATTGGCGATAATGTTAGTTGAGATTGGAAGCAGGGTTAGTCAGTGAAGCGAAGCCATTACACAGTAATAAAGCCACATGAGGGGAGAAACAGATGCAAACCGCTGGTGTCAGAGTCTCTCATGATCCTGGTTCAGATCACACAACCAGAGACGAGGGTGATCATCTCGCCAGATCAGCAGTCAGATTGGGCTTTGAAAAAGAGGCTCAGGCCTCTTTAATGTCTTTCTTCAGTTGGTCAGGGCTGAGAATGCATCGCGAAAGACCAACCCAGACTATACATGTGTTACAATGACGGTGAATAACGTTGACATTCATCTTGTTTGCCATAGAACAGCCGAGGCAGACCCCACTGAAGGACAACCCATGAACGTCTCGCTTGGCACACTCACCAATTGATAACATGTGGTTGTTTCATCCCATTTGAGACGTACATTCGCTTGACATGCCGCATTGAGAAACGTCAGTGACTAAAATCGCTCAATTTAAGTTTGCTCTTACCTCCTCATTTCCATCCCCACGACCCATACCTTAGTCCAGATTATCTCTGTACGACACGACGATCATGGCCGTGGATACTACAGCAGAAAAGACCCCTTCCCCCAAGCTAACACCGCACGGGCAGGCTGTCCCACCTGAGCCTGCGGGTCAGCTCGATGCAGATGACAATATCACCGACGATGATTCGGCGATTGGCCAGACTGACGATGAAAGCTCAACTGCTTCATTGACTTCTACTATTTACAAATACAGAGAGGAAAATGGCCGAACCTATCACGCTCACAAAGACGGCGCATACATTGGTCCGAATGATTCTCAGGAACAGGAGCGACTGGACTTTCAGCATGGACTTTGTCTGTTGGCTTTTGACAACCAGCTTGTTCTTGCCCCCATCTACAAAGAGGGCAGCATCCCTGTACGTCGCGTTCTTGATGTCGGTACTGGAACAGGCATCTGGGCCATTGATTTCGCCGACGAACACCCTGAAGCTGTCGTTACCGGAGTGGACCTAAGCCCAATCCAACCATCTGTTGTACCGCCGAATGTTCAGTTTCAAGTCGATGATATGGAAGACGAATGGAATTTTTCTGAGCCCTTTGACTATATCTACTGTCGATTTATGACCGTCTCATTTGCCAATTGGCCGCGATTCTTTGAACAGAGTTTCGAAAATCTGTCACCTGGTGGCTGGATGGAGGTCGTGGATATTCTTCCTCCCACATCTGATGACGGTACTATGTCACCCGATACAGCACTTTACAAATGGTCACACCTTTTGCTTGAGGCCACGGAGAAGATCGGTCGTCCGTTTGGCGGCACAGCATTTTATAAATCCCAGATGGAGGATGCTGGTTTTAAGGATGTTAGCCTCCGAGTTTATAAGTGGCCTCAAAACCGCTGGCCCAAGGATAAAAAGTACAAAGAGCTAGGTAAGCACTTTTCCATGCGTGAAGGAAGGTCAATACTGATTGAAAACTCCTAGGCTCATGGACACTTGAGAATATTTCAAGTGGCCTCGAAGCAATTAGCAGCGCCCTATTCACTCGAGTCCTGGGCTGGTCCAAATCTGAGTTAGATGGGTTCCTTACCGATGTCCGAAAAGACATCAAGAACACGTCTATTCATGCTTATTGGCCTGTGTAAGTTATCACAGTAGATGTATTTCCTTTGAAGAACTGATCTAACAACAATGTAGTTATGTAATCTGCGGACAGAAACCATCTTGATGATCGATGTTTGTCCCAGAAAAGAGTCAAATATAATGTATTTAGTGCATGATGTGTAACGAAACATATTTGTCTATATTTCTGTAAAGCATTTGATGCAGTACAAGAATATCGATTTCGCCCAATGCTTACCAGGAACGGCTTATTCTACTGCCGACTCCCCGGTCTGATTACCAATGTCATCTGATTTGTAATATGTGTGCATACCAGACCTCGAAAAGGAACAATCGTGCGCAAGATCGGACCATCCCTATTGGTCGTCTTATCTTGTCCCTATTTCATCTCAAACTGTTGGAGAAAAGCAATGCAAGTAACTTTGGAACAGGATGAACATGGACGTCACGCTTTTGATAGCCACGTTTGTACGGCACTATCGGAGTTCGGGACATTTTGTTTTCCGATCAATAAGAGCTGATCTGCAGTGTTGAATCCTGGAGGATCGAATGAGTTCGGGTAGCCGCAAGTACTCCGCCCACTCAGCCGGCTAGGTCACCAGGTTTAGACATAAAAGAGCAATCTTACAACGTCAGTATTCTGGGAACAACACATTTCAAGCTTGTTCAATTCTGAGCAAACCATTCATTCTCTATTTAGCAAGTCTAACAAGATGAATCCCATCGCCTTTGTCTCCAGCGCGACTGGTCGACAAGGCTCTGCCGTTGCCCGCCAGCTTCTCGACATTGGCTGGACCGTCCGAGCGACAACTCGCAACGTGGACTCAACCACCGCCAGAGATCTGAAAGACAAGGGTGCTGAAATGAGGCTCGGCGACTGGGAGAATGGAGATGGACTCAAGGACGCCATGGACGGATGCACTCACCTCTTTCTGAACGTAATCCCCAACCATGCTACTGCCACCTCCGAAGTTCCACTCGCCAAGCGTATGCTTGACATAGCCAAAATTACAGACGTCAAACACGTCGTATACTCTAGTGGCATGGCTATCAAAGATTTCGATAAAGGAAGATATTACAACCCGAACCACCCAATCTGTCGAGGTCACGGCTGGAAGCGCGACATAGAAAACCTTGTCCAAGAGGCCGGCTTTGACACGTGGACAATCCTCCGCCCAGGGTTCTTCATGTGTAATTTTCTCGAACCAAAAGTCAAAATGATGTATCCCGATCTCGTGCCCAACGGCGTTTTAAAAACAGCTTTTACGCCCGAGACTCGTCTACCGCAGGTAGATGTCGAGGATATTGGGAAGTTTGCAGTAGCTGCATTCCGCGATCCAGAACGGTTCAACAAGCAGTTTGTCCCAATTGCAAGCGAGAAACTGTCACTCGATGAGATCATGCAGCAGTTGGAAGACGCGACTGGCCGGTCCTTTAGCAGTGCGTTTCTGACCGATGGGGAAATCGAGGAGAAGATGGCTACAGACATGTTTGTTGCTATGCAGCTCATGGCTAGAGATCTGGAGGACAAGGTTGACATCGAGAATGTCAAGAGCTGGGGAATTCCTCTGACTTCGTTTAGAGACTTTCTTGAGAGGGAGAAATCCTGGGTGAACAGCACGTACGTGGAATGAAGAGAAACAGTTACATCGCAAGACATTCTACTGCTGCTGGAGCATGAATAGGCTGCTGTAGGCATAAGGGACGAAATATTCTAGTGATCTTATGCTGACTTAGACTGGCACTTAGGCAAATTTAGTTCAACGTCCTAAGGTTTAGGAGAATTCTTCTGTTATTAATATTCGTTGTTCTGTACTAAGCTCGCTGATTTACTGATTCCCTCTGATAAGCCCTTCAATTCTTATCCTCCGATCAATCTTGCGACGCTCCTTCGAACCCTTCCTCGAAATCTCCCCCTGAAGCCCGCTCTGTCTCGTCCATGTGGTGCAGGGCGATGGCGCAATCGTAAGTCTTCAACAACATGCCTGAGCCCCTCCGCCAATCTCATCAGCTCTTCTTCCCGGCCCTCTAGGAACGGACCATAGATATACTAAACATCAGGACCACGGCCTTGGGCATCCGGTATAAATCCCGAGTAACGGATCAGACTCGCTTCCGTCATCCCAAGTAATTCTTCCAACGCTGTTAGGTTACACATGCTAACGGCAGCGGCGATACAAAGAGGACACGTGAGGTGTCTCTCATGATGCTCGTATGGTGGTGGTGGTGGTGGCGGTTGTTGAACCTGTTCTGATTCCCTGGGGCGTTCTTCGTCTCGCACTACGGGCGGAGTCATTGATGCATGTGGGTGACGTAGACCAGAACCGCCAGGTAGGGATCGCCGACCTTGCCGACGTGGTTGAGAGGAGTCGCGGTCAGATTGTGAGGAGGCGGAAGTGTTTGGTGTGTTTTCGTCTGCCATTTTCGCTATGACTGCGATGTAATGATGGAAACAAGGCTATGTTGGTCGTTTCAATGTTGATTGTTTCTAACAGTGATGATGGTGTTGATGAAGTGAAAAGCAGTCGAGGTGGGTAGGCCTCAGGGTGTCATAAGAATTGGCCCCTGACAGCATAAGAGACGAGATAATCCGATCACCTTATGCTAGCTTAGGCTAGTATTTAGGCTACTTTATTTCTGTAGCCTAAGTCTTGGAGGACATTTCTTCTGACACCCACCTAGTAGGTTATATGATTCACCATGAAAGGTCTGCACCTGCTTCATTTGATACTAAAAAACCAGGCAGGTGGGCAACAGAAGGAACGTCCCCTAAGGTTCAGGCTGCCAATTAAGATAGTCTATCTGCTACTCTAAGCCATTATAAGGTGACTACATTACTCCGTCTCTTATTCTTTCGCCGGTCAATCTCTACGGCCCCCTGACGACAAGAAAGAGGTGCCAGCTACGGGCGTGAACTGTTGGAAACTGGAGGCAAATAGTTCTGCTTTCCTTGTACCAGAAACAATGGAGCATAAGCGATTACTTATTCAGCCACCGTTTGACCATCACCAGAGAGTCTTCCCACAGTCTCGCTTCATCCAGAGGGCTGTAAGTATGAGATACATAAGTCTCCGACGTCGAAATCCCATCGCTCTCGCCACGTTCTGCAACCGAACAATTACTCAGATAAATGCCACCCCTTCCTTCCCAATCCTTCCCAACTCCAGCCAGGACAGTAGTAGCTGCTGCCTGCTCAAGACTCTGTATGTGGTTCATTTTGTCAGAAATGACACTCATCATTACCTCCTGTGGAATATGCCGACCAATATTAGAAGCAACCAGACCCGGGCTTGCGCTGGTCGCATGGATGCCGTTGCCACCATAGCGACGTTCAATCTCATTGGCCATGTAGATGTTGGCGGTTTTGGAGCGAGCGTAGGCTTCCCAAGGTGTATAGCCTGAAGCACCGGTGACCTCAAAGCTGTGGTCGTTCGAGGCACCAATGCCATGGATTCGGTGAGCAGTCGCGGCGACGGTAACTACCCGAGACCGGAACTCTGGGGTGGAGCCTTTCAAGAGAGCTGGTTTGAGAAGCTCAAACAGGAGGAAGTGTGACAGATGGTTTGTAGCGAATTGTTCTTCAAAACCGTCAGAAGTCATGGTGAGCTCCGGAATAGCCATGACACCGGCGTTGGCGATATAAATACTGATTCTGTCGGTCTTGGATAGAATGACTTCTGCTGCTGCTCGAACACTGTCCATGAAGCCCAACTCCAGTTGCACAAGCTCCATCTGATCCGGGTTCCAGAAATTAGCAAGGGCCTCTTTGGCCTTCTCGAAGTTCCGAGCCGTGAGGAACAGTTTGATGCCGGTGGCAGCAAGAGCTCGGGCAGTTTCGACACCAATACCCGATGAGACACCGGTGATGACGGCGGTCTTTCCCACGAGCTTGTGTTCCATGCCTTCATCTTGGACAATCTGAAGAGCTGTTGGACGATCATCGCCAGGTCCTTTGGGATTGACGTAGAGATGAGCGTATGGAGACATGGTGGATTGTGTAGTGGGGAGTAGAGATTCTGTATGAGACTTGGGGTGTTAAAACTCAAGAGTAAGTGATTTCGTCTTTTCTGTGTTTAGCGGTCAATCGGTGTGATGTTCTGATGATTGTGTGGTAAGGATAACAATGAGAAAGAGGGTCTCCTTCTTCATGAACCTCATTGCTATATTTATAGCCTTTATGGTCTTGGTTATACAAGGAGATATCGGCATTAAGGCCAAGGGCCATCAGACCCATGATCTTTAGAATGTTATGACTATGTTTGGTCCCTCATGGCCCCATCGCTTGTTAGAAGTTGATGACATTGTAACTCAAAGAAGGTAAATACGATGTCCAGCGAATTCGGGTATTTGCTAACGGCATTTAACCGCACGCGACGTTGTAGATCATCTTGATGACATTTTGTCTTGATTTGTCTTAGCGTGCCATCCACGACATGTCAGCTTCTCGGGATATTTATGCGCCTCAAGCCCCGACACAGAAGCTTACCTTTTGACTTCTCTTAGACTAGTCACCATGGAAAACACTGAACCAGCGTCGCTTACGAGTCGGGTGGGGGTGGATGATGCAGAGAAGAAACAGCGGCGCAAACTTCAGAACAGACTCAACCAACGAGCGCGCAGTGGGTTCCTCCATTCACATGCTTGATAACTATTTTGCCGTTCAAGGCAACGCTCTGACGTCGGCAGGAAGTCGTATGTGTAATGATGATCAATCAAAGGCTCGTACCAAACACCAGGATCCGGGCTCCGGAGTCAAGCTGTGGAGGTTAGACGAATTCGACTTGGAAAAAAAGCCTGCGTCGCCAAGGCATGCTAAGACAAGCAAAAGTCACACAGTCATCCTCGAACCAGACCGCCGGTTCTTTTTGACAAGTATATACAGTGGCACGCTTAGTGCCACTGACGTGGAGCTGTACAGCCAACAGCTAGACATCCAAAAACGTCTCGCTTCAGCTTCGCAGCTAGCATGCCCTCTTTCAGACCACTTGCTCTATCTTATCAACTACAATGCGTTCAGAGGACTGTTTTTCAACAAGGTCACTCTCAGCAAACTGGTACACCATCTTGCTGTGGGACCGGACCGAACTGAAAAGTTGGATATTATGCTGGGTCTTAAGAAGGATGCTATCTGCGTCGCATTGGGCCAGGACGTGCCACCCCATCTTCAGCCAACGCGATTGCAGTCAGAAATAGTTCATCCGAACTGGATCGATCTTGTACCAATTCCGAAAATGAGAAACAACCTCATCATGAGCCAAGATCATTTCAACCATCGTCTATTCGTCAACGACGTGATAGGGAATTTGTTGGAGGACGTCATGATTAACAAGTACGGAGAAGGTACTGGACCCAGAAGCCGTTTGAAGTTGAAAGGCAAGTCTAGTGACTTTGCTTCAGATAGGAGTGGTATGATTGTTTGGGGAGAACCACATCGGATGGAGAATTGGGAGGTCACGGCTGAGTTTCTACAGAGATGGGGCTGGGCTATGGAAGGGTGTCATGAGCTGATGAGGGCGACTAATCAGTGGAGAGCGGTAAGAGGTGAAGCGCCCTTGATGCTTGAGACAACAAAAACCGGGCATCTGGGATTCTGATTGAGCATTTTGGTAGTCACTCCATACAAGCACCATTTCTTTCCAAGCCGCAGACCTCAGTGGATCCCTCGCTTCCAAAGGCTGATGCTATCCTGCCCAACCAGAGAGGCTTCCAAGACAGATAACACCGTAATAGTGATCGCAATTCAAGAAATGTTTCGTTTCTCTGGATATTTTCCAGATATTCGGAATTTTATTAGGCCGAAAATGCAGAGTCGCAGTCGATGGGCCTGGTGTATCGTATCAATGACATCAACCATCATCATGACGACGGTATTTTGGCTGGTATAATGTCGTCATTATACCAGCCTCTCCATAGCCGAACTCACGACTACATCAATTCTTTTTTCACTTTTGAATCTCAATTCGCACCACATAACTCACGAATCGAAACCTCGAGCCTTACTCAGTTTCTCTACGTCCAACATTCGCATTTACAAGTAAAAATGACCATCGCACGCCAATCTCTCTCCTCTCTCCGACGTCTCCCAACTGTCACATCCGCTCTACGAGCCAAGCCAACATATGGCCCATATACCTCAATTCGCATGGAGTCAGGCAAGGTCAAAAACCCTGTCTCGGAAAGCCCCAATGACGCCAAGGACGGCGCCGACCATACCGACGGTGCTATGGCTTCGCTCAAGGGCGCGCCAGGCAAGGGCGATGCATCGTCTTTTGAGAATCAGAACTTGACCGAGAAAGAGAAGAAGACCAATAGCCAGAATGCGCAGGCGAACGATAGTAAGGAGGGAATCAAGGGCGAGGCTGGAGAGTTCAAGAAGTCGGGAAGAAAGCCCAAGCCTTAGAAATGAGGCTATTCGCATAGAATGCAATTGAAGTGGAATATTTGTGAAGGATTAATAAAGAAATTATTCAATTTGCAATTGTCCTTTTAGTCGTGACGTTTTACCAAAAACACCAATGCGACGGCCTGCTTGTTCCTGACACGTGATCTCTGCACAGATTCATCTCACTTTGCTGGCTTCACCGACGACTCAATCCTCAAATAATTTACCAAAACACATCTTTCATTGCACCAAAATGTGTGGAATTCCGGGGTTTGTAAAGAGTCTCTATGAAGATCTCATGGAAGCCATAGATGATCTTTTCCCCGACCGCACTCCCGACAAAACTCCGCTGGTGAACAACCGCCAATCCTTTCCACTTCAACAACCATATACCCAAGGATACACCACCGCTGCCCGCCCAGTCGCAGAAAACCACCGTCGAGTTACTGAGAAATTGGACGCCAGGACGGCTGCCGCTCGAATGCCTGATGCTCCCAAAGGCCCGCTGACGAGATGAGCCGAGTTGAAATTTTCATGTCAGTACTTTTCTCTGGATGCGGTACATAGCTAACGTGAGATTAGACGCATCTTTTTTGGAAAGGGTTTATCAGCATTTGCAAGAATTGATTTTGAGGAATAAATATGGCATTAGTGAATGCGTGGTCGGATTAAATAGATTTGAGGGTATTATCAACAAAAGCCATTGAAATTCTCCGGTTCGTCGACTCCCAGCTCTCTCAACCCTGTGAGATACAATCACAGCTTCAAATCGCAATCCATTCTAACCTTGCTGAATCCAGCCGCAAACTCTTTGGCACCTTTCTCATCCATAGGGTCGTATTCGCCCTTCAGAGGCTTTTCCCAGACGACCTCCGTAATCACTCCGCCTTCTCTTTCAATAGCCTTCTCATTTCTGTGTGCCTCGGGTGAAACTTTTCCGATCAGAGCTATCCTCTCCATGCTAGTCCAGCTTCTACAGAAGCTGACTCTAATGTTGCCCTCCCGGTCGGGGCCGTCGGTGCTGCACATCCACTTATCGTCCATGTCTTCAGGCCGATGTCCGTAGATGAGTTTGATCATTTCGGGGCCGGGAACATGAAGATCCCATTTTGCACTGAGAGGAGCTTGAATCGCCTTGATGTTTCTGAAGCTAGCGCGTTGCTTTTTGGTGTTTGAAGGCATTGTGCGGAAGTGACGATGTTAATGTAGAAGAGTATGGAGATTGATGATTTGATTGGAATTGATACGGTTTTGAGGAGTCAGTAGTTTGTATGAACAGCAGATGAGTCTGCCCGGTCTATTTATCTCTGTCTGAGCATAGAGTAGAATATAGCCCTGGCCGTAAGCTGAGCTGTCTGCCTAGTTGCTCCGCCCCAATGAATCCATTATCTTGACATCCAAGCCTCCACGCCTGTAACGCTAAATAGAGCCAAAATCTGACAGTGATCCATAAATTGGGCTGATGCGCAGGATATCAAAATTGACACAAGTGGCTTGACCTTGTGCGCTTTACCGTCAGGGTGTCAGAAGAATTGGCTGTTAAGAGCGTAGAAGACAAAATGACTTGGTTAACTTGCGCCGCCTTAGCGACGAGCTTAGGCTGCTTTATTTTGGCAACCCAGAACTGACCCAGTGACTAAGCAACTATGGCCGATGTTTTGTCGCAGCATGCAGATAATCTTTCCCCGATCATTTCCAACATCACAACAAGAAAGGTTGAGACGCACATCGACACACATCTCATTGTCCAGATGAGACAGTACGAAAACCATGGACAACCTTCCGTCAGAAATCATTCGCAATATTGTCCTCAGCCTCATTGTCAAGACACGCTGGTTCCCCCAAATAAATGAACATTGCCCTGTAACATCGCTCGCGCGCTACGCAGCGATTTCTCGACAATGGCAACCGATTGTAGAATCCATCACATTCCGACATCTAATCTTGAACTCGACTCGGCTCGATGTCGCTCACCGCGAAAACTACCTCAGTCCTCTTCGCCTCAGTTATATTCGGTACATCTGGTACGATTTCGAGTTCCCCGCACACAATCTAATTATATCGACAAATCCGGAAGAAGATTATGATGATCAACTGGTCTTCAACAAAAGCGCGAAACAACTTTTCAGTGTTTTGTTGCAGATTCCGCCTCGACCAGAGCCGGTAGTAGGCTTGGAGATATTCATAACGCCGCCGAAAAAGTTCGCTCTGCGACTTCTGAGGAACGAAACGAAAAGATCAGTCGAAAGGTTTCAAGTCCTTTGTGGGACTGTGACGCCTATGTTTGTCGAGCTGTTCAAGGACTGGGAGGCGGATATTGGCGATATACCAGCTATCCATTATTTCAGAGTGGAACCTGGCTCGGCAAGCATACTTTTCTCTCCATCTTCGATAAATCGCTTTGCGTCGAAGATGACACAACTATCGAAGCTAGAATGGTGGCTCACAGATGAAGAGTTCATCGAACCGTCTAACGAGTCGAGTCAAAGAACAAGTGAGTTTTCGCGGAGAGAGATGAATGAGGTACGTCTAACGTATTCGGTGTAGTGTTCGCGCAGACACTTGGGATGATTCCATTATCCGTGAGATCTTTCATCCTAAGCTATACACGACTGCCGCCACGAGGATCAACCGACCGCCCCAACAGTTTAGTCCCGCCTTCTATCCAAGAAGATCCTCTTGGTCTGTCATTTTATTCTTTCACGCAAAGACAAGCCCTTGAAGACTTCTATCTTATAGCCAGGATAGACACCACGATACTTTTACCTGCACAACCAAACCCCGATGCTCTGTGGCCCAGCCTACGTTCCTATAACCTCGAACTCAAGGAACATCTTCCATCAGGCGAGTGTATCGCCCAATTCACACTTGGCGGCAGTGGGACATACATCTACGACCAGAACATCATGAACAGGTTCGCCATCGCGGCTGGCACTTGCGCTGCTCGAATGCCAAAGATCGAGGAGCTCAATATCATCAACCACGGTCGTTCGCAATCAGGTATATGCTTCAACACCAAGTCGGAAGATTTACCCTGTCTTGAATTTGCAGGCAAACCGGGTATGCCTGAGCTAAGTGAGGAGACACTGGAGGTTTGGAAAAGAGCAATCAAGACGCATGGACTGGATTGGAACGTCCATATCACAGACGATCTAGATAAAGTGTACCACTTCTATTGATAGATCAAAGAGAGGCATTATCTGAAGCATTCATTGCATGCAGACTTAACATGGATCTATGCATTCACTGCCCAATTTATAAAGTCTGATATCTCATACCATAGCACCTTTCGCATAATGCAAAACTATCTCGGTTGTTTGCGAATGACTTGGCTGTTTTATTTCGAAGGGAAAGCTCCATTTTTACAGTATTACAGACGTTTCTGTCGTATCTGAAATCCCTTCCGTGGAGGGGATTATAAATCAAGGGTCCAATGGCTGATTCCTGCATATACTCTTTTGCGTCATCATGAGCGGGGTATGACATTATAACAACCACATACTCCCCAACTTGATATCAACCTGTTAATTATTTACTACCATACTTGCAAGCTATTCATGCAAAAAGTATCTCTTGTCAAAACTCGTTGGTTTTCTCCGTTCACACGATTCAAAATGGGCAGCAGACAAGGTCTCGCAGAGCTTGCACAGAACCTCATCGAGCACGGCCCTCGCAAGGCTCTTCCAACATCTCGCAGAATTCGAGCTATCCACAATCATATTACTGTCGTTGATACCACCAAAGCTGTCTATGTCTGGGAACATGACAGTTTTCCAACCATCTACGTGCCTTTGGTGGATATCAGGAACGGCAAGTTAGCTGATCAGCAGAACATCTCTGTGGAGCTCAAGGAACGCGCGGCGATTTCGCAACTCATTGTTCCTGGTCATGATGTTCTCGAGGAGAAGAAGGTAGATGGAGTTCTACGATTCTTCCAAGATGTGACTCTTGGGCCGCTTTCTGATACGGTGAGAATCGAATTTCGCAGTATAGGTATGTGTTCATTCATACAAAATAGCATTACGAAGCTAATAATTGTTTAGACCAATGGCTGGAGGAAGATGAACCCATTTTTGTTCACGCAAAAGACCCTTACAAGCGCGTAGACATCCTCCGTTCTGAGCGCCCAGTAGAGGTCAAGGTCGCTGGCAAAACAGTTGCCAAGACCGAATCTTCCATGCATCTACTCGAAACCAGCCTACCAACGCGTTACTACCTCCCGCTTACTGCAGTTGATCAAACTTTCCTGCGAAAGAGCAATCTCAAGACAAAATGTCCTTACAAGGGAGAGGCCGAGTATTATCATGTGGTTGTGGATGGAAAGACATATGAGAATCTGGTTTGGTATTATAATCACCCGACTCATGAGAGTGGCGCTATCGCGAAGATGGTTTGCTTTTATAATGAGAAGGTTGATATCATCTTGGATGGGGAGTTGCTTGAGCGGCCTAAGACGAAGTTTGCTTGATTTTGTGGTTGATGGTTTTGTATTTCGTGTTTAACAGCAGTTGCTTCCTCATTCCTGAAATCACTCCATGACATGAATCAATTTGCTCAGCTGCCGCTCTTATTCATAGAATGTGACTGTCAATACTATCGATGACAGTGGTTTTGAGCAAACCTTGTTATCTATAATCGACATTTGCAAAATCACCATACCGTCCAAAGTCACGCGAGCAATTATGTTATGCAAGGGTGATGCAGAATATTGTTAACAAAATGATATCTGAAGACATAGAAACCTTCGATTAGTATCGATCCATGATAGTTTAATGAATCACCGAGGCGACGTGCATAATATGAGACAGGTACGCGGCTCAAGAAAGAAGAAATTACAAATGGAACACAGCGGCATGGGTCAATACAAACCAAGACTTTTTGTCTCACCCGTTTCAGTTTCTATGACGCTGAGACTTGGTTACCAGCGGGACGTTCCTGGACTACAATGCTTATTTCCCCGTGCGTAGGGACCGGTAGAAATTACATGCAGGGATCACACCGATACGAAGCTTTGTGCTACCCACCTAGAATTCCTCCTTGTTGTGTACCGGTAACACAATGCTGTGCACAAAATTTTATATCATGATTCAACGAAAGCCCGGTTTCTGAAATGATCTGTCGCACATCACAGACAAAAGCAATTTGTCTGGGTGAGCACGTTGTTCAGCCACATACCAGTTTTGATCGATGATTGTTGCAAAATGGAAGTCGTCGCGATGTGCGTTCGCCGGGATTAACGTTCTGTAGGTCTGGGAGATGGCTCCTTGAATGGACCACACCGCCGGAACAATGGATCAAGATCTAGACTCTGGAGACATCAGCTGTCAAAAGCCATGTGCTAAATATATGATATCTAGCAATGGTCTCTAGAATCGGATTTTTTTAGTGTCTGGTCCAATTTCCCATGCGATGGCGAGTTGGAGTTGGAGGACCCATATAATCGGATTTCTCACCTGCGCGATCGGGGAGGAAGGCCAGGTTACCAGGTTACTTATCAGGCGACGACGATAGTGCGCAATTTAAGTCGCGCATGATCAAGGGTGTATCCATGGATACCCGCTCCATCGTCAATTGTCAGACGAAGAATTGGTTGATGAACTTGTTTTCGTGGTGGTACAAGACTGAACGGTCAGTCCCCAGCCCGAATCTGACTCTGCCAGCCACCAGGACAGAATTAGTACGAGAAGAAAGCCGGTGAGCGAGCGGGGAGGGGGACCATCAGCTCACCTCACGAGCGCGGCAGTTTAATGCACTAGTAATTAAGAAATGCACCATCAGCCTCTTCCATTGTTAATTATTGGTCCGGGTGTATTACTGTGCATATAACCGTCAATGTCTGGGGTTCCAGCGCCTTATCGTGCTTATCTTCCGACATGATACGATACGATATTGGGCCAAGGATGGATTGCTAAGGGTCCGTGCATATTGGATGGATGGATGGATGAATGCTTCCATCAGAAGAGGGGAGAGAAAAGAAGAAGCACCCATCCATATGCAGAGCACACACGACAGAATGGAATAGGCCCTGTTGATTGATGCCCGCTTGCTGCAGATCAGCAAGCAGGGACCTCAATACGGAAGCTAAGCAAAAAGTGAGAGATCCAAATCCGATCTGTCACCTCGCCTACCCGATACCACATCATCACATCGCACATCCTGTCACCGTTCTTTTGTGTGAAACCGTGAATGAATGAGAGAATGACCTTTACCGTTTTCAGCCTCATCGTCACTTGCTAAGCACCACCATCAATTGGCTTGTTTCTCTCCGCGCTAGCGTTAGCCAGTTGAACGATTTCCGTTTCGCCACACCTGACAATGCCTTAGTGTCATTACTTGGCGGAAAAACGGTGTGCGATGGGGAACAAGATCTGGGATCGTTGATGATAGCTGAGACAGGGTTTTGGATTGGTTTATGGAGTGTTAATCCAAGATGTGCAAATGTCCAAGCTTTGTTTAAACAGTGACAAAGTCTGTTGTCGCTTGTTGTTACAGTTTTGTGCTGTCTTTTTTATGTTAAAGTTCGTTTGACAGATTGACAGCTCCAGTATGTTTTGCATGCACATTGACGACATCCGACGAAGCGAAAGTGTATTTTGCCACGGAAGGCAAAAAGATGCAAGCAAACATCAAAGAAAACAGCTTGCCACTGATCATCCAGTCTACTGTACGGCATTGTCATCCCAAGCACGAGAAACAAGGTCAGCCGACATAAATTCGTGAAGTAGCCGAAGTTTAGTCGGCATCTTTTTGTTCAAGATGGTCAAAGCGAAGGACGAAGACGAAGAAAAAAAAAGCAAAAGTTCTTCTCGTGGTGGTGATTCATGTTAGTGCTGGAGAATCGGTATCTTGAGTAATGAGCAAGGGTTAACCCGGGAATGCGAGGTATTGAACCTCGGCCAACGCCCATTCCATCATTGAGATCTCACAATGGATGATGCCTTAGAATCCTACGGATGATGAAGGGATAATCCACTTCAAGGTTTTACCCCATCCTTTGTCCTGAATCCTAATGCAGGATCGTGGACAGGCTTGACAGGCAGCTGAAGGTTGCCCGCCCGGGATTGTTATTTTTTTGTAGGCGCTGTAACCCCCCTCTCGCCAAGTGATAACCACTGAGGGGGCAGTTTACTGGGGTTGGTGGCAACCTGGAACTCACTGTACGTGGGGGTTTGTAGCGTAGCACCGAAATCCAGTCGGTTTACGGGCCGGACTACCTACCATAAGCACGCGCCTGATTCAGTGCGCCCGAGGTGTGAAATTCTGTTAGCCTACTCGTACCTACTTGAGAGTCATATGGCCCGCCAAAAGATTTTTTTCTTTCCCTCTTCCTTCTCCCGACCGTTTCTCTTTTTTCCCTTTTCATCTTTCCCCTTCCCATCCCCCGTCCTCACCGTCGACAGTGGTTTCATCCATTCAATTGGTGATCAGAAGGAAAAAGAAGTCGCGCCATGAATCTAAGGAAAGCAAAAGTCGACACAGATCCGAACGCCTTCCCGACGAGGCAGCTAACGATTCTCGGTACGTCATTGCCCAGCGCAACGTAGCTCAGGCAGTCCAGCCCACTGTCACTGCCACTGACACTGCGTCTTCACCGCCATCAATTTCGCCCCCATCGCTTCGCGTGCCCCTCACCCAGGATAAACAGTTTCGCTAACAATGACGACCAGCAATATGTCGATTCTCTGAGCCCATCGCATTCAATTCCATCCTGGCCTACACATTTTTGATGGTCAAGGATTTGGGAATTGATGAGAAAGATGCTTCATTTTACGCGGGATTGCTCGTCTCGGCATATGCGCTCGCCGAGGCGCTGACTTCTATGGGATGGGGTATTTTGTCGGATCGCATTGGGCGAAAGCCTGTAGTCTTGTTCGGACTCGTCGGTGTCGCTATCTCCAGTCTTATCTTCGGTCTGGCAAAGTCTTACTGGGTTGCTCTTTTGGCACGATTTGTGGGCGGCGCCCTCAATGGCAACGTCTCTGTCATGCAGACCATGGTCGCCGAGATGGTGAAATTGCCTGAGCATGAGCGTAAGCTTGCGCCTTTTTTCTTCGGATGAAAATTCAGCAGAAGCTAATTATGTCACAGCCAAGGCGTATGCTGTACAGCCTTTCATCTGGACTCTTGGCGGCATCATCGGCTCCGCCATGGGAGGATTCCTTGCCCAACCCGCCTACTGGTACCCTCGATTCTTCTCCGAAGACGGACTTTTTGGACGATACCCTTTCTTGCTTCCTAACCTCGTTTCGGTGATTGTCGTCGTTATCGCCGTTATCCAGGGTATTTTCTTCCTCGAGGAGACCCTCGTCAGACCTGGCGAGGAGGCCGAGAATGCCGCCCTCAACTACCAGGATATTCCCGTTGTCGACGACCTGGAGTCCATCGACGAGAGAACTCCTCTCCACGGACGCGTCCGAAACCAGTACCGAAGCTCTGTTTCTCGCAGCCGTATGCGACACATGTCTCCCTCGACCAGCCGATCGCGCCCCCGCTTCGCAGAGTCCAGTTTGGGTATGGCTGTTGAACACGACTTCATCGATCTGCGTCGATCTTCCTTTGGAACCGTGCATTCTGTCCTACTGCCCCAGGATCTCCTGACACCGCCCAACGAGGAGCAGGAGAATGAGTCCCAGTCGGGCGAGAAGACGTTCAACTATACCGTCATGATGCTCATCGTCTCACTGCTTATCTTCTCGTACCACCAGATGGCTGCAAGCAGCCTTCTTGCCACGTATCTACTCGACGAGCCCTCGGAGACACGCGGAACACTTGACTTGGTCGGTGGTCTCGGTTACACCGTGCACGACGTCGGATTGTACTTGGCTGTCAATGGTGGCTTGGGTCTCCTTATCCAGGGCGTCGTCTTCCCCATGTACGTCAGCCGCATGGGCGTGTGGCACTCTTTCCTCAGCATGATTATTCTCTACCCTGTGTCCTACATGCTCATGCCCTTCCTTTCCGCCTTTGCCGAGCCTTGGACCTCTGCAGGCATCTACCTATCGCTTTTGATGCAGAGCTTCTGTGGTTTGATCGTGGCCCCTGTTTGCTTGATTCTCATCAAGGATGCTACCCCTACCCCTGCTGTGCTGGGACGAGTTAACGGTTTGGCCATGTCTGGTGCTTGCTTGGCGCGTACCATTGCTCCTCCTCTTGTTGGAGTCTTCTACGCCCTCGCAGGTTCAGTTTTCGCGTGGGTAAGTTGTGTTTTGGTTGCCATCATCGGTGCGATCCAGCTGTTCTGGATCCCGCGAAGACAGCTCACCAAGGACGATGTCGTGGTGGATAACGCCCTTACCACGACCGTTACCAACGAATCCCGCCGTGGTCGTCGTGGCAGAAATTCACTGTCATGAGAATGACATCTCACAATATTGGCAACCTGCCTGGTGGAATTATCCGGAGGTTCCTCTTTCCTTTTGGCATTACTAGCGTTGAGATACGCTATCAGTAAAACAACAGCAGCTTGCACGGACGACCGCAGAAGCCTGAAAAATCGACTTGCACATATCGGACGTCGACCACCTTCACATATTACTTCCGGCGCGACCCATCGTCCGTCGCAAGGTTCGCAATTTGGCTTTCATACTAAAAAGAAGACGCTTTTGGAAAATCATTGGCGCAATAATCTCTCGATCCGATCTCCTTTGCATCACATACTGCAGCATTCTGAGCCTGTTTCTCGCTTGCTCTTTTCCCCACGACACAGACGTTACGACTATATCCGTCACTTTCTTTTTACCATCATCACCTGGAACTTCAGGTCAGATTTCATCTTAGGCATGCGCGTCTATCAACATTTTGATTTTCGAGGCACGGCGTAACGTATGGGTCCAATGATTTCAGAGGTAAATGATGCTCATCGAGATTGTCTTGTGTATTCGTGCGGTCAAACTACTCAAAACAAAAACCTTTGCTAGATTCCATTTTATATGTTTTATCATCTGTCTAGGATGCTTCGAAGCGTGTAGCTGAGCTTCAATTGCTGGTATAGCTGACAGAATACAATTCTTGATTACCTGACTTCCGCTCTACCGATTACCATATATGTGATGACCATTGAACGGTAAGCTCTATCTTCAACTATGCATGTGATTGTGGCAAGAAATCCTGTACGTATCGGAACATGCTCACGTTTTGCTGCCCAATGTCGCACCAGACAGCCACATAAGCTTTTTACAGGAACCCCAGGGCTTGGGTCGCTGCACCAAGCTTTCGATCACATGCACGACATCAGGAACACAACGTTTCTCGTTCATTTGCTGCATCGACACGTCATGAAACCTAAATTGATGCCCAGTATCATACAGGGACACAGAGCCAAGCAAGCCTCTTAGTGGCGTGCTTTGTCTTTCATCGCTACTGCGCAAGAACACTGACGTATGAGATAGTGAAATCTGTACTTTGGTGTTGTCGTTACTTGTTATTCTGTCCGTTCTGGCCCGGTATGGTCTGATGTAGCCGTGGACGAGGAAGACGTGGGCAGACAACGGAGTGGCACCCAGTCAAAGTCAAACTTGGAGATACCCGAATATCGGAGAAGGTTCCATTGATAAGCAAGTCACTATCTTATCTTGTCTCCTCTTGCAACTACCGACATCCAATTCCAGAACAAATATCAGCCCACTTTGGGGTAGAGGCACGGAGATGCGGGGAACAAGTTGGTGTGGGGGATTTCCTATTCCAGCCGGATTCCCTTCATCCGAACCCTCAGCCGAAGCGCCCTCAGCCCGGGAACAAACCGAGAGGTGTATAAGTAAACTCCGGTTTCCCTAGATTGCACTTTAACAAACTCAATAATAATAATTCTTATCTTCTCTTCACTTCGCAACAACCTTGTACCGAACTCTATCAACATGAGCTCCTCCATTCAGACTCTCTGCCGTGGCGCTCGCGCTGCTCCCCAAACCCTCCGTCTCGGTCTTACCCAGACTCGACGACTGAGCACCACAGATCCCAGCCGCAGCCTTTCAAACGGCCGCGACACTGCTGTCCACGACCCAATCATGGACAAGTTCTGGGGAAACACTCGCGTCAACACCATTTCCGAGTCTTCCGCTGTCGTTACCGAGACTCCCAGCATGTCTTCCTCGTCCAGCCGAGACCCTCCTCTGGGCACAAACGTCTTTGAGCCTTCATCCGCTCCTCGCTGGTCCGGCATCAATATCCCCGCTGGACGTCAATAGATGTGTTTACTATTCATCAGACAAATGCACCACCAGCAATGGCTTCGCCGCAAATCTGACGGCGGCTGGCCAACATCGCTTGGGGATTTATCCCACCAATAACGACATGAAATGACCAACCACGCCTCAGCAATACATACCACGCCACAAATTCCTACACTGCACAGCACGTTCGAGAAAGCTTTTGCCAGAGTTTGACCTTGAAATTTGGAGCAATTACACGGAGATGGTGGAGAAGGGGACCCGCTACCAGAGCGCGGTGACTTGATGCCGATGTCGGGATTCAGAAGTAGCTCCGAGCTGCCGACTCCGATGACGGCCAAGGGAAGATGCGTTCCCATATTGTAAATAAGCATCCTTTACAGCTGCTATTCGTTTAAGCAAGCACCATGTACATATTTTTGATCAAGTTCAATTAACACTATTTGATCTTTCAACTCATTCTCGTGCTTTCCGGTGTTCTCAAGATTGCACCTGATATCTAACTAGACGTAAACCGTAACCGTCTTCGCATCTAGCTGTACCAACATGAATGGAACCTCTAGGTAGTAGGGCAAGCTTCGTCGGCATTAGCTGCCAGGGAATAGGATTAAGGCCGCCTGTCCGTTGACGGACACTAGACGTCGATTGGCTTGGATGCCCGGATCTACAACTGGGAAAACTTCAATCCCTTATCCCGGGCCAAAGTTTCGAGGAGAACGCCTATTCCAGTACCCAAACATGAAGGTATCAGAATAAATTAGTTGCTACGATGATGAGAGATGAAACAATTTAGTTGCCTTATGCAAGCTTGGGCTTGCAACTAGGCCATTTTATTTCTGTAGCCTAAGCTTTAGAGAATAATCCTTCTGACACAATTACCTGCCGAAGATAGGTTTCAGACGTATTATCATATCACATGTGCGTAACTTGGATACTTCATAAATCTTAATGCGAATTTATTGTACATAAAGCCTGAGTTCTAGAGAAGCCACTGGGAAGCCGCAACTAGCAATGAAAGGGCCAAGGCGCTACCAGAGCCAGCAAGGCTTTTGGCAGAGCTATCTTCAGGGACTGTCGCCTCAGCAGCAGCGCTAGTGCTGGTGGCTGAGCCAGTAGCCGAATCGGTAGCTGAGCTGGTGGCATCTGAAGAGTCCTCTTCAGTCTTGGTCTTGGCATCCTTCTGCTTCATGGGAGCAGTGCCATCCGCAATCAACAAGTTGGAAACGACGGCAAAGTTTGCAAGCTTCTGCTCCAGCGCATCCTTGCCATTACCCTCTGCCTGCAAGCTCTTGGCTGACTTTCGGAGAACGGGCATGATCTTGCCGGACAGGAAGGGAGCAAGCTGGGCAGTCACAGCGAGCCATCTGTGAGTGAGAGCCTTGTATGTGAGGATATCTGGAGGGCATGTGTCCTTTGAGCACGCAACTTCCTTGAATTTGCCCTCCTTGGTGAAGAAGGTCTTGAGGGTCATGGTGGCAATCTCCTCCACGGCGTCCTTCCACATGCTGGGTTCGCCGGAATTGCCAGTCTTAGGACATGTTTTAGTGCTGGTTATGTGCATACATGAGTTTGTAGACTTACCTTGTTGTAAACGTAGGCGAGACCCATGGACAACGATGCGGCGTTGGCAGACCATTGAACTTTGTTTATGGTGGTGCAGTTGTCGGTTGTATGTGTACCGTCATAAACAGCGCTAGTTTTGTCGTCGATCAACTCTCGCATTTCGAGCCATGAGTAAGCCATGGTCACATAGTCGGCGACGGCAGCGCTCTCAGCGAACCTGTCGATACGCGCTCCAAGGTTTAGGAACAGCGTGTTAGAGAGAGCTGTGTAGAACATGTTAGTGATGTACTAAACTTTAGCATTGGAGTCATCTTACTTGACTTGTAGTCATACCCAGTATTGAACTGGAAGATCTGCCATCGCAGACCACCATAGCAGACACCATTGTCTTCGATATCCCATCGCTCACGCATCATGTCCCAAGCATTCTTGGCAACATCATACCACTGGGTCTTCTTATCAGTAGGAGCGGGGAAGCCATATTCAGCAGCTGACATGGCGGCCATCGCCCAGATAGCCTGATCATCATTTCCCATGGATGTACTTTGGTTGGTCGGCATGAAATCTTTGTCCTTTCCCACTTGCCATTCGAGACCCTCTCTAACCAGATCGTTGTACGTGTCATCGCCGGTCAATTGCCAATAATCGACGTAGGCGCTCATGAAGGCTCCTGACTGGTACCAATAGTAACCATCACCCAGCTTACTCCCAGGATCCAGGAGACCAGGAGTCTCGCCGGTCTTGTTACCCTTATAAAACTCAATAAGGTCTCCAGCAAGGGCCTTGGAAGCGTCGAGGATACCCTCTCTGCTGTCGAGGTCCATGGACTGGACAGTCGCAGACTGTGCCAGCAGCAGCGCGAGGCCGGCGATGTTCTTCAATACAACCATAATGAATGAATGAAACGAATGTGGGGAACGGAGAAAAGATCGCCTTGCGACAATGGAGCAGGGTCGCGCTTTTTATCACGGCTGAGAAAATTACAACGCGCTAGGCAGCATAAGCTAAAAAAGCAAGCGCATCATTTTTTAGTGAAATAAAATGAAGGGACGATCCTTCGAGAGTGTTGGCCCAATCACCTCATGGTCAATGCCTAAGAAACGGAGATTTCCTCATTCGGCTGACTTGGCACCCTCATCAGCATCATCAGACGATCAATGCGATGGCATGTCACATATTAAACTTCTTCTATCTGTCTTGAAAAGAGAATACAAGATCTTCTAAAGCTTATAAAATAAAATAGTAAGTCAACGCCTATGGGGCCAAGACAACACGGAACCGCAATAACTGATGGCTAAGAAAGTGATGGTGCACTAGAAAGGGGCCAGGGGCCTACTGTAACGAATGTGCTGAAGTCAGCACAGTAAGATTTCAATGGGGCGCAATAATCTGCCCTGCAAGTTTCACTAAACGTTGGAAAAAGATCCGCAATTTCAACAGAGTATTCGGCTCAGCCCTATTCCATCCTATACAATGACTTAATTAACAGATTGCGTCGGTTAGGTACAGGGACATTGGCAGAGAATATGATAGACATCGACTGTGCTCAAAAATGTGTCTTAATCTTGTTAACAATAAAGTTACATACAAGAAATCCAGGTTTCGCAACGACAGCAGGTTATTACTGTCTAACCATTTCATCCATTGTTGGCTAAGCAGTTACGCAGACACCGCTTAGAAGCCACCGAATCCGGAGGAACCACCGAACTGAGGAGGAGCACCAAACTGAGGCTGAGGAGGCTGCTGACCGTTGAAGCCGCCTTGGTTCTGATCGCCGGCAGGCTGCTCCTGGTTGTTGTTGTTGTCGCCAGAATCCTGCTCCTCGTCTTCATCCTTCTTGTCATCATCCTTCTCATCGTCGCCGTTGTTATTATCATTGTTCTCGTTGTCACCAGACTGGTTATCGCCGTCAGAGCCACCATCAACAGAGGTCTGAGCGGGATCAGCGACTTGAGACTCAACAGGGGACTCGGAGTCATCGGCAGGGGCAGTAGGAGTAGCAGGGGCCTCAGTAGAATCACCAGATCCAGATTCAGCACCGCCAGCACCATCACAGGTGCCAACCTCCTTGGGCTCGCTGCCATCAGTGACACCCTCAAAAGTAATACACTCCTTAGGCACATCGGTGACCTTGATACCAGAGATCTTGGCAGTGTCGCCCATGTTGGGGTTGATGCCAACAAGCATCTTTCCGCTAGTGGCAGAGCCACCAGAGATCTCAACGTGACGAGCGGGCATGGAATCACAGTTACCGCAGCTTCGGTAGAGCTTGCCGAAGTCTGAGACCTCAAAGTCCTTGATGATAACGGTACCGCCACCGTTGTGCTGGATGACCTTGTCCTCGGCGCCCTTGGCACCACCACCGTTGATGGTGGTGGTTTCGCCATCTTCCTGCTTCTTGATGCTGAAGGCGTCTTCACAGACGGCATCCCAGACGACGTTGTTCAGGGTGCAGCCACCGTTGCAGTGGACACCCTCGATCTGGTTAGGACCTGTGATAGCAGCTGTTAGATAGTGCGCCATCACGGACGAGAGTTGTTCGACTTACCGATTCGGACGTTGGAAAGGGTAGCACCCTTCTCAAGGATGAAGACAGCGTCGGAGTCACCACCCTCTTCCTGGCCAGTGCAAGAAACACCACGGTCAAAGACAGCGTTACCACCGTCAAATGACTCGCCAGCAGCGATGGTCATGGGTTCCTTGAGAACGCTGCTACCACCACCTGCGCCGCCATCATCTTGTCGTCGAGACAGAGAGGGAGCGCCAGTGATCATAGGAGCGGGAGCAGCGTAAACGCTAAGGGCCAAAGTGGCCATGATCATACGGTACTGCATATTGATGGTTGTTGAAGGTTGATCGAAGGATACAAAGTGAGAGAAAGTGGTATCAAACCTGTTGAACGACTGGATATTGTTAAGACAAAAAGAATGAACAAGCACAGCTTGTAAAAGAGTGAAATGAAGAGTAAAGAAAGTGATGCTGAGGACAAGAATGCCAATTGATCGGGGCATTTGACAACCTTATAAGCCTGTCATTATGCAAGAGCCATTCGTCAATCGAGTGACATCTATGGATACCGTTTGCAGATCGCCCCAGAAGCCAAGTTTTCTCTCTTTTTGGGTATGAAACTGTCCGTGATAACATCCTTAAATGATACAGCCTACGAAGCTTGTTTCAGTTGTCAAAAAGACCACCTATCATTAGCGAGCTGACCCTTGCAGCTGTAATGACACAAGGCGACGATCACTGACTAATCTTAGTACATTAAGAAAAAAACCCGATGCTGAAACGGCCCCTTACTGGGGTCGAAGCGTTAAGCAGCTTAAGCTTAACAGCGTAATCTGTCGCAGCACGCTGCATTTCTTTTGTGCTTGGACAGTTTTGCTCATACGCGTATTATTTCGCTATTTTTAACTGCCGGTCGAATTGTTGAGACCTTTTGGCGTTGGCTGTCTTCTGCGCTAAGTTAACGTAGCAGTTTGATGAACCCACATTGTTTCATCAATCAGCCTTGAAGTCTCCATCATATCTCGGCCAAGACAATTCAAGGAACAATTCCACAATCAAGCTTTTGTCAAATCGTCGGCTAAGTTAATTAGTGAACAAGACCACAGCGCTACATCACTTCAGCCGTCATCTTTCGTGGTCCTCGTTTATCCCATGAGGCTGTCAGCAAATTGTTGAAGGCCTGACTACATGTTTCAGCCAGGCCGGGGGTTACCATCTTTTGTGTTTTTCTGTACTTTCACCCTGTAATTTTAGGGATAAATTTTGATTGATAAACCATTCATAGATATGCACATATGCGCTTTTCAAACCTGTGCATAAGTTGCAAACTTACGGCAAGTCATAGTTAACTATTAACTCGGCATGACTGCGTTTATAAATCTGGACCTGAACCTTCTAGCAATAGGTTTATATCTGTGGTTGTTTAGTTGTGTTGATTTGAACTGTACGACTTGATAACTGACCTTCAAAAACCTTAAATAGAAACTTACTGCAGAGTAATTCATTCAGCAAAAGAACTAGTCAGACAACTGATTGGCCCCGTCTCGGCCACCACTAAGCTATTCAGCAAGCTTTACTATATGTGATAGTTGAACTGTCTTGGAATAAAATCGGAAAATACCAATAAAGACAGTCTTCTGCAGTAGACGAAGCAAATAGACGACGTGAGAGTTGCTGCAGGGTAGATATCGTGGTTCGTCTCAATTTCATCCCAGTGTTAGGCGAATGTGACATCGTACTCCAACGAATAGAACGGTCGATCGTGGGGAATACCCCTGAACCTTCAGCAAACTGCCACCAGAGGTCCGGAGGGTCCGGAAAACGGTAGTACCCTGTTACATAGTAACACGCAGTCGAGGCAGACCTTCCTGCAACAGCACGACACTGACTGCGCTCGTTGGTTCTAAAGCTATCGTGCGACCCAGTATGTTAGCATGATACCCTGATGGAATGTAGATGCGTCGTTGTATGACCTGTATCTGAGACTTCTAGTAATTCCTCAAGTGGAAAGTTTTCGGAATGCTCCCATTCTGGTACAACTTTCCGACGACAAGCGGCAAATGCCGCTGTAGTTTGTTTCAACCATCGTTCGCATTCGTTTCTAAGCAAATGGAAACATTTTCCGGCTTTACTCGTATTTGACTTCGAGTTATCTCCGGCAGCTTGGCAGATTCATGGTAAATTGGACCAAGCGCTGTGTTATCTGATTTTGCTAATGATTTCAGTGGAGCAGAGTGAACTTCCACTAATCAAATGTCTTGTTTGAAATGAAATAGGAGGTGATGATGAATTTTATATAGATCGATACCATCTATGTTTCTGATTTATTGGTTCGATCTACATTCCTTTATTCTTTGTTACTATTCCCTATCTTTGTTTGTCATTCGTTATCAAATATCCCCACTTTCGTTAACTACCTTCTTACCAAGATGAAATCTGTACCAACTTTTCTTGTTGCCCTAGCCGGTCTGGCGCAACTAGCGACTGCGCAGAGCGTTGTCGGCAAAGCTGAGGGTTTCGCCGCTGGGGTTACTGGTGGAGGCAACGCGACACCCGACCATCCTGAAACGATCGAGGAATTGACCGATCTTCTGACTGATGACAAGCCTCGAGTCATTGTTTTGTCCAAGGAGTTCGATTACACCGACTCCGAGGGTGACGAGACCGGCACTGTTTGCCACAACTGGGGTGATGAAGAAGGCAAGCAGAAGATCATTGCGGACAATGGAGACTGTGGCGACACTTCTAGCTCCCAGGCTACTTGGCCCAAGGCACCCAGGACTCCTATCGACCTTGGTTCGGATAAGACTGTTCTTGGTGTTGGTGACAAGGCCGCCATCAAGGGCAAGGGTCTGAGAATTCGTGGCGGTGCTAGGAATGTCATCATTCAGAACATCGCCATTACGGATCTTAACCCCGAGTACGTTTGGGGAGGAGACATCCTTTCTTTCGATGAGGCTGAGCTGGTTTGGGTCGACCACGTCACTGTAAGTCGCCTCTGACTATTGATGTGGATATCAATGCTAACCTTGATAGACTGCTCGACCTGGCCGACAGCACTACGTCTTCGGCCACAGCCCCAGCAAGAAGATTACCCTCTCGAACAACTTCATTAACGGCGAATCTCCCTTCTCCACTGGCGGCGATGGTTACCACTACTGGACCTTCGAGATGGTCGGCGAAGATGATCAGATCACCATGAAGAACAACTATATCTACCGCACCGCCGGCCGCAGCCCCGCTTTGAGTGAAAACACTCTTCTTCACGCTGTCAACAATGTCTGGGAGGACAACAATGGCCACGCCATTGAGGGAGGCTCGGACAAAGCCCGTGGCATCTTCGAAGGCAACGCCTTCATCAATGTCAAGCAGCTCGTTGCGGACTATTCTGGAAGACTCTTCACCACTCCGAACAGCGGCTCCGCCGCGGAATGTGAGCTTGCCTTTGGCCGGGCTTGCGAAATCAACCTGTTTGAAGAGTCCAAGGGCGACTGGGAGTTTACTGATACTTCTTTCTTCTCTGAGTACTCCGAGTATGAGATTGCTTCCGCTGTTTCGGCTGAGGAGGCTAAGAAGTCTGTCCCTGCGAATGCTGGCGCTGGTAAGATTGATACATCTGGAAGTTCCAACGGTGCCAGCCAGAGTCAGACTGCAGAGTCTTCTGATGAGAGTGAGGCTGCCGACTCAGAGGAGAAGCCTAAGTCCCGAAAGTCAGCTTGCAAAGGATAGAGGTATACGGTCTAGGTTCTGGCGGAACCTGGTCACTCCTAACACTCGGGCTAGTAGATACGTTCTACCTGTTGTGCGGAGGCGACATCTGCTAGAGCATAATCCTGTAAAATTTCGATAGCCTAAAAGTTACACATAAAGTCTACCAAGGATCCAGCTAGGACCTTTTTCTTTGCAACAACTCTGCAAGTCGGAAGTGTGGTTGATGTGATGATAGTTCGATGCACTTGACAGGTCAAGTGACCAATGGACGTAATAAATCCTTTGCTGACTGATCCTACCAATAAGCAAGATAACTTGTATGCACAGTAAGCAGAGATCTTTAGAGGGGTCACAGTACATATGAGCACGTATGATGTGAAAGTATTTAAGCCCTTCGCTGCCCCGCCCAGGCAACGACATTCCTAAGACCTTTTCACTTCCTTCAAGAGCGAGTCGTTATGCCGCTTTTTCTCAACCCAGTCGACAATGGCTTTGACCCAGCCAGAGACATTCCTGATCTCACTGGGAAAAGCATTCTTGTCACTGGAGGTTAGTACAGTTATTGATTGAGAAATGAGGACCTGGAACTAAAGGTATACAGGAAATACTGGACTGGGTGCTGCGACTATCAGATTAATTGCTCCCCACAATCCATCCGTCATCTACCTCTCCGCCCGTCCGGCCACCATCGCTCAAGCTGAAGAGCTCGTTTCGTCGATCAAGGAGACCAAACCAGATGTCAGTATCGTGATCTTACCATTGGATCTGGCCTCTTTCGCAAGCATCAAGAATTTTGCATCTGAATTCCTCAAAGAAGCAACACAGCTGGACTTGCTCTTTCTCAACGCCGGGATCTCATCAACTGCCCCATCACTGACCCAGGATGGCTACGAGAGTCAGTTCGGCGTCAACTACTTGGGCCATGCGCTGCTCACTCAACTACTGATGCCCAAACTGCTTGAGACGGCCAGAAGCGGTAGAGAAGTCCGCATAATGTCAACATCCTCCATGGCTGCAACTTTGGATCCGCCGCCAACTGGGCTTGCCCTTGATGAGATGAAGAAGTCAGATCCGCTTGCATCTCCGTATCAACGATATGCCCACTCCAAGATCGCTAACATACTGTTCGCTCGGAAGCTTTCACAAGTCTATCCATCAATCCAATCCGTCTCTTTCGACCCCGGCCAGGTCTGGACTGATCTCTTCAGAAAGTCAACTTCCATGAGTCCCTGGATGATCAAATTCCTTGTAACACCGTTCATGTATATAACGTCCGTTGACGTAGAGAGAGGAGCACTGAACGGGCTGTGGGTTGCTTTCGCTGAAGGTGTTAAGAACGGGGCCTACTATGACCCAGTTGGTGTTCTGGAGGAAAAGAAGACGTTCTTTACCGACCAAAAGCTCACTGATGAGCTTTGGAAGTGGACGGAAAAGGAGCTAGCGGCTCATGGAGCACCAGGGTGGCCTGCCGCCTGAGAGGAATATTTCTATTGAGCATATAAATACATAGTCATTATGTGAGGACCCTTGTAGGCGCCAGCTTTATTTTCTCTTAGGTCCCGGTTCCATCTGACTTAGAATGAACGTTGCCAAAGCCCGCAAATTTGCGGTATTGGCGATCTTGGAAGGAGGCAGTTCGACAGAAGTCTCTCGTCGGATCCAGTTCCGCAGCTCAACTGACACAAGCGAGTCTAGACTGTAGTTAGATAGTGGTGCATCGGCCTCAATCTCATCTCTTTCAATCATGGTGATGGAGGAGACCTTGTCCATCAACACCGCGAGAAGGCCAGTAAGTGGGTCGCCACCATCCGTGACCTTGAATCCCTTACTCTTAGAGTTGCTGGTATTTCCTTCTTCAGCAATACCATCAGCTCTTGTCTCTGCTCTGATGTAGTCGACAAGGGCTCGTGGATGGAAAGCTTGCCATGGAAGCGTACTACTGTCATCTCCCCGGGCGTAGCTGAAAGAAATAGCTTTGCCATCCCGATATAGGCCAGAGCTTGGACCCATGATACCGCCTTTGATGACCGTTCGCAAGTGTTTCAGGGATAAGACTGCACCCAGCGAGCTCGTGAGTTTGCCTTCCATATCACGATCTGCGACATAGCCGACGTCGAGAACTACGGGAAGAGCGACCGATACCGTTGGCTGGCCCAGGGATGTGCGGTACTCCGCGAAAGAGTCATAGAAGGACTAGAAGGAGTCAGTAAAGTTGTGATTATTTTGAGAGGTGTGTATGACTTACAGCAGTGCCTGAGTATACAGACTGGCCAATGTTTCCGCTTCCCGAGATGAAAGATGAGAGGGCGATAAAGAATTCCAAGTTGTCGGGTAGCAGCTCATGGAGATTCCAAGCTCCCCTGATTCGCGGCAGAACAATGTTCAGCCAGTCCTGGTATGAAGTGTTGCTGAGTAGCTTGTCCTGAGCACCTAGTTAGCAAGATCTAGTACATACTTGACAATATTACACTTACCTTTAAGAACAAAGCACCATGAATGACTCCACCAACAGGAGGAAGGTCCTTGATCGATTCGACAACGCTGATGACATCTTCTCGACAACCAACATCGCAAGCCAATGCTCTGATAGTCACATCAGAGTCACTGTACTGCTGCAGCACCTTTTGAACATCAGGACGACTAGAACCACTTCGGCCGAGCAAGATAACATTCCTCGCTCCATGTTCAACCATCCATGGCCCAAGGGAAAGACCAATACCACCCGTGCCTCCAGTGATGATGTATGTCTTGTCGGAGCGAAGTAGGCTCTTTGAAGACGAACCGATCAAGGGCTTAGCCACTTCAGCTTTAACACGCTCGCCATGGTTCATGGTTATAACAATTTTGCCGATATTCTGTCCGGACTGGAGCTTACGCATAGCCGTTCCGATCTGTGAGACGGGGATGGATGTTACTGGTCGGATAGGTACGACAACCTTGCGCTCAATCAGGTCAGCCATGTCTGCCAAACACCGCTTGTGTTCTTGAGGTCTGTTCAGGAACATCTTGCGAAGATCGACGCCAGTGAATGTGATATTGTTGTCAAATGGTCTCATGGGCAGGAAGCTGTTTTGTAAAAAGTCTCGCTTGCCGATCTCAACAAAGCGTCCAAAGTCTGCAACAACCGCCCATGTCTGCTGAAGAAGGTTACCGCTGAGTGAGTTGATGACAAGGTCGATACCTCTTCCCTCCGTGACGGACAGTATTCCGTCGCGGAACTCGGGGGTCCGACTCGAGTAAATGTGGTCCTCGGCGATGTTGAACTCGTCGCGCAGAAATTTCCTCTTGGCTGTAGAGCCAGCAGTAACAAACACTTCTGCGCCGATATGGCGAGCAAGGACAATGCATGCTTGACCGACAGCACCCGAAGCGGCGTGAATCAGCACATTTTCACCCTGCTGCAGTCGACCGATACGCAGAACTGACATGATAGCCGTCGAATAGGCAACAGAGATACTAGCAGACTCGGCTACGCTGAGACCTTCGGGTATCTTGGTCGCGTGCCATGATGGCATCTTCATGTGAGTGGTGAAGCTGCCTCCATGGAGAGCGCCAAAGAAGACCTTGTCGCCAGCTTGAAAGTCGCTTACAGCAGAGCCAGTCTGGAGTACAGTGCCAGCACCCTCGAAACCCGGTGTTGTCCATGGAATGGAGCCAAGCACCAAAAGGACATCACGGAAGTTAACACCTGAGGCTTCGACCTGAACAAGAATATCGTCGTCGGCTAATGGATTTTCAAGAGTGTTTGTTCGCTTGAAGGAGATCGAGTCAGGACTTCCGGCAGCATCGACAGTCATCTCGAATGACACATCTTCCTGCCAAATGTCCTGCTCCTTGCGAATAACAACACCCGCCTCTGAAGCGAAAGTGTCTTTTGCTTCATGCAGCGGACGATACCGCGGTAGCCTCAGAAAACCGTCACCCCAAATGAAGTCGTGGTCAGGCGACTTGATATACTCCGGATCGTAAAGCTTTTTCACAAGTTTCATGATAGCTGACAGTCCGTGCTCGTTGCAGGGAAGATCCTCAAGCATGAGGATGTTTCTGGAACCCTGCTCAAGCCGTACCGTGCGTAGCATTCCCTTTACCGTATCACAGTCAGGTGTATGGCTCTCGGGGATGACCCAAAGCAGACCCTTGACCTGTAGGAAGGTATCTCGTAACAAGGTGAATGTTGCGTCCGAGACATCTTTGAAGATGCTGTTCTCGGCCGAATCGATGACCAAGAGGTATTGCTCTTCTGTCGGCTCGACCTCCGCAAAAGGCTTGACCTCAGTCTCGTAGCCCGCCTCGGCTAAGACACCCGAGATCAATTGGGCGTATTCTACTTCATCGTCGTCTTCCATGGGTCCACAAATGGTGATCGGTGTAGAATTGTCTCCAGCATCAGCGAAACTGACTCGTGTGGTCGTCAGGATACTCAGAATGTTTTCAGGATCGCCCGGATAGCCCTCCACTACCCCATCTAAGCCCGAGAACCCACGATCGGAGAACAGCTGGCTCCACTTGTCTCGGGAAAGTAGTGGTCCTTGTTCAAGCGAGCGGTACTCATCCTCAGCGAGCCACCAACCTGGCAGCAGCGCAAACGGGAGAACAAGCGGCGCGTGGAGACCCGCTTCTAGAACTACGAGTCTTCCGTTTGGCTTGAGGAGGGATCGCACATGATCGATAGTTTTGGTCATGTTAGGTGTTGCATGAAGGACATTGGAGGCGATCACCAGATCGTAGTCTTCCAAAGAAAAGCCCTGTTGAGTTGGGTCTTGGCTGATGTCGAGCTTCTTGTATGTGATGAACTTGGACCACTTATCAAGCTTCTCGCGGGCTGCTTGAAAGAAACCGGACGAAATATCGGTATAGGTATAACTGAAGTTATCGAGAAGCCTATCGATGCCACGAGAGATGGCGTTGAATACCGGAAGTGTGGCACTTCCTGTACCTGCGCCGATTTCAAGAACACGTAAATTGGACTTGACATCGCATTCGTGGCGCACCCATCTGGCTAGAATATGACTCAACCGTACATTGGTGAAATCATCATCATAGTAGCGTGAGAGACGGTTGTTGTGAAGCATAATCTCGAGAGCCTGGACATTCCCACGCAGGATATCGGTAAGGCGGCTTCCAACAGCGCAAACCATCTCTCCTTGACCACCTGAAGTTGAGACGTTTTCAACGAGAGTGGCTATATCTTGATTCTCCCCATTGCCTTTCTCTTCAGCCTCCTTGATACAGGCTGCAGCCCAAACCTTGAAGCGAGCCAGATGTGGAGGGAGCTCGTTCGTATCTTCCGCCGTCTCTTGCAAGGCTTTTCCCATGAAGTACAGGCCAGCCTTGTTCAATAAGCGAACTCGTTCCCGCTCACTCTCAGCGACTGTATCAACTTCCAAGAAGTCCGCCAGCATCTGATTATTGGCCAAGGTGTTTAGGCTGGGGATCAGGTCCCAGTAGTAACTGGAAGGTAGGCTAGAGGTCGGGTTACTAGAAGAGACTGATGCGACAACTCGGAGCGAGACCGATTCAAATTCAACAACAGGAGACAGGGTCTTAGTGTCAAAGACACCGACGCTGATGCGCATAAGTCCGGCCTTGAGATCATAGTCGAGACGGCGAGTGACAGTAGTCAAACGCAAGTTTGCTTCAGTAGGAATATTGTTCAAGATCCGAAGCCGACTGACGTAGTTGGGCATCATGGCCGGCTTCTCACCATACTCTTCTAGCAGAGGACCTAGGCCTTGGAGGAAGCTGTCCAGGGTTGGAGTGTCAACTGAGATCGGGGAACCATATGGGGAGGGGAATTCCGAGCCTAGATCGCGAACCTCTGATTCCATGACCGTGAATCCAGGTGCTGACCAGAACCTCTTCATCCTTTTGAAGGTTGGGCCATACGTAGTGCCCTCTTTGTGGTCAGAGGTATACTCAAGTTCCGGGTCGCGCTCCTTCAGCTCTCTACTGCCAATGAGCGACAATGACGATTTGAAAGTTGGTGTGTTAATAGTGGGCTCGTTGGCTTCTGCCTCAACGCGTCCGTGAGCATGAGCTGTCCACCCATGATCTTGATTCCAGCTGAGAATCTCAAACACCCACAGGCTGGAAGAGAACATCTCTGTTCCCGTGGCTGCTGGTCTAATCTTGGTGGTGATGTCGACACGTTCATCCTCCTGGATCTCCAGGCTGCGCTTGGCGTGGAACTCGTGTACTACAAGACTGGAAACAGTGCCTGTAGCAACTCGTCTCAGCCCTTCCAAAGCTAAAGATAAGTACCCCGTCATGGGAAAGACAACTATTCCACCAACAGCATGCTCACGGATCCAAGGCATCTCGTCCAGAGTGAATACCTGTCGAAAGACCATTTCTGGTCCTTCTGCATAAGGGCTTTTCCATCCCAGCATAGGATGGTATGGCTGGCCGGGGTGCAGCTTGGCTCCCGTGATGCGCGACGACAGCATATATCGTACTGACCTATCCCACGCATATGCGGGGAGGTCTGAAATAATGTGCGAGTTTTGTCGATTAGTCTGGTTGATAGCCTCAAGGCTAAGCGGTACACCCAGGCAAAAGAGGTACTGGGCAAGGCCGAATAGCGCATCTTCACTTCCCGTTCCTCGCTCCAAAGAGGCCAAGTAGGTGAATTGGCCAGCGTGGCGACGTCCCTGGTCACCAGACTGCTGTTCTCGAATTAGATCAACAATTTGCTTGACTGGATTCTTCAAAGCTGGATGCGGGCCAATCTCGACAATGACATTGGGCGTCTTGACTACATCGGGTTGTTTTGAGACGATCTTCGTAACAGCGTCAGCAAAGCGGACCGGTTTGACAAGGTTTTGAACCCAATAATCAGCAGATAAGGTATCAGTTGTTTTGAATGTGCTGGTAGATGACGATACAAATTCCGGGCTGCTAGTATTGCGAGTTACTGTCTCATTTGAGCAGTACGGATCGATAGACGTTCTGTAGAATCCGGCCACTTGTTCCATATGTCTTGAATGATAGGCCATTTCAACCTTGAGCTTACGCGCGAAGATGCCTTCCGAAGTGGCTACTTCGAGAACTTCGTCAATTGCTGAAACGTCACCAGATACAGTGACACTTGAAGGGCTGTTGATTGCAGCTACGGTCGCGTAGCCCTTAGTGATCTTCTCCAAGAGCTCAGAAGCCATTTCAACGCCAACACCAAGCGCTAACATGGCGCCTCTCTGTCCTTTGCGGGCCAGCCCGACTGTTGCTAGTCCACGGAAGTAAGCAAGGGCAATGGCTTGCTCAAAAGAGATGAGACCTGCTGCAAAAGCAGCCCCGATCTCGCCACTAGAGTGTCCTGTAACCATGGCTGGCTCAATTCCCCAAGACTTGAGTAAGAGTGTGAGCGCAACCTGTACCGCAGTACATGCTGGTTGACTGATTTCCGCCTCATTTACTCGAGTCACGGGCGCTGGTCGAGAAAGCTCCTCTGTTTGTCCTGTTAGCAAGCCAAAACTCGGAAATGCGAGTTGTCTTTCTCACCTTTCAGTGACCAATTGGCCCCTAGCTTCTCCAAGATCGATTCAGCCTCGTTGATAGCATCGGCGAATACCTTGAAATGTTCCAGACCCGTGGCCATTTGAGCGTGCCTGGGATTGTTAGTGAACAGCCATCCATTAGCTCAAGTGGACCTACTGTGCGCCTTGTCCAGTGAACACGAATGCCACTGCACGATCTTTGACCTTCTTCGGCCTCGCTGTCTCAAGTTGACTCTTGAGATCAGGGATCGAATTTGCAGCGATAGCGACCCGGTATGAGTGATGTGAGCGCCGTTGCCCAAGCGTGTAGGCAAGGTCCTTCATGAACATGACATCAGAGTCTCTCTGGGCTTCCTCTTTGTCGAGAAATTCTTTGAAGCTTGATAGGTAGGTGGTGAGGCTACTCTCAGACTTGGCCGAGAGGACAAATATTCTCTTGGTGAGAGCCTGGCAATGACCATTCTGCACACCGTTTCCATTGGTGGCTGAACCGTTGACGTGACCGACGCCATTAGTGCTAGGATTGGCGGTAGGCCATCGCTCGAGGATGATGGCCGAGTTACTTCCACCGAAGCCTGTACATGCATGTGAGTCGAAAGATAGAGGTAAACACGGACAATGAGACTTACCAAAGTTGGTCACGCAGACACGTCTTGGCTCATTTGGTGGCCATGGTATCTTGTTAGGAGGAACCTGTTGACCCCATGTTTAGCTCATATCCTTACGTCGGTGCATGAAGGCTTACCCGAAGAAGCTCCCTCTTCTCAATGCTCTCATTGAGCTTCTCGAAATTCGCGTTGGGCAAGACGTAGCCATTTTGAAGCATCAGGATGGCCTTGACCATTCCTAGAATACCACTGGCGCCTTCAAGATGGCTATAGATATGTCAGAGAATGTACCCCTCATTTGGGAGAAGTAAAAGTTATACCCGAAGTTTGACTTAAGAGATCCGATGTGTAAAGGGTTTTCCGAGGTCCTCTCGGCAGCAAGTACTGTAGTGAATGATCCTGCCTCGATCGGATCGCTACATGGTCAGCCTGACCAACGTCATCATGTTGAGACAAGACTTACCCGACTTTCGTGCCGGTTCCGTGGCCCTGAGATATGTGAGTTTGGATGCTAATAAGCAACCGCTCGTAGAAGACTTGCCTCGACCACCGGGGTCTCGTTGGGGTTTAACCCAACTTCTCGGTGAACTCGTCTGAGTAGCGTTTCCTGTGCGGACCTTCTCGGCATGGTAATGCCATCCGAGCGGCCACCATGATTGCAAGCTGAGTTTCGAATGATAGCGTGGATCGGGTCACCTGCTTCAATGGCATCGTCGAGACGTTTCAACAGAACGCATGCTCCTCCCTCTCCGCGACCGAAACCGGAGCCTTTGACATCATATGAGAAGGACTTGCCTTCTGGCGACAGCGCCCTATTCTGGGAATAAGTATGATGAGAGACACGATTGAGAATGGCGCCACCTACCCCATCGTATCAAGAAAGCTCCATTGACCAGGGCCGAGCAGCAAAGCAGCGCCTCCAGCAAAGGCGGAGTCACATTCTCCTGCTTGTAGACTCTGGCATGCCATGTGCACAGCATAGGTACTGCTTGCACAAGCCGCATCAAGAGCAATACTCGGTCCAGACAGGTCAAAGAAGTATGACAGTCGATTAGCGAACATACAAGGAGCTCCTCCCGCGCAAGTCCATGTCGAAGAAGCTGGCATATCCTCACCTAGCATATGACCATGTTCCGGCGAGCCAATAGCCGAGAATACGCCGGTGTTGGATCCCGCAAGATCGGTCAAGCTGACACCTGCGCTCTCAGCTGCCTCCAGGGCGCATTCGAGCAGCATACGATGGTGGGGATCGACAGCTCGAGCCTCTTCGGGTCTGAGGTTGAAGAACGGAGCATCATAACTGTAGACGTCTTCAGGCAAGAAGTGGCCTCCGGCCGCTGCGATACAGCCAGCTTTGTTGCTGTCTGGGTGATAAAATGCATCGTAGTCAAATCGATCGGCTGGTACTTTTGACCAAGCTGATCTGGCTTCTGAGAGATATTCCCATAGGCCCTTCCTTCCGACCCCAGGGGCTCGATAGGAGAGGCCTACAACAGCAATTGGTGAGTGATCGGGCATGTTCTATGTGACTACAAATCCGCAAATGGTAACACTGGTATGGAAGTACCTCATGGTCAACAAAGACTTCTCATGAACTTATACTCTCGCCCGAGATACCCTCGGCCTTTTGCCCGCCCGCCGGTCCTGTCTTTCGCGGCAGAGCTCTACTCCTCCAAAATACCTGGGACACTATCCGCTTAGCCTCGAACTGCAGTCAGCTTGATCTGATCCCGCTTCCCCGCAAGGTCCGACAGATCCTACTAAGGTACTGCTACATCTCCAGACATGTTACCGGATTACTAGATTCGTCATTACCCCACAAAGGATGGTTAAACTTTATCCCCTCAACGTATAATGCTGAAGGATCATTACCCTGTCAAGTTACATCAGGCATCAGCTTAACAAAAGATCCTCGGTCCAAACCTTTGCATCCAGTCAACCACTGGATAGATCGCGCAGAGCCAAGGCAGCAGCATTATAAAGGTACTTTGTAGCTCCGTCGTACCGCTCTGATAGAGTGTTTAGATAATGCGGGGAGAATCCTTCTAAGCTTGAGCTATGATGCCATCGACGCAACCAAGCTAGACAAAGCATGCCATCACAACAAGTAACAAATCCTAATCATCAGATAATTTGCGCCATTTTCCAGCGAGACAAGAAGGTCATTGCGTTGTGCTACCCAAAGACCCAAGACGTTGCGAATCCCGACCAATAGGACTACGTGGAGCTTGATAGTGTCGGCGATTACCAGCGTCAATAAGCTGACTTACCCCGCGAGAGTACAGGGACGGCATACAGCGGGACTACTGACAAGCTAAGAACCGGTGGGTGATATCCCACATAATCCTTGCATAGCCAAGCTCGTCAAGTTATGAAGGAAGCGATGGAGGGTAAGCGTCGTATCAGGACTGACTGTACCTATTGTCGTGTCCAAGATCTCTCATCATACGGAGTCTAACTATCAACAACTTCGTTCTTTCTTCCAAATTGAGAAGGGCAGTGCATAACTTGGCAGCATTTGCAACACAAGATTCCACCTCATGATCATGATTGTTAATGATATTTATGGCAATGCTTATGTAGATCACGCAGCCATATCCGGTCCAATTGACTACTCGATATTCTGAGAGGAAACAATTAAGTGATACTTCCGTCGGGCAGGGCGTCTATCAATCGATATCTGCTGTCTGTACGGCTTACTCCTGTTTCAAACGTCAGAAAAGACAGCACCGCGAATAGCACGGGTTTAATACATTCCGACCTTCCTACCAGACACGAACGAAGAGATGTCGTGGATCTCAAGACTTCCCTTCCTTCGACGCCAAAGCCTGAATATCCTGCCCAAGGTGCCGACGGATGAAGTCGTTCCCGTGCATCTGTTCGATAGCATCAGCGGGCTTCAAAGATGCATCCTAGTCTGGATGTTTCGGTTTGATGAGATACTGGATCCGGAGAAGCTGCATTCTTCCTTATCTCGTGTCTTCCAGAGAGATGGGTGGCATAAACTTGGTGGCCGATACCGCCGTCGCGTAAGTAATCCACATACTTGGCCATTTATCTTGGTTGACAGAAATCGCAGGACGACGGCAAGTTGGAAATCCACATCCCAAGGCCTTTTACAAGTGAAAGACCTCCTGTCCACTTTACACAGGAGATTTTTGACGTGCGTTTCGAAGACCATCCTCTGGCCTCCAAGTTACCACGAGGAAATGGGAAGGTCGAGACTTTCACGGGTCCTCGAGCCTTCAACTCTCTTGCCATGGGTCCAGGATCACCTGCGTCCTTTGACGACTTAATTCAAGGCGATAGACCTCAGTTCTCACTCCATGTCAACACCTTCACCAATGGCACTCTTGTCGGCCTCACTCACTCTCATATGACAGCCGATCTTCTTGGACTCACTGCTATCATTAATGCTTGGTGTCACGAGCTTGCCGGACAACCAGAGAAAGTGGCTCCATTTGGTGGGGTACAAGAAGACGGCATGAAGGGCCTTTATGATCCTCCTACGGAATTCAAACACGTTCTTGCTGGTACAGAACTCACAGGCTGGAGAGTCGCTTATTGGTTGGCTTGGGCGTTTTACGAGTCAAAGCGTGCGCCACTAGAGTCACGCATTCTCTGCATTCCAAAAGAGAAGATTGACAAGCTTACCACTCAAGCACGGGATAGTATGACAATTTCATCTGACGGATCAGCTTTTATCTCTCAGGGTGATGTTTTAGCAGCCTTGGCCTGTCGTCTAAATGCACAGGAGCAACCGGTCGGATCAAAGCGTAACATCATGACGATGATGGCTCTTGACCCTCGCAGCCGGGCACCGTCCGCATTCCAAGACGGCGTAGCCTATGCTGGTAACTCACCTACCGCAGTCTTCCTCCAATGTCCAGCAGACGAGGCGCTCAAGATGTCCATTGGGGATCTTGCACTTCTATCTCGTAAATCGATTAGCGAGCAAGCAACCGAAGAACAAATGAAAGCCTACTCAGTGCTATCTGCAGAGTCTGTTCGCAAGACTCACATGAACACTATGTTTGGCGACAAGGACATGTCTTTCCAACTCATGTCCAACTGGCTCAAAGCAAGTCTTTTTGACAAAATTGACTTTAGTCCGGCGATTGTGGAAGAGGCCTCGGCCGAAATTGGCTCTGGACGGAAGCGAGGCCATCCTATCTACTATCACTCTGCGGACCCAGGGAGTGTTGAGGGTCCGTATATCATGCACTTGGTAGTGGTTATGGGAGCTGATAGGGACGGTAACGTTTGGATGTCATGTGTTTTGCCAGAGAAGACATGGTCCAATCTGGTACAGTATCTTGAAGCACTTGAGTAAAGACAGTTTAGAATTTGCAATAAGTAAGGAATATGTATTCGGTGTATCCCATGCCAGCACTCTGTTTCTCTTCATGACCCGATCCCCGAATCCCTCCTAGCTATTTGGTCAAAGTGATTCTCTGACTTTTTGTCGTCGACCATGAACTCATCGGTAACCAGGTCCATCGTGCTACCCTTATAGTACTTCCTATCAATCAAGATGGCTTGAGACTTTTTGCTTGGGATCCTGACAATATCAACTGGACTGGCGGCAGATCCAGAAGAGCGATACTGCTCTGAGAGCAACAGAGTTGTCACAACGTCAGCATCTTGATCCCACATTGAATTGAAGGGATCCTCTTCTGAACTATCAGGCAACAGTCCGATTGTTTCCCATGCATGGTCGACTATCGACATAGCCTTGTCCGATACGTGAGCGGTCGCATCTCTGTTGCTCTCCTGTAAGGGCTCCTGTTCCTGTAAGGGCTCCTGTTCCTTGGGATGTTGAGGCAGCTCTTTGAATTCACATGATAGTTCAGAATTCTCATTGACTTCTTGCTTGACGTCCTTTAGGTTCTTTTCCATGGCTGAAGGCAGCATGTTCAGTATCTGGCTCAATCGTTGAGATAGCCATTTGACCTGATCAGCTGTGAATACCAGATCTGAATAGCGTAGCGAGATCTCCAGCTCGCCCTTTCCTGGGCGGGGGATTGCAATGATGTGTATATCTGTTGAATCACCCAATTCACCATTGGTCGATAAAGAGCAATTATACCCTCCGACTGTCACAATATCGCCAACTGATGTGTGGTTCTGATACACCAAGGCAGTGCTGAATCGGGTCCAGCTAGGCCAAGAGCTGCACTTCCGAATTATTGACCGTGTCTCGAGGTGATGATGCGGCATGCTTGATATGTGCAGATCTTGTGTCTGGTGTACTAGAGATGCCACTGTCGTTGAAGAGTCAAGGCGTACGCGAACAGGTACTTGGTTCACACAAGGCCCTCTCACAGTCTCAATACCAGCAAGGGGTAAAGAACGATTGGCCACGACTTCTCCAAACACGACATCGTCTGTGCCCAAGGCCTGTGATAATACCAATGCCCAAGCGGTCTTGACTAGCGTTGATGGAGTGACAGATGATATAGTCATCGAGCTGAGTGGAACATGCAAATCGACTTGTTTGTCGAGGACATGTCCACGAATCGCGCCCTTGGGGGTAGGAACAAGAGATGACATGCTAGAGCCCTGCAACATTCCCTTCCAATACTTTTCTGAGGGTTCCAAGTCAAGGGACTCGACATGGGAAACCCAATCATGGAAATGAACACCTTCGGACAACGCGTTACCACTGTACGCGGCATCGAGATCTTGAAAGACAAGACCCAAGGAAATTGCATCGTATAACGCATGATGTATCTCAAGACGCAGATCTCGGCAGCCAAGATTATCATGCAAGTCGAGATGGAAACATGCTAAAGGAGCCCCTTGCCTGAACGCAAGTTTGGGTTTCTCTGCAACTCCGTCGTCCATCATGTTTGGTGGTACATCTTTCAGAACCACCTGGAAGATGCTTGAACCTTGAAAAGTAAAAGCTGTTCGTAATATCGCATGGTGCTCAATAACCTTTTTACAAGCATCACGTAGCCTTGCAGCGTCGAGAGGCTCACTGAACTGTAGTTCAAACTCAATGTAGTATCCTCTTTGCTCTCCAATCTCTCCAAGTGCAAGCATGGTCGCCTGACCATCGGTGGCTGACACGATGGCCTCGACATTCTGGCGTGGAATCCCGAGAGAGTCAAGGTGCTGCAACATAGCTTGAGAAGTCTTTGCTAGACTCTGTTTCGAACCGTTGGGTTGAATGAGACTCTTTCCAACTGTTTCCTCTGAGCGTCTAGACTCTACAACCTTTTGTAGGGAAGTGTTCTTCAGAAGCTCTGTGGTTGTAATAAATAGCCCCTGTCTTAGAGATTGGCTAGCCACTTGCATAGCCATGATAGAATCACCACCGAGGGAAACGAAGCAGCTTTCTCGTCCAATCTTTTCTTGTGGGATGCGGAGAACCTTCGCCCAGATCGACTGAAGTAGAAGCTCTTCGTCCATGCTAGGCGCGGTTACCGGGTCTATTGCTGTTACATCCATGATCTTTTTGGCTGTTGATAATCGACCCTTGTCTTTGAGCCATTGGGATATCGCGGATCGATCCAGTTTGGCCGACTCAGTACGAGGCATTCGTTGTACCACCAACCAGATTGTTGGCACCATATACGATGGCATCTTTGACCTTGCGTAATCGCCAATTGCTTGGAGATGCTTTCTAACCGTACCATCCTGTTGGTGGTGCACTGGCATCAGCACTTCTTCACTGAGCAGGTCAGGGTTGTCCAAAGTAAGCACTGCAACCAGTTGAGTACGACCCTCAACGATCTTAGTAGCGACAAGTATCTCTCGGATGGCTGCGCATCCACTAAGATGGTTCTCAACTTCTCCAAGTTCTAGTCTCTGGCCGCGAATTTTGACTTGGCTGTCTTTTCGCCCCAAGAAACAGAGACTTCCGTCTGGGTTGTATTTTGCCAGGTCACCAGTTCTATAGAGTCGCCTCGTAGTATTGTCGTTAGCTTTCAACGCCCATGGCGGTGGTTTGATGAAAGACGTCTTGGTCTTGCTCTCATCATTTAGGTACCCCCTCGAGACGCCTGGCCCATCAATCACGATTTCGCCGACCGTGCCAATAGGGACAAGTTCGTCGACTTTTCTCGGATTGACGATCCACAATGTTCCATTAAAGGCGTAGCCAATACTCTCAGGATAAGGCGAGTCTGGCGTCACCTCTGCGACGGCGCTGGCCACAGAAGATTCGCATGGGCCCCAGCCATTATACAGCTTGAGCTTACGTCCCCAGACCGTAGCAGCATCTGGCGAGATCGGTTCCCCAGCCGAGATCATAGTTTTGGCTTCTTTGATATCTTCTGGTATGAGTGTACGTATCACTGTTGGGGTGAGCCAGATGTGTTCGACATGATTGCAAGTGATGAATGGCGTGAGACTTGATTTCCGTTGCTCCTCGGATGGTACGCAAAGAGTCCCTCCCGATAGGAGACAAGAAAATGTTTCTCCAAGATGCATGTCCCATACATGAGCTGAGAATTGAAGTGTTCGATCCCCCGGTTTGTAACCCATTCGGTCTATGAACAACTTGAAGACTGATGCCAGATTCCGATGCTCGAGCATGACTCCCTTTGGCAAACCGGTGCTACCGCTGGTATAGATAACAAAAGCAAGATCGCTGGGTTCTCGTCCTGGATCCTTATTATAATCGACAGGCGATAATTCTTTCACGGCAACTTCGCTGACTTCTGTAACATTCGAGGCAAGTCCAGCGCACTCCGCATACGCCATTGCGGAGGCTAGGATCATATTTATACCTGCACTCGAGATGACTTGTTGCTTTCGAGCTGTAGGGTCATCAGCTGAGATCGGGACACTGACTGCCCCAACTTTAAGGATACCAAGGATTGAGACAATTGTCCAGACTGACTTCTCAAAGACGAAAGCGACCAGAGTCCCATTCGCAACACCTTTCATGCCTAGTTGAGTGGCAACTCGGTCAGACAGATCGTCCAGCTCGGCATAAGTCAAACTACCATCCCAGGCTTCCACTGCTAGTGATTCTGCATGCTTTTGAGCTTGTTCCCGGAAGACATGATCGATAAGTCTCTCTTCAGATTCAGCTGGGCTACTGTTCCACTCCATGATCGCAGCCAGATTGCCAGAACTTAGACACGGTATTATATCAAGTTTGGTGTCGAGAGTGGCCTCGGTGAGTGAGAGCAGCATATGCTCAAATTGGTCGAGAATCCGCACTAGTTGCTGGTCTGGTACAACCTTCGGGTCCGCTGATGCATGGATAGCAATGCCATCATCTTCCAAATCACAGCTCAACGATAAAGCAAACGGTTCAGCTGGCTCCTTCATCTCTTGGAACGATATTTCAGACGACTCCTTCGGATCGTACCATCGTGGGCGAATGTTCAATAGAGTCTGAAAACCGCACGCAACTCGAGCGGCTTCACTGACTTGCCGGATCTTGGGGATGCCATATTGTAGACCCGAGTGCTGTTGTAGTTGTCGTCGAGCCGACGTTCGCTCTTTCAGAATACCTTCCAAAGTTGGGGCCTTCGATATGGTCACTTGCACAGGTACGATAGCAATAGTCGGGCCCAGCGTGGTCTCGGCGGCTGGAAATGTCGAGTTGCGTCCCGAAAAGATGAGTCCAAAGGCCACGCTATCGCTTCCACTGTAGTTTGCTGCAGTCATAGCCCAAGCTGTCTCGATATACGAGGGAACATGAGCAGCAGAAACCCCCTTGCCGATCTGCTCCATAATGACTTTCCGCTTGATTGTACTCGCGCCAAACGGCAAATAACCCGGTTTGACTTTGGGGAAGATGGATGGTGATCCATTAAAGCGTGAGGACCAAAATGATTTTGCTTCGTCCTCATCGACACATGAACATTGGCTGACAAATTCTTTGAAGTCCGCTCTCTTGTTGGCTTCACCTCCGTGATAAATGGTAAGAACATCTTCGAATAGTGGCGTAAGTGAAGCATGATCCATAATACCATGGTGGATCGTAAGCAACAACTGCGATCTGATAATGGCAGTCCTGATCAGCGTCGTTGCGTGGCCCATGGGTCTCTTCTCATCCTCGATCATGTACTTTCTGATATCTGTATCGTCTTGTAGACGTCGTGTTTCGTGTTTCTCGTTGGTCACGACTTGCACAAGTCCTTCGCTGCATTCCACCAACCGAGTCCGCAAGATAGCGTTGAGAGAGACGACTTGATTCAGCGAAGCGCAAAAGTGATCCAGGTCAAGTTCCGATGATAATTTGAGAACAAACTGAAACACACTTGCACCAGCATGGATTGTCGACTCGGCCATAATCGCCGTTTGAAGAGGCGTGCAAGAATAAACATCTTCGATCTGATCAACCGAGATGCCACATGCGCTGGCGATCTCCTTCACTGATTTCTCATCGATATCCTCTTGAGACATGATCTTTTTTGGCGCCATAGTGAGGCTTTCGCGATGCATGAGTTGATGCTGGTTGCTCTCTCATTGTTTTGACACTACACGACGTCAATTAACCCATATTTCTTGGCGACTCACTCTGTCTTCCGTAAGCGGGTAGCCAAGGCGAAGGGGGTGTGTTCCCGATCAGCAAGATGGGCTTATGCAAGAGGTGTGGTGGGGAAATCGTTTGGGGATTCAAAGTACCGGTACATCCATCTCGGCACGGCCCCAGACTGCACACCAACTCTTCTTGCAGGATCCAGGCAACAGAATTAAAAGGCGTCAGCGGATATGCAGTTCGATGACGATAAACAGGTTTAGGAGCTCTAAGCCACCATCTACAACACAACAATTGCCTCTTCTGGAGAACCGAGCGCGGGGTAATAGCAGGATTATCATCCTTGGTCAAGGTTAAACCTGTCGCCGTTGATGCAAAGGGGTTATACCGAGCCTCAGGGAGTGGATATAGGGAAGACTTTTCTTAGTCTTCGTGGGAATCTACCATTATCCGGCATTTCCGTTATGCGAATGCCTTCGCAGCCAGTATCAGTCGTCATTGTCAACTGACTGAACTACTCAGTTACTTATGTTTCCCCACTTCCCTCAACATAGGTACCTGTGATCGCGATGTTTCCAGTCATAGGATATGTCAGGAGGTCTGTACTAACATGCCAGATAGGCATACTGCATCGGTCAATTCCCCGCAAGCTTCGTTTAAGATGGTCTGATATTATTGGCTCATCCAATACCTATCTATGTCGATATCGGTAAACACATACATAGCTACGGCGTAGCAGACCGTGCTAGTAAAGAAGGGCATGCCGAGTGCAAATCCACCAAGCTCGAGGCCATAGACCCAGAGTGCAGCCATCAGTGAAGCACCAATGAGGGACCCTACAGTCTTGACCAGCATAACAATTGAGAAGATGTGACTCTCAATATCGGTCGATTCTGCATTGTTTGATGGTTGTCTTGGTGAAATAGCTGGTGACTTGAGAAGCGAGAGGGTGAAGATCGGCAACGCGGACCCTAGAGCGTAGATAAACATTGCTGGAATAAGCATCCAGATCTCTACCGCGATCGCAATTCCCAGGGCTCCAAGCACAGAAACTGACAGGCAGTACATGGCATGACGAATGTTGGACTTGTCTGCAGCTTCTAGGCATGTCTCGTTTGGAACAGAGCGTGCGGCTCGCAAGAGTCTGGGAATGACGAACGTGAGCAGTGTGAAGTTCACGACTGCCTTTCCCGATATGAGATAGCCAGCTGATACAAACGTCCACTTGTATCTTGCGGAAATATACTGCACGAGAAGCTTTGTGTCAGAGCTGGCAAGCGATGTGAGTACAAAGCTGAAGAGTAATAGTGTGAAGTTCTTTGGGTGACTTGTGACGGTGTCTTTGATAGTCCGTAGACGCTCTGCCACAGAGCGTAAGATTGACTGTTCGTCTTCTTGAGCCTTCAATAGTGGGGATGATAGAAGGGGGGCCTGCTGTTCTTCATCGAGATCTTCAGCTTTGCTATCTGTGGGCGAAGGCAGCCTCTGTATAGTCGGCACAGCCAATAATAGCAATGATATACCGAGCCAGAACGGAAGTGAGAGTGATAGTGACATGGTTGCCGAAGCTAGAGCCGGGCCGAGTAATGCCACGACATAGGAAACAGAGCTCATGTAGCCAAAGTAGATGGCTCGCTGAACATGATCATCCGTCAAATTCGATACAAGCGAATATGTCAGCGAATTAAACACACAGTCTCCGCCGAGTACTGATAGGACTGGCCCGGCAAGTATAGCTCGAGTTGGGAGTATCATGTCGAAATTACCGATCATGATAGCCCAGAGTAGCAGAAACGAGCGAGAAACGAGATTCAGTCTGAGAATGACTCGGCGACCCCATTTTTCGGCAAGAAAGCTGAGTGGGATGGTCATGACGAAGTCTGAAGTATATTAGCCAAGCGAGCATGTCTTGGGACAACAACTGGGGTTACCTCCTGCAACCCATAACGTCTCCATCACACCTTGAATTCGGCCAAGATCCTTCTCAATATCACGAATCTTACACAGTCTCTCATCCACACCACCGTGCAAGATTTTTGAAGGGTCGTTCCGCCGATAGTAGTCTATGCATAAACGCCTTTCTATCAACCGGTTGGAAGGTAGTTGATAGAGACTCATCGAGAGATTGACGAGTAGAAACAAGGCTAGTACTGGCACAACGGGCGCGACGCGGTTACGCCTTCGCGATGGAGCGTCCCGATCCGACATGGATTGATCCATGGGACAATTATCAGTGCTACCACCACGAGAGATGTTACCTATGCCGACAATGCAATTAAATCTACCATATGACACGTTGAGTGAGGTACTTAACAATTGACAGTTACGGAAGGTGTCGCGCTGTCTTATCTTATCGTAGATACAGTGTTAGCGGAGTGCCGAGCTTGTATGCACTGTAATTTGTCTTATCTTATCGTCTATCTTATCTCGCATACGGTGCCATATACAGTATCGAGGAAGTCCGTACTGTGATTTTTCTTATCTTATCGCTTCATCTTATCACTCGATGTGTTCCTACCAGACACCAAATAGTTATTTACATAACTACAAGAAGCGCTTTCTGTAAAGTATAAGTTAGATACTAATGTTGCAGGTAAAGTGTTCAAGCTCTTGGTGGTTACTAGAGTAACCAGTTGCTTCCGTGTTGTGTGGAATTTAAAGACCCATTACGGTTGGTTGTGATGAACTTCTGTGCTCCCAACGCTTACACCAACGCTCGATCAACGAACAATTGTCAAGACAGTTTTAGAACTCCCTGCGAAACAGTGCATTAGACACTTACCATATCTGAAGCAAGGAATCTCATGGCAGAGTTCTAAAAGGATTTTTAGTCTCGACAGAAACTTAATGACTGTTGCGAAATGTCCTCAATGATCTTATTGAAGTTACCCTGCAGTTCGTATCTTCCAGATTTAATCATAGGAAGTGACGTAGCCAAACGTACGATCAGCGTTGCAACGTTCAGCCCCCCGAGAACCCGAGAGACTAGAGTCAAATATCTCTACCTTGGCGTCACTTGTCTCACTGAGACATCATCGCCAGAGCATTCATCCAAATCCTCAGTATCAATGGAGAAATCAAATAGGCTCACCGACGAGGAAATCCTCGAACGATGGTACCCAGAGCACAACTTCAAGGGAGGCAGAAAGTTCTGCACCGCCGCACGCGAATTCCTCGAATTAGCGGGTCAATGGCCCTGGGAATGGTGCGTCCATGACCTGAACCCCCGACGATGGCGCCCTGCCTTGGTCCAAGACCTTAGGAGGCTTGCAGAAACCTACAAGAGGAGTGGAAAGAATCTCGACGAAGCCAAATGGCCCCTAATACGGGCAATGAAGAGGAGGAAGACTACAGACAAGAAAAACCAGTTTCTGGATCAACGCGACGTCAACAAAGTCATCAACGAGTTCAAGCCTCAACACTCCTCTCCCTCAAATGGTACGACGGAAGGAGAGCACAGACAATCGAATCCTGTCAACAAGACAAGACGTGAGCCTACAGCAGTAGCAAAGCCAACAAAATCAAAATCAACTTCACAACCAGGATCATCAAGAGGATCACGAGTGACAACAGGGTTACCAGACCGGTCAGCGTCAAGAGCACGAATGGCTACTTCGACACATCCAGTGGAAACTGAACTGGGCCCATTCGTGTCATCTCCGATGTCAGAAGAGGAACCAGAACCGGAGCCTGTGCCAGAGACAACAGATAGGCTAGAGACCACCCGTATCTCAGAACCGGAACCTGTGCCACAGACAATGGGCATGCCAGAGACTACGGATCTGCCAGAGATAATCGGCATGTTTGACACAATGGATATGCCAGGGTCCATGAATATGTCAGATTCGATGGATATGCCAGACACAATGTATCTGCCGGATATAACGGGTCTGGCAGAGACAATGTATCTGCCAGAGATAACAGGTCTACCACCAACAACGGATATGTCAGAGACGACCCATCCGGCCGACACAATGCCAGAGTCAATGGACACGCCACAAACAACAGCTATACCAGAGATGACCCATATGGCAAATACAACGCCAGAGTCAGCAGATATGCCACAGATAACAGCTACGCCGGAGACGACCCATCCGGCAGAAACAATGCCAGAGTCAACGAATATGCCAGAACCGGAATCTTTGCCGGGGACAATGGTGATGCCGGAAGCCGATATCACAGCAGAAGAGGTACCTGTCGTTGAGGACACATTCCCAATGGAACCCAGAGCTGGCGACAGCAAACGTGGAATCATTTGGGAGCATGTTTCCGAATCAAAAAGTGTCGTAACTAAAAACAAGAAGCGCCCAAGCAGCTCTCCGACTCTTCCACCAAAGAAACGAGCTCGAAGCTCTCTGTGGGACTTGAAAGATCAACTTCAACATAAACCAGATGGTCATACTCCTGATGGAATCTCTGCTACCCTTTTTGAGATGAGATACCACGAAATAACGCTACAGAAGCGGCTTGCCCTACGACTTGAAGAGAAAGCCGCTTTTCAAGATCCAACAAGATCCTATATTGAACAACAAGCGCTTTCTTCTCTAGAGAGCAGGATTCAGTGCCTACGTAGCAGCATTCAGACGCTCGAGAGGGACCGCGTGCCAATCAAAGAGCGGATAAAGGAGTGGGAGAAGCTTAGGAGTGTGATGCGTTACCCTGACACCGCGAAGATGCGTGGATTGGATGAGGTCAATAGGCAATTGCAGAAAAACACCACTGCGATTTCAAATGCGAAGAAGACGCTGCAGCAAACCATCGAGGCTCTTGATCGGCAAAAGGCCGCTGGTGAAAAGCTCGCTGCCGCTGTGGAGGACAATCTCAACGAAATTGGTGAGCAGGTTATGGCTTGGGACGCGTTGATGAGGCTCGTACACGGCTTCCCTGCGAGCGTGCGTAGGGTGAACGAGGTGCTCAAGCTGCAGGACAGATGTTTGGAAGAAATAGCATCTTTTTATGGCGAACCAGAAGACGATGAGGATGATGATTCAGGGATCGACGAACCACTTATCAAGACACCGGAGCTACCTGATTTACCAGGTTGGGACCCGTTGGATGGAAGTACAAGCCTGGCAAAGGCACCACTACATAATGACATATAGCGCTAATCTAGACATTATTTCGATGTTGACCATAAATATTCACCCCCATATTCCCCATGGTGCTTTCATGTCCCCGGATCAAGACTCTGCCGACCACCATGGGGTACTCTGGGGTTGACTGGTCAAGCTGACGTAGATGGACCACGTCGATACCATGCTATGTTGATCAGCAAAGCATGAGGACGTGCCGTTACCCGTTCTCCTTTGACCGTCTGATGTGGCCCATGCGAGCTTTTATCCCTCCGCAGTGGAAAGACTCATAGTTTGCGGGGTTAAACGTTTTCCCGGATGGACGATAGTCGCAACTCCGCGCTGATCTCCGGACTATCCGGTGTCGGGCATTAGACGGAAACAACGTAGAATACGCCAAGTTGTCTCCTGGTTCTAGAGCTTTCAGAGAGGCGTTTAATGGCTTTTTCGGTGAGAAGAAGGCGCTTGGCGGGAAATGCCAATGTTTGAGGCTCAAAATGAGGCTCAAGTAAGTCGGAGGTCAAGGGATGGCCCCTCATCAATTACATGGTCAACCGTTCCCCGTTCTCTCCCATTGTTGAAAGTTAATTCTCTTGCCGTAATACCTTTGCCGAATCTTCCAATCATCTAATCTTAATTGACTCAATTGCTGCAACCCGTTTAGGCGTATCACTTGACCGACGGCGATATCGCTGCCCCATACTGGGAAAACGCTCGTCCGGGCCGACTCAGATGCCCCATAGTATCCATAATATCCTCAGAAAAACTCAGATTTCATGGAGGTGGAAAATCTTGTAACGTAGCGGAGCGTATGGAGAAGGGAATCTTTATCAGCACGGGGAAAAGAGAAATAGTTACTCCAGCTGGGGCCCCGGATTTTGCTCCAATCTTATCTGTTATAAAGTGCTGCGTCCTGTGTTGTCTGCTTGTCTCGACAGATCTCTTCTCTGCTCAACATTCACAATGGGTATCCTAACTCTTGCTGAGGACAGGCCTACGCCGCCTTCGGTGTACAACTGGAGGGTGTATGTCTTAGCTATCGTGGCCTCCTGTGGATCCAATATGATTGGATACACCAGCGCTTTCATCGGAACGACCATCACCCTCGACTCATTTAAGAAAGAATTCGGCATCGATCAAAAGAGTGCCGAGGAGCGAAACTTGATCAGTGAGAATATTGTATCGCTATTCATCGCTGGCGCCTTTTTCGGTGCGCTTCTTACCTATCTTCTCAGCCATTGGGTCGGCCGCAAGTGGTGTCTTGCCATCGCATCTGCTACTTTCACGCTTGGGGCTGGTCTTCAGTGTGGAGCCGACTCGGGCACTGGGTTAGGTATTCTTTACGCTGGTCGTGTTCTCTCGGGATTAGGAACAGGTGTCGCATCCAATATCATTCCCATCTACCTTTCAGAACTTGCGCCACCCGCTATCCGTGGACGGCTCGTTGGTCTGTATGAGCTTGGTTGGCAAATTGGTGGTTTGGTCGGGTTTTGGATCAACGTGAGTAGAACACACTTTTTCCATTTGCACTCAAATACTGACGCACGTAGTATGGTGTTGAGAAGCACATGCCCGAAAGCCACCAACAATGGATCGTCCCCTTCGCCGTTCAGATCATCCCATCCGGCCTCCTCTTCCTCGGCACCTTGTGGCTTCGTGAGTCACCGCGATGGCTGTTCCTGAAGGACCGCAGAACACAAGCCATGAAGAATCTTTGCTGGATTCGACAGTTAACTCCAACCGATATATACATTACAGAAGAAGTTGCAGCTATTGACCATGCTCACGAGATTCAAAAGCATACTGTCGGTCTCGGCTTGTTCAAGCCTTTCCAAGCTCTCGCTCAACGACCAAACATGATGTACCGACTTTTCCTGGGATGCATGCTGTTCTTCTGGCAGAATGGATCGGGAATCAATGCTATCAACTACTACTCCCCAACTGTGTTCTCGGTAAGTGTGCAATCTAGGCTAGGTGGTTTTACAAGACTGACTTTTGGCAGAGCATTGGTGTTCAGCGCGATACAGTCAACGTCATGACCGGAATCTTTGGCATCGTCAAGGCTGTCATGACCTTCGTGTGGCTTCTGTTCCTGGTTGATCAGCTTGGTCGACGCAAGCTGCTGCTCATCGGTGGTATCACTGGCTCGATCTGTATGTGGGTATTGGGCGCATACATCTACGTTGTCGACCCTACCAAGAACCCGCAGGATCATCTCACTGGTAGCGGAATTGCCGCTATCGTATTCTTCTACCTATGGACGGCCGTCTATACACCCACATGGAACGGTACACCATGGGTCATCAACTCTGTAAGTTTATCCACAGTCTCTGTTTTTATCAGTTTTAACAAGAGACCAGGAATTCTTCGACCCAAGTTTCCGTTCTCTTGCCCAAGCCTGCACGACCGCTAGTAATTGGCTCTTCAACTTCCTCGTGTCGCGGTTCACTGAGCAAATGTTTGCGACAATGGGTTACGGTGTATACATGTTCTTCGCTACGCTATCATTCTTCGCGTTCATCTTTGCCTTCTTCTTGATCCCTGAAACGAGTGGTATTCCTCTGGAGCAGGTTCACCGCTTATTCAAGATCAAGCCAATTTGGAAGGCCGAAAAGATTCTCAAGGAGGAGCTGAAACAGGAGGAGCAGCAGTTCCGTCACGACGTTAAGGGAGATGTCAGTCAGTCTGAGAATCTGGAGGATGTAGAAAGGGTTTGAGGCTACAATAAACCATAGAAGGGTAGACATATAGACAGTTCCAAAATATGAGATAGGACATGAATATAGGCGGTTAGCTGATAGACAATCACAAACTTAGTCACCAAGATCACTGATGAGTCAATGACCATAAAAGATGAGAACGGTTTATCAGATTGGACACACTTGTCCCTTGCCTGCTCATCACCTGTGCGTGGTACTTAATACATACGAAGTCATTATCTATTGCTCATCGCTCTAATATCTATCATGAATTAAGCGGCCGCATATGCCTCGCCAAAGGGCTCCAGCTTAGTGCCCTCAACGTCAATATATCCATACTTGGACTGGTCCTCATTATTGGCCATAGCCTCACCCCACTTCTGCATCGATTCCTCGAAAACCTTCTTATGGTCCTCACGACTCAAGTCAAGAGGCTGCTTGTCCTTTCCCACCAATCGGATTCTAGAAATATTAGCATAACTGTGTATTTTAAGACGAAGTATGGTGTGACTTACTGTGTACCGGCGGCAACGTTTGTGATGCCAAAGTTTTGCTCATCAAGGAGAGTATAGATGGCAGCGTTGGCCTCGCCCTTGATGAGCTTGGCAGGCAGATCGAACTCATTCGTGACAGGACGGGCCAGACCAATACCATGAACAGTTTGGAGGGCCTCGACCATGGCATGGACCGTCCTTAGACCGCCGGTGACATAAGCCTTGGTCTGCTTAAGCTCAGGAATAATCATCTCGGCAAAGTCGAGGAAGAAAGCCTCTCGCTTCTTGGTGCTTTCGCGTTTGTGAGAAAAGGCAAGGCTCTGGTACGTTCCTCCGGATAGCTCGACAAAGTCAAAGCCATGCTCCTCGAGTTGGCGGCACAGAGCCTTGCAGTCTTCTGTGGAGAATCCGCCTTCTTGGAACTCAACGCTGTTGACCTTGATAGATAGTCCGAATGCCTTGTCAGGCACACGAGCGCGGATGGCGTCTGCGATCTCGAAGATGATGCGAGCACGGTTTTCGATTGAGCCACCGTACTTGTCTGTTCGCTTGTTTGTTGTTGGAGAGAGGAATTGTGCTAGGAGATAACCACTGAGAGTATATTAGTATTTTATTGGATTGGACAATGGATATACTTACTGTGCTCCGTGTAATTGGACGCCGTTATAGCCCGCCTTGTAGAGGAACTCAGCAGCATGAGCAAATCCCTCGATAACATTCTTGAAATCCTGCTCATCCATGGGCTTGGGCTTAGCAAAGTGCATACCCATAACCTCACCCTCAAGCTGCACATCACTAGCAGAAATGGGGTTCTTCTGAATGTTATCAGCAACCTGGCGTCCAGGATGGCTGACCTGCGCAACCATCAAGCTTCCGTTCTTCTTGCCAACAGTAGCCATCTCCTTGAACGCCTCGAACCGCTCGCCAGACATGGGGGCATCACGAGGAACGATGGGGTTTCCGGCAGCCTCGAGATGGTCATATTCCACCATGACGTTTCCTGTCAGGATAACACCAAAATCTCCTTCTCCCCATCGTCGGTAAACGTTGATGAGCTCTGGTGTAGGAACGCCTCGATTCTCTAGAACCTTGGGATCCCATGTTGACAGACGTTCAGTCATGGCAGCCTTCATCAGCCTGTTCTTAGCGGTCTGGCCGCTAAACTCAAACTTGAGCGGCTGAGCCAAAGGGCTCGCATCGGTCTGTTCGGCTTGGAATCTTCGTGGTGCCATTATAATAGTATTTGATAATAATTCGTTGGATACTTTCTAACTGCCATTCACGGACTTTGGGATCTTCAAGACTCTTATAAACTGGCTCAATAATTAGAAATCATAATCCGTGATGTCATGACTTTTAGTGTTTCCTTTCTACCGTCGCCACCATATTATTGATAACCCCGATCAAGATGCGTCATGTCCCACTTTATGGTCACAATTCTGGCATAGTCGACGGCGATGATGCCTGAAGCAGCGCACAACTACCGAGGCATGGCTTCGGCATAACGTTAGAAACACTTCATCGAACAACGCTAGAATCTTCCCAGATTCGATTGCAGTTGTGGAATGAGATTTCAGTGGACTGAAAGCGACCTACGTAAACGCGGCACGATTGTGATACGGAAATGCTCGAAACGACCCGCTAGTGGCCAGATTACTCAGCATGAATAATCTAGAATGTCCTCAAGTCCATGACGTTGTTTTGTAGCATCGTCAACCTTCCATCCCTGTACGCGGAATTAGTCCGGGGACAATTCCGCCTTATTATCGATAACAAACCCAAATCAGCTCGATCAACCAATCAGGTCAGTGCGGTTTGAGTGAGGTAAGATATGTCTTCCCACTGAAGCTGTTCCTGCATTAGTCGAATCATCTCATCTCACGACCGCCACAAACCGTCAGCCTTTTCTATCCTTAAGCTTGATCAAAGAACATGGCACTGCATCCTTCTGAAGTCGCAAGGCATAATAGCTCAAAGTCATGTTGGCTCATAATTCATGTAAAATCGCTCACTCATCGTCCGCGACTTCACTGACCGTAATGTAGAACAAAGTTTATGATCTTACTGAGTTTCTCCCAAGTATGTCATAAGCTAAGAAACTATTCTAAACATTGCTAAAACGTGACTTCAGACCATCCGGGAGGTAGAAAGGTCATCCTGAAAAATGCAGTAGGTGCTTTGATGCATAAAATCACGCTTCAAGCTCTGATGACTACCTACAGGGAAAAGACTCTACGGGAGACTTTGATCTTATCCATTCAACCGATGTGCTTGATAAATGGCTGGAGCCGTCCAAGCACCTCGGTGATATCGACACAAGTGTGATCACAAGCGAAGGCCCGAAGCCAGAAGCCAAACAGTCCAGTCTATATCGCAAGCCCAAGCTGTCGCATTGTATCAACATGTCAGACTTCGAGACTGTAGCTAGAAACATGATGAAGGAAGCATCATGGAATTACTACTCGACCGGATCAGATGACGAGTTGGTAAGTACTAAGGCTCCAGCCTCGGGATCGTACGAGAGGGCTTCTAACAGTATTAGACCCTTCGAGAAAACAACACAGCCTTCCAACAAATACGCTTCAGGCCCAAAGTCATGGTCAATGTGGAACAAGTGGATATTTCAACAACCTTGCTGGGTTCACGCACATCCGCTCCAATTTACATCTCAGCCACTGCGCACGCGAAGCTTGGTGACCCCGACGGCGAAGTAACACTAGCACGGGCGAGCAATAAGCATGATGTCATCCAAATGATACCACTATACTCTTCATTCCCACTGGAAGAAATTACAAGCGCGAGAGAACCCGATAGGACTCAGTGGTTCCAGGTGTATGTCAAGAAAAATAGGAATGTGACTAGAAGAGCTATCGAGAATGCTGAGAAAAACGGCTGCAGAGGGCTGTGCATCACGGTCGATAACCCCCACCTTGGAAGCCGAGAAAGGGTCTTGCGTCTGCAGCAAAGTGAGTCAGATGAAGACGACGAGTTCGAAGACGCTCCGGCAACTGAGCTGGATCCTTCCTTGATCATGAACTCGACTTTGAGTTGGGATGACGTCCCGTGGTTTCGAAGCATAACCAAGATGCCCATCGTTTTAAAGGGAGTGCAGAGGGTAGAGGATGTTATCAAAGCGGCCGAATGTGGCGTGGAGGCTGTGATTTTGTCAAACCACGGTGGCCGTCAGATGGAGTATTCTGAACCTCCAATTGAAGTCCTGGCTGAGGTCATGCCTGCACTAAGAGAACGTGGGCTGCAGAACAAGATCGAGGTCTACATCGATGGCGGAATTCGTAGGGGATCTGATATACTCAAAGCGTTGTGCTTGGGGGCTCGAGGCGTTGGAATTGGCCGTCCGTTCTTGTATGCTATGGCTGGTTATGGACAGAAGGGAGTCGAGAAAGCTTTACGGATCTACAAGGATGAGCTGGAGCGCAACATGCGCTTGCTTGGTTGTACATCTGTGGACCAACTGCATCCGGGACTAGTCAAAGTTCTGGGTCAAGTGCGGGAAAGGCTGTAGACGATAGATATTAGGTCTTATCGTGGAGTGGAGTTTACTGATGTATTCGATGCTAACACATGTATATCATCACGAATAGATCATATTGGAAACCTTATTAGTAGCTATGTAATTGCCCTGAGGCTGTTTATTATAATATGAACATTACGAAGTATTATACAGTGGTACGTTTCCGCATGCTAACCTGCAGAGCACTAGCTACAGGAATTGACAGTTTACCAACCGCCTCCAGCCTTCTTGAAGCCAGGGTATGTCTCTTTGTTGAAGTCGAACCAGTTAGTACCGTTGACACTGAGGTCGTCGTAGACAGCACAGTCCATAGCACCCATGATAGGCTCGAGAGCAGCGAAGACGACATCAGTAACGGAAGTCAGGGTGGCGAAGAGAGAAGAGGCAGCGTTGGGGGTGACAGTCTTGATGGCGTTAAGAGCGAAGCAGACCAGGTTGTTGCCTTGGAGGAGGTTCTTGCCGTTGAGGATACCACCAGCAAGGTCATCAATGTTGATACCGACGAAGGTGTTGACACCGTTGGTGTTGCCACCGATACTGAGCACCTCGGGGTGGCTGTGGGTAACAATGTCGAGAGCGTTGGCGGCGATACCATAGTCAGTGTAGCGGCGACGATAGAAGTTCTCGGGAATGCGCTCATGGCCAACGACGTAGGTCATGTTGTCCTCGGGTCCGTAAACAGAGAAGAAGGCCTTGAGGGTTTCCTTGTCGAGACGACCCTCATCAGGGTGCTCAGCGGAACGGTTGGCAGCGAGACGAGCAGTGAAGGAGTAAGGGCTAGCACGAACGAGCCAGCCACTGGCAGGACCAAACCAGGCGAAGGGGTTGGTGGCAATGGTCTGGTGCCAGCGGTTCTTGTTGTGCTCATACAGAACTTCGATGCTGTAGTTGGGGTCCTCGGCATCCTTCTGGAGGTTGTAGAGGTCCATGAAGTACGACATGTTCATGTTGTTGTTGTCGCCAATGGGGTCGTAAAGGTCACCTCGGGTAGGGCTGCCATCAACCTCGAAGAAAGGGTGAGAGCCGCTGAGACCACGGGGAGTACCAAGGAGGCCAAGCAGGTTGTTGTTCATGTGCTTGGACCAACCGCCCTGGGAGACAGCGAACAGGTTGCCACCGAGAACAACACCAAGAGTGGTCAGGAGGGCAGACATGTCAGGAGCCATACCCCAAACCCGGCCAACTGCAGTGACATATTGGGTGAACTGGAGTTGGAGTCAGTATATTGGAGCTCAGAGTATATGAGAGTTACTTACAGTGGCAACACCGTTACGGGGAAGGTAGTTGTGGTTGGCGAGAGTGTTCAAGCCAGGGCAAAGTCCTCTAACCTCACCAGCGTCCCAGTCAGGAGCCTTGAACTCATGGTCGCCATGGACATCAACAAGTTGCTTCTTGGGGTCGAAGTCGATGACTCGCTTTCCAAGGTTGGGAGGAGCCTGAGAAGCAAACTTGCGAATGAGCTCAGGGTCGATGCCAAGATGAGGGTCCTGTCCATCGCGAGGGTTGAACTTGAAGGCGTTCAGAGGAATGGGAGTGTCGGGGTCAAGAGTAGGTAGCGCAGCAGCCTGGTTGGAAAGCAGGGCCGTGGCCACTGTGGCAAGAGTAAAGGGCTTCATATTATTGACAACTTGACAATTAAGGTAGTAAAGAGCGAATGGTTTCAAAAAGAACGAACAGACAATAAGTCAATTAAGGAATGAATGCGAATGAGAAGATGCTCATTTGTCAGTGGACTTTAACATAGATAGATGTTCTGTTTAAATAACAATAGGTAAAAGGAGAGTCATGATTATCGCAATAACGCTCAACGCCGAGGACCCGGGAACTGAGTCCCATCATACGCAAGCGCTACCAAAGGCTCGGGCCCGGACGAGTCTCCTGAATTTGATCAGCCAATAGAGCGAGATGAGTTAGAATGCAGTGAGTCGTGTCTGGCGGACTCTAGAAACAGGGATATCATGGCATTCGAAGATGGCGGATCCGTTCTAGTCAGGGAAACATTAGCCCTTCGTAGTAGTGACCGACATGAACCTAGGAAACGGGTCTTGGTTCCGGCGTTTCCTACTAGATTCCTGCTAATATGAGACACCCAGTCAAAGTACGGATACTACATATGTCGACAGACCGTTAAGCTTTGACTGGTGCCTCCTCTTCGTGACAGCCCTGTCCAAGAACCAAAATGTCCCGAGACAGCAATTGATCGTCGCCAATCTCTCAAAGTTGACAGGTCATGGGTAAACTCAACCCCTTTCGAGGTTGGGCGTCACTCTACGTACATTAGCTTCATGACCCGACAGGGCTTTCCTTCTGCAAAATTCGTATGAAGAGCCCTGTCTTTGTGGGATCATGTCGTATCGTCTACTGACTCCTTCATTGCAGCATGAATCCACTTCCAATGCTCATGTAGAGGCGGGGGGGGGGACAACGCTTGAGCCAACCCAAGTGCCGGCAGTTAATCAAGAGCGTGGGTCACCTCAACAACTAGCAGGGCACTCCACGTTGTATTCCTGAACCGTTACTCCTTAGTGTGGTAGCGGGAGCGGGTAGTGGCAGGGGTGTGATCCCTGGTCCACCAAGGAACTTTCAACACCAACACTTGATGATCCCAGGGTTAGCGGTGCTTGTCCAAGGAGAGATACTGATCTTCGCCCGTTGGTGCTAGAATGCTACCCTGTCATTGTAGCCGGGTCGTTGGAACACTAGGCCGGCCGTTTCAAACGTCTGTTAGCTTGGGCGCTCTTGTTCTAGTAGCTTTCTGTGGCAAGGACCGTATTGATATCCCTTCACAAAGCGTCGTCATTGGCGTGGTTAGTTACGGATAATGTTGTTGTGCTTCCTCTGGGATGGATAGTACTCTCCGTGCAATGCAACATGTAATAGCTGTAGAAGCAATGTCAATTACTGTGGTCCACATTCACCTCGGTCCCAACAGCCTGGACACAGGCACCTTATCGGTAGTTATTATCCTCAGGGGCTTAGTGCTAAAGTTGCTGGAAGAGATGATAGTTATAAAGACTGGTGGCACTTTCGTTTACTGGTATTGCGTGGTGATACTTTAGCTGGTCTCGACTTGTCATACTTGCATCCTTAGACTCAGTCATCCTCAATCATGCGTTTACTTTCCCTTTCCCTCCTGGTGGCCACGGCTCTATCGGCCTTTGCCAATGCTGCCAGCTTTGCAGATCTGGCGGCACAGATACCCGCCTGCGATGTCAGTCAGCCTTCACCCTCATGCAATGCATGCCCCTTGCTAACATGCTTGGCAGCTGAAATGTGTGCAACAAGCTCTGCCAGAGTCACCATGCTCCATGACAAACACGACATGTCTCTGCACTGACCCAATATTCGCTAGCTTGACGCAAGCTTGTGTTCTGGAAAAATGCACAGTCAAGGACTCATTGAGTAAGTTGATATTTTCGATGAAGGCTTGGATACCTACTAACAATCTCAGCTTTGATGAGAGTCCAAAATATGGCTTGTGGCGTTCCAGTCCAGAGCAAGCAGATGGAGTTCAGGATCAATGCTATTATAGCATGTATCATTGCTGAGATCGCTGTGATACTCAGGATCTACTCCAAGGTTACTATCCTCGGCAAGCTGGGCATTGATGACTATTTCATCATGATAGCAGCTGTGAGTTTGGCAGGGCGCCTTTGTGAGACCATTCACTGACATACCTGTAGTGTGCTACAGTACCGTACATATGGCTTGCTTGTAGACGTAAGTTTCTTGTGGCAGCCGTTGCAGATTGTCACTAACATCCCCTAGTCGCTGATCTTGGGTTCGGTCTGAACATTTGGGATATCACTCCCTTTGATCGCTTGTACGAATTACTGAAATTGTTCTGGATCGATCAGATCATGTACAGTGTTCATCTGTACAGTACCAAGCTCTCCATTCTCTTCTTCCTACGTGGCATCTTTACAACACCAGAGTTCAAGAAATTGACATTGATGATTGGAATTTTCGTGGCTCTCTGTGGTGCCGCGACCATGATCACCACAGCTCTACAGTGCTTGCCCGCGAGCTACAACTGGACGAGTTGGGATGCGGAGCACAAGGGCCATTGCAATGATCTCAATTCGCAGACTTACGCCTTTGGTGGTATCAACATGATCTGCGACATTGTCATCCTGCTTTTGCCTTTGCCTCACTTGATGAAGCTGCAAGTCAAGCATCGTCAAAAGGCTCAGCTTTTCGTCATGTTCTCTCTTGGTATCGTGTAAGTCTCCCCTGTTGGTATATGGGTCCTCGGCTTGAGCTAACTCCATTCGTCAGTGTCACCGTGTTCAGTATCATCCGCCTACCCTTCCTCATCACCCTTGGTAAAACCACCAATCCAACATGTAAGTCATCATATCTCACATTTTCACGTCTCGTACTAATATCAATAACAGGGGAATACGTTGAAGTCACCATCTGGTCCATCTGGGAAACAGAGCTTGGCATGGTCTGCGCAAGCCTCCCAGCTATCCGTCACCTCTGCAAGCATTTCTGGCCGAACGCGATGGCTACGATAGCTTCAAAAATGAGCTTCACGGGCTCCAACAAGGACTCTAATCTTGATAAGAGCGCTGGCAGCTGGCCTGGAAGCCGTGCCACGCGCTCCAAGACAGATAACAAGTCTTACTATGAGCTCGATGAGCGGAGTTTAATCGGCAAGGGTCCAGATCCTGCCACCAACGTAAGCACCACCAACGTGCATGCTACGCAGTAGACCAGGCGTTGGACTTGCAGGGCTAGTTAGGTAGTGTTTTCTTTTGCTTTTGCCTTTTCCAAAGAATGGTTGTATTAGTATTCAGACAAAGATCTTTATTACCGCTCGCTGCGGGCTTAAAATGGAATTAAAAAGTAGTCAATGCGTTGAACATCTACAGTCCCAACGTGAATGAAACAAGTGGTCAATATTTGCATCCTTCCTCTATTGAACGCCTGTTAAGCTATTGCTTGGGTTTAGGGTAATTACAGCACGATTCTCAGTTGTCGGAGAGAGAATTGTGAGCCCAATGTTATCCTCAACTGTGTCTGTACGTAGTAAGACTTTTTAGTTGCTACCTCGATCGTAATCATCTTATCGTATATCATTTATCAATACACAGAACTCTCTCAATGAGTCAAGCCGTGATTGACTCCATCGTATAATTTTGCTCTATACCACACTATTTTCCCTTTTGCTCCTTCAAATTCAGTCTCCTTTCATCCGCAACCCTTGTCTGTCAACCACGGTCCCTTGTCCCTGTTGCCAAAAAGTCTCTTTACCACACGTTCCTCTGACAAGACTTCACTACCCACAGGGCTCGGGATATTAAGACCTGCAATTGTGCACTGACGCCGCAAGCGCTATTGAGCGGGCCGTTTGGAACCCTATCTTGACCTTGTATCTTGAACAAGGATCCTGTGGTATTATACACCAAGAGCGGCTAGAAGGATCCATCGACAGCCCCAATGTTGATCCACTGACAAGGAGTGTAAAAGTAAAAGTCAGACCACCTCTGCATATTGAGCATACAGGGCTGAGAGATTGATTGAGGGTCCTTAAAACGTTTCAATATTACCAGAAACTCGGGTTCGCCGTTTGTTGAGATGATGACATCCATGCAAAGGGGATCTTAAGAAGAACTACCTTTCTTTCTGAACTACAAGGAACGTAAATTTGCAAATGCTGTGCTGATCCTGCCCTTTTCTCCAGCGTTCAATGTAACCTTCTAGTCGCCTAACCTTCCCCGCGAGCAATACTACCCTCTCAACGTCGCAAGCCAACACAGTGAGGTGGCATCAACATGTTGGCTCATTTCCCATCTGCATGAGGCTATGTAACTCTGAATTCTGAGATCTGGGAGAAAATATTTCTAGTCACGTTAGCACACATATCCGTGAGTCACAATAACTTTACGATTTAGATAGAAATGATAAACCTTCAGGATGAACAATATCATGCAACGAACCTTAACCACGAACATTGGCCTACCCAGAAAAGCCAAATGGCAAGCAACAAAGGGAAACAAATTCTGGAGAGTGATCTGCAGCTGTCATCCCAAGCTTGCTCCACAAACGTCACCAACTGTAGTCCGCCTTACTGATTCCCACGAACCAGTACAGGGTTCTCCTAGACTGCCTGTCAAATCAAGCAATCACTGACTGGGGCATGTTTCGCCTGCGGAACCTTTCAAGCCTGTTGCGGAACCCTGGCTCAGTGAGATTCCCATGTATCAGCGTCACTTTGAGACCCACTGACAGTGAAATCCTCAGGACTGATGCCCAACACCCCAGCCATACTCTGGTAGGATTCCTTCACTGTAACTCTTCAGTTCAAGGTCGATCCAAATTATCTTGCCTCCAAGTTTGATGTAGCTGGCCTCGGGGAGCTTCCATAATAGTCCGATGGCACTGTTGGAAAAGATTTCAAAATTCAATGTAGTTATCATATCATGCATCTCGAAGAACATTTCTTGTCATTGGAACCATTCTCCAAGCTTTATGTTGACAATCTTTAAATGTACATGCAAATCTTTTGGGTGAAGCCAATTCACGCTATAAAAACGAATCGTGATCGAAGTAGGGAGGCAGGATGCAAAGCTGACTCCTCAGAAAGCGCTTTTTGTTCAAAGGGGAGTATAAAATGGGTCCTCCATGTTACAATGACCGGGACGAAGTTGAATTCCGTTGCCAAAACACATGATTCCAATACCGTGGAACAGACTGTACGTACAAGGATTAGGGCCCCTTTCTCAGAAGCACCGTTGTGTAATTATCAGTAAGTTTCTTCTCAACATAGTGGATTGATCTGCATGGCTCAGCTATACGGGCTGATACGCATAGCGCCGCCCCGGGGACCGCCAAGGGTTAACAGTTCCGCAGGAGTTGCCGTTCCCCAGCAGTCTATTACGCATGGTGAGCTGATAAGCCATCACCACTCGTTCGGTAACCTTGGATAATCATCCGATGCTCCCGATTAGCAGTTGGTATATGACATTGATAACGCTGCTCTGAACGCCTGTATCTGGACCGCCGTTATCTTCCCCAGTCCGAGGTCCATCCGTCATTTTTCAACCGCTCTTTCTCGCTTATACCTACTTTCATTCAAATCCCACCCTATCAAATGACCATGGCTTCTGCTGAGAAGCAGCCTTCCAGCAGGCCTGGATGTCTTTCGCTTACTCGTTTCCTGAGATTCATTTCTTCCGAATACCGCATTCTCTTTACATTAGTTTTCTGTTCAAATCTCATAGGCGCCATCGGCTTTCTTTGGCTGTGGTGGCTCAATGGGAAGCCCGATTCATCAACTTGTGGTCTGGCAACATCGATCAATCTTGTTGTATCCATCGCCATTCGAGAAGAGCACATCGTCAACGGCCTCTACTACATCTTCACTTCTATTCCTACAACATGGCCGCTATGGATGAGAGAGCGAGCAGGCAAGATCTATCACCTTGGTGGTCTTCACAGCGGCTGTGGTGTGGCTGCGGCATTCTGGTTCATCTTGTACTCGATCCAAAAGAGCAGTAGTTTCCATGAGGCTGAAACTCGTGATCCTGTCATGTGGGCTCATATTGTCATGGTCTATCTACTGGACTTACTTCTTACGGCGATGCTGGTTATGGCATATCCATCAATCCGTGCCAAAATACACAACGCTTTCGAGGCTGTTCACCGATTCGCTGGTTGGTCTACTCTTATCCTGTTATGGGCTATGACGATTCTTGAGGCAAAGCTCGGTACACCGCCAGGTGCCTCACTTGCTGCTTCCGTCTTTTGCAGTGCTAATATCTGGCTGCTTTTTATTGCGACATTCTGCGTCGTTTCAACTTGGCTCAACTGTCGCAAGATTGAAGTTGAATCTGAACGACTCTCAACACACGCTCTCCGAATGTACTTCAACTATGCCAACCCTCAGCCTGGCACAACCATTCGTCTCTCTTCCCGCCCTTTGATGGAGTGGCACGCATTTGCAACTGTCAACAACCCTAAGGAGAACGGGTTTTCAGTTGTGGTTTCCAACGCTGGCGATTGGACCAACAAGCTCGTCACCGACCCTCCTCGCTATATCTGGGCTCGGCGCACACCCACATGTGGTGTTCTGCGCATTGCTCCCATGTTCAAGAGTATTGTTTTGGTGGCTACTGGCTCAGGTATTGCTCCATGTCTCCCAGTGATTCTGGCAAAGCAGACCAAAGTCACCCTTTTCTGGTCAACTCGAGACCCCTTCAAGACTTACGGACCAAATATTGCCTCCATCATCGAGGAGATGGGAGATGACGCACATATTCACAACACTTCAACAATGGGAAGGCCAAACACTCTACCTACAGTTCTTGACTTGTATAAAAAGACGGAGAGTGAGGCCGTGATAGTTATTTCAAATCCCAAGCTTACCATAGATCTGGTCTTGGATCTACAAGCTTTGGGTGTTCCAGCATTTGGCCCGATCTGGGACTCTTAAATATCTGTTTCTACCATACATTACCAGCGCTTAGACATAATAGAATTAATAGAATGACGTTGTGCTCACTCTTTCATATAATCGAAAGTGTACCTCCAACCATTGAGACAATTCAAGTTGAACTTTTCCTTAACAAAGAAAGTCATCCAAAGTATCATTTTGATATTTGCATAAGAGCCCTTTTCTACTCACCATACCCAACTATCAGACTTCTTATTAAGCTTAAGTACTCTTCTTTCCAAATAGAGTTTGAATCGATGTCTAGATCTCTCTGTGCTTTCGGGACAACTTTACCTTATCTTCAATACAACCATAAAGAAAAGCTTGATTTAGGTGATCTTGACCCATCGCGTTCGGCGAAGCTTTGAGCAGAGATCCTGAGCTAGTCATTTCATCTTATGGCAAGCTTCTCAGATCCTTCTACCAGATATTCCATGACTCAATATACGAGATCATGCAACCTTGACTTACGGTTCCGTAACCTCGGATGACACTATGCCCTCAAGGATGATACCGGCAGTTTGTAAAAACATTGCCACCCGTTCTTGTTAGACTAAGGAATACTGCTAGGATCTACCATTCTTCATGGAAAGTCCCTTACCATCGCTCATCTTCACTTGCCTTGGCCAAGATACTACATCACTCTCACCGCTCAATTCTTCGTTCCAAACCCAATAGTCTGGGATACGTTTTTCCGTCGTTTATCCAATATGTAGATCCTCCTTACCGTTGTAACCTCGACCCAGCTGGCTGGACCCTGGGGCCTGTGGGTTGCAATACCGATGGGGTCGGGCAAGGTTACATCTGCCGGGTCGTCCTCACCACGAACCCTTGCAAAGCCCAGCAATTCGTCAAAGACTCCTAGACCTCGTACCAAAATTCACGTTGACGATCGCTATTACTAGTCTCTGTCCTGAAACTCCATAGCCTCGGTGAACTCGAAATTTTCATGGCTCCTACGCGTTCCTTTACGGGACTTGGGGGCTCTGGCGGGGGCAGTGATGACGATATTGGCTTTGGCAGGACGAATAAATAGTGACATCTTCTCACCCAGATCTGACTCTTCAGTTCATCCTGGTTCTTAAGACAGCTTCTTAGTTTCCCGCTGCACATCTTCCTCGTCTATCACCGTCACAATGGCTAGCAAGTCGGTCACAATCACTAGGCGACATAACACCCCCATTTCGTTGCATACTTCAACACAATGGATAGAAAATAAGCAAACGGACCATGATTCCGGTAAGCACCCCTGAACCAACAGCATCCACTTCCACGTGTGGCTAACACTGAGGTAGTATACAATGCACAAGAGGACAAGTCGAGCTTCATGCAGAGGCTCGCTTACCACTGTGTCACATTATGGATGTTCACAAAGAGTGATATGCCCACCTCCACTGGCATCAACACCACGTTTGCTATCGCAGGGATTCTGGCCGGCCCAGGAACCATCTGCAACGCAGATATCCACTGGTCAGATATGGGCAAAGGGATCCTTGTGGCTCTCTACTTTACCTGGCATTTGACCTTGTGTTTCAATCTCGGAAACCAACGTCAGCCTCAATCTGTCATCGAGGATGGCGCAAACAAGCCTTGGCGACCCATTCCAGCTGGTCGAATCTCACCTGAGTTGACCCATCTGTGGCAGCTGACGGCGATTGCAACACTCCTGGTGTTGTGCTACACTGTCATGGGGGGCTGGCAAGAGACTTGCTTCTACCTCTTTTGCACATGGCTCTACAACGAGCGTGCTTGGGGTGACAAGAGCTGGTGGCAGCGCGCCCTGATGAATGGTTGTGGAATCACCACCAACCGCGTGGCAACTCTCCGTGTAGCTGTCATGGCCATCCAGGCCAACACGGATGTTGACTTCGAGTTCACCAACAAGGGTCTAGGCTGGTTTCTAATGTCTGCCGCCCTGGTCGTCACCACCATCCAGGTTCAAGACCTGCGCGACCAGGAAGGCGACAAACTGATCGACCGCCAGACCTTTCCACTAATTCTTGGCGACGCCCCGACACGCTGGATCACGGCTACGGCTGTTTGTATTTGGTCCGCGGTCTGCCCCCTTTACTGGGGTCTCGGCGTCGTGGGCTGCATGCTGCCCATGGTTACTGGGGCTCTTGTAGCAGCACATATGCTCATCTGCCGCACTCGTAAGAGTGATCAGACAAGCTTCCGACTCGTGGCAGCTTGGTGGGTCTCACTCTATTTCCTCCCCATGATGAGTGCGCGAGGATTGTAATGAGGGGTTAGGGAAGAGTCATAGTTTGTTATCGAGTTCAAGCATTTGTAAAGGGTTCCCAACGGGAGGATAACCTCACCATACGGATTAGGTCATGGATACGAGTTTTTGGGGGATTTATGGAAGAGATATTGAGATTGTATTGATGGTGGTTCGTTAAATAGAATAGGAAGCTCAATGAAGAAAAAAGTGAAAAAGTACCAGTTTTGCAGCCGCTCTGATCAACTGTAAATCATGTTACATGTTGAGTGATGCTGTAAATGATAACGACTTCGTAGAGATTGATGGATGAAAGCTTGGAAGATCATAGGTGGATCGTAGACAAAAAGCGGGGTATGCGACAGGAGGAAAATAAAAACAAAAAAACAGCTCCCCGAAACCTGGATCGAACAAGTGACCTTTCGATGACATATAACAATTACAGTCGAACGCTCTTCCAGCTGAGCTATTCGGGGATGATCTCCAAATCTGGAGGAATAGCTATTGTTGCAAGCTCGTCAACAATTATTGCCTATATAGATTTTACACTCCAGCCGCTCAGTGTATCGCCATAGGGTAGCCCCATCGCACTTTCTCGTCGCATTTCTACAAGCCAAGCCAGAGAATACTCGTCGAACACTTTCAAATCTCTTTTGGATCAGCTAGTTGAGGGTATTCTAGCATTTTTTTTTTATCTCCAATCGGGCACCTCAACGCCAGTGAAAACGTGTCAATTCCGTGACGTAAAGATTTGAAAAGACGGCACCGACGATAGTCCAAACTCATTTTTTTGGCCGCGCCAAAAAAAAAACCCATATTGCCATTTTCCGATACAGCAAAAACGTCTTGATACCAACGAACTTCTACCTGAACGTGAACTTTGACTGTAATTTTGGAACTCGAAAGAATCTCGTCATGTGCTGATAGGTGCCCGCTCATGAGGAGGGCCTCAGATGAATTGATTGGGGGAGTGCCAATAAGCTGCTTCAACGCATCATGTATCCAGACGTGGGAGGGTCACCGGTAATTGCGGCGCATTTCCCATTTTCCAGTTTCTGTCCTTTTTGTCAAGAAACACTTTTTCACGCACTTGACCCTGCCTCTTGCTACGACACATTCGCCATCTTCTAAAATGTCTCCGACACAAAACATGCCGAGCCCAGTGACTCCAGCATGGTGGAAGGAGGCATCGGTCTACCAAATCTACCCTTCTTCCTTCAAAGATACCAACGGAGATGGTATTGGCGATATTCCCGGCGTGATTGAGAAACTGGACTACTTCAAGCAATTGGGTGTCGATATTGTCTGGCTATGTCCTGTTTACCCATCGCCCCAGATCGACATGGGATACGATGTGTCTGACTACCGCGACATTGATCCTCAATATGGAACCATGGCTGATGTTGAACGGCTAATTGAGGGTTTGCACGCTCGAGGGCTGAAGTTTCTGATGGATCTTGTCGTCAATCATACCTCTGACCAGGTAAGCATCTTTACGTTTTATCTACTGGCATCGCTCACAATTGTACAGCATGAGTGGTTTCAACAATCAAGATCATCCCGCGACAATCCCTATAGGAACTGGTACATCTGGCGTAAGCCTCGCTACGATGAGAACGGCGAGCGACAACCTCCCAACAACTGGCTCTCTTGCTTTAGTGGTTAGTTTTGAACCTGATTCTCTCTTCTCGTTAGTTTTTAACGTCTTGTAGGTAGCGCATGGGAGTACGACGCAGCGTCTGATGAGTATTACCTCCACATATTCGCCAAAGAACAGCCTGACCTCAACTGGGAACATCCTCCTGTGCGTGAAGCCGTGCATGACATCATTCGATTTTGGCTGGACAAAGGCGTTGATGGATTTCGGTATGTACCAGCCCTGCCCTTGTCTGAAGTTTTCTAACTTCTCAGGATGGACGTGATCAACTTCATCAGCAAATCTGATGGATTGCCGGATGCGCGAATCCGAAACCCTGGAGCCAAGTACCAATGGGGTCATGACCATTACGCTTGCGGTCCTCGACTCCACGAGTATCTCCGTAACATCGGCACGATTCTTAAAGAGTACAATGCTTTCTCTGTCGGCGAGATGCCTGCGGTGGAGGACCCTGAAGAAATCATCAAGAGTGTTGGGGAAAGCCGCGGCGAGCTGAACATGATCTTCAACTTTGGGATGTAAGGCGACACCGGGTTCATCATTTCGATACAGACTAAGCTAACCGGCTCTTGATAGCGTTGACATGGATCACGGCGACCAAGGAAAATTCTCGCCTCGAAAATGGGAGATGAAGGTTCTGAAGGCAATTGTCAATAAGTGGCAAACGTTCATGTACAAGAACAGGGGCTGGAATGCTTTGTATCTTGAGAATCACGACCAATCTCGCACTGTCAGCCGATGGGCATCCGACAAGCCTATATACCGTGCGCTATCAGCGAAAATGCTAGCCACTTTTCTCTGCTTCCAAAGCGGAACAGTTTTTGTCTATCAGGGAGAAGAATTGGGTATGGCCAATATGCCGAAAGACTGGGAGATGAGCGAGCATCGTGATCTGGAAACGTTGAATCATTGGGAAGAGTAAGACCATACTATCGTTTCACTTGTGTAATCGCTGATATAAGTCAAGGCTGAAGCAGATGACGGGTTCGAAGGCGGCAGTTCTCGAGATTGCTCGACAGGAGTATCAGCTCAAGGCGCGAGATAATGCACGAACACCAGTGCAGGTAAGTAGTGAAGACTTACGGAAGGGAATTTACTGACAGCGATTTAGTGGGATGGCACGCCCAATGCAGGATTCACAACGGGTACGCCCTGGATCAGAGTCAACGACGACTACAAGACATGGAACGCAGCAGCACAAGTCGCGACACCAGGTAGCGTTTTTGAGTACTGGCGATCTGCGCTCACGCTGCGAAAGGAACTGAAGGATATGATCATCTATGGTGATTTTGAGATGCTCGATGCAGAGAATGACGATATCTTCGCATATGCACGATCAAATGGCAAGCAAAAGGTGGTGGTTGTTTGTAGCTTCCGGGACCGAGATATTGAGTGGCCGATACCTGCTTCTACAGACTTGCAGTTGAGCAAAGTTTTGTTGTCCAACTACCCCGATGTTGATATATCGCAGGATGCGATCACCGTCCGCCCATTCGAGGCTTTTGTTTGTCTTGTTGGCTGAGCGTCAGGGTGTCTGAAGACATGGCGGCAGAGAGCAAGAGACGAAATAACTTGGTCACCTCATGTCAGCTTGGAACTGCACTTAGGCTACTTTATTTTGACGCCCTAAACCTTGGAAGACAATTCTCCTGTCATGCGGCTGCTGAGAGGAAGCAAGTCCGTAGGATCCATTTTCCCTTGATCCTGAAAGAAATAAATCTCTGAATTGAGTTTGAGCGACATCGACAAGATCCGTAATTGTCGCGACAAGTGTGTTCTATGCTCGCTGTTGATTGAGATGCATTGAACATTGGAAAATAATTGTTAGTGCATATCTCCACTATCTTTCACACGCAGCCAATTGTTGGTGGGTTACTGATAAGCTTATCAGCTGCCGAGTGCTGGGGAATGTCCACCGTCTCGAATTGAAGGCGCCAGCTACCATCATTCTGGCTGCAACGCTCTGTTGCACCTGGCTCTATTCGGACACAATTGAACGACTGTCACTGGGAACTCAGGCTCAAGAAACCGCGGGCACTGTGAAGATGGGCATTGACAGTCTCGTCTGCTTGTGGTGTTTTGCTACGGACCTGACGTCATGTACAACGACGCGTCTGTCATTGCTTCACCATTGCTAACTCCCCAGAGCCGCCATGTGATGCCCATTTGTCGCTAATTACTCTAGGTGATTGTCAGGTTACTTTCTTCCATGAGTTTGATGGTAATACATGCTTTCAATGCTTCTGCCGATATAATGCTATCAGTCACTCCGCCGAGCAGCTGACGGCCACCTGTTTGGCACTGCTACACCATTGCCGAACAAACACCAAGCGCGGCTGGCTGCTGTTTACCTGAAATCCTATCACCAGCGCGTTTGTTTTCACCGTTGCTGCCCTCCATCATGGAAGCGCTGCTCGCAACGAGACTTCTGCATGGTCTAGAGTCATGCTCTGGAGTTGCTCACAAACACAGATCGATCGCTATCCATCGCAGGAAACCCGCAACACCACGACACTCGCCGTCCCCCGATACTTACATTGCGTAGCACTTGGTCGCTGGCTTTGCGCTCGCTCGCCGTTATGCTGGAGCCTCGAGACTTGACCCAGGCCAAAAGGTCCAAGATCTATTGGGAAAAAATATGCCTACCTCCAACCCACACGATACCGGAGCTGGCCTTCAAGAAACCCAGCTCGAATAGTCCAGTCATAACGCTGACTGAAGCCGATCTCGATCGAGTGAAGAAACTGATCAGCCCTCCAGATACGCCTTCCGAAAGACTGGAGATTCCGGAAGAGCTCGCGGATTTGAAAGCCGAGGACCTGTGGAGGTACGACCCGATGACCTGGACGCTCAGGTACTGCACAGATCTGATGGAAGCACCAGAAGATCCTGGTAAGGTCATTTCCTATTTTCTTCGCCGTCGACTGACACAGCTGTTCAGCGCCTGAAGTACTCCCACCCGCACTCCGACTCGTCCACGTCCGAAGCGACGCCCCGTACAGTATAAGAAACCCCGCGGCACTTCCCCCGATTCCCGAAGAGAAGGCTTTAGACGCTCCCGAAGAGTTGTCGCATGAGAAACAGATCCGCGCCAATCGTGCAAACTCCATCGAAGGCGACGAACCACTCAATCATCACTACGAATCGGATGCCGCGCTGCGAGAGTCGAGAAACCAGATCGCGCGGGTAGACCAAACGAACGATAAGATCAAGGAGTATATTGCAGACTTGAGTCTAAAGTTCGAAGCTTTCAGGGCTGAGCAGAAGTGGCCTTGAAGTATTGACATTTGCGTGGAAGATGGGTTTCCAAGTTGTGAATGGGCTTGGGCGCAAGCTCTACGGCTAGAAGACGATACCCCGATAGATCACTTTACAGTGTCTTGTGACGATGGATACTCGTATCATAGGGATAATTTATTCGCCTACTGAACGTGCCAAGTTGCCATATTGTGCCTCAGTAGCTATAAGTGACCAGCGCCAATGACATTGCTGTCGCGCCTCCGAGACAAGTCGCCGAACCGAGACGTCGGAGTCGAGCGTGAACAATCGTGGCAGTTCATGCATGTGAATATGTGATCTTGGAAGCTCTGTAGACCAACCAGCTCTAGTATGGCTATGGGGTTGGACAACGCGACGGTTGACTTGAGTACAAAACAATTAACAATATCCCGAAGCCACCGGTATCCCGTACGCTAGATTCCACTTCTTAAAATCGCTCTCTAGTCGTCGTCTTTAGGACAGGGTAGGTGGTAATGTTTAATGCTGCGCTTTTGTGACTGCCCAGCCTTGGAGAGTCTTGGCCAGCGACCAACACAATGATCGAGGTGCCAGGTACCAACAGCTTTCATGTTGGATCGTCGTTGCATTCGGTAATCTTATTTGATAACTCAAACATACTTCTGCAGCTTCAGCCACCTCATCATCAGAACAAATGGTCATTGCCCCCAGCCATATCACAGCAACACGCCACATTAGGGCCTCCCTATTAGTGTGGAAGGCTAGGCGTCACTTGCACGCATGTAAAAGCAACAGAGGATGACTAACACCTGCCTCGGTAGTCACTGCGCTACACAATATATCACAAAAGCCTCCCAACCTTTGAAGAAGAGGGACTTTGTGCGATGCTGGGAATTTGACCAATATCTACCCTGTATCATCACAGCAACCTTCTGTGATGTGTCGAGATCCCACTGGCAAACGCGGTTGATCATGAGTTGCACTACAATTCTGCAAGTCTGCTGGCAGAAAGATCCCTGCTCGAAGCTATGCATGTCTCGGATAAAGATGCAGGACTTATGGGACAGTGCTGCATCATTGTTGATTGTACTGATGGTGTTGATGATTGGCACATCTACCAATGCGCGTACCGCATCTCTTCATGGCGACAGAACGAGCCCCTAGTTTCGAAGCGTACCATAACATTGATTCTTAGTGTTAGAAATGGTAATCGCAAGTAATGGATGCTCCGCAGACACATGTTGCACGACTACAAAAGTGTGCCAATTCTGATGGAAGCCGAGGTGAAATGGCCTGACCATCTCAGCCCAATCTAAGCGGGCGGGGACAAAATTATCAGAGGCGGGGCACTGTAGCTAAGCCCTGGGGATCTAAGATTACCTTCCGGCCCCGCGACGGCCGCTAAATCTTTACCGCGGACATCAATCAATCAATGCTTATCACCTCAATACCACGAAAAATCATTGTCAAGAATCGCGAATGAGGGTCTAAATTTGGTGAAAGCGCCTCCAAATCATTACCATCGTCAATCATGATTTGATCCGTTTGCCCGATCGTTGGGCCTTCAAGTTCGCCAGATGATCTACGGCGGATTTGAGGCCTTGTCGCGCCCGACCCTTAAGATCAACAAACAGCGCCGCGCATTATCTCAGGGCATGCTCCTTGTGATCCAATAACTCTTCGGGCAAAAACAACAACAGAGCAGACCAACAGCGATGTCTGATGCGACAAGAAGGGTGCAGATCTTTATCATTGAAGATCATCTCGTCGTAAGGCTGTAAGACCCCCAGTCCCAATTGCACACTCGTCTGCGGCAGTCTCCAATTTGCGCTTCGTTGCGACCCCCGAGCGACTGCGTGGACCATGGCGCAACCGCCAAATCCGAGTTCGCGTAAGCAGCTGTATTCGACAATTGAAGGTCAGTCTGATGCTGAGGCTCGTCGGAACCCGAGACACGACTCTCCTGTGGATATCGTCGATGGATAACTGACCAGCGCCATCGGTTAGAGCGTGGTAAGTAACTCCCCCAATCTGATCTCTCTTCTTACGACGATCACCATTTGATTGTAATGTGCTGACTGTAGGCCAAGTTTTCATCCGTGACCGCATTGTCTCCGACTCTGATAGGGCTTGCAACGCCGCCAGAGACACCCACGCCGCGAGACCGAGGCCCGCACCCGGCGCGAACGGATTGCTGGTATGCCGTTAATGATACGTACATGACCATGTGCGAGACGTATTGACAGGCTTTTCTACAGATTCACCACATAAACCCTGGATGCCCGCAAGCGTCGCTTCCGTTCCCCCGCCTATGGGAAGAATACGCCAAAGCCGCCCGAGCGGAAGTCGAACGGACGCGAGCCCTCCAAATACCCAGCGACCGCATCGAACCACCGATACCCTGTTTATAAGGCTTCAGAATGGAGGCTCTTCGACTGGGACTGCATTGATCTCCTAAACCAATAGGACTCTCCTAATCCAATGGGACAACAGGAGCGACGATACCTGGACGTGCACCAAGACATGGCGCCATTGTTCATATAGTTCTGGAGGAAACAGGGAGGCCACGAGAAGGTAACGTAAATGCACAAGCATCGCGTCCTTAAAATCCTGGGGTCGCGTGTAACAGACCTCAGTCCCAGTGCCAATGGATTGGATACGCGACGGCAGAGTCAACGTGGGAGGACTAGGATAAAGTTACATCCATCGCGCTGTTGCAGTTTGTACGGTAGCATTCCATTACCGGACCGACGATGTCGTCGCCTAAATAGAGTTTACAAGAAACTGGAACTCTTTCGGCCACCGTTTCAGCGGCTCCATGTTTATGCTTGTTCTGTCTCCACGGTCGGCTTCGTACGGAATACGGTGGAGTCTATGCTCGCGCCCTGTTAAGTGTTGGTTCAATTGTCTTGTTTAGAACAGTTTAATTTAGCATAGAAGCGTATCAATTGGTAACTCATTGGCTCTCCATTAAAGGGATTATTCGAGGGAACCCTGTTTGGCTCGAAGGATCTACCACAATACTGTAACAGCGGGTAAAGCAACCTCCGAGCCTGAGGTGATCGACAACTGCCGACACAAGGACGAACGACCCTTGTAGAAACCCCTGTTTTCGCTAAAGAAAGTGATGGAGACACCATGACTCGCCCACTGACTTGACCAACCTGGGCTGTAGTCGCTGCTGTCTTAACGTTCGACGGTTGATGCTAAGCTTGTCACTACGTTTTCCAAGCTGACGCAACTGTCTCAAGTCTTACTCATAGCCTCGTACATCAATTCCCGCTTACCTGTCATCTATCACCCTCTTTCATCGTCTGATGGTCGCGTGGGAGGAGAATGCAGAGTCGCATTGTCCCTCCTCAGATCTCTTGTCCTGCACATTTTCTTTTCTTCAACGATGGGGATTTGCTCGCCTCACCGACTGTGCCCGCACACGTCCTTATTTCGGTAAACGAGCATGGCGATCCTTCTGGTAGAGATGCAGGAATCCCGGGCCGTTCCTTGTCAATAATCCTAGAGTGAAACCCTAGCATAAACTCAAAAGAGCTCGAAGCCGTTTCGCCATGACTGGTCCTCCCTTAGAAAAGGGAAAGTCCTTATTCGCTGGGGACTCAGTTGTTGGTCCGGTATTTACTGCTGTCACGTCTCAACTTTTCTACGGAGATTTATGGCGATCTTCATCGTATCTGCGAGTTATTATAGACGTATGCGCGTGCGTGTACTGTAGATACTGTCAATTAATTGCCGCAGATGACATTTAGGATGGTTGGCTCTGATCTTCGCTGCCATGGGGCTGTTACCTTCCTCGCCTAAGCTGCAATTCAATCCAGAAGAGTGCCGTGGGATACGAATATCATTACCCCATCTCGGCAGAGCTTTGGGTCAAGCTGACCCCGTACGTACATGCAGATATGCAAACTAGACAGTGCATGCAGTATGCGGACAGGGTGCAGGCATCGGGCTCAATCCTTCACGAGCCAAATTGAGGATTCTCTCCGTTCGACTGTGCACCGTCGACGTTGCAACCCTTAGCTGACTCGCATTGTTGGCGAGTGAGATAGTGAGGATTCAAAAGATCCCCTTGTATCAAGACCCACGCATGTGCAGCCCTGGAGGACAACCAACAGCTGTTTCACTGCAGAAGCTTACGCAGCATGGGTACAAAAAATCGATGCTTGGTTGGCTTGTGATAGTCTTGGATATGGAGGGGCTTTTCCGAGCACCCATATATAGCTCTTGCTCGCATGTCACTTCAGTCATTTTTGAGTTTCGATAGCATTGACTTTCCGTGTTGTTGTTGTCATCATGGGGTTACTACTTCTGCCGGCTGTGGCTTTCGCCATCTTCGTCGTCTACTATGTCCTAGTCCCGAAGAAGAAGACAGGTCTTCCTCTTCCACCTGGACCTAAACCCCTCCCTATCATCGGCAACCTCCTTGACCTCCCACCCACCGGCACAGCAGAGTACAAGCACTGGGCCAAGCACAAGGAGCTCTATGGACCCATTAGCTCTCTTAATGTCATGGGCCAGCCCATGATCATTCTCAACAGCCCAGATGCCATGCATGAGCTCCTCGAGAAGAGGTCTACCAAGACTTCTTCTCGTCCCAGTGCCAAGTTCGGAGGCGAGCTCTGTGGTTTCAGCGTGATGCTTCCTCTTATTCCCTACGGTGACAAGTTTCGATACTACCGCAAGTTGGTGCACCAGCAGATGGGCACCAAGCTGATCTGCTCCGAATTCCGAGACACTCAAGACCTTGAATCCCTTCGCTTCCTGATCCGCACCATTGAACGACCTGAGGACTTCCAAAAGCACATCAAGACGTAAGCTCTATCCCATTAGCGACAAGAACAAAGACTGATCAACATATACTACAGTGAAGCCAGCGCCATCATCCTCCGAATCATCTATGGATACAACATCGAACCCAGCAAGGTCGACCCTCTCGTCAGCCTTATTGAGACCATGATGACCAACTTCGGTGCCGCCTTCGTCCCTCTTCAATGGGCTGTCGACATCATTCCCGGCCTTAATGATCTCCCCGACTGGTTCCCCGGTACTGGCTTCAAGAAGACTGCTAGGGAGTGGCGCAAGGTTACCGACCAAGCTTTGGATATCCCCTACGACTTTGTTATGAATCAGATGGCAAGCGGAACAAACCGACCTTCCTATGTGTCTCAGCTCATGAGCAGCAAGTCTTTCAAGAACGAGAAGGGTACTGGAGAGCCTACTAAGGAAGACATTGACGCTGTCAAGGCCACTGCTACCATCATGTACGGTGGTGGTGCCGATACCACTGTCTCGACCATCAGCAGCTTTGTTCTCGCCATGATCTGCTTCCCTGAAGTCCAGAAGAAGGCCCAGGAGGAAATTGATCGTGTCACCGGTGGTGAACGACTCCCCAACTTTGATGACCAGGAGAAGATGCCCTATGTCGACGCCTTGTCCAAGGAAGCGCTCCGATGGATGCCTGTTGTCCCCACTACTACAACCCACATGACCACTGAAGAGCTCGAATACAACGGCTACCAAATCCCCAAGGGCACCTACCTCATCCCCTCAACCTGGGCTCTCCTTCACGATCCTGAGACATACCCCAACCCATCTGCTTTTGAACCTGAGCGATACATCGCGCCTCGCAACGAGCCTGACCCAAGTGACTTTGCCTTCGGATACGGACGCCGAATCTGCCCTGGTCGTTACCTCGCTGAGGACAGTGTCTTCATGACCTGTGCGCGCCTCTTGGCTGTGTTCAACATGCGAAAGGCTGTTGACGAGAATGGAAAGGAGATCGACGTTGTGGTTGACGGTACACCTGGACTTATCAGCCACCCTGTTGATTACGCTTACAGCATCACTCCCCGAAGCGACAAGCATGTCGAGATGGTGCGAGCTGCTGAAAGAATGAATCCTTGGGAGGAGAGCGATGCCCCTCTTTTGCCTAAGGACTCTTTGGTTTAGGATGCATAGCCTAGTCAGAAAAGAATAAAAAAAGTCAATATCAATGACTAGATGTAACCCTTGTAGTATTCAGTGATGAAGAGTTTTGATGTGACTAACGATGTAGAGTGGAAGAATGTCCCCCAATTCTTAGTAGTAATCTCAATCAGAGGCTCTTAGCTATCTTCAAGGGCCTGATTAAGTGACATGTGTAACATAGTTAAGCTAATTACTGTCACGATGCGCCATGAATCAGCCTTTACTACTTGCAACTGGGCTGATCAAGAGCCAATCCAGCCAAGATTAATGGTAGTGCCTCTTAGACTAGTCGAGTGCATCACAGAACCTTGAAAGAGACAGCATAGTATAAGTCTGCTGGAAAGTCCACCAGTTCTCATCTCACCAACAAATTCACCAGCACAACATCCAAACAACATTACCAAACAAACAAATCTTTCACAAACAACACAAGTTTCCATTCCTCACAATGTGTATTGTCACAATCCCCGGCTTCGAGTGCAAGGTTTGCCACAAAAAGAGGCCAATGCGTGCCAGCGCGAAGACAGAAGAATGCCAGAATAAGAAGGAGAAGAAAGAGTGCACGAAGACTGAGGTTGAAGAGTTGGAGGAGAACACATGCCAAGACTGTGTTCAGGATGAATCTCCTGTTGGCTACACTTACGGATCGACCCCGTATTAAGCATCTATAAGACGTGGTTGGTACCACTTCAGCAGGGTTTGAGGATAAAATTCTTTTCTTAGACAAAAGGGGACGTGGAACTTTCAATAAGACCTTTATTTCTTAAACTCTGCAAGGAAAGTGTGATGTGGATAGCCTGAGCTTTGGGTGATCAATTCAGCAATCATTCCTTGACAAACCGATATTTGAGATAAGGGATCCAACCCTTTGGAAGATCGACCCTCTGGGCAGTAAATGTGCAAGGACTAAACTTCGACCACGTAAAGTCCTCAGAGAAGCCTTCTTCGGTGAATGTCTCTGTGACTTCCTTTCTGCACGGATACTTGAACTGAAGGTTCACCCAACGATCATAAGGAGCAGCGCCCCATGTAATCTCCATCTTATTTCCTCTCAAAGGAAACTTGGAAAAGTCCTTGTTGAAAGCGTCTATGGCGCTGATAAGAGTAGTGAGCGACCCTGTAAGCTCCTTCTTGAAAATAGACTGGATCTGGATAAAGCCATCGCGGACTTTGCGAGACGAAGCAGTCTTGGAAAGCTCTTTGTTGTTCTTCCAGTTCGGGCTAAGCTGATTGTTGACCTTCTTCAGCGCCTCGCGGACTCTGCTCTCGTGCTTGGTGAGGAGGATAAGAGGGATTAGGTTTCTCTTGATGTCAAGTGCGTACATAGGCAGCTCAGAAGTTACCGTGCCAAATCCATGAATGATACCGCGAAGAGTGTTCAATTTGCCGTCGTCGAGGAGATCGTTTAGGTTATTGGGAGCAAGGATGTCAGGTGGAAGGTTGTACGAGGCTTGGATGTTCCCAAGAAAGTTGTAGTAGATATATTTTCTCTTCTCGTCTGCTGTATTCGCAGCAGTAACGATATTCGACAGGTCTTTGATAGCTTGGAGAGTAGTCGCAACTGCATCAAGTCAGTAACAGTCCAAGCTTCTGGGATGGCTAACTGACCGTTCTTGAGATACGTGGAAGCAGTCTTGCCCTTGCATGCATTCTTCGCACAAATGCTCTTCTTGATGGAGTCGACTTTGCTGGAAACGGCCTTGACTCGTGTCTGGACTGTGCTAGCTCCCGACTTGATAGCAGAGATCCGGTTCTTGTATGGAGTAGAAAAAGTCTTTTCCCAATCCTTGAGCATGGTATTGAGTTTGCCGTTTTTGATCTCGGCGCCTCGAGGGATCCATTCGATGAACCAGTTCATGACATTCTGAAGTGAACTCTCCCAGCAGTCACTCGAAACACAAGTTTGATAGGCGATTAGACGTTCGACCAATTCAAAGTACTTTGGTGTAGTTATCTATTGTGGTTAGTCTGCGACATTGGGCGATGATGGTTCTTGGAAAACTACCTCTCCTGCTTTGAGAACCGTCCACCCATCCTTGTTCCCAAGTTGGTCGGTAAGAACAGAGGCTTTGTTGTTCTGAATTGTACGACCTTGACCTGTCAGTTCCTGTTCTAGGATTAGCGATGCCAGCTCCAATGATCATAGCACTGCATCCAAATTGATCGATGCATACCTCCTCGATACCAAGAGCACGAGCCAAGGGGATGTACTCTGCATCCTTGAGTATACCATCGACCCATACAGATTTGTCGGTCTTGATAGCAGTCATAGCTTCCGGTGCCCGACGGCACCATGCAGTATAACCGCCAATGTAATTGGCATCCCTGGGCAAAGCCGCTTCGACCAAGTCGCATATGTTGCGGTTAGTGGTCAGAACCTTGACACCGCAGGGACTTGTGTCGAAGCATGCTGTGATGGGCTCTGAGCCATAGGGAACTTCGATGTATTCTTCGCAACCATACACGCCTTCGGTGGATTTACAGATTGCGTTGAGATCTTGACCTGGTCCTGCAAGAACTGGGGTCACCAGGACTGAGGCCAGAAATGGGAGAGATTGGTAGCGACGCATGATTTGGACAAAGAAATAAGGATACAAAAAAGCAGTAAGCAATTGAGCAAGGATTTAGGCTAAGTATAACATTTGTCAACAGGCGAGCGCAAATCATAGACATCATAGTTCTCAGCAGAACATCTTTCAGCTGAAAACACCCTTGATGTTGGTGACATTCAGCCCTACTGTCTATCGTCAGCCACAGTAGCCAATTCATTCCACAGTAGCCAATTCATTCCACATTACGAAATTGGACACTGCCAATCACCCAAACCGGGTAGTTGATTTGCTGGCAGTTGCTTCTTTAAACGAAGCTGGCTTTTTAACCTTAATTCTGGACGCCACGAGACTGGTCCAGACTACAAGGTTTTGGCCCTTGCATGAAGAGCTCCACCAGGACAGGTACAAGCGCGTTTTTGAAAAGACGCTGTCTGCCTTGAGCAATCCATCTAAGAAGTAGCTCCAGTGTATGTTTGGGGGGCTGAGTACTTTCATCGCTGGGTGAGGTCATGCGCCCTGATCTGCCAGACCGCTGCTCCGTCTGCTAACGGAGATTGTGGACAAGGCGCGGCGACACAGCCAGCATAGCTCTGGTTACTCAAGCACAAGTACACAAAAGTCTAATGCAAGCTTAATTGCAATGACTGACATAATCCACCGATCACCCGTTAGGCAAAATAGTTATTCCGTTATGTCCGGTTCGGCACAACGACTTCGCGTCGGAAAGTAACCCCCCGAAAGGAATCAAGCAACTGATTTACCGGCGGCAAGATTGCAGTCTGTAAGGAAACAATCATGTTCAAAGGTACAGCTTTTAAACTGCATCGCGACTGTGTAGATTCGTAATCTCTGTAGAGACAACGTAGTACAGGCGCGCCAAGTGTCTATTCTGAGTTCTGACAACACCATAAGACCATCCACTGCAGTCTTCTATATGTTAGTCGCCCTGACACATTTCATTGCTATGCTCTGATAGGATAGATTGAACGTGATCGATCCATTTTTATCGGCTTCTTAATTGCTTTACCCGTGTTTGCTACAATTAAGTGGTCCAAAACTGTCTGGCACTGATGGCCAGCTGGCAGTGACTGTAACACAGGATGGATATTCCTGAGCAAACAACAGGGATGATTTTCTTTCCGTCACGCAGCTGTTGATTTACTCAAAATCCTCCCGCTCACCTTTCTTTTCACCCTTCTCTTCTTCACCCTTCAACCTTTCATCTTTGACTACTTTTTCATTGATCCATCTGCTCTCTCTACCAGCTTCAAGCCAAGGGTTAACTCTGTACCTGAACGTCAGTGGGTCGCCTCTCAGCTACCTTCGCCAACATGGACCTCTATGACGTCTCGAAAGATGCCGGACAGATCAGTCTCATGAAGAGGCTCGAACGTTCCATTGTGAAAGCAGATGAGAACAAGGGACATCTTGCCTACTACCACCCTCCCGAAGTCGTCATCCGAACGTTTATCAACAAATTTCAGCCTGGGCCCCAGGGACCGCCGATGAGACGCGAAGACCAAAAGACTACAGGTCATGTAATGCTCATCACAAACCCTTATACACCGTCCATCACTCCGGTAGCCGAGCTTGAAGCCATGCCGCTCTCACAGATGCGCCTCCTGACGCCACAGCATGGCAAGAAGGTCCTCATACGCGTTATCACCCCCCCAGTTCGAGACACCACTACTGTCAAAGCCGTTGTCGAAGACGAAGAAGGAACAGCTGCTTTCCTGGAACTTTCCCAGCAGCTCGAAGACAAGGTAGAACCACATTGGGAGGTTGTGCTTCGCAATTCAGTCGCCATCATCAAGGAGCCGTTCTTCATCGACGAACCTTGCGCTGTGAAAGTCGACCACCCAGGTGATATCATTTGGCTGCGCGAAGGAGATGAAAGGATCCCGCAGAAGTGGAGAGTCGTCATGAATCGCGGCGTACCTGACAGCCTGCCGCACAACACCGACTTTTACCGGATGTATGGCAACAAATGCATGGGTGAGAAGCAATTCGCAGCAGCCCACCGCATGTAAGTGGTTTCTGCTACCGTCTCGTGAGGTGTAGGTCATTGACATCCATTTAGCTACTCCCTCGCGGTCGAGACAGCAGAGACTTTCGAGCAGAAACGAATGACCTACCTGAACCGATCGCTCGCCAACCTGAAGCTCGATCGGCCAGCAAAAGCCTTAGCCGACGCTACCGCTCTCGACAGCGAGACCTCCGAACCGCATGAGAAGACCCTGTATCGTCAGGCCCAAGCTCACTATGCTCTTGGTAATTTCGAAGAATGTGACGCAAAACTCCAGACCCTTCTCAAGAGCTTTCCGGAGAACAAGGCGGCCAAGGCCCAAATTCGACGCTCTGGGGTCCGACAGCATGAACAGAGAACTGGCGACTACAACTACAAGAGCATGTACGAGCAGGCAAAGGCAACACCTCCGTTGATTGACTGCGCTACATACTCCAAGCCCGTCGAGGTTCGCGAGTCCCCCGGTCGTGGTCGTGGCCTCTTTACGACCAAGGCTGTGGCTGCTGGAGACCTTGTTCTATGCGAAAAGGCATTCTCATACTCCTTTGTTGACGAAACCCTGAGCCCCACCCGTATGCTCATGAACTTGGCTACTCAGAAGATTATCATTGGAGGCCCAGCTTACTTGCTGCCACAAGTTACGCAGAAGTTGTATCACGACCCTCAGTTGCTTCCTGACTTCTATGAGCTTTATCATGGAGAGCCCAACAAGGTGGATGTCGTAGAGTGTGATGGCGCACCCGTTGTTGACTCGTAAGGTTCCCGTACCCGTTTCAAGAAACAACACTAAACTGGCTCTAGGTTCAAGGTTGAGAAGATCATCGCCATGAACGCCTTTGGTGCCCCGAGATCGACTTGCGAGAACCTGAATGATACCGAACGCGGTCGCAACCAGTCGCTGGAGCCCATGTATAGCACATTTCCCACCGCCGGTATCTGGCTTATGGCTTCCAAGATCAACCACTCTTGTGTTGGCAACTGCCGCCGCTCTTTTATTGGCGACATGCAGATTGTTCGGGCTACCAAGGACATCCCAGCCAACACCGAGCTGCTCTTCTGCTATCATCCTCCCAGCGGGTTGCAGTGTTACGGCGAAGTGCAGGATCATCTCTCCGATTGGGGTTTCGTTTGCGAGTGCGCGCTCTGCAAAGATCGAAAGAACACTATCAACACCCAGCTGCAGCGACGCGCTGCTATCTTCAACGAGTGCTTTGCACATTACCAAGGCACCGGGGACATCGATATTGCCAAAGGCAACCGACTCTTGAGGGGAATCAAGAGTACGTACAATGGAAAGGCAGCCAAGAAGGTTCGAATTGAACTCGCAGTCGCCTATACCGCTGCCTGCTCCTACTACGCAAGAGAGTGCATGGCCTCCGAGGGTGGCGACACCGCCATCAAGGCACTCGAAGCGCTGGGCTTCACCATTATGGCCTCATTCACCGACCAGCCCAGACTCAAGGTCAAGGAGTGGGGAATGGTGCACAACTATGTGCCTTTTTTGTTTCTTCAGCTGGTTCATGTTTACCGAGATATGGAGCCTGAAGTAGGCACAACTGCGCGAAATTACGCCAAGCTTGCGTACTCCATGCTCGTCGGGGAGAAAGAGACTATGCCGAACATGCTTTGCTGTGTTGACTGCGGCTGTTCCCTCTGATGAGAGAGGCTGCATACAGCGGCGACGGTGGCATTTTTGATGCTGTTGCTGCTACATACTTCTGGTGACATCAATCGGGAGACCCTAGGGAGACTAACACGGATCACGACATCGGTGCTGGACGAAGTATTACGACAAATTATGGTATCTTGTCAACCATCTCAAGCGGCATTTTGGGTTGCTAGCTTGACGCCCGCACAGGGGCGCGGCTTGGTTGGATAGAGGTGACTTTGACTACGGGAACGAAACCGATTGTCTGGTTGGGTTTGACGGCATTGCTGCCCATGGAACATGTAGTAGTACTAGTCGACCGTAGAAATTGACCGAGTCTTTGCATCATTTCTCATGCGAACCTTGACACATTTTGTGAAAGATCAACACAAGCATTGTGATAAAGGAAGATCGAGTCCCACCGAGACAATGATGAGAGCGACAAGTCCGTCGGATGTGAACTGTGTTCAATATCTTAATCAAGCGACAGAAACGAATGACAGAATAAAGCCTCAAGAGCCTGTATCATGACCCAAACTCTCAAACGGCAACATTTAGCCATCATTTTGACGGTTTTTGGCTCCCGATTGTATTGCGGGTTGACCTTGCTGATGGCACTCCCTCCGCCCAGAAAACATCTGGCTTTGGGAGTACTGCAGCTCTCTATAGTCAACAGTATCTACACAAGACATCACATACGACCATACCTACCAGAAAATACGGGATCCCGTCCGCTCTCCCATAGTCAAGCTGGTAAGGGGCGGATTAGTAGTTGGGTCGGTGACGACCAGCGAATCCCCGCTGTTGTATGT